TCTCCTGCCCCGTGCAGGCCGCGCACGCGTTTGATGCCGCCGCGAGGGCCGTGCGGGGGCCGACCGCGAGGACGAACTTCCGCGTGGGGGAGACGGCGGGCGTGCCTGGGACCGGGGGAAGCAGGTCGAGACGGTGGAAGAAAGTGGCTGCTGACAGCAAGGCTGCTGCTCTCGCTGCTGCTGCTGCTCTGGAGGCGGAGGCTCAGACAGTGGGGTCGGAGGGTGGTGGGGTGGGCGTGGAAGAGGAGAGTGCTGCGGTGTTTGCTGCTGCAAGTCCTGGCGCTGCTGGTGGTGCTTGGTCTCTGGGTGCTGCAGGGGGGAATACGTCCTCAGGAATGGCATCCCAAGGCAAAGCTGCCAATGCGTCCCGTGGCATTGCGTCGCAAGGTCATACTTTAGAGTCCCCTCGGGAGTCGCCTCGAGAGCGATGGGCGTTTGACTTGGAGGCCGTGCCGTCCCGTGATGAAGGCGAAGAGGAGGCAGCAGCGATGGCTGTGGAGGAGGGAGAAAAAGATTGCAGTATGGACAGAGTGGGGCACAGTGAGAGAGGCAGTCAAGCTGCGGGCAAGGGGCTTAGCACTTCTACTGCGCAGCAAACCCAAGTTCCACGCGCCCGGGCTGTCAAGCACAGCGCCATCACAGCTCCCTTCCGTCTACGTCATGGCGCATCACTTCACCCCCAAGCATCACCTCGAACCCACCCATCACCGCTACCCCACCCATCAGCTCTCTCCCACCCATCACATCTCTCCACACCCGGGCCTCCTTCTGCTGCCCCTGCTGCTGCTCCTGTTGCCCTTCCTCCTACTGCTCCTGCACCTGCTGCACCTGCTGCCGCTGTTTCTGCTCCTCCTCCTCCTCCTGCTGCTGCTGCGATGGTATCATGCAGTCAAGCCGGCGGCACGGACGCGTCCAGGCATACTGCCGCGGCCACGGGTGCTGCTGCTGCTGCTGCGACGCTCCGGGGCGTGCTGTCCCACCAGGTGTCTCTTGAGCCACCTGAAAGCGCCCCCCCCACCACGATCCGAGCGATTCTGGGCCACATGCTCGGTGCGCGGGGGTCTGGTGCGGTGGGTGCAGCAGGTGCAGCTGATGGAGCAGGAGCTGCAGGGGGAGCAGGAGCAGCAGGCTCACCAGCCGGAGCAGCAGCGGGAGCGACAGCGGGAGCAGCAGCGGGAGCAGCGGGGTCCACTTACAGCCGTGCTGGGCACGAGCAGCCCGAGGGTGGGGCCGGCGTCTCTCACTACTCCCCTCACCACTCCGCTCACCACTCGCACCAACGCCATGCCATCCTGCATGCACACGAGCAGGGTGCCGCCGCCAGCATGTCTCACGCCCTCCACCCCCCACTCAGCCTCAGCCTCAGCCTCCTTCACCCGCACATCACCACTCATGCCGGGCACCAGACGCTCTCACGCTCAGGGCAGCAGCAGGAGGCGCCTCAAGCGAGCCAAGCCCAGGGCGCAGGAGACGTGGATCCCGCAGGTGCTGCAGCCGGGAGGGTGCGAGGCACTGCGCGGATACGGCTGGCGGCGGCCCCCAAGGGCAGCTCTGGAACCACCATGGCTCAGACGCAGACGCAGACGCAGACGCAGACACAGACACAGACGCAGATGCAGACGCAGATGCAGACGCAGACGCCCGGCAAGGGCAGTGCTGGCATGATGGCACAGGCGCCCACCAAGGGCAGCACTGGTGGTGTGGCTCAGGCAGCGATCCTCAGCGCACCTGTGACGGCTGCTGGGTACACCCTGGCCTCGACGTTTCCTCGCTGTCCTCCTCCTCCTCCGCCTCCTCTCTCGCTTTCCTTGCCTCGTCCTCCTCCCTTTCCCTTGCCTCTATCCTTTCCCACCCCTCTTGCCTTGCCTCCTCCTCTTCTCTTGCCTTCTCCTCCTCCCTTACCGCCTCCTCCCCCCTGTCCTCCTCCCCGCGTGCCTCTTCCCCCCGCCACGTCCTCTGTGCAGTGTGCGTCCCTCTGGGCACCCTCGCTGCCTGCTATTCGCGCCTCTCTCGCACGCCCTTCCGCTTGTGCTCTTCTTGCCACACAGCATTGCGAAGCAGCCTCACCAGCAGCAGCGGCAGCAGCCTCACCAGCAGCAGCAGCAGCAGCCTCACCAGCAGCAGCAGCAGCAGCCTCACCAGCACCAGCAGCTCCAGCAGCTCCAGCAGCAGCAGCAGCAGCAGCAGCTTTGGAGGGTGGAGTAGGGGAAGGGCTGCAGGCTGGGGATTTGGTGCTTGGCGGGCGTGGTTCAGATCCCTACTCTGTGCATGTAACGGGTTGCATCATATCAGCACCAACTGAACGCGCAGCAGCAGAAGCCACCACAGCACCAGCAGCAGCTGCAGCAGCTGCGGCAGCACCTGCTGCATCGTCAGCGACAGCAACAGCCGCACGAGCAGTAACAAGAGGAGGGCGGGTGGCACTGGTGAGTGAGCCGAAGGTGGCAGTCGTGGGTGCGGTGGGCGCACTGGGAGCAGCGGGAGCAGCAGGGCTGCACTCGCAGCTCTCAGCAGCAGCCGCGGCTGCAGTGGCTGCTGCAGGGCTGCGCTCACATGAGTTCATGCAGCTGTCTGTAATGGGGGGAGCCGATCGCCCTTCTGCGGAGAAGAACAGGGGATGGCTGCACGAATTGGTCTCCAGTGGTCGGGTGGGAGGGAGTCGGGAGGCTGGCACAGCAGGGAACGAGGGAACTGGGGAGCGGGCGGGTAGTAGGCCTGGGGGGTGTGATTCTTCTCCTGGGTGTGGCTCGGTGAGAAGGGAGTGTGGGGTGGAAGGAGGAGTGGCAGGTGTGATTTCTGGAGCGATTGGGCTTGCTGGAGGGGTGGCTATTCGGGGAGGGGGCATGGGGGCAGAGGTGGTGGCTGCTGCTGCGCTGTCTGCGATCCTGAAGCACGCCATGCAGGGGGGGAGAGGTGACGGTGCTGCTGGTGAGGCCTCTCTGCAGTGGACGCACGTGCAAGTCCAGCAGCAGCAGGAGCAACAGCAGCAGCAGCAGCAGCAGCAGCAGCAGCAGCAGCAGCAACAGCAATGGGAGCAGCAGCTTCAGGGGCGGCAGCGGAGACAGGAGCAGCGGAAACAGCAGCAGCAGCAACAGCAGTGGGAGCAGCAACAGCAGCAGCAGCAGCAGCAACAGCAGTGGGGGCAGCAGCAACGGCAGCAGCAACAGCAGCAGCAGCAGCAGCAGCAGCAGCAGCAGCAGCAGCAGCAGCAGCAGCAGCAGCAGCAGCAGCAGCAGCAGCAGCAGCAGCAGCAGCAGCAGCAGCAGCAGCAACAGCAGTGGGAGCAGCAGCTTCAGGGGCGGCAGCGGAGGCAGGAGCAGCGGAAACAGCAGCAGCAGCAGCAGCAGCAGCAGCAGCAACAACAACAACAACAAAAGCAACCACACGTGACGCAGCCAAAGCAAGAGCCAGTGGATGAGCATGCAGAGCAGATCATGCAGCGGGCAGGGCAGGGGACCAGCACACACACCAGAGAAACCAGAGACAGTGGCACACCAGGAGAAGCAGGGCGGACCCCTCATAAGCAGGCTCGCCATGAGCTAAGGCTCGGACGCACCGGCCTCTCTCTTGCCACTGCAGCAGACCCACGCCTTGTGCCACCATCTGCTGCTGCACTCCCTCCTGTTGCATTCGCGTCCGCTGCTCTCCCCAAGGCAGTTGAAGCAGCAGCAGCGGCAGAGCAGCATGCAGCAGCGTCAGCGGGACTATGGAAAAGAGCACCTGCTGGGCCCTCCAGGGCAATGCATGAGCTTGTGGGTGCTGTGCCGGGGTTCCTCCCCTCCCCTGCCGCTGGCCGGCAAGCCGCCCCTGATATTCATTTGTCTCTGGCGCCTGGTGCAGGTGACAGCAGCAGAGCAGCTAATAGAGGGGATGTAGGTGCTCGATGTGGAGTCATCCCCGATAAAACGAATCAAAATGTTGTGATTGGGGCAGGAGAGACGCTCAGTGCCAGCTTGATGGTGCATGGGGCTAGGAAGAGGGGAAGGGCTGGGCAATTGCTGGCAGATGGGTCAAAGGAGACGTTTCCTCTTTTGCTGTCCTCGCCTTTAGGGCTGTTTGACAATAGTGCTGATGGTGGCGCATGGCAAATGAATTGAGGTATTGAAAGTTTGCTGTATATACCCAATTCATATTCGTAACACGGAGAGGTGCTGTAAGTTTCTTGTATATACCCCAAACTCAAACAGTTTCTTGTATATTCATACAGTAGTCTGTATGACAGTTGTCAAACACAAACCTAGTTTTCTCGATGAAGCTGTTAATAACACAATCAGTTAGCTGTTACCGTAGTACTTGCGTACGGCTTCTATGACTTATAGTAATGCGTCCGCTATTCAGAGTCTGCATTAATTAGGGTGATTATAAGGCAGTTCGAGATGTGAGCCTAATGGGAGCAAACACCATGGGGACAAAAGAAAAACGTACTCGTTTCAGAGTATGCATTTTCTCTATGTTGAAGCTGTTTTGTGCTGAATGATCAGTTAACGGTTTGTCAGAGTGCAGTACCCTAAATTACTGTACTCACACCCGTTGAAGCACTGTACTCTATGCGAAGGGAAATTTCAGCGTCAGTAAAAAATGTCGCGACGTGCGGGGGCGGGAGTGCAACTGCTGCTGACTTCGCTTCGTGCTCCCCCGACTTGCACCGTTCGTTGTGCCTTCTGTGAAGAGAAAGTGACACCTGCAATGCAGCAGTGATTCATGGCTTCCGACGGGTCATGGCACCTAACCGACACCGACGCTGGAGCACCGTGTGGAGTAAACCCTAATATAAGGCCACTCCTCGCGTGTATTTAACCTAGCTTCAAGAAACAACACTAAGCGATTCTCGACACGCTTAGCAGCAGTAAGGCTTACCCAAAGGCTTACAGAATGAGGTGACGTTTGAGCCGATTAAAAAATCTCTCATCAGGCATCAGTAAGGCTACGTGTGGCTATCCACGCCTTAGCACTTCGGGTTCCTTCCATAAGGCTTTCAGAATGCCGACTTTGAGATGTCGATGCTGCAGCGCGGTCCTAACCAAACCGTCTCCCGCGCTGCTATGCCGGCCGTGCAAGGTGCTAGGGTCGGGGGGAACCGTGCGTGTGCGACCGGGCGTCTGGTGGCTGGCGCGTTGGAGGGCGAACGAATGGGTGCAGATGGGTCGGATACGGCACGTGCAGGAGCTGGTGGAGGAGATTCGCTCGCGCGGACTGCTGCTCATCGTCGCTGCGGTCCTTCTCGCGTATGCCATGTCGCGTAAGAACATGTTGATATCGCGTTTGCCATGTCGCGTAAGAACATGTTGATATCGCGTTTGCCATGTCGCGTAAGAACATGTTGATATCGCGTTTGCCATGTCGCGTAAGAACATGTTGATATCGCGTATGCCACGTTGCGTAGGAGTACTTCGAGCTCTGTCGAGGCTTGCTCTCGGGAGTTAGTAGCGCTCCGGCGCGGTCATCTGTTGGTGCATTGTCGGAGGGGATCATCTGTTGTGCTCAGAGGGGGTCATATCTGTTGGTGTTGGGAGCCGCGTGTGGCTTCCGATCATCGCGGGTCGTCATGCTCAGCACGGCCGCCAGGCTCGCCTCGTGTACCATGCCAAATATGCCGTTTCTTTTATCCGAATACGACCCGCTGGGGATGTTTTCAGAACGTTTCCTGGGCCGGCAACCTTTTTGTGGACTTGCGTTATGTTGTAGATGTCAAAACTCTGTGTGACGACCTGCGGTCGTTAGGATGTTCCGTAGCCGCGAGCACTTTTCAAAATCCGTCGCTATTCCATTCCGTGAGTACACCGTCAGTTCTTGTGAATTCTCGGTCACCACTACGTCGTTGGTTTCCCCTCCACCTCCTCCACTTCTCCCGGTCTTCTTTTTCCTCACCTCCCCTCTGTCCCCCTTTCTTCCAACCGTCAACTATGACGCGGCGCCAGTAACAAGCCCCTCGCTGCTTCTCAATCTGCCGGTGGCCCTCGGGATCTTTGAGTCGACGCAGACATCCGTCCCCCCTCCCCACCATCCCTTTCCTCATTACCCCCCATCCCACCCAACGCCACCTGACGCCAGTAACAAGCCCCTCGCTGCTCCTCAACCTGCCGGTGGCCCTTGGGATCGTCACAGCTTCTCACACCCCCCACTCTCCCCTTCCCATTACCGTCCCTCCCGTTACCGTCCCTCCAACCGTTACCTGTGACCGGCGAGCCCCTCGCTGCTCCTCAACCTGCCGGTGGCCCTTGGGATCCTCGCAGCTGCTCAAACCCCCCACTCTCCCCTTCCCCTTACCATCCCTCCAATTGTTACCTGTAAACCGGCGTCAGTAACAAGCCCCTCGCTGCTCCTCAACCTGCCGGTGGCCCTCGGGATCCTCGCAGCCGCTCGCTGGCTCATGCTCGAGGCACAGGCGCGGGCCAATGCCAGCCTGCCACGTGTGCACTACGAGCAGGTGCACGCGCCCTTCCAGCCAATCACGTCTTCCGGCGCTCTCCCGCGACCGTCAGAACCGGCCGGGCTGGCGATGGTGGGATCACCGGTGGTGGAAGCCTCTCTTGACGAGTTTGTGCGCTCCATTATAAGGTGAGTGAGCTGCATACTCGTTACAAGCAAACTCACACACACCCACACACAGATTCTTCTTTAAATTCGTCCCGTATTGTCTTCCACCGGCGCTCTTGGAAGCCTTTTGACTATTCTTGTTTAAACTAGGAAGCAGCAGACCAGAAGCTATCATCGGATCAACCTCTCCGTTCTCCCGTTCCTTAATGAGTTAATGCTCACTCTTCTCCCCCCCACCCACCCCGCTTCCCCAGGGTGTTCGTGACGAACCAGTTCTACCTGACACTGGACAGGGAGATGCCGGAGGGGATGTGGTGATTGTTGAGGCGCCTAAAGCACCATCACCACCCCTCTTCTGCTCTCCCCCTTCCCCCTCCCCCCTCTCTACCCCCCCCCCCCCCCTCTCCCCCCCAGGGACTTTGTGACGAACCAGTTCTATGCGTATCTGACGCCCGACAGGGAGATGCCGGAGGGGATGTGGTGATTGTTGACGTGCCTAAAGAAACAGCACCTCCCCTCCCCCCACTCCCCCCTCCCCCCCGCCCCAGGGACTTTGTGACGAACCAGTTCTATGCATACCTGACGCCGGACAGAAAGATGCCGGAGGAGCTGCGTTGATTGTTGAGGGGCCTCACGTATTGCTCAACCCCCTCCCTCTCCTCCCAAACCCCCCTTCCCCCCCCCCCCCCCCCCCCCCCCTCTCCCCGTTCCCACTCCCAGGGACTTTGTGACGAACCAGTTCTATGCGTACCTGACACCGGACAGGGACCGGAGGAGCTGCGGTGCGTGCTGCTGGCCGTGCTGGGGGAGGTGGCACGGCGGGCCAAGCGGGTCAACCTTGTTGCTTTGCTCACCAGGTGCTGCTGCCTCTGCGTGCTCTGCTTCGCACTTGCTTGTGTGCGTGCGTGCTACTAGCCACACATACTTCTGCTGCGTGTGATGCATCCATCGTTGTGCTGCTGCTGGCCATGCAAAGCTGTACCACTCTACCTCACCTTGCACCCCTCGCTTTCCCTGCTCTCTGCTTCCTGTCCTCCCCCCCCAGGGACGTAGTGGGGGCGGTGGTGGGGGCAATGGAGCAGTACCAGCGTGCGTGTGCGGACATGGGCGAGGGCGAGGGCGAGGGGGGACGGGTGGCAGCAGGGGAGAGGGAGGAGCGTCTCAAGCACACCCTGGGCGCGTCTGGTGACCTGCACCCCGCATGCCTCTCTGTGGAGTGCGAGTACAAGGTGGGGTGGGGTGGGGTGCTTCTGGCTTGTTTGGGGGGGTTGCCTGGTTACTTCTGCACTGCACCCTGCATGCCTCTCTGTGGAGTGCGAATACAAGGTGGGTCAGGGTTGCTGGCGGGTAACTCCTGCACTTCACACCGCATGCCTCTCTGTGGTTCAAGTACAAGGTGGGGGGGAGGGGAGAGGACGAGGTGGGGCGAGATTGCAAGGTGCGGGGGGAACGTGCACACTGTAAGTCTTTCCCTGAATTCCGAGTAATATGTGCCGGCTCCATTCTCACCTGTGTGTGTGTGTGTGTATGTGTGTGTGTGTGTGTGTGTGTGTGTGTGTGTGTGTGTGTTTGTGTGTGTGTTGTGTGTGTGTGTGTGTGTGTGGTGCGTGTATGTGTGTGTGTGTGTGTGTGTGTGTGTGTGTGTGTGTGTGTGTGCGTGTCCGTGAGGGGGGGGGATGCGTGGGTGGGTGCGTGCGTGGCCGTGGCCGTGGCCGTGTGCGTGGGCGTGTGCGTGGGCGTGTGCGTGGGCGTGTGCGTGTGCGTGTGCGTGGGCGTGTGCGTGTGCGTGGGCGTGTGCGTGTGCGTGTGCTTGTGCGTGTGCGTGGCCGTGTGCGTGTGCGTGGGCGTGTGCGTGGGCGTGTGCGTGTGCGTGGGCGTGTGCGTGTGCGTGTGCTTGTGCGTGTGCGTGGCCGTGTGCGTGTGCGTGGGCGTGTGCGTGTGCGTGGCCGTGTGCGTGTGCGTGGGCGTGTGCGTGTGCGTGTGCGTGGCCGTGTGTGTGTGCGTGGGCGTGTGCGTGGGCGTGGGCGTGTGCGTGTGCGTGTGCGTGGGCGTGTGCGTGTGCATGTGCTTGTGCGTGTGCGTGTGCGTGGCCGTGTGCGTGTGCGTGGGCGTGTGCGTGGGCGTGTGCGTGTGCGTGGGCGTGTGCATGTGCGTGTGCTTGTGCGTGTGCGTGGCCGTGTGCGTGTGCGTGTGCGTGGGCGTGTGCGTGGGCGTGTGCGTGTGCGTGTGCGTGGGCGTGTGCGTGTGCGTGGGCGTGTGCGTGTGCGTGTGCGTGGGCGTGTGCGTGGGCGTGGGCGTGTGCGTGTGCGTGTGCGTGGCCGTGTGCGTGGGCGTGTGCGTGGGCGTGTGCGTGGGCGTGTGCGTGTGCGTGGGCGTGTGCGTGTGCGTGTGCTTGTGCGTGTGCGTGGCCGTGTGCGTGTGCGTGGGCGTGTGCGTGTGCGTGGCCGTGTGCGTGTGCGTGTGCGTGGGCGTGTGCGTGGGCGTGTGCGTGTGCGTGGGCGTGTGCGTGTGCGTGTGCTTGTGCGTGTGCGTGGGCGTGTGCGTGTGCGTGTGCGTGGGCGTGTGCGTGTGCGTGGGCGTGTGCGTGTGCGTGGGCGTGTGCGTGTGCGTGGGCGTGTGCGTGTGCGTGTGCGTGGGCGTGTGCGTGTGCTTGTGCGTGTGCGTGGGCGTGTGCGTGTGCGTGTGCGTGGGCGTGTGCGTGTGCGTGGGCGTGGGCGTGTGCGTGTGCGTGGGCGTGTGCGTGGGCGTGTGCGTGGGCGTGTGCGTGGGCGTGTGCGTGTGCGTGGGCGTGTGCGTGTGCGTGTGCATGTGCTTGTGCGTGTGCGTGGGCGTGTGCGTGTGCGTGTGCGTGTGCGTGGGCGTGTGCGTGTGCGTGGGCGTGTGCGTGTGCGTGTGCGTGGGCGTGTGCGTGTGCGTGTGCTTGTGCGTGGGCGTGGGCGTGTGCGTGTGCGTGGGCGTGTGCGTGTGCGTGGGCGTGGGCGTGGGCGTGGGCGTGTGCGTGGGCGTGTGCGTGGGCGTGTGCGTGGGCGTGGGCGTGTGCGTGTGCGTGGGCGTGTGCGTGTGCATGGGCGTGTGCGTGTGCGTGGGCGTGTGCGTGTGCGTGTGCGTGGGCGTGTGCTTGTGCGTGTGCGTGGGCGTGTGCGTGTGCGTGTGCGTGGGCGTGTGCGTGTGCGTGGGCGTGGGCGTGTGCGTGGGCGTGTGCGTGGGCATGTGCGTGTGCGTGTGTGCGTGCATGGGTGTGCATGTGCATGCGTGTTTATGCATGTGCATGAGTGTGAATGTGCATGTTCGTGTGCATGCATGTGCATCTGTCCATATCCATGTGTGTGCGTGCATCCACCAGGTGGTGAGGAAGCTAGTGGCGGCACTGCTGGCGCTGGTGGTGCCAGCAAGCGACGCACAGAGCAAGGTGGTGCGCTGCATGGCTCGCAAGCTCCTCTCCTGCTGCGTGCTGCTGCCCTCCCTCAGACAGGCCAACCCCCGGTAATCGCAGTGCTTCACACCTTCCCATGTCTCCAGCACCGTTCCGTGCTGTTCTTGATCTTCCACGACTGTAGGAGCCTGTTGTGTGCTCAAACATTTGCAGTCTGGCAAATTATGCTTGTTTCTTCTTCCTCCTTCCCCTCTCTCGTTTTCTCTCCCTATGCTCTCTCTCTCTTTCTAACCCACCTCTCTCTCCCTCTGCACGCCCTCCCCACTCTTCTCTCTCTCTCTCTGCCTTCCTCCACAGAGTGATCAACGATGCCATACTCGCCTTCCTGGACAAGCACCCCTCCTCGTCCACCTCACAACCTCCCTCTGCGCCTTCAGCCCCTGCCCCCGCTACCCCGCCACCAGCCTCAGCAGCAGCAGCCCCAGCCACAGCCGCAGCAGCAGCGGCAACAGCAGCGGGTGTCAGTGCAGCAGCGGCAGCAGCAGGGATGGCAGCAGGTGGAGGAGTGTCCGGTGGGGGAGTAACAGGCTTTAGTGGCAGAGGTGCAGGGTCAGCAGCATCTGGGCCGCTCCTGGCTGCTTCCGTGTCCCCGCTGAGTGCTGCGGCTGCTTCCCTTCGACAGCAGCGGCAGCAACGGCAAGAGCAGTGGCAACAGCAACAGCAACAGCAGCAGCAGCGGCAGCAGCAGCCGCAGCAACAACAACAGCAGCAGCAGCAGCAGAATCATGGGCCATCACAGCAGGAGTTTTCACCCCAGCATGGATCATTGCAGGGCATGGGCTCGCGGATGGGCTCCTCCCTGAGGAGGCGAATCCCTCGCAGCCGCAGCAGGCGCATGCGGGCCACAGGCTCACCCAGTGGAGGCGCATTCGGGGGAGGCGTATCTGGCCCAGGTGGGACGTTCGGGGCAGGTGCGCCGGGTGCAGGTGGGATGGATGGGAGAGGTTCGTTAGGGGGAGGTGTATCTGGTACATCTGGTGGGAGGGGCAGCAGCAGCAGCATGCAGCGGCGTGCTGTGTTGGGGTTGGGGGGAGACAGTGCGGGGGACGATGACAGCCTAGCAGAGGGCACGAGCGATGGAGGCGTGGTGGGCATGGGCTTCAGCACAGATGAGGAAAACGGCTCTGCAGATAACTCTTATCATGCTGGCCGTGCTGCTGCTGCTGCTGCTGCTGCTGCTGCTGCGGGTGCAGGTGGCAGTCGGGGTGGTGGAGGAGGTGACAAGCGCAGGCTTAATGGAAGGTCGGGGGCAGCAGAATCGCCTCAGAATGCGCCTTGTCAGGATAAGCCTCCCCCTGGGCTGCTGCAGCCTATGAGCGCCAATTCATCCCTGGCGTCCCTGGCCCCTCAGCTTATCGCTGCCACGCCCCTCCCCCTGCAACCCTCTGGCCCTTCCGGTGGCTTTAGTGGCTCTGCTGGGTTTGGGGGTTCGGGTTTGCTCGTCGGGTTTGGAGGGTCGGGTGGGTCTGCTGGTGGTGGTTTTGGGAGCCAAGGCACCCTGAGCAGCAGCGGCGAGAAGCATGGGGATTTGTTGTTGCACTCCCACCAGCCCTCAAGCAATTCGGGCTATGCCCAGCCTGCTGCACCTGCTGCTGCTAGCGCAGCATCCCTTCACATTCCGCCTCCTCCTGCTGGTGCATCTGGTCCGTTTGTTCATCCCAGTGATGGGGCTTCTGTGGCTGCGACTGAAGGGGCTTATGGGGCAGGGCAGCGGCGGGGGAGAAAGGCAGGGAGCGCTTGGGAGGGGGAGGGGAAGGTGGTTGGCCGGGTGAAGAGCGAGCCGTGTGAAGGGAGTGAAAGGGGTGCGGGTGGGAGGGGCAAGGGTGAGGAGGGTGCAGTGCGGTTACCGGGTGATGACGCGGACTTTGCGCAGGCGTTACAGCGGTACGAGCAGCGGCAGCTGCAGGTGCTGGATAGCGAGCAGATTGATCAGCTCTGGTACACTGACGGGGTGCACTCCCACTGGCACGGCCACAGCCACAGCCACAGTCACAGCCACATCCAAAGTCACTGCCACAGCCACAGCACGCAGGCGGTTGGGAACACGCACGCAGGCAGGCATGATAGCAAGGAGTTTCTTCAGAATGGCAGCCACAGGAAGGATTCTGATCGGAATGGCAGGGAGGAGCCAGGTTGGAAGGGCGACACGCACGGAGGCGAGAGTCAGGGAGGACCTGCGACTGGGGAGAAGCAAGGAGTTCTGGCGGAGAGCCACAAGCAGCATCAGCAGCAAGTGCATGAGTCCACGAGGAGCAAGAGAGAGCGGGAGCGGCCCGTGAAAGGGCAGGAAGTTCTGAGGTGTGGAGAGAGAGCGGTGAATGGGCAGGATGCGGTTGTGAGGGGTCAAGATGGGGTTCAAGGACGGCAGGGGCCAGCATTGGACGGGCTCAGGGAATTCGCTGCTGATAGAAATGCTGTTGGTGGTGCTGGCAGCTGTGGTGGTGGGGGGTATGTTAGTGCTGGAAGGGAGGAGAGAACAAGGGAGAACGTGCGAGAGATGCTGTGGGGGTCTCTGTGCTCGGACGAGGAGCTTGGCGGTTTCAAGAGAGCTGCTGCTCGTGTAGGTGGTAACCCTGTTGGAGCTGGTAACCGCAATGCAGGTGGTAACCGCAACGATGGCGCACGCAGCGGGAGGTGGAGCGAGGAGCTGGAGATAGGGGTGGCGGTGCGTGGGCTGGGGTTTCTGGTGGAGCAGTCTCCTGGTACAATGCAGATGATGCACAGGAAGGGCGCTGGTGGGATGGGAGAGGACGGTGCAGGAGCAGGAGAGCGAGGAGGAGGAGGAGGGAAAGTAAGAGGAGGCACGGATCTTTCTCCTGTAGACGAGCTTGGAAGGGTGAGGCAGGGAGTGGGTTCGAGCACAGGAGGGGCGAAGGCGGTGTCAGGGGCGCAGCAGTTGCAGGCTCAAGGCGGCTGGGCGGGTGTGTGGGCCACAGGCGCGTTCTGATCATCTTCATCTGCAGCAGGAGAAGCAGCAGGAGCAGGAACAACAGGAGGTGGCACAGGTGGCACAGATGGCGCAGGTACAGTGGGTAAATCACAGGTGGCTGCTGCAGGTGCAGGGACTACTGCAGTGGCTGCAGCCGCGAAAGGAGCAGCCGGAGTGGTTGATGAGAGAAACCGAACCCACGGTGAGACGAGGCCCAGTGCAGGGTCATCAGCAGGAGGAGCAGGAGCATCGGGGTCTTGGCTGAGCTTCATAGGTGCTGGGCCAAGGTCAGACCCTGGAGGCAGAGCCGCCGGTGCAGGCAGGGACACGGCTGGAGCTGCAAACACAGTGGCTGGGGGAATGGGACCTCAAGAGGGGGTGCGTGCAGGGGTGGGGCGTGGGCAGGGGAGTTCGGTTTCAGGGGCAGGGGGGCGTGCAGGGTCTGCCTCCCAAGGGGATGGGGGTGGGGATGATGCGCGGTCGGTGCTATCTGCTGCTGCTGCCACTGCTGGGTGGGTGGAGCGGAATCTGGCAGCGTTTGGGCTTGCTGGCGCGTTTGGTATGAAAGGTGGTGGTGATGGGGGTGGTGCGGGTGAGAAAGGGGGGAAGGGAGGGGCGAGTGGTGGGGAGGTGGGTGGGGTGGGTGGGGGTGGGAGTGGGGATGACAGGGTTCTGCTGGCTGAAGCAGCCGAGAGGGATCCGTTGAGTGTGGTGCGGCAGTGGGAGGAGGAAGAGGAGGTGGAGGGAGTGAGGGAGACGCGTGAGTGGGAGAAGCAGGAGGAGCGGCAGCAGGAGCAGAAGCAGCAAAAGCAGAGGTGGCAACAGCAGCCAGGGGTGGTGCAGGGATGGCAATCGGAAGACGGGCCTGGGGAATCGAAGTATGCGGCAGGAACCTTCTTAGACTTGGAAGGTTTAGGCATGGAAGAGGAGGAGGAAGAGGAGGAAGGAGGAGGGCTGCTGCTGAGCGCGCGTCTGAAGAAAGGGCGGGGAGCGATGCGTGCATGGGACGGCCCTGGTTGTAGAAACAGGGGCACTGGCGATGCAATGGCAGGAGGGATGGGGGGAGTGGGTGGAATGGGGTTAGTGGTGGGAGGGGAGGAGGGGAGGGGGCAAGGGCTGCGGCCGGCGTGGTTGCTGGAGAGTGAGTGGCTGCAGCAGCAGCAGCAGCAGCGGAGGGAGGAGGAGCAGGCTCAGCTGGAGATGCAGCAGTACCTGGGCATGGGGCATGGGGGTGATGGCAGGGGGCAGGGTGGTGGGAGCAGGGGCGGGGAGCAGAGCAAGGAGATGCGCTCGTTTGGAGAGGGAGGCGAGGGCAGACAGATGCACGCTCAGGTAGGCACATGCACATAAACATACACGATGCTTTCACGAATCCATGCATTCAAGTATGCATGCATAATGCATTCATCCGTCTATCCATCCCTCCCTTCCTCCCTCTCACCTTCCCTCCCTCCCTCCCTCCCTCCCTCCCTCCCTCCCTCCCTCCCTCCCTCCCTCCCTCCCTCCCTCCCTCCCTCCCTCCCTCCCTCCCTCCCTCCCTCCCTCCCTCCCTCCCTCCCTCCCTCCCTGCCTCCCCCCCTCCTCTATGCATGCATGCATGCATGCATGCATGAGCAGATCGTGGGGGCGTTCTCAGCAGAAGCAAGGGGCGAGGCCATAGTGGGCTACTCCATCGCAGTCACGGGCCTCGATGGCTCCGCATGGATCGTCCGACGCAGGTGATCTGATCTCTTGCTACCCCTCTGCCCATGTGTCCAGTCCATTCCTCTCTATGTGTCAAGCCGCAGTGGTCCGGTCACCATCTAATAGCCAGTCTCACTTCACCCCTCCCCCCTGCCAACACTCCCCTCCGTCCTCCACCAACCCCTCAGGTACCGCAACTTCTGGCAGCTGCACCAGCAGCTGAAGCGCCGCAGCCCGTCAGCAGGCAGCCTGCAGCTGCCGCCCAAGCGGTTCTTCCACGGCGGGCGGGACGAGGAGCTCATTCGGGACCGGCTGCTGCAGCTGGACGCTTATGTCAAGGTGGGCTGGTCACATATGTGAAGGTAGGCGTGCGGGTGCGCGAAGTTTCTCTAGGGCATTATGACCTAGAGAAGTTTCTCTGGGCCATATTTTTTTGCATGCAGAAGGACTATTTTACTTTTGTTTCCCCCTTCTTCCTCCTGCTCTGCCGTCCACCTTTCCAGGACATCAAATTATTCCCAATGATTCTTCCCCCCCTCCCCCTCCCTTCTTGCACTTCCACTACCCACTCACCAATCCACCCGCCCACCCACCCGCCCGCCCTGGCAGGGCATCATGGCTCGGGAGGAGCTGGCCACATCGCCAGAGGTTATCGACTTCCTCTCCCCTGACTCCAAGGTGGGGTTCGGTGTGTTGTGCTGGTCTGGTGTGGGTGTGATGGTGGTGTGGTGAGCTGTGTGGCGTGGTTGTGGCGGTGTTAAAGTGGTGGTGTGGTGTGCTGCACTGCTGTGGCACCATACCTCCTTACTGCTATGCTGCTCGCTCCCACCGCAATTGCTTTCCCTCCTTTCTACACCTGCCTCTTCCTCCATAGTCTTTCAACCCTCTCTCGATCCCCATCTTCCCCCCATCTCTCCCCCAACCTCCCCCCATCTTTCTCGCCCAGCTCTCTCCGATTATCTCTCCCTCCAAATCCCCCTGTCCGAGTCCTCAACCTCTTCTTGTCGTCCCTCGCTCTCCCCTCGTTTTTTCTCCAACCCCCCTTAAATGGTCCCCGCTTCCCCCCAAACTCGTCTTCAATCCCCCCCTGTGCTCCCTCAGGCGTTTGAATCCCACATCACCGTGTCAAAGGCCATCTCTTTTGCTTGTGAACATGTTTTTGAGGCGCCTAAAAAAAAAAATCTCCTCCAATCCCCCCCATCCTCCCTGTGCTCGCTGTGCTCCCTCAGGCATTTGAGTCCCACATCACCGTGTCAAAGGCCATCTCTTTTGCCTGTGAGCATCCCTCTCCTTCTGCGGCTTTAACTGATATATTTTGCTCGCGAGGTACTTTGTTAAGCACGTTTTTGCAACGCTACATTCTCACTTCACTCTATAACAGTCACCACCCTACACCGCACCTTCCTCCTTCTGGCAACGTTGTCCTCCCCGTTACACGCTTTTTGGTGCACCTCCGCAACCCAACCTACTATTTCACCCTCCCTTTCTTTCCATCCCATCTTCCCTTTCTCTTACCTTGCCCTCTCCTCTTGAATTAACTGGATTGTCACCTTCTTCTTACTTGCCCCCCTGACGCATTGATTCCCCCTTCCTCCTTGAAGTGAGCGTGGATGAAGTGACAGATGATCTGCAGTGGCAACGTGTTAAAAGCACGTCTCAGCTGCAGCTGCTCTCCACCATTGCTACTAACGGGGATGACACCAGCTCTGTTGCCACGTCCCCTCGCTACAATCACCCCCCCGCCCGACAAACCAGCAGCCGCCACGTGGCAGGCGTGGGTGAGGAGGAGGCGGTTAGAAGATCAGGATTTGGACGACAGAGGCAAGAATTTGGCAGTGATGGGAGTGGGAGGAGTGGAGAAGGAGGTGGTGGGGTGTATAGAGTGGGTTTGCGCGGTCAAGAAGAGTTGAGGATGGTGAAAGGGGAGAGCCGTCCTTCTACTGTTTGGGAGGGAGTAGGGGAGTGGTCAGAGGAGGTTCAAGAAGAAGGGTGTGAGACGGAGGAGGAGGAGGAGGAGGAGGAGGGCGAGGGTGGGGTGTTTGAAGAGGAGAGGAGGGGTGCTTGGGCTGGACGGGAGATTTGCAGTGAGGGAGGGAGGCGTGTGGGACCAAGAGGTGGGAGCATGGTGGATGGAGGCATGAGCGGTGGAGGTGTAGGGATGGGCGGGGAGAGGGAGGCGGATGATGATGTGTTGAGCTATGGGTCGAGGCAGAGCCTTGGCGGGATGGAGTATGCCCTTCAGATGGCGCAGGAGGGAGGTGCACAGGCAGCAGGGGGGGAAGAGGACGAGGGAGGAAGGGTGAATCGGCAAAAGCTGCAGCAGCGGCAGCAGCAGAGTGGAAGTTCGTGTGAGATCTCTGAGGATGATGACCTCCGTCAACAGGGTGCTGCCCGTGTGCGTGGTGATGGGCATGGGGATGGCGTAGGAAGCGGGCAAGGCGGGTCAGGTTTTGTTGGGAGAGGAGAAGCTCCTGCAGGGATTTTCGAAGCAGATGGTGATGGTGATGGTGATGGTGAGGACGGGGAGGAGGAGGAGGATGAGGATAGGGTGATGGTGGAAACAGCTCTTCCACGTGGTTTGCATGTGCCAGCAGAGCAAGGAGGCGCTGTGGGGCGAGGAGCTGAGGAAAGGGATGGCTCTGTTAGAAGGCACAATGAGGGGAGTGCATTGGATGCCACCGTTCCTGCCGATGTAAGTCACATAGTTCACCAGCAGAATCAGCGCTGTGAATCCCTTGTGCATGTTTTATTGCTTGTTTCCTTCATTCCCATTCGTCTTTCAATGCGTCTACCGTTCTTCACATGTGATCCGTTCTCTCTCCCTCTCTACCCATGCATCTTGGCCGTGCCCGGCTGGGTGCCTTGCCATGCCATGGCACAGTGGACTGCTGCAAAGCTGAGTGCGCCACTGCTGCGGCTGGTGGAGGTGCTGCTGCACCTCGACGCCCACGGCTGGATTAGGTGAGTGTGAGTCTTTGACTTCATGGCTGGATTATGTTAGTGTGGTGGCATGGCAGGATAACGTAAGTCTGACGAAATGCCAATGTTACTGTTCAAGTCACTTCCTCCTCTTGACACCTGGTCCTACTCACAGTGCCATCAGTCTTGTGCTTGACCTGACTTTGTCCTCGTTTTTCACCGCCTCTTTAATCATCCACCGCATCTCTCCCTCCTCCACCCCTCCGGTCCGTGGCAGGCGGCAGGTGGTGTGGGTGGCGAGGCAGGTGTTGGAGCTGAGCATGGGGGATGCCATCGATGACTTCCTTCTCTCACAGATCCAGAAGCTCCGCACGGAAACCACCGTCGCCACCATTATTCGATCTCTGCACCAGGTCTGAAGCTGTTCCCTTAATACACTCATCATCTCATCACAACCACTCGTACTCCCTCCCTCCTCCTCGTTCCCCCTCATCGCCCATGCCACCCATCCCACAAATGTTTCGTGCCTGCTGGGCTGGGTTCTCTTCTCTTGCCCACACTCCTGTATATTCATTTTCTCTTTTCCATTGAACGCCCACGTTGATTCTTGTCAGAGGTTGTGGCCGGATGGTATATTCTATTCGCGCCACCCGAATTACCGGGCCTCCGTTGCAGCTTCGAGCTCCCGCACAGGCTCCTCTGCGCCTGCTGTCACTCGTCCCGACCCTCTTGGGCTCAATGTACCTCCAGAGTCCTTCCAGCAGCGACTGGAGGCTGCTGATAAGGCTGCCCGAGTTCATCAGCTTCTGCTTGGTAAGTCGTTATGGCAAGAATAATTGTCTTTTGGTTTAAACTCTGTGCATATGCGCTAATAGTTTCTTCTCTTTTTGTGTCTTTTACGCAGAAATGGCGCCTGCTTCGATTGTACCACTGATTGGTTTGCGGCACTATCAGCGATCAGTTTCAGACCTCTTCAGCTTTGTGCAGGTGGGCCATGGCTGTGTAGTAGTTCCCATCACCATTTCGCAGAAAATTTCTTCAACTTTTCCCCTTTTCCTTTGACATCTCTTCTACCTGATCTCAGTTTCGCTCACTTGTTCTTTTTTTTTTTACAATTCCAGTCACAGGTGTGTGTAAAGCAGCTAGCGCATGCACTATTGGAAGTGGTCATTCTAGCCCTGTTTCCAGAGCTGCATGTTGTGGTTGCTGAGATTCGCCATGGCCTAAGCTCCGGTATACATTTGAAAGGAGGGGTTCAAAATATTTTGAAATTTGAAAAGTTGCCCCAAACCTGTGGGGCGCACTCCCTAAACCCTAAACCCGGCCAACAAATGTATACTTCAGCTTTAAGCCAAAAGTATTCCAGGCATTCCAGCAGGCCATACGCTCATCCACATCCTTCATACACTATAACTTCATGTGTACATAGAAAACTAATAAACCCTGAAATTCAGTGGTATGGTAAATATCATATGCTCATTCTTCTGCACCAAAAGCATGTGTGTGGAGGGTCCTCCCCTGCACCATTTGCCATCTGTCTTGGCTGCTCTCAGGGGAGCTTGGTTTGCCTTGAAGGAATGTTCTCCTCTTGCCCTCGTGCTTGCAAACATAGCCATCTGACCAGTCGTGTCTGCGTTTTGAACCCGTGTATGAGGCTTTCCTTGTGTCCTGCGCCAATAAATTCTCAGAACGGCCACAGCCTTTCCTCGTGCCTTGTGCTGTGCCAAAATCAGAACGACCAGAACGATCCCTGAATGAGAGCCCCACTCTTCGTTGAAAGTCGGGCTTCCTCCTGTCATCTGTGTTGACGTTCTCAAACCTGCAACATTGAAAGGGATGTCCATTCAGCTATTTTCGGCACTTTTTCAAATCGAAATGGCTCGAAATGGCTTCCAAGCAACTATGACTGACCTGCTTTTTTCTAACGGTTCATGCAGTGAGGCCTTGGATGTCAGGACCTTGCTTATCTCCTTAGCTCTCTGCATTGCCAAAGCAGCTGCTGCTGAGGCGGGAAATGCACCCGAAGGTTTCCGAGAGGCATTCTGTTGCATAGCAAGCGCTTCTTGAAATTGCAACATTGGCTTTGCGACAATCTCTTGCAACGCGGCGGTCGCCCTCCCTTCATGTCCGGGGAGAAATTTGGAAATTGCGTTGGCAGAGGCTGTCAGAGCTGTCTGAATCCTTTCCTGAGCGGTTTTCGCCAGCTCAACCTTCAACTTCACATCTGCAATCTCCATGTTGTTCATGTCCAAGGCGACCTTCGCTTCTTGCGGGGTCGAATATCGAATATGAGCAACGGACCTGTCGTTGTTGAGATAGTCACATCTTGTGACCGTTCCGCAGAAGGAGAATAATTGAAGAAGCTGTTCACGCGTAATGGCACGGGTCAGGCTCGTGACGTGCAGCGTGAGACTCAGCTCGCGGTCGTCCATGCCACCTGAAACAACGCGTGAAGTCTCATTAGGATTTGTATTGCCAAAGAACGATGAAATGTTCTTCTATCCACTTACGGAAGTGACTGAGCTCAATCTCGCAGGCACGAGCTTCATCAGTTGCTGCATTCTCCGGAACTTTCAGGCTGGCGTTAGCGGCCGCTTTTGAGACCTTTCGCAGTGCTACTATAGCTTGTGCTGCTGCCATTGCCGCCGCGGACGGATTAAGAGGAGCGTTTGCCATGATATTGCCTGTAGGACAAACCTGAAGCTGTCGCGTGACCCCAGAAAACTATGAAAGAAAGGATGTACAATCGCATGTCATGGTTCGAAAGGTGAATTTGAATGCCGCTGAACCTTCATTCAAAAGGCCCATTTCGTGGGTGAAAGATGATCCAAGCCGAATCGCGAAGCCTTGAGATTTGAGCCAACTTCAATGTCTCCCTTTGTACCCCTTGAAGTCAGCTGAAGGCTCTGATGTCGGTGGGATGACATAAGGTGTGGCTTCTACACTGCACGCAAAAACGTAGTACATAGGGTGTTGCTTCTAACACTACTTTTTCCCGGCAATTTACAGGTACAAACAACCAGGCAGTTTAGTATGATTTACGCAATTTTGATTTTCAATGGGCACCAACCCAGCTCAGGCTACAACTTGAGCAGCATGATCCAACAAACAAATCAGAGTTTTGTGGCCGGCTTCTTTGTACATCACATCACACTACAAGACATGACTTGGGCACGCCAAAATACTTTTCCAACTCATCCCGGGACTGCTTGTAATTGAAGACCCTACGCCATCGGTCATTGTGGAGCTTGTAGTGCAGCACCTGCAAGCATGCACAGCCAGGAAAAAACACCAGTTACCGTACGTATGGGACTCACACAACACAACAAGACCTCACAAAACAACGCAGAAACAGCTTCATTTTGAGGTGCAGCGCACACCTCTATGAGTGTATCAATGGCGTCGTCGTCTTTTAGCAGGCTGATGCCAAAAGCCCACGCCTCGTTGTGCCCATACTCGTCCTGCTGCCTCTTGGCCTCCTGTGCGATCACCGAGTGGTACGATAGCCGCTGCCACACCTTCTGCACTGTACCTTGCAGCGCACTCCCATGCTCCGCAGTGATAGCCTGTTGGCACAAGCATGGAGCACATGATCAGAAAGGAGAACACCAAGACCCGCTGACAGAATATTGCAGAACAATGTCATACACATTCACAAATTGGAAAAAAAGGCAGGGGAATGGGTAGTGCGGGGAGGGAGGGAGAGGTGAGGAGGGATACAAGGCAAGAGCCAACCAACTGGGAATGGGATACCGGTAGTCCAAAACGACAATCAGCGGCACCTTGAGCTTTGTGAGCATGTTGGGAATGTCCCTCTCCTCTATGCGCACTGAGAATGAAGCATAGTCCAAGGCGTTCTCAAATGGCAGGTGGATGCCGTCCTGTTGTGCATTGCATTGCACACACGCAGCATGCATGCACGCCCACCAGTCACCATTTCCCCAGCCCATGAACGCCAATCACCATCCCCACTCATGAACACGCATTCAATAGGCATACGCACAATTACTGGGATTATTGAATGGATAGTTTCATTCCAAGGAAGACGGGCGGCAACTGATCAATACAGAAAGGGCAGAAAGAAGGGAAGGGGGCAGAGGAGGGATGATGACAGGGATGCACCTGAATGATGACAGGGATGCACCTGAATGATGACAGGGATGCACCTGAATGATGACAGGGATGCACCTGAATGATGACAGGGATGCACCTGAATGATGACAGGGATGCACCTGAATGATGACAGGGATGCACCTGAATGATGACAGGGATGCACCTGAATGATGATTGGGATTCATCCATGCTTCATCGCCTCTTCCATGTCAGCATTGAAGCCATTGCTGGAAAATACAAATTTCGAGGTGGCTCAAAAGTCGTCTCATATCACACAGATTCACCTGAATGATGACTGGGATGCATCCATGCTTCATCGCCTCTTCCATGTCAGCATTAAAACCATTGCTGGGAAAGACCCCGCAGAACCGGGCGTTGCCCAGCTGAGCGCTGTGCCCCTTGCCCCTCTCATTCGTTACAATCACCCCCTCCTCCTGCTGCGACCCCAGCTGCCCCTTGTTGTTCGGCACCGAGGCAAACTCCCGAGCCACGGCCTGCCGAATGCCGAAGCTGAACCTGCAGGCTCGGCAGGCAGGAAAAGAAAGAAGGAACATTGAGAATAAAATATAGCAACCCAGGAAAAGAACGGCGAAGAAGGAAGTAACAGACCTGCTCTCATCCAACTGTTTATCCCCTATCAACTTCTCCCTGGCCGTTAGATTGTAACACATTCAGTGGCTCAGATTGATTGCACGTGCACGCAGTGAGCGTACCTGCTATCCGGGGAGCCCCCCTTGTACTCCGAGCCTAAGTCACCAGCGAAATAGAAGAGGTGCTCCCTCTCCTCAAATGACCTGCCACAAAGGGGGGAAAGGGCGGGACGGACGGATAGGGAGATGGATGAATGGGAGGAGAGAAATGAGGGTGGAGAGGCGGATGACAGAGTGTGGGAGGGAGGATGAGGCAATGTGGGAGGGAGGATGAGGCATGGTGGGACAGAATGGTTGAAATTGGGGGAAAAAACGCCCATCTGCACAGGCCAAACTAAGGCAGGTATACCTGAGGCAGGCCTACCTGAGCCAGTACTGTTCATGCAGGTGCTTCACATTGGGCGGCAGCCAGGCTGGCAGCACGATATCCTTGGCAGCGGAGTAGCACAGGTGGCCGCCCCTCAGCGTGAGCGGGATGTCGTCCCACCGCTGCTGCGGTGCTGCCTTGACTGAGTGGGAGTGCGCTGCCATGCTGTTACCCCAGCTCGTGAGCATGCTGCCGTGCCAGATGGCTTGAGGGGCCAGACACGCACCCTCGTCCGTGCCCATGGGCTGGGGGCGTAGCGGTGGGGGGAAAGAGGGGCGGAAAGCGGCGGTTAAGGTGGGTTGGGGAGAGATAGACTGAGTGGGAGTGAGCTGCCATGCTGTTGCCCCAGCTCGTGAGCATGCTGCCGTGCCAGATGGCTTGGGGGGCCAGACATGCCCCCTCATCTGTGCCCATGGGCTGGGGGGAAGGGGCAGGGGCGGAGAGGGGGGGAAGAAGATTTTGAGAAGACAGTTTCAGGGAGGGGAGGGTGGAAGAGGGTGTACAAGGGAAGCTCTGACTATGCGTTGACTGAGTGGGAGTGCGCTGCCATGCTGTCAAACTCGTGAGCATGCTGCCGTGCCAGATGGCCTGTGGGGCCAGACAGGCGCTCTCATCTGTGCCCATGGGCTGATAGGAGGGGCGGAAGGTGGGAAGGTGTGGGTCAGCCAACACCAGCGTCATATACTATAGGGAACAGGGAGTGTGACATACAATGAAAGTCACAAGGCACCTTACTGCCACTGTACAGCCGAGCACCCTGTAAGGGAGCAGCAGCACGCAAGAGAAATTCCCTTACCCAGAGGTGGTCGCGGCCGCGGCTGCGGTTCCAGTGGGGGTAGGCATGCACGATGTGGCGGTGGTACACCACCAGACCAGAGGTGGTATGGTATCAGAGCCCCTTACCCAGAGGTGGTCGCGGCCGCGGCTGCGGTTCCAGTGGGGGTAGGCATGCACGATGTGGCGGTGCACTGCTGAGTACATCTCTGCCACGTGCCACGCCCAGTTGCCCTGCACGTGTGGCTGGTAAGGGGTGCAGTGTAGAGGAGGGAGAGGTGGGGTGGCGGGAAGAGGTGGGGCGACAGTGGAAAAGGCACGAGGAGAGAGTGCAGAGGAGGGAGGGGTGTAGAGGAGGGAGAGAGTGCAAGTCCATGAAATGAAACGAAACTTATTACTGGCAGGTGAATATTTACCATGAGTACTCACCACCTCACACTGACCTCTTGGGCCTGGGCCTTGAGCTGTCACAGATCATGCTCAGCGCGTCAATCCCAAGGTACAGTGCAAGGAAGCCATGCAGAACCGTTCCAAGAGGTGGATTATCAAGGGCCATGCAGAACCGTTCCTCTTAGACTCATTACTGGGCCAAACTAAGAGCCGTAATGAGAGGTCGGTCTAGTGAGACGCGTACCAGGAGCTGAATGCCGGAAGCATCGCCGCCATTGGTGAGTCGCAGCCAGAGGCAGGCGGCATAGACGGGCACAAAGAAGAAGTCTGCCTCCTCCGCGTTGGTCGTGCGATGCTTGCTCGCCAGCAAGGCCTCGTGCAGCGCGATCTGGGGGTGCGCGGGACAGGGAGTGAGAAAGAGGGGGGGATAAGGAAGGGGGAAGGAGCAGGGGCTGACGAAGGTGCTTGCTGGCCAGCAAGGCCTCGTGCTGGGCGATCTGGGGGAGGCAGGGACGGGGACCAGGGAGGGGGGAAATAAGGAAAACACTTGAACGAGACACTCTCTCTTCCATGTCATGGTTGTAAATTGTAATCACCGTACTTACTTCCATGCTATGGGTGTAATCAGCCAATTTACCTCCATGTCATGGGTGTATTCGAACGCTCAATCATCACCTTACCTCCATGCCATGGATATGATCGGGCAGGAAGGCGGTGCAGTTGAGGCGGTCATACAGCCGCGGCACGCACTCCTTACCTCCATGCCATGGATATGATAAGGCCAATTGTGCCTGACCAAAAGCTCAGCCATCTCATCCCCTCACCTCCATGCCATGGATGTGGTCCGGCAGGAAGGCAGTGCGGTTGAGGCGGTCATACAGCCGCGGCACGCACTCCTTCTTGCCTCCATGCCAGGGGTGTATTCACCTTATTTACCTCCATGCCAGGGGTGTATTCACCCTATTTACCTCCATGCCATGGGTGCAATCAACAGCTCAACTATCACCTCACCTCCATGCCGTGGATATGGTCCGGCAGGAAGGCGGTGCGGTTGAGCCGGTCGTACAGCCGCGGCACGCACTCCTTCTTGCCTCCTTGCATTGAGTGTAAACACCCCATTTGCCTGCATGACATGGGGGTAATCACCCTACTTACCTCCATGCCATGGATATGATCGGGCAGGAAGGCGGTGCGGTTGAGGCGGTCGTACAGCCGGGGCACGCACTCCTTCTTGCCGCGCCGGCCCTGCAGCAAGTTGCTGTTGAACTGCGGCGGTAGATCGTAGATGTAGATCAACGGCCGCCGTTTCACCACCTCGTTCCGCCCCCCCACTGCTGTTGCCGCTCCTGCCTGACCACCAGTAGCAGCAGCAGCACCAGCAGTATTTCTCCCGGTATCAGCAGCACCCTCACCTCCGTATTCCCCTCCCTCTGCTTCTCCTTCAGCCCCCCGCTCCCCCTCCTCCTCTTCCTGCCTCCCCCGAAGCCATCGGCGCTCATTAGAGTCACGCGGGCTACGGTCAACAGACTTACGGCCAACAGAGACCTCCCCCTCGCCGTAATCACCCATGCCACCAGAATTATCCACCACGCCACCACCCAAGGCACCGTGCCTATCTGTCTGGCCAGAAGTCTCTAATGAATCGCCCCCTTCCTCCAGCCCAAGAAGTCTCCTCCTCCTCCTGCGCCTCCTCCAACCCAACTCCTCATCTCCCCCTCCCCCTCTCTCCCCTCCCCTTGCACCCTTCCCCCCATACGCCCTTCCACCCGTTCCTTCCTCCTCTCCTCCCTCCCCTTCCCCCTCCTCCCCTCCCATCTCTGCCTCTAATGCTGCCTCCTCCTCCTCCTCTGTTGGCCCATGATTCTTCCCTCCCCCACCCAACCCCCCTCCTCCCTTTCTTGCTTGGGGTTCTGCAGCAAGGCCAGGCTCGGTGGAAGTCCGGGAGCCTGAGCTGCTGCCGAACCTCTTGGCCTGGTCGAAGGGCTGGAGCCAGGCCGGGAGCTGAGGGTCGGCGAAGGTGGCTTGGGAGGGCACGCTGCAATCGACGCTGAACCAGCCCTCGTTGCACTGTGAGGGGGAGGGGGAACAGGGGGGGAGGGGGCAGGGGGGGGGGGGGGGGGGGGGGTGGGGAAGCGGCAACCTGGGAAGGTTTGATTGGGGCGATGAGTTTGAGACCACATGTCAAGAAAGAGAAGTGTTATGCACAAATGAAAGATCGGCGAAGGTGGCCAGGGAGGGCACGCTGCAATCGACGCTGAACCAGCCCTCGTTGCACTGGGCGGGGGAGGGGGGTGGGGAATGGGGGAATGGGGGAGCAGGGAGATGGGCGGGTGGGGAAAGATGCTTTTTGAGGCGCCTAGAAAATCACCGCAATCGACGCTGAACCAGCTCTCGTTGCACTGCGTGCATGGGGGGAGGGTGAAAGGGAGAGGTGGAGGGCGAGGGGGAAAGGGAAGGGGCAAGGGGGTTGGAGGAAGGGAGGATGCATAAGGTAGTGGTTTTCAGGTCAACTGGCGAGTGATAACACACTGCACTGCACTGCACTGCACTGCATTGCATGGCACCTAGTCGCACACACCTGGCAGTGTCCTCGTATGCACGTGTGAAGTGCAGTGCCCCGAGCACTGGTTAATGCTAAACGCAGCTACAGGAACGTGGCAGAAGGCGCCCACAGCCCCGTCGTAGTCACACGTGCACCGCGCCCTGGGCTCAGCCCCGCCCATCGCATGTCACACTCACCTGTTGCAGCGCCCACTGCCCCCACACACCTGGCAGTGTCCTCGTATGCACGTGCCGTGGCCGGAGCACTGGTTGACACAGAACGCTGCCACAGGCATGTGGTAGAAGGCGCCCACAGCGCCGTCACAGTCACACGTGCACCTCGCCCTCGGCTCTGGCCCGCCCATGGCCACCCCCAGAGGCACACACACCAACTGTGGTGCCCACACACACGCACCTGGCAGTGCCCTCGTATGCACGTGCCGTGGCCCGAGCATTGGTTCACACAGAACGCCGCAACAGGCACGTGACAGAAGGCGCCCACAGCCCCGTCATAGTCACACGTGCACCGCGCCCTGGGCTCCGCCCCACCCATCGCCATGCTGCCCCCCATGCCCACCCCCACCGCCTCTGGGCGCGTGTTGCACCAGCCGGGGTAGTGCGTGGTGTTGGCGTATAGAGCTTCCGTGTCCTTTCGAGTTCTGTCCACCGCTGCTGCTCTGAGGGGGATGGAAGGGAGGAGGGAGGGAAGGGGAAACGGGGGGAAGGAGGGGTAAAGAGATGAGTGGTAAGGGGCAGCAAATGCACGTGTTGCACCAGAAGGGGTACTGCGTGCTAATGGAGCATAGGACGTAGGGGTCCCGTCGCGCTTGTTCACAGGTGATGCACTGAAATCCCACGCACTCACAGGTCATGTGCGAAGCCGCAGGGATCAGGGACGGGTCGCAGGGGGAAGAGTGAGCCAGCACCGCAGAAGCAGAGGCGAGTGTGAGTCGCACTCCCCCGCACACGCCCACGCGCTCCCACCCACAACCCTCCCCGTCCACTCACAGGGCATGCACTCACAGGACAGGTGATGCACTCACAGGTCATGTGCGAAGCCGCAGGGGTCGGGGACGGGGCGGAGGGGGAAGAGGGAATTGGAGCCGCAGAAGCAGAGGCCCGAGTGCAGATCGCACTCCCCCGCACACGCCCACGCACTCCCAGCCACCACTCCCGCCGTCCACTCACAGGGCATGCACTCACAGGACAGGTGATGCACTCACAGGTCATGCGCGAAGCCGCAGGGGTCAGGGACGGGGCGGAGGGGGAAGAGCGAGCCAGCACCACAGAAGCAGAGGCCCGAGTGAAGGTCGCACTCCCCCGCACACGCCCATGCGCTCCCAGCAACCACTCCCGCCGTCCATTCACATTTCATGCACTCACAGGACAGGTGATGCACTCACAGGTCATGCGCGAAGCCGCAGGGGTCAGGGACGGGGCGGAGGGGGAAGAGCGAGCCAGCACCACAGAAGCAGAGGCCCGAGTGAAGGTCGCACTCCCCCGCACACGCCCATGCGCTCCCAGCAACCACTCCCGCCGTCCATTCACATTTCATGCACTCACAGGACAGGTGATGCACTCACAGGTCATGCGCGAAGCCGCAGGGGTCGGGGACGGGGCGGAGGGGGAAGAGGGAGCCAGCACCACAGAAGCAAAGGCCCGAGTGAAGGTCACACTCCCCCGCACACGCCCACGTGCTACCAGCCACCAGCCCCCTCCTCCACTCACATTTCATGCACTCACAGGACGGGTCATGCACTCACAGGGCAGGTGATGCACTCACAGGTCATGTGCGAAGCCGCAGGGGTCGGGGACGGGGCGGAGGGGGAAGAGGGAGCCAGCACCACAGAAGCAAAGGCCCGAGTGAAGGTCACACTCCCCCGCACACGCCCACGTGCTACCAGCCACCACGCCGGGGGAGGAAGTGGGTGGGGAGGAGCAGGGATGCGCGTCCATGTGAGAGCAGTCCGCCCCTGTCAGATGGGCGGGTGGGTGGTGCAACAAGAGTGCCTGATTCTAGAGGCGTCTCAAGAAGGAACGCATCATCTGAGAACAGTTCGCTCCTGCCGGACAGGCAGCCGAGCAGTCAGGCAGCGGTGACAAGAAACGGAAGACGCAGCATTACGGCTTGCACCAGTTATATTTTTTCCCTCTGTTTCTTTCTTTTGTCATAATCTACAAACAGATTGGGGGGGTGGTCAGTTACCCTACCCAGAGGGTGGCGAGGCGAGCCCACCTGTGTAGCCGATGCGGCAGCGACATCGACCAGTGTCGTAGTGACACGTGCCCACGCCATTGCACTCCTGCAAGCACTTGTTGCCATACACCTCCTGTTGCACGCATGGATGCGCATGTGGGGTAACCATGCATTCCATTTCATGCACATGTGGATGCATGCATAAGTGGAAAGGGGCGTACTTTTTACTTAATGATTTAGCAGCAGCGGTATGACCAACCCACCATCACATTCATATACTAGCTCTTCCCCCCCTTAAGGACCTCTACCAACCGACCCTCACAACAAGCTTTCCCTACCGCCAACTCCACCCCCCCACCCCCTCACCGCCAACTCCAACACCCCACCCTCCCACCCCTCCACCCCACCCCACCCCACCCCACCCCACCCACCTCCACCGTCTTGATCACCCCCGACTCCCCATTGCAGCTGCTCAGCCAATCACCAACGTCGAATCTCCACGGCGCGCCTCGCCACGTCACCACCTCGTCATCCAATCGGCTCCTCTTCCGTTTGGCATCCTCCCCCACCACCTCCCCCTCCCGCCCCACCCCCGCGGAGTCCCTATAATCTTCCACTTCCGCCGCCTCTTCCCCCAAATGTCCCCCGCCGCCCGCGCCTGCCCCCGCGCCCGCTTTCCCCCATCTCCCCCCCCCGCGCCCCGGCTTCGCGTCCGGATACAGCCCCTCCTGCGGGTCTTCCCCCGGTTTTCCGCCACCCCAGTTTCCGCCAGCGCCGGTTCCCCAATCACCTCCCCCCGCGCCCCGTCCGCCTGACGGTAACGTTGACGGATCTAGAGTGGAGGCGTCAACGCCTCTAAACGAGTCGACTGGTAAAGGTCGGTAACCTCTAGGTTCTCGCGATGAGCCGGTTCCTGTGCCGTCCAGATCAGACGGATAGAGTGAATCTGAGCCGTCAGATGGGGGTGTAGTTGTGGTGGGGGACACTGCTGCAGGGGAAGTGAGGAAGATTATAACGAGGATGATTACTGCAACGGCTGCGATTACGGGCCATCTGAGCCAAATCGCATCGGAGCAGAGAGACGAGACCGAGGAAGAAGAATACGAGGAGAGGAGGGAGAACGGGTAAGGGAGCGAACTAGGCCCCAGCGGTCGATCTAAATCCAAATCGAACGGTCGACGTCGCTTCCCTCGCTTCCCTGACGGATCCAGAAGGCTATCCCCATCGTTGTCCTCATCCTCGCTATAATCTTCCTCGCTAATCTCGCTGTAATGCCCGCGCGATCCCCGCGCGCGCCTGGCGGGGGGGGACGAGTGCGGATGTAGAGGCGGGGAGCGCGGGGAGCGCACTGATTGCGGGGAGAAACCGTCGTGCGACGCGTGAAAGTCGGGAGGCGGGTGAAGAAGCAGCTCCTCCGTCTCGGGAATCGGCAGATGGTCTACTAACGGGGGGCCGCTGTGGCCTTCCCTCTCTAGAATCTCCATTGTTCGGTCGTCTACGAGCGTCTCGGATTCCCGCGAATTCTGAACTGCAAAAAGAAGAAAACGTACACATAAGAAAGTCACAAATTTGAAGGTTGTGTCGGTTGACACTGTCGCGAAAGCAAAAACTGTAACACCGACGTGGAATTCCGGGCGAACTTCATTTGTGTAAAGCGACACTCCGGGCGAACTTCTTCTTCTGTAAAGGGAGTCCTGTACGAAAGCCAGTCAAGCAAAACAGAAGCTGGGGTGGTGTGGTAACCCGATCAATTCTTCATAATTGGTTCGTCTAATTTCCCGCCAAAACCACACGTCACGTTTCTTCCTTTTCTCGAAGGGGCCACAGTTGCTGTCAGCTCATCCCGGTACTGAGAAGTGGCCTTGTTTTCAGCTGGCTTTGCCGCTTGGCCCGGTACTAATTTCCATCCCGGGGAAGGAAACTAGACTCCACGCCCTAATTTCACAGTATATACAGTTTCGCATTCCTTTTCTCCGCAACCTCGCCATCGCATCGCATCGCATAGCATCGCATACGATACTTCTGTGAAGCGCAAATGCAGAATCAACCGCCAGGGCCGCTGGGCCCGCCGCAGCAGGCGCAGCCGCCTCCGCCGTTCGCATACGGCCACGCGCCAGGCCCGGGGCGGGGAGCGGGAATGGGGATGGGGGGACCGGGGCCCGGGGGGCCAGGGATGGGCGGACCGGGACCGGGGGGACCAGGGATGGGGGCACCAGGTCCGGGGGGAGGGGGGATGGGCGGACCAGGACCCGGGGGACCGGGGATGGGGCATGGTCCCGGACGCGGTATCCCCGGCCCAGGCGGACCGGGGGGGCCGGGGGGACGAGGGGGACCGGGGCATGGGGGCCCCGGGCAGGGGTTTGGGCGCGGAGGTGGATTTGAAGGCGGGTTCCATCCTGGCGCAGGGTTTGGGGGGCGCGGGGAGTATGTGGGGAGGGGGGAGTATGGCGGAAGGGGGGACTATGGTGGCGGACGGGGCGGGGACTTCGGTGGAAGAGGCGGGTTCTTTGATGGTAAGCGCGCTGGTGCTTCCAGTCCCAACTTCAACTCCCCTCCACCTCCCCTTTCCTCCCATCCTCTCCTTCCTCCCCACTCCCCTCCACCTCCCCACTCGCTAGCTACCCCGAACCTTGCTTCCCTCACTTCCCCCCCCCCCAGCGCGCTGAATGCAGCAGCGCAAAGTGGCTTACTCACAATGCCACTGCTCCCCCTCAACTTGTCTCAACCTGTTCCAACAACCCTCACACCACCACCACCCCCCCTCATGCAGCGCGCAGGATGCAGCGCCGGGGCATCCAGATGCGAACGGTGGACTACAGTGCCACCGTGGCGCTCTACCCCCCTCAACCCCTCTCAACCACCCTCAACCCACCACCCCCCCTTGTATGCAGCGCGCAGGATGCAGAGGCGGGGAATGCAGAGGCGAACAGTGGACTACAGCGCCACCGTGGCACTCTACCTGCACGAGCGCGCACGCCAGTGGGACGCCCGTGACGCCACTGACCTCCTTCCCACGTCCTCCGCCTCGCTCAAGGTGTGTGAATCGACTCTTCAACCAAGTCCCTAGGCACCGCGTGTGCGGGCCGGGCCGGCCTGCATCGCTGCTCTCGAGCCTCCTCACTCTACTCTCTCCCGCTTCTCTTCCGCTTCTCACCTTTTGCTCCTCCGCTTCCGCTTCTCACCTTTTGCTCCTCTCCTTCAACCCTCCCCTTCCGCTCCTTCCCCTCTTCCCTTCAAGCCTTGCGTGGCGTACGAGGACCGCCCAGCAGCCAGCATCGCTCACACGACTCCCGCTGCCCCCCCTCACACGACTCCCGCTGCTCCTGATCTCCTCCCCTTTCACTCTCCTTCCCCCCCCCCCCGTGCAGCTGCTGCCGTGCATGGGGTACGAGGACCGCCCAGCAGCCAGCATCGCCTCTCGCTTTGTGCACGCCTCCACCAACAAGATCCGCTGCCCCATCAACCAAGTCGTGGTACGGAGATGGGTGCGACACGGTGATAAGGCATAGCATGAGATGGGCTGGGATTTGGTGCGGTGACGTGTGGTGGGGTAGGGTGAATTGGGGTGGTGGTATGGTATGCTACTGCACACTGCCACCATGCCCCTGACATCACGACACACACCATCTATCAATCTCCTCCTCGTGCCTCCAAAACATAGCCCTTCCCCCTGCCAGCCAACCCCTCCCCCAGCCAACCCTTCCCCCTGCCAACCCCCCCCCCTGCTCTCACCCTCTTCTCCGCCACGCCACACACCCCACCCTGTCTCCTCTTCCTCTCCTCTCTCCAAGCGCCCCTCTCCGCATTGCTATCTCCTGAAGGAGTCGCAAAGCACTTCACTTCCTTGCCCCACCCCACCCCACCCCACCCCACCCCACCCCACCCTGCCTCACCCCGCCCCACCTCCCCCCACCGCTCTCCAGTGGACGCCCACGGGGCGGCGGCTGCTGACGGGGTCACAGAGTGGCGAGTTCACGCTGTGGAACGGACTCTCCTTCAACTTCGAAATGCTCATGCAGGTCCGAGGGTGGCCTGTAGGCTTGGGGCTTCTGGTGGGGTGCAGGAGGGGTGTTGCTGGGTGCTTCTGGTGGGGAGATGCGAGGGAGCTCTCGCAATCAGCATGTGCAACCCTCCTTTGCACCCCCCCTTGCATTGCTGCAGGCCCATCAGGTGGCGATGTGGAGCCATAACGGTGTCGTGTGCACCCCTGACACACTCCTTCTTGCGTCCCTTGATTCATTCCCTGCTTTCCCTGTGCACCCCTGCAGGCCCATCAGGTGGCGGTGAGGAGCATGGTGTGGAGCCACAACGGTGTCGTGCGCAGCCCTTACACACCCCTTTTTGCGCCCCTTGCTTCTTCCCCTGTTCATCCGTTGCATTGGTTCCTCTCCTTGCATCTTGTGTGACAGGCTCATCAGGTGGCGGTGAGGAGCATGGTGTGGAGCCACAACGGCAACTGGCTGGTGTCAGGGGACGACTCGGGATGCATCAAGTGAGAATGATTTGACAAATTAAAGGTCATCAATTCAGCAAGCCAGTCAATAATATTATGTCTGCTTTTACGTTGCAACTTTTTCCTATAACGATTCGTATATATTCCTATATTGCCAACAGCGTTGACCGCATTGACCCTGTTGACTGGCGTTGACTGGCAGGTACTTCCAGACCAACCTGCGCATGATGAAAGAGAATGCCACCGCCCACAAGGAGTCCGTGCAGGGCGTCAGGTACTTTCTCGTTGGCCGAATCTCCGTACTGCCTTTTTGGTTCACAACACTGGCTTCCAATCTCCTTCCCCCTTCAACCCTCTCCACTTGTGGGCCCTCCGCCATCTTTTCCGTTCCATCAGTCCATTGTTCCACGCCCAGTCTCCCAAAGCCTCCAGCTTTTCCAGCTTTGATATCAATTTCTGAACAATGTCCGACATTACCAGTGTACAGAACTTGAGGTCCGAGCTTGAACAATGTTGGGGCGTTACCAGGACGAGCTTCAGGTGCTCCGACGTTACCAATGTTGAGGCGCCTTAGAAGAACACTCTATTACTCTCTCTCCCTCCGGCCTACCCCCGTCCTGCTGCTCCAGCTTCTCAAGCTCAGACCTCAAGTTCTGCTCGTGCTCGGACGACACAGCAGTGAAGGTGTGGGACTTTGCGCGATGTCAGGACGAGGTCACCCTCGCAGGCCACCGCTGGAACGTGCTGTGCGTCGACTGGCACCCCTTCAACTCCCTCATTGTTTCAGGTGTGTCGATATCCCTCCCTGATCGACTCTGGCATGTTGTAGACCATCCCTCAAGTATCCATCATTCCTCTCATCCGAATCCCTCATCCAAGTATTTTTCTCATACAATCCTCTCCCCTTCCAGTCCGTATGTCAATCTTTCCTCTCTTCTTGACATCTCATCGATGCCCTGCTGTTAACATCCCTCCGGCCTCTCCTCCTGTTACTGCTCACTGTCAGGTGGCAAGGACACGCACTCGAAGCTGTGGGACGCGCGTACAGGACGGGAGGTCTGCACCCTGTGAGTCACACTGCTGTCTTGAGATATGCTTGAGACGAGATTTATTTCGAGTCTTTCCCAAAAATCGCATTCGAAGCTTTGGGATGCTGTGACTGCACCATGATGCACCATGCACCATGCACCATGCACCATGCACCATGCACCATGCACCATGCACCATGCCCCTTGCACCATGCACCATGCACCATGCACCATGCACCATGCACCATGCACCATGCACCATGCCCCTTGCACCATGCACCATGCACCATGCACCATGCACCATGCACCATGCACCATGCCCCATGCCCCATGCCCCATGCCCCTTGCACCATGCACCATGCACCATGCACCATGCACAATGCACCATGCACCATGCCCCATGCCCCATGCCCCATGCCCCTTGCCCCATGCACCATGCACCATGCACCATGCACCATGCCCCATGCCCCATGCCCCATGCCCCATGCACCATGCACCATGCACCATGCACCATGCATCATGCCCCATGCCCCATGCCCTATGTCCCTTGCACTATGCACCATGCACCATGCACCATGCCCCATGCCCCTTGCACCATGCACCATGCGCCATGCACCATCCACCATGCACCATGCACCATGCACCATGCACCATGCACCATGCACCATCCACCATGCACCATGCACCATGCACCATGCACCATGCACAATGCACCATGCACCATGCACAATGCGCCATGCGCCACCCACCATGCATCACCCACCATGCACCACCCACCGCGCATTTCAACCATCTACCACCCACCACCACCACAGCACCCATCATATCACCCACCACCCCTCACCCACTGTGCACCAGGTACGGGCACAAGCGCACGGTGCGATCAGTGGCGTGGAACCAGAACGGCAACTGGCTCGCATCGTCCTCCGACGACCAGCTCGTCAAGGTCAGTGAGCGCCTTTCGGATGCAACCTGAGAGTCGACTCATCAGTCGACCCAAAAGACTCGACTTGCCTCAATACTCAAAATGCTCGCCGCACCTCACCTGCTCTACCCCCGCATCCCATTCGCATGTGCTGTGTGGGCATTCCCCTCCTCTTCCCTTCCCCGCCGTCCCCAGCTGTATGACATTCGCACGCTCAAGGAGATGGAGACGTTCAAGGGGCACATCAATGTGTTGTCGACCACGCCCCACCCCACCCCACCCCACCCCACCGCACCCCACCGCCCTCCCCCCAGCTGTACGACATCCGCACGCTCAAGGAGATGGAGACGTTCAAGGGGCACACTAAGGAGGTGTCATCCATAGCATGGCACCCCGTGCACGAGGACCTGCTGGCCAGTGGCGGCTCTGATGGCAGCATTCTCTTCTGGCTCGTGGGGTGAGTGGGGGTGGGCGTGGGGTGGTACTGGTACAACCGGATGTGAGCACGTAACGACCTTCAAGCACCCTCAAATAGGTGGTGGCGTCCATAGCATGGCATCCCGTGCACGAGGACCTGCTTGCTAGTGGCGGCTCCGATGGCAGCATCCTCTTCTGGCTCGTGGGGTGAGTGGGGGGGGGGACTGGGTGGGGAATGGGGTGGTACTAGAACAGTAGGATGTGAGCACACAGAGTCGTGCAAGGGGAACAGCAAGGAGGTGTCATCCATAGCATGGCATCCCGTGCACGAGGACCTGCTCGCCAGTGGCGGCTCCGACGGCAGCATTCTCTTCTGGCTTGTCGGGTGAGATGGGAGGAGGGGACTGGTTGGGGCATGGGTGGGTCATGGGTGGGTCATGGGTGGGTCATGGGTGGGGCATGGGTGGGTCATGGGTGGGTCATGGTTGGGGCATGGGTGGGGCATGGTGTGCTACTAGTAGTACAGTAGGGTGTGAGCACATGGGGGCGTGCAAGGGGCACACTGAGGAGGACGCAGAGGTGACAGGGGCGCATGAGAACGCAGTGCTGTCGACTCAAAAGCTGGCATGGCACCCGCTGGGGCACACATGAGTCCACTCAAAAGCCCCTGCCCTCCCTTTCCTTGCCCCCTCCAACCTCCCTGTTCGAATACGAGCGGGCCGGCAGCAGAGGTGACAAACGCACACGAGAACGCAGTGCTGTCGCTGGCATGGCATCCTCTGGGGCACACATGAGTCCACTCAAAAACCCCTTCCCTTTTCTTTCTTTTCCCCCCCCATCCTCCCAGTTCGAATACAAGCGGGCCGGCAGCAGAGGTGACAAGCGCACACGAGAATGCGGTGCTGTCGCTGGCATGGCACCTGCTGGGGCACACATGAGTCCACTTAAAAGCCACTGCCCTCCCTTTCCTTGCCCCCTCCAACCTCCCTGTTCGAATACAAGCGGGCCGGCAGCAGAGGTGACAAACGCGCACGAGAATGCGGTGCTGTCGCTGGCATGGCACCCGCTGGGGCACACGCGGTGCAGCGGCAGCCGCGACCAGAGCACCAAGTTCTGGAGCCTTGTGATGGTGAAACGTCCCAAACGACCACCAAGTCTTGCAGCGGCAACCGCCCCAGTAACGCTCTTCCTCCCCACCCCCCCTCCCCCACCCTCCCCTACTCTCCCACTTTTCACAGTTCGAATACAAGTGGGCCGGCAGCAGAGGTGACAAATGCGCACGAGAATGCGGTGCTGTCGCTGGCATGGCACCCGCTCGGGCACACATGAGTCCACTCAAAAACCCCTTCCCTTTTCTTTCTTTTCCCCCCCCATCCTCCCAGTTCGAATACAAGTGGGCCGGCAGCAGAGGTGACAAACGCACATGAGAATGCGGTGCTCTCACTGGCATGGCACCCATTGGGGCACACCCTGTGCAGCGGCAGTCGCGATCAAAGCACCAAGTTCTGGAGCCGCAACCGCCCGGGTGATGCTGTGAAAGACCCGATGGGTTCTGTTAACACTTCGTCCCCTGCTGCTGCTGCCGCCGCCACTCCGGGTTATGCTGGTGAGTGCGAGTGACTGTGAGTAAGAGCACCAAGTTCTGGAGCCGCAACCGGCCTGGCGACGCTGTGAAGGATCCGATGGGCTCAGTCAACACTTCGTCCCCTGCTGCTGCTGCCGCCGCCACTCCTGGTTATGCTGGTGAGTGCGAGTGTGGGTGTGACTGTGGGTAAGAGCACCAAGTTCTGGAGCCGCAATCGCCCTGGCGATGCTGTGAAGGACCCCCTGGGATCCGTTAACACTTCGTCCCCTGCTGCTGCTGCCGCCGCCACTCCGGGTTATGCTGGTGAGTGCGAGTGACTGTGAGTAAGAGCACCAAGTTCTGGAGCCGCAACCGCCCGGGTGATGCTGTGAAAGACCCGATGGGATCTGTCAACAATTCGTCCCCTGCTGCTGCTGCCGCCGCCACTCCGGGTTATGCTGGTGAGTGCGAGTGACTGTGAGTAAGAGCACCAAGTTCTGGAGCCGCAACCGGCCTGGCGACGCTGTGTAGGACCCGATGGGTTCCGTTAACACTGCGTCCCCTGCTGCTGCTGCCGCCGCCACTCCTGGTTATGCTGGTGAGTGCGAGTGTGGGTGTGACTGTGGGTAAGAGCACCAAGTTCTGGAGCCGCAACCGGCCTGGCGATGCTGTGAAGGATCCCCTAGGTTCTGTTAACACTTCGTCCCCTGCTGCTGCTGCCGCCGTCACTCCTGGCTATGCTGGTGAGCGTGGGTGTGGGGGAGTGTGAGTGGGATTGTGAGTGAGTGCGAACGAGTGTGTGGGTGTCAGTGAGTGTGATTTTGAGTGTGAGTTAGTGATTGTGTGTGTGTGCGTGAGTGTGAGCGAGTTTTGAACCCCCCCCTCCCTCTCTTTTCCCCAACACCAGGGCCCCCACCTGCTAAGGAGCCGCCCCCATCAGCACCACGGCCCGCCTCTGCCCCTCCCTCGTCTGGTTCACGCCACCCGCCACGCCCACAGCAGCAGCAGCAGCAGCAGCGGCGGCACCAGCACTCGCAGTCCCACAGCACCCAGCCCTTTCCTCCTTCCGACAGACGGCCCCCCTACCAGCACCAGCCGCAGCAGCAGCAGCAGTTTCAGGAGCAATACCAGCAGCCGTATCAGCAGCAGAGCCAGCAATACCAGCAGCATCAGCAGCGGCCGTACCACCCCTCTGGCCCCCATGCCTCGCACTCCCTCTCCTCCTCCGGCCCTCCTCCTTCCCTCCCTCCCCATGCCCCTCCCCCTCATGCTCACTCCATGCCTCCTCCACTCCATGGGCACCCACCAAACCTGCCACCAGGTCCGGGAAGCGCCGGACCTGGAGGCTTGGCACATCCGAGCATGGGAGGAGGTGGGGGACCAGGAGGGGGGTATTCTGGGCAGGGTGGTTTTGAAGGAGGGGGTAGGCCAGGACCCTTGGGTGGGATGGGTGGAGGGATGGGGTATGGGATGGATGTGGGGATGGGTGGGGAAGGGGGTATGGGCAGACCAGGGTATGGGCCTGGGGGGGACATAGGTCTTGGTGGCTTAGGGGATGGGTTTCATGGTGGGGGTGGGGGTCCCATGGGGCAGTTTGGTCATGGGCAATATGGAGGTCAGGGGATGGGGCATGGACCCCCTCCACCACAACCACCCTACCAGCAGCGCTATCCTTGACGATGTTCCAATGAATTTTATGATTTTGAGACATGCAATAATCAAAGCCAGGTTTCCATATTACACTCCCAGGCAATCTAAGCATTGCATTCTGGAAGGAATGCGTGTCAATGCATTTTTATTCATAAAACACCTGTCTTCTGTTCTGTGGCAAAATTGGAAAATGATTTATTGACATTGAGCAGCATCAAGCAAAGAGACATTGCTAGGGCCACATGATGACAGGCACTTCCTCCTACAGAAAGCAAACATAACAAAACAATGGAGCAGGAACAGATCCTCAGCCATTTGGATCAACGCAAAGCCACAGCTTGAGTGGCACAATGCAGGACAACTGTCACATGCAGAAAGCAGGCACCAGAACCAGATTCCCTCACTGCAACTTCCAAGTATCATCATCATCATTCCCACTTTGCTCCGACCACGGACTAGAACCATCTGGCTTCTCATCCTGAGGTCGAGCCAAAGAAAGCATTCTCCACATCTCTTCCACGGGCAGAGACATTGCCGCAACTGCTTCATCCGCTCTCACCAACCACCACCCTGCTCGGATTTCCGCTTCCAGCTGCCCAGGCTGCCAACCTGCCCGGCCAACAAGAACGTAATTCGTGGAATTCGATTCCAGCTCAATGTGTGTCCGACCTAGAAAGCACCGAACATTGACCGTCGGATCTGAAATTTCAGGCTTCTGTTCCCTGGGAAGCATCTGTATGGAGGGTAGGTCGGAGCCTATGATTAGGCCTGGCAGGACTTGGCGCGACCAGCCTCCATCAGGGCTGCGAGCATGGCTGAGCTTCGCACAGGAGCAGCGGCAACATATTCGTCTTGCTCGAGCTGGCATGGCGCAGCATGGACAGCGTTCAAGCAGCAGCCAGTCAGACTGCCCGATTGGCCCTCCCCACGCAAGGTTGAGCTGATTTCTGGCTAAGGATCGTTGGACGGACTTAGGAAGGTCCAGGAGGTGTGATCCTATTTCATCATCCTGCATAACATGTACAAGCGTTAAAGGTGAAACCAATCCATCACGAAGGGTCTGCAACGAAGTAGATGACTAGGACGTACCTGCATGGGCTTGTTGATAACAATGCCACTTATTCCGACTGACGGATGGTAGTCATACAACAGCACCTGCATTCATTTTGGATTAGCACACAGACAAGACGGAAGCTAGTGAGAAAGGAGGAACTTAACTGAATAGCAATACGAAGGAGAGCCAAGACAACTGAGGATCGTACCACTGATTGATAGAAGATGGAGGCTGCCATTGGCATGGAGGGAGAGGCAACCAAAAGCATTCCAGGATGTACGGAAACGGATGCGCCTTCACGCCAGAGAGTTCTGTTGGTAGTTGCGTTGGGAGAACAAGTAACATGGCATTATTATCACCGAGCATCCGGTTGTTGCGGTCAAGGGGGTCGCATATTTTAATTTGCTTGTGCAGCGGCTTAATTTCAGCAGAGTCGAGTGTGATCTTATCATGCCGTTGGGTCGAGATTGTAATCATGAACTGTTGCTTTGGCTTTGCAAAAAAAAGCCTGCAGTGGTTAACCGACACAACATTCCGCAAAACGGCTCATTTTCAGCCTACCTATCAACGAACCTGGAAATAGTGTGGAGTAGAGAGTGGAGCTGAAAAATGAGTGTGGCGAACTCCATGTGAAACACCAACAAGACGTAGCAGGTAACCTGCACGATAACAATGGGTGTCAGGCGCAATAAGTGACAAGGTAGAGCTTCTGAAATGATTTTTGCATGAACTAAGCCAGAAGTTAGCATCATAAACCTGAAGCATACCAGGAAGACGAAGAAGCCTGTGAGTTCGCGCGAGTAGAACTCGATCAAGCGAAGCAGTCTGAGACCTATTGATAAACGGGGAGGCGCTACCGAGAAGCGTTGTGTGCAGACGGAACATCTGTACAGTTGCAAGTGGACATGACAAGAAAATCATCAGGGAAACGAAAATAATAAGAAGCGCAACAGAGACACGCGATGGCAAGGCTAGATCAGTATCTCGAAGATTGAAAATAGTGAAAACCACTGACACGAGCGCCGGAGTGTAGTTGGTTCCTGGATGCCGAGATGCCATCACAGCCCATTGCCATCTTCTTAAACACGCAAGATGCACATACGCTTGAGTGCCTGCATGAGCGGTTGAATGTTAAAACAACGAGGTGAGGATCATGCAATACGGACGGTTGAGCAGCTTCGATGCACTTTCAACTATTAGAGGACGTGATTTTCATAACCATAAATCTCTCTTATTCCTTCTTCACAAAGATCAGCGGAACGTAAGAACCTGAGTCAAGACCCCAAGCAGAAATCACAATGAACAAACTTCGCGAGAAAGCCGGCATTGAGGAAATTTGGCCGCTATTAAGATAGTCAAAGGAAAACAATCAGGTTTTCCTCAAACATTGTCTTTTGTTGATGCTCGCAACAGCACCAGACGCATGGGCTATAATTTTAGAGAAATACCAGTGCAGGCACACGGCGAAATCAGGCTGTCGTCGGACGACGATAAACCGCAGTTGAATATCGCTGAAAGGCCCGTCTCTTGACGTGTCGGTAACGGACTGCTCTCTAAGCATATTCTACAAAAGCCTAAATGCTCTCCGTTGCCATCCCCTTTTCCCTTACTACTGGATTCCATTTCTGCTCGACAGCATTAACAGGCGAAGCTGCAACCAGGAAAGCCAAAACAATGTCACAACATTTTCCAGAAAAATAGAAGCTCGGCTTAATAGCACCTGTCTCGGAAGGTCCGACTACGTAGAAATGGCGCCTGGTTGTGATGCTAGGAAACGTCAATACCAAGGGTGGTCAGGAATTGAAGCTGTTTTCTATCGGTGAGCTACCTATGCTGGTCAAAGCAAGCTGCGAAACCTGTTGGACAAGGGCAATGGGGGGATGCGTGAAGGGGTTGGGTAACGGGTTGTACAAACGAACTTCCGACCAAGCTGTTACCCCCACCAAAACACACCTCCTGCGGGCGAAATGACGAAAATAACGATTTCTTCGCAGACGGACTTTCCAACGCTATTCGCCTGGCGTTCAGTCCAACCAATCATTGGGCAACAGTTTTAGCCCTGGGGATGACAAGGTTGAAAGGTTTGTGGCCGAGGCAGCCCCACTGCGGCATGGATGGATGGAGAAGTTGCGCTTGCTCGCAGTGGTGAATGCAGCGGCACCGCGTGCTCGATATGTGAGCGTAGCATGGCTGGTTGACTCTAGTTTCGTGCCACGCAATAGCCAATTGGAAACGAGCCTCGCCCCTCTGTTGCTTGTGGCGAGAGTCTACACCGAACCGCGGCGGCGCCAATCGAGGTGTGGGTTCCAAGGGCGAGAAGAACGTGCTCTGAATCTGTAATAGCGATGGCATCGTTTTTAACTCGGGTTCCTTCTTCCCTTACAGTTTTGACGCTACACACTGTGCTTGAACAAGGATTTCTAGAACCAGGTGTGACTGATCCAAAACTCTGAATAATGGTCTCAACACCCTGCATCAGTACGATCATCTTAAACAAATACATGCTTACTGTTGAAGTATACTGCGCCATGAGATAGATTATGGAAGGGACTCTCCGTTTCATGTCATTTCTTCAGGTACAGTCTATCAAATAACAACCTCAGAGAGCCACACTATAGTGACACAAATATTAAAAGAGTGCAACCGTCATAGTATTCACAACTAAATCATGTATAACTCTTGATATGAGGAAGTAGAGTATGTGAGAATGTTAACAGAACACATACCGTATGTCTGGACCAAAAGAAGGGAGAGTGAAAACATGAGGGATTATAAGTTGCTAATGGGGTGTACCGTATCCTTGGGACTTCCGCCAAAAACGGTGTAATGCGTTCTATAAATAGCTCTATCAAATTCCTGTGCTTCAGAGGACCAACCAACATGAATGCATACACTACATCCCATGGGTAACAGCATGCAGAGCGGTGCCTAGTAACAAGTATGCAATTTCTCTCCAATTCAGGTTACACACATCTCTTCTTTTTCCAACCCCAAACAAAACTCTTCCACCACCTTTATACATGACACATCCTGGCCTAGGCAGCAGCATCTGAGGGTTTCCCAGCAAGGATAAGCGAGATCTCGAGGCCTCGGGAAAAGGCCTGGTTGAAGACAAGGCGGGTCTGGAAGGTGGAGAAGAAGGGGAACCAGGAGAGCACTGCGACTGGCAGGAAGATCATCCCTCCCATGATTGCATCGTACACGCGCGCCAGTGTGCGCACCTGCCTCCACCACCACAGCCGCTTGTTGTGCACAGGCCGCAGCGCTATAATCACCTGCCGTACAGTCACAACGCAGGTATGGAGAGAGGTGAGATGAGAGGTACAGGTGAGCAGGGGTGGGAGACATTGGCGTAAACGGTTGCTTTGCATGATTAGCTTGGATTCTGCCTCTCCATTGTACGTGCCTTCTACATGATACAGAGGACCGTTTGAGAGAGAGAGAGAGAGCACAAGATAGTGCAACAGAGACAGGACACACACCTGAAGGAGGCCCCAGCCGGTGAGGGGGATGAAGAGGAAGATGATGGAGCAGAGGTCGCCGAAGGTGAGTGAGGTGAAGGTCACACACACAGAAAGAGCACATACCTGCACACAGCACATACCTGCACACAGCACATACCTGCACACAGCACATACCTGCACACAGCACATACCTGCACACAGCACATACCTGCACACAGCACATACCTGCACACAGCACATACCTGCACACAGCACATACCTGCACACAGCACATACCTGCACACAGCACACACCTGCACACAGCACATACCTGCACACAGCACATACCTGAAGGAGGCCCCAGCCGGTGAGGGGGATGAAGAGGAAGATGATGGAGCAGAGGTCGCCGAAGGTGAGCGAGGTGACGGTGACACACACGGCAATGCCCGTCACGAAGAGCACCGCCACTGTGATCTGCAGCAGGCGGATTGGCAGCTGCGCCTCCCACGCCCGCGAGAAGTTGAACACCTGGAGATGTGCAGGGGTGAGTGGGGGAGGGGGAGAAGAAGGCGAGGGCGCAAGGGGAGGGAGGGCGAGGGAGAGGGAAGCGTGGGGGGGAAAGAGTGAGGGAAATTGTTATGGATAGACAGAAAAGCAGCGAGCTTTATGCAAGGGTTAAAGATGTGGTTGAGATGGATGAACGACTGAAGCGAGAGCACGGGGCGACAAGGCAGGGCGAAGGCACCAAGAGATGCGGCAAATCAGCTGCAGCAATGCGGCGAGGAAACCCACTCGCTTCTCTGTTGACTCACCCAGAAGACAAGGGCGACGACGACAAAGATGATCCATGCATAGGCGTACACCTGGGAGACGAGACGGCAGTACGGGGAGAGTGGCAAAGAGCACAAGAAGAGAGTGGCAGTGGGATGGTATGAAGAGTGAGGAGGAGGGAGGCTGGCAACGGGCATAATCAGGCAATTTTTGACGTGGAGGCCTTTTGGTGGCCATGGTAAGCCTAGAACTCACGAAACATGCATCTCGCGTGACAATATGCAATGCAGTGTGACAGTATATAGTGCGACAGCATGAACTGTGACTGTCCTTAGTGTGACCGTACGTGTGCGATGCCAGTCCACGGTGGGACTAGATCAGGCAAAGTCACCAGTGCCATGTTGTACGGCGAGATATATCTTTTTGGTCAACTACAAAACAAAGCGGGTGTTTTAGTAGACTATTCTATTCATTTTTTAGTCGACTAAAAAATCGGCAGTCCACCGTGGGTCCACATCAGGCCAGATGCCACACAGAGCGACAGCACTCACGAGGATGCTGGTGTTGCCCTGAGCCACGTTGAGCTGGTACACTATGCCGTAGGGCACAAAGAAGAAGCGGAGGTTAAGCACCACTTGTATGATGCGGCTGCGAATGCTGCGCACGTGCTCCTGTCAGCAGTAAGGCCGGGTGGGATGGGGGGAATGGGGGGAATGGGCGGGATGGGTGGGAAGGGCAAGACCGGTACAAACGGGAAGGTTCAGCACCACCTGGATGATGCGACTGCGAATGCTGCGCACGTGCTCCTGCCAGCATTAAAGGGGTTGGGGTGGGCGGGATGGGTGGGATGGGTGTGAAAGAATGGGAGAGTTAGCAACATGGAGTGTGAGGAGGTGTGGCAAGAGGGAACCATCTTGGAGGGCTAGCAGGTCTGGATTGGATGTGAGGGCCCTTATGGCAGAGGCACGTGGCAGGGAAGTGTGCCAGAAACATGCGGCAGAGACATGCACGCACGATCACGCCAGAGAAGCAAATGCACAAACGGGCCAGCATGCCGTCTGTGAGAGTGGTCTGTGTCATTTGAGTGAGTGGGTGAGCTGACTCACCCTCTCCTCATCCCACCATGACTCACCGTCTCCTCTTCCCACCACGACTCACCGTCTCCTCTTCCCACCACGACTCCCAGCTCTGCTCGCCCTTCACACCCACCCCGCCCTTGTACCACAGCCACTCCACCCAGTCCTCGAAATCTGCCACCGTCCTGCCACGGTCAAATCACAGCGGCACAGCAGGAATGGGGAATGAAGATATGAGCAGAAAGGGAGCAGGAATGATTATCCCACAATAACGAACGAGAAGGAAATGGAAGAGGAGAAAATTGAGGAGGGAAAAACGGAAGGGGAGGAAAATGACCAAGAGGAAACAGGAGAGTAGAAAGAGGTGGTTACTTTTGCCACTCGAAGCCGGCGGGGTTGAAGATGTAGGGTGCGTAGCACCAAGAGAGGGCGAGGAACCAGGACGAGATGGTGATGAGCAGATAGACCAGGCCGGAGCTGGTGCCCCCGTACAGCATGTACACTGTCAGCAGCATTATGGCCTCTATGCTGTACCGGGAGTGGGGAGGGAGGGAGTGTATGAAGAGTGAAGAACCAGGAGGGCACGGTGATGAGCAGATAGACCAGGCTGGAGCTGCTTCCCCCGTACAGCATGTACACCGTCAGCAGCATTATTGCCTCTATGCTGCGCGGGAAGAGGAGGGGGAGGGAGTGGGAGCGGGAGAGACAGTGTGAGTAGCCATTGACAGAAAGGGAGATGGGTAGGGGCATACGGATGAGGGAGGAGCTGGTGCCCCCACACAGCATGTATACTGTCAGCAGCATGATTGCCTCTATGCTGCCAAGGGGGTGGAGGGGGAGCGGGTGGGACGAGGCACTGTGAGTATCTGTGGACATCGGAAGGGGGGTGGGGAACGACGGATGAGGGAGGAGCTGCTGCCCCCGTACAGTATGTATACTGTCAGCAGCATTATTGCCTCTATGCTGAGCGGAGAAGATGAGGGGAGGGTGTGAGAATGAAAGATGTATGAGGGTAGAGTTGCGCGAAACAGTGGACATACATGCAGCTACGGAGGCAGCGTGCCAGAGTCTTTATGCACCCACACGCACCCACACATGAACTTTATGCGATACACCAGTAACAAGTAAAAACACCCCCCCACACCTCCCATCCTTCCCTTTCCCCTGGCGTTTACGCACCCCTATGTGAAGTGTGAGCGCGAGTAGAGACGGTAGTTGTCAGCAAACTTGATGTGCCGAACGACAAAGCCCCAGCCAGTGGCTCACTCACTCACGCTATACTTGGGTACTCCCGAACAGCGTCCCAGCAACTCACCCGTATGTGAAGTGTGAGCGCGAGTAGAGGCGGTAGTTGTCAGCAAACTTGATGCAATACGCCAGTAACAAGTAGCACAGCCCCCCCCTCCCCTTCTCCCCCCTTGTCCCCTTGTGTTTACGCACCCATATGTGAAGTGTGAGCGCGAGTACAGGCGGTAGTTGTCAGCAAACTTGATGTGCCGAACAACAAAGCCCCGGCCCGTGGCGCGGTACTTGGCCCCGCCGTGCAGCAGCGTGCGCAGGAAGTAGTGCGCTCGCGTGCCCAGGGAGAAGGTGAAGAAGACTGAAGCTAGCTGCAGCTGCATCGTTATGAAACTCACCACCGCCTGGTGGGTGGGTGAAGAGGGTGGGGGAAGAGGGGTTAGGGAAGAGGGTGGGAGGAGAGGCCACACTAAGGAAACCCTATTGATTGTGCCACATCAAGGAACTCACTCTCAGGAAGCCTTGTTCGAGGATGAAGCCCATGGTCATGGGCAGAGCGGTGAAGAGTCCAATGGAGCACCAGCTTGAATGTCAATAACGACTTTGTAAGTGAGTTCTTTGGGAGTTAGTAAGCACAGACTCACCCGCAGAAATCCTTGTTCGAGGATGAAGCCCATGATCATGGGCACAGCGGTGAAGAAACCAGCCTGGATGAGGAACTGCGTGTTGATGGCTGATTCCAGCGCCAGGTTCGCCACACTCTCACTCTGCGATGAGAGAGTCGCACCCACTCCGGATAGACTCTGTGGGAGGGGCAGTCAATTGCACAGATGTGTCACGAGGGAGTATAGAATGGGTTATGGTTGAGGGGGAGATGGTTGAGCCGTGAGGTGGCTGCGGTGTGGTTTTTGAACGGGGGAAATGTAGAAGGGGTGTGGTGAAGGGGCTTACCAGATAGACTCTTCCATAGAGGAACAGGAAGGCACAGAAGGACGTGAGCTGCAGTAAGGGGAGAAAGTGGGGGGAGGGGGAAAGGGGGGAGGGAGGGGCGGACAGATGGGGAGCATGGCTTGAAGAGCTGGTTGACTGGCAGATAATGGCGGGAAACACGCTAGGGAGAGCTGGAGGTAATGGCCACAAGGATTGGATGCCGAATCCAGGGGATGCACTGCAATAGTGGAAGATGCATGAGGAGGACCGGAGATGGCAAACAGAAGCATGGGCAATTTTGAAAAAGAGCAGTTGGAAAGTATGTGTGCAAAAGGAGCAGTACAGACTGGTGGTATGGAAAGGGTGATTGATAACAGTGCGGAGTTTCCTTTCAGGGTTCGATGGTAATCCATTTCGTGTTGTGGTTGTAGAGGCGCGCAGAGCGGTTTATGGTGGTGTGGTATAGTAGCTTACAGTGGTGCAGAGGAAGAAGCCAACAGAGGTGAAGTAGAAGGAGAGGAGGCGATAGAAGTCAAAGAGCTGACCCAACCGACAGATGTCCCGGGATAACACCTGCATGTGCGTCGCAGAGACACATGTGTGCACGGTTATGCATACACATACATACACGCATAGGCTTGCACACACGCATTTTTTCCTGCTGCGTGTTTCGAAGCATGCACAAGCACGTGGGCACAACAAACAAACACACACGTGCAGGTGGGCACACACGCACCTGCTCTCCATTGCCACTGGCGACCTTAGCCTCAAAGAGAGCGATCTGGTTGAGCCCCACGTCTCGCCCCTTGCCCACCTGGTGCACACATGGATGGAGGGAGGTACAGGTGAGGAGATGGCGGGAGGCGAGAGAGAGTTTGGCGGCAGACAGAGTTATGCAGAGAAGGGATGTTGTAGTGCAGTCAGAAAGTGTAAGGGATGTTGTAATGATGCACATTTTTAAAATTTTCCGTGGGTTTCACAGTGGAAGTCAGGAGTTGCAAGTCACTGGATAACATGGCATGGCATGATGGGGCATGCGCTGCTGTGCTGTTGCACGAACATAGAATGTCAAGATAGGACATGCATGTTCCAGCACGACAGAATACAATGCAGCACTTGAGGGGCTCACTTGTATGTACTCGTGGTGTGTAACATTGCCTTGTCTCAGCGTGGTGTTAAAGCCTGGCAGAGTGAATCGGGAGGTGAGGAAGCGCGAAGGGAGGAAATGAAGTGACAGCAGAGAAGAGGAGGGTATGCAGAGGCGGTCAGGTCAGTAACGCATGGGAGAAAAAAACACAAAGGGAAGATCTTATCAAGCCACCACATGGCAACCTCCACCAGATGTCACCTGCACTTGTACCATGTGCACATGTCACAGCAGCAGCCACATTACGACCGTCTCAGTCAAAGCTTTGCTACACATGGCGTACCAGCAAAGATGTCTTCACTGATGTTGATGGTCTTAGATGCCTTGCTCATGCCGCCGCGTGTGATGTGGAAGAGAGTACACTACAGCAGCATAAGAGAGATTCTGTACTCATACAACCTGAGTATCAGCATACCAGCAAAGATGTCTTCGCTGATGTTGATGGTCTTAGACGCCTTGCTCATGCCGCCCCGTGTGATGTGGAAGAGGCTACACTACAGTAGCAGAAGAGAGACATTGTACTCATGCAACCTGACTATCAGCGTACCGGCAAAGATGTCCTCGCTGATGTTGATGGTCTTAGACGCCTTGCTCATGCCGCCTCGTGTGATGTGGAACAGACGGTCAAACACATCTGGATGCCCGTAGTGCATGCGCACCCTGGAAGAGCAAAGAGCAGGGGGAGGAGGGGAGCAGGAGGGGGAAACGTAAGAGCAATAAACATCAAAGACAGAAATGTCCAGCACGATGCATCACACATGCTTGACAGCCAAGCATCAGAATTACTTGCATACTAGTTAGTGGCAATGAAGCCTGACACTTCTTGCATACTGGTTGATGGCAACTAAGCACCACACTTACTTGAGAGGGATGGCAAGGAAGCGTTGGCCGAGAGTGACGAAGCTGGTCTCCTGGTTGGACATGAACCATGCCAACGAAGACACACTGCACTCGGGGGAGGAGTAAGGGGCGAAATAGGAGTGAAATAGGAACGCAACAAGAGCTCAAAGCTTGAGGGACATGGGGAAAGGTGTGAATTTCGCAAGCTTAGGGACATGGGAACGGGGTTAAAAAGCGGGAGGTCTTTGCCATGGTACATGCTTCCAAGAGGCCCTGGAAAAGAACAACATAGTTTCATACCCACTTGCCCTACCAAACGCCCCTCACGGACCCACTCACCTGCCGGTGAAGATGTGCTCTCTGACGCCGAGAATGGACGGCTTCCTGAGCCCGTGCTTCTTCGCAAACTCCTGCAACAAATTCCGCATCTTGAGCGTCTCCTCAAAGTAGTTGTCCTGGTTCATGTCTATCGTCTGCAGCGCCTCCCCACGCGTGAAGATGATCGCGTGGTTCTGGTTCTCGGGCTTGCCCTCGCCCAGCTTCGCTGGCCCCGGCAGCTTCACCTTGTAGATGTCTTGCTCGCTACCGAACGTGTCCACCTTCACCAGCCGTGAGAAGTGCTCCGTCTTCGGGCGCGCATCGGGCCGGGAAGGGTCTGCTGGTAAGGTGACCACCTCGTCTATGTATGCCACCCGCAGGGCCTCGTGCCTGGGTGGGGTTTGGGGGCGGGGGAAGGGGAAGGGAGGGTCCGAGAAAAGGGAGTAAAAAGAAGGGAGTGAGTGAGTGAGCGCCTCAGGAATGCGAGGCTTCACCTTGTAGATGTCTTGCTCGCTGCCAAACGTGTCCACCTTCACCAGCCGTGAAAAGTACTCCGTCTTGGGGCTCGCGTCGGGCCGACTGGGGTCGGCTGGTAAGGTGACCACTTCGTCGATGTATGCCACTCGCAGCGCCTCGTGCCTGGGTGGGATTTGTGTGTGTGGGAGGGGGTGTTAAGAAGGATCAGAAACTCCGGAGTTCGACGTATGCCAGTCACAGGGCCTCGTGCCTGGGTGCAGGGGTTGGGGAGGAGGGTCCACGAAAAGGGGGAAAGAGGGGAACGGCTCACCGCCTCACCGAAGCGATGCTTCACCTTGTAAATGTCCGCATGGCCTTTTGGTTGTGCTGCAACACCCATGTCAAGTCCATCCAGTACGCGCTTACCACAAGATACCACCCTATAGCCCTCTCCACCGAACTCCACCGCACTCCATCACACTCCACCGCACCCCACCGCACTCACTCCTTCATGAGGTTGAAGATGTCAGCAGCACGCTGGTCCTTGTCAGCCTTCTGTTTGCCGTAGATCTGGCACGTCACCACGTACGTGAACTTCACGTCCGCCAGCTCCTTGGGCTCCACCTTCGCCAGATACAGCCTGTCCGCCGGGTCCAGTGGTAGTCCATCCGCCCCTAACTCCAGATCTGACGGGCGGAAGGGGGGAGCGGGCGGCGGGGGGGAGAAAAAGGGCGGGAGGGAAACGGGTGGGGGAGGGAAGGGGCACGGGGAAGATGGGTAGCGAAGAGAAGGGTCAGGAGTGAAAAAGGGGGCGGCTGCCGTAGATCTGGCACGTCACCACGTACGTGAACTTCACGTCTGCCAGCTCCTTGGGCTCCACCTTCGCCAGATACAGCCTGTCCGCCGGGTCCAGAGGCAGCCCATCTGCACCCAACTCCAGGTCTGGCGGGCGGAAGGAAGGGGGCGTGGGTGGGGAAAGGGCGGCAGGGAGAGAATAGGAGGTGGAGAGAAGAGGAAGAGTACACAAACAACAAAAAGTTCTCTAGCCACCATGCTTCAACTGCGGAGTCTGGGGTTTCCATGTAAGCGAGCAGCCTGACCCCCCTATGGCAGAACATCATGCCAGAGAGGAACGCGAACTCTCATAGTCATTATTCAAATTAAAGTGGGCCTCACACACCTGTGGAGTTTGGCGTTTCCATGTAGGCCAGCAATCTGAGCGCCCTGTGGTAGTACATCATGCCGCGCACGGTGCGGGCGAGGGTCTGGCCGCGGTACGACGCCCACATGCGCAGCTCCTTGATGTCGTCCTTCGCCCTCAAGCGCACCTCCAGCTCCTTCTCTCCCATTCCCACTCGCTGCAGGAAGTTGGCCCACTCGTCTGCGGAGTGCGGGGAGGGAGGGGAGGGAGCGATTATAATAAGCGTGAGGGGTGGTGGTGAGAATACTCGGCACTTGAGGCGCCTCAAAAGTGGCCACCAGCAGCCGCGGTACGACGCCCACATGCGCAGCTCCTTGATGTCGTCCCTCGCCCTCAAGCGCACCTCCAACTCCTTCTCTCCCATGCCCACGCGCTGCAGGAAGTTGGCCCACTCGTCTGGAAGAGAGAGACAGAGGAGAGGAGGAGAGATGAGGACGGGGAAAGGGGTGTCTATTAAGGTGCCTCATCAGTGGTAATGGGCTCGCAGCCGCACCTCCACCTCCTTCTCGCCCATTCCCACGCGCTGCAGGAAGTTGGGCCACTCGTCTGCAGTGAGGGGTTGTGATTAGGGTGAGCGGTGGCTGACTGGCATCAGGAATTAGGGCGACAGAAGCAGCAACATGCAGAAGTATGTGCTGCAGTGGGCAGTGGGCAGCGGGGAGGGAGTGGGCAGCGGTGGCAGTGTGTAGTGGGGAGTGGGCAGTTGCAGTGTGACATGTGCCCTGTGCCTGTACGAGCAGAAAAGCTGTCCAAGACATCTGGCACGTGGGGCATGGCATGTGGGGCGTGGCATGTGGGACATGGCACGTGGGGCATGGCATGTGGGGCGTGGCATGTGGGACATGGCACGTGGGGCATGGCATGTGGCACGTGGGCACAAATGGCATGTGAAAGCGTGGCGGACGCACCTGGGAAGATCTTCTGGAGGTAGAAGAGGGTGGAGATGCCGTCCTCGTTGGGCTTCACCAGCTCTGCCATGGAGTATGTCACTATCTCGCTGTAGTACGGCGTCATCACACTGGGAGGATGGGGTAGGGATAGTGGGGAATTGTGGGGGCGAGCGGGAAGTGTCAGCAGCTCTGCCATGGAGTAGGTCACAATCTCGCTGTAGTACGGGGTCATCACACTGGGAGAGGGGGAGGGGGGGAGGAAATGGGGTACAGATGGGCGGGGGTCGGGGGGCGGGGGAGGGGAGGAAAGGGCTTCACCAGCTATGCCATGGAGTAGGTCACGAACGATCTCGCTGTAGTACGGTGTCATCACGCAGGGAGAGGGGGGAGAATGACCGGGGAAGGACAGGGGGGAAAGGGCGTGTGGGAAAGGAGAGGGGCGTCAGCATGGAATAGGTCACGATCTCGCTGTAGTATGGCGTCATGGCGCTGAGAGCGGGAGGGGGCGGGAGCAGGGATAGTGGGGCATGTGGAGGAGCAGAGATACGAATGAAGTAGGTCAGGATCTCGCTGTGGTATGGTGTCATCACGCTGGGATGGGCACGGGGCAGGGATAGCGGGGCATGGCGTGCGGTGCGGGAGGGGGAGAGGGTCAGTACGTAAGGAGAAAGTCATGATCAGCGGCTGTAGGATATCGGGTACACCACCCCCTGAGAATGGTGAACTCAGATGTCTACAAGGAGTCACCTGGGTGGTTCATGGATCTACCTCAACCGGACCTACCAGAAGGGCAGTGTGTCGGCGACTTTAGGCGCATCCGGCATGCGCATGTGCAGCGAGTTGGTGAAGAACTGCAGGCGGCGGCCAAGGCACATGTGGGGTAGGTGGGAACCAGGGCCTACCTGGTGCGAGCTCAATCCTACCAGAAGGGCAGCGTGTCGGCGACTTTAGGAGCATCAGGCATGCGCATGTGCAGCGAGTTGGTGAAGAACTGCAGGCGGCGGCCAAGGCACATGTGGGGTAGGTGGGAACCAGGGCCTACCTGGTGCGAGCTCAATCCTACCAGAAGGGCAGCGTGTCGGCGACTTTAGGAGCATCAGGCATGCGCATGTGCAGCGAGTTGGTGAAGAACTGCAGGCGGCGCCGCGCCTCCAGGTTGTGAGGCACATCCATGGCCGACTCCTTGATCGTCAGCAGCAGGTGCAGCCGCTTCACCGCCGCCTCACCTCAAGGCACATACCGGAGAGGCAAGGCAAGAGGCACAGTGCCAGCCAGAACGAGGAGCTACCAAGCAGTCCCCCAGTGGTACCAGACTAGAGGGAGTGAATTCAACTCAACGTACCAGAAAGGGAGAGTGTCGGCGACTTTGGGGGCGTCAGGCATGCGCATGTGCAGCGAGTTGGTGAAGAACTGCAGGCGGCGCCGCGCCTCCAGGTTGTGAGGCACATCCATGGCCGACTCCTTGATCGTCAGCAGCAGGTGCAGCCGCTTCACCGCTGCTCTATTAGCTGGCCAAGCCACCGCTGCGAAGAGGCAGTACGACTGCGGCTTGCCCGATACCTCCTCCAGGCTTGCTCTGGGAGGGGGAGGGAAGGAGGCAGGAGGAGAGAGGCTGGTTGAAGCCAGATGTGAAGAGAGGAGCAGACTACCTCACAGGTGCCTCCAGGTTGTGGGGCACGTCCATGGCTGATTCCTTGATCGTCAGCAGCAGATGCAGCCGCTTCACCGCCGCCCGGTTCGCCGGCCATGCCACTGCTGCGAACAGGCAGTACGACTGGGGCTTGCCGGATACCTCCTCCAGGCTCGCTCTGGGAGGGGAAGGACAGGAGTAGGAGGAGATTATTTAGGCGCCTAAAAAATCGTCACAGGCGGTACGGTACGACTGGGGCTTGCTCTGGAAGAGGGAAGAAAGGAGGTCGGAGTAGAGAGGCTGGTTGAAGCCGGATGATAAGGGAGGAGAAGACTACCTCCCAGCTTCTCATCCCTCCTCTCCTTACGTGACGTCGAATTGGGACCACAAGAACGACCAAACTCCCCCAGCCCACCATCCTATCAGAAACCCGGAATAGCTATTAAACCGGAACCATGAGGCACGCACCGGTGGTCAGGGGAGAGGAAGTCGAACTTGACCGTGTCGTAGAGCGCCTGCAACGCCTGCACTGCTGCCCGCTGCGTCATCTCGTTCTGGTCCTGGATCTGAACCAGGGGGAAAGCGAAGAGGGTGGTTAAGTGGGGGGAGGGAGAAAGAGGGCAGGGAGGGAGAGGGGAGGGAGGAAGAGGGGTGGTGGGAGGTTGGGAGGAGGACGGGAAGAGAAGGGTTTTGGGTTGAGGGTGAGAATGGCAGCAGGCAGCTGAGCAGCACGGCAGTGAGCTTGGAGAGGTGGTCGAGGATGCAAGGCAGGGCATGCAATGGATTTCGAGTGGGTAGCAGGAATCATTGGAACAATGCATCTAGGCAATAGTCAGCAGGGCAGGCAGGCAACAATCGACGAGCAGGGCAGGCAGCAAGGCAGCAACTGACTGACCAGCACGGCAGTGAGCTTGGAGAGGCGGTCGAGGATGACAGGCAGGGCGGCTAGGTCCCCTTCTTACTGGGTTAGAGGAACCAATGAACAGATTTGTGTGTCGACCAATGCAAATAGGGCCGGTAGCAACTGACCAGCACGGCAGTAAGCTTGGAGAGGCGGTCAAGGATGACAGGCAGGGCGGAGAAGCGGAAGGTGGTGAGCAGGCTGCCGTTGTTCCCCTCCACCTCCAAATCGTCAAACAGCCGGTTGATGATCCGCGCCTCGTACACCCCACTCCCCGCCTCCTGGGTAGCAGCAGCAGCGGTGCCGGCGGTGGGGGCGGTGCGGGTGGGTTCGACGACGGAAAGCAGGAAGGGGCGCAGGCTCTGGTATGCCTCGAGCACAGCGCAGCGCATGTACTCGTCGGCTGTCACCTTGCGCCACACGGATGATTGCGATTCCTTGCGGCCTGACGCCTCTCCGACTGCGAGGAGGATCTGCAGAGGGTGATTGGCACAACATGAAAGGGAGGGGGAAAGAGTGAGTGCAGAGCAGTGCCAGAGAGTGTGTGCAGCGCAGCACGGGAGAGTGAGTGCAGAGCAGCGTGAAAGAGTGAGTGCAGAGCAGCGTGAGAGACTGAGTGCAGAGCAGCGCATGTACTCGTCGGCCGTCAGGGCGATCTGCCAAAGCAGTACATGCTGTTTCTTGATGAATTATGCCACAATGACAGATGGTAGTTGCTTCCATCCGACGGTGGTGCAGTACCTGATTGGCGAGGAGGAAGAGCGGCCATTGCACCACAGTCACGTTGGAGGGCAGAGCGGGCATGATGAGCAGATCGTACTCCCTGCACGCACGCAGTGCGTGTGCGAACACAAAAACGAAGACACAGAGGCACAAGTTTGCGAAAGAAACATTCCGTTTTGGTGCCTTGGCATGGTGGATGGATGGGGCACATCACAGCAATGTGTGAAGAAAGGATGTCGGCAGCAGCAGCACGAGGAAGCAGCAATTATGACACGTCTCAAAATCCAAAGGTAACCGGCCCGAGAGCAGGCACTAGGCAGTAAGAGGCAAGAGGCAGGCAGCAGCAGCTTATCCCCACCTGTCAGAGAGGTAGTCCTCCTCGCGCAGCAATCGGATGATCTCGTTCCACGCGATGGCAAACTTGCACGCCTCCCGGCGCGACGACAGCAGCAACTCGCTGCCGCTCGCTGGCTGCTGCGACCCCAGCGGCTGGAAGCGGGCTGACGAGCGCAGCGATGTTGAGCTGAGCAAGGGGAGGGGGTGGGGCAGGGGTTGGATGGAGATGTGTGCATGTGCATGTGTATGTGTGTGTCTGCTCGCCGGTTGCTGCGACCCCAGCGGCTGGAAGCGGGCAGACGAGCGCAGCGATGTTGAGCTGACCGGTGGAAAGGGGTGGGAAAGGGTTGGGTAGGGGATGTGGAAGGAAAAGTTGGTTGTGTGTGTGTGAGGGGGAAGAGGGGTGGAAGAGTATACATAGTGGCAGATGAATTTGAAAGCCACCGAACGATGTGAGAGGTTGGCACAGCACCCCATGTGTGGCATTTGCCTGGCCCTCTACCTCACCTGCCAGGATGCCACTGAAGCCCACCGTTTCTTGCATCCATCCTTGCTCCTCTCCATCCTCTAAGACGAGAATAGAGTGGCTAAAGAGGTACTCACCGTGTGCGGTTGAACTTGTTCTGGTGGTGCACTGTGTTCATGAAGGCTGCTGGGAACGAGCGGAAGCGCGCCCGCAGCATGGAGAGTGTGCGGATCTGATACCATGGGCAGGCATATGGAGTGAGAAGGACAAGGAGGGGAGGAAGAGAGGAGGTAGTGCAGGGAGGAGGAAGACAGGTAGGTTGAAATGGACTAAGAATTTGAGGAACGCGCAATGCTGCTCACGGAGGAAGTACGCAGTGGTTGCTACGCTGTGATAGGTCTGAGATTTCTGAAAGAAGGAGAATACCCGCGATGCTTACAACCCAGAAAGGCACCAGCTGAACACCTTCAGAACGATTCCGCATGCCACCTTCTTATCCTCCCCCCCCCCAAGTACGACCTGCTTACCTCCCGTGTGCCTACTTTTGCCAGATTCTCAGCTGTTAACCTTTTCTGTGGCTACGTTCTTTCCCATGCTCATCTTTCCCATGCTCATCTTTCTCAGTGCTCACCTCCCCCAGATGCCACCAGGCGCCAATGAGTGTGCTGAGTATGGCAGAGAGCACAGTGTACCAGATCTGTGCGTCTATCAGGTAGATCTGGCAGAAGGGTAAGGGGGGAGGTAGGCGGGCGGGAGGGAGAGGGGAGAAGGAGCTTTTGGGAGGGGGAGACGAGAGGGAAGATGCAGCAAATAGATATGTTACCAGCGGACTATGCATTTAGATTAGAGATATGTGGTCGGTAAGAGACACATGTGAATGGCGTACCACAAAGACTGGCGCCCAGATGGAGAGAAGCGTGAGAGCGTTGTAGTTGCCTGGTCAGGTGGGGGGGGGGGGTTGGGTGGGGCCAGAGGGCACAGCAGGAAGAGAGAAAAAAATGCAGCGTCAGCAGCAGCAAGGAGACCAACATCGTCCCCAGAAACCCATCGTGCATCATGGGAAAACAATCGTCAAGACAATGCAGCAGAGGAGAGTACTGGCGGGGGTTAGGCACGCACTGGCAGAGACGAGGTCCTTCCAGCGGCACTTGAGGTGCTTGAAGCCGATGATGTAGCGCGTGGCTTTCGAGTCGACTCGCAAGAGATAAAGCACATATTTGCAGCGATTAGTAGGCACGTACTGGCAGCAAGTAATAACGTACTGGCAGAGACGAGGTCCTTCCAGCGGTACTTGAGGTGCTTAAATCCAATGATGTAGCGCGTGGGGCCGACGAGCGGGAGGATCTGGAAGTAGTAGCTGAAGAGGCACTTGCACAGCAGCAGCACCACCCAGAACAGCGAGTACCTGCAGGAAGGAAGGGGTGGAGGGGAAGAGGGGGAGAATATAGAGGGTTGGGATTGAAGGGGAAAGACAAAGCTGGGATGGGAAAAGGTGGGTTGTGTGACTGCACAATAGTGTGCAAATACGGGGTTTAACAGTTTTGTCGGGCAATCAGAGACAGGTGGAAGAACTGATGAGTGGTACTCACAGGAATGTGTCTTTGAAGCTCTCGTACATGCCCCTCCCTGTGTACACCTCATCCTGCTCAGTCCAAGATCAGAGGAAAGAGGTCTCAGGTGACAAGCATACAGGGTGCGTTACGAGCATGCATCATGAAACACTGAAACCACAAGAGGAAGACGCAGGTGAAACCATTTCCTTGACAGAACCACCCCACCCACCTGGCCGAACCACTGACTACCTGACAGAACCACCGCCCACTTGATATAACCACCACCCACCTGTCAGAACCTCTGACCACCTGACAGAACCACCACCCACCTGGTAGAACCACCACCAACCTGGTAGAACCACCACCCGCCTGGCAGAACCACCACCCGCCTGACAGAACCACCACCCACCTGGTAGAACCACTTGATGAACTGAAAGAAGCGGTGGTGGCTGACACAGTTGAGCTGGGAGCGCAGCAGCACGTGATGAGTGTGTGAGACGTCTCAAACCCACCCACCTGGTAGAACCTGATCAAACCACCCCCCCACCTGATAGTACCGCACACTAACCTGATAGAACCACTTGACGAACTGGAAGAAGCGGTGGTGGCTGACGCGGTCGAGTTGGGAGCGCAGCGGCGTGACAAAGCGCATGAGCACCGAGAGAACGACTGCTGGGATGACGTAGATGGCTGCTAGCATGAGGAAGAGCGGGCGGTAGGGGCTGCTGAAGTCAAAGCCTGAGTTGAAATACATGCTGGGGAATGGGGTGGTGGGAGGGAGGGGGGGAAATATGAGAAAAAAGGGGACTTTTAAGACGATTCGGACCATCAAGCAATGAGAGGACAACAGCCAGGATGGCGTAGATGGCTGCGAGTATGAGGAAGAGCGGGTGGTAGGGGTGGGGCTGTTGAAATCAAGGCCCAAGTTGCAATACATGCTTGTGTTGTGGGGGGTAGGGGGTGTCTGGGAGAAGAAAGGAATAGAGGGGGGGGAAACGACATTCGAGTCGAGTCAGATGAACACAGAGGAGGGTAAGGACGACTGGGTTGACAGAAATGGACGCCAGCATGAGGAAGAGCGAGAGGTAGGGGCTGGTGGGGTAAAAGCCCTGACTGAAATACATGATGGGGAAGGGGGAACAGGGGGGAGAGGTCGGAGGGGAGGGGGAAGGGCAAGAGAATGCAAAAACGCTACATGGTTGACTTTGAAGATAGAAAACGAAATTGAAAAAGGTGAGCAAGTCTCACATGAGGAAGAAGGAGAGGAAGCCCCCCCAGACGCCGAGCACAGCGAGGCGGAGGAACTTGCGGGAGATGGTCTGCACACTCATGCTGCGGTAGGCTCCGAACGACAGAAGAATGTCAAACAGCACTGCGGGGAGGAGGGGTGGGTGGGGCCGTGGGACACGAGGAGAGAGTGGGGAGGAGAGGTCGGAGATGGGCGTTGCTATGGAGGGAGGTGCCTTGACACGCTCATGCTGCGGTAGGCTCCGAACGACAGCAGGATGTCAAACAGCACTGCGGGTGGAAGGGTTGGGGGGCCGGGGAGGGGAGGTAAGGAGTTGCAATGGAGTAATGTGCCTTGACACACTCATGCTGCGGTAGGCTCCGAACGACAGCAGGATGTCAGCACTGCGGGGAGGAGTTTGAGATCAGAGAGAGGATGGGAAAACACGATGAGGGTAAGGGGGATGGAAAAGAAGGGTTGGAGGGATTGCTGTGGAGTGGACTGAGGCGGCTAAAAACGCTGATGATGTGGTAGAAATCCTGAAAACGTCCTGAATGGACGTGCAGGATGGTGTGAGTTGGTTTATCCGGTATGAGCGGAGCGTACCTTGGAAGAAGCGGAGGATGGCGGCCATGGGCACCACAGAGAGCACCTTCATGAGCGTGGTGGACCCGTCCTGCCCGCTGAACGCCACGATTGCCATGCCCTGCGGGTAGAGAGCATGTGAGTTGGAGCAAGAGGGTAGGCTTGAAGAAAGGGAATCCTTTTAGAAGCTTAAGGGAGAGCATTTTCATGATTGTGGTGGGCGCGTCCTGCCCCTGTTATTGCTTTGCCCTGAATCGTAAATGTATGGAAGTGGAATTTGGTTCTAGTCGTCACCGTTCAGTTAGCAGTTTCAGATTTGAAGGGGGATGGGTAGTGGGGATATGCGAGAGGGTTGGAAGCTTCATGACAGCTGAAGCATGGGGTGCACGAAATGCATGCACGGATCACGGACCTGGAACATGAGCAGCAGGAAGGCCCACATGCGGTCGAAGCTGCGGTAGAGGTGGAGGAACGAGCGCCACTCCACAAACAGCGTCTTGCTCAGCCGGCTCTTGCCTGAGAAATCCTCCCCCTGCACATACAGAGAGGAAATCACAGGCGTGGAGCAGTGTGTGTGTGGTTGCGAATGGCGTCCAGCACTTTGCTTGACGTGAAGTCTGTCTCATGAGAGACTGTCTCTCACAGCAATTAATAGCGTGATTACCAGGAACAGTCTTAAGTATCTACTGGCAGTTGAGTCAAAGAAGGGAAGCACAGTATTCAAGAATCACAATAACCGGGGGGTTGCAAGCTCGTACATGCACTGCACCACTAACTGTTGACTCGACTGGGTTTGTCAGGACAGCGATCTGAGAGTCCCGGTTTTCTGTACTGACCGTTGCGGTTTTGGGGGTTTCCATTTTCTTGCCAGGCTCCTTGCTCTTGACGGGTGGGGGCTTGAAGAACACGTGGCTGGTGTGGATTGGCCAACCCAGCTCAAAGCAGCGCTTGCTCCTGACAGGCCAGGCGGAGGGGCGTGAAGCAGGAGAAAGGAAAGAAGGGGAGGGTGAGGAGACAAGTGGGTGAGTGAGTGAGGAGAAAAAGGGGAAGAGCCGTTGGATGTGAAAAAGCTGAAGTGAAAAACGAGAGCAGGGGTGGCAAGGAGTGTGTGGTGTGGCAGGGAGGGAGCGAGCAGCAGACCAGAAGAACTCGTTGAAGTCATCGTAGTTGCGCCACGCGGGGTGTCCCTTGGCATCACTGCCGGCACCCGCATAGTCCGACTCCTGCACGGGGAGGTTGCCGGTTCACACAGAGAAAAGGCAGTACATTGAGGGGGCGGGGAAGGACATGGAGTGAGCGGATCCAACTGTGAGTAAAGGGCAGCATGGTGAATCAGGGCGAACGAGGGGAGAAGTTGGAAAGGTGAAGATACGTTCACGGATCCTATCCGACGAAAGCCCATGCGGGAGATGCTGAAATGTCCCAAAAGCGGCCCCCAAAGTTACTAAACAGTCGCTCAGAAGCAATTCTGTGTTCAAGCCAAGGACCTGTTTGAGCCAAGAAGAGCAGCTAGTCTGGTGAGGTTAGCACACTGACCAGTTTGAGGATCCTGTAGAAGGGCATGATGACGTTGTTGAGGAAGGCGTACTCGCCCCCCGTGCCCATCATGTGGCTGTGCTCCGCTGCTGTCTTCTGCATCATCCCCGCCAGCTCACTCGCCATCTGCCCAAGGTGGTGGAGGCGCGGAGAGGGGGGATAAGATTAGGAGAACGTGAAGTGGGTGTCTGAAGCCCCTCATAAGTTGCATCATACCCGCCAGGTCACTCGCCAGCCATCTGCCAAGAGACCAAGGGAGGTGGTGCCCGCCGAGGGGGGTGGGATTGGGAGAGGACGTGAAGTGAAGTGGGTGTTTGAAGCGCCTCAGAAGTTGCATCATCCCTGCCACCTCACTTGCCATCTACCCAAGGTGGTGGTGGTCATGGGGATAGGTTTTGGATGGGAGGATGTGTGTGGTTGGTTATATAAATTGACTCAGCTGTCATTTGAAGGAAGGCTGTGGGGAGGGTATGGATTTGTAGAGAAGTTGAACGAGAAGGGAGAAGTTGGAGGGGGAAAAGGGGTTGCGGGAGCTCCGGGAGGGGCGAAGGGGAACCAGGGCTTTGGCCTTAACCAAGGTTCAAGGTTTTTGCACTGCGACGATACTGCAAATTGGATTAATTGAGCGACTAATTGTGACCAAGAAACTAGCTGGAAAGAGGGTAAGAGAGGGCAGGAGGCATGGAATAAGCTGACCAAGAAACCAGCTCTCAACCAATGGGGAAATAAGCTTTACGCTGTCTCCATTACCTGGTGAAAGAGGTAGCAGAGGCACTCTGGGAGGAAGCGGACGTTGGCTGCCTCGCCCCATATGAGCAGGAAGAGGCACGTGTGCAGCATGCGGTGCTCGGCCCTGCAGTGCACACACGCACATAAAGCCCCACGCCACACCACCCCACACCACACCACACCACACCACACCACACCACACCACACCACACCACACCACACCACACCACACCAGACCACACCACAGTCATGGTCATGCAACATCAGGACCAGACAGTCATGTGGACCAAAGCGAGCCACGTCGGTGCCATTTAGGATATAGGCTTTTTGTTTCTTGGTAGGGATGGGGGGGGTTTGGTTGAAGCATGGAGGAAGTCCTACACACACCCTAAACCCGAAACCCTGGATGATATAAATGGCACGATCCGAGATGCAGAGTCGGGTTTCAGACCACGTGTTTTGACGTGCGATGGCAAATATGAAATATTCTGGTTCCAGAGCGAGAGGAAGAAGGGGGGAGGGGGGGGGGGGGGGGGGGGGGGGGGGGGGGGGGGGGGGTTGTGGTGGTTGGGGGGAGAGGAAGGAGGGGGAAGGGAGAGGAAGGGAAGGGAGGGGGGTAGGTTTCAGCAGGGCGAGATCAGGGGTGCGTACGTGAAGTAGGGGATATCCACGTGGAGGTACTGTGCCCAGCGAAGGAAGTTTCCAAGCACCTTGGAGGACACGGAATCAACGGCCAGGTTCATTGCCTGGTGGATGACCGGATGGGGAGTGACGGGAACGCACAGAACAAAGTTGGAAGCTTGTCGTAGCTTGGACCGAGGAACAACTCAGTGAGACCAGAGCAATGTACAAGGTTGTGCAGCAGGGCTCAGAGCACTCGGCAGTAGTGGGACTCACGGATTACAAACCCGGACCTTCCAGGCTGTTCTCACTGTGTGCGTGGTCCGCACCCCTAACCCCTTACTCTACTGCTGCCAGTGAGTGCTGTCATACACACGGACACAAGGGACATGAGTGCAGCGTCGGGACGGACATGAAAACAGCAGGGCTTAAGAACCCGAACCCTGAGGATACCAGTGCGGCCCTGCACTGGATATTGATATTGACGTGACTCACGGCAGCATCATCGGACATGGAAGCAGCAATGGGCGTCCCCTTCTCGTCGTACGTGCGGCTGTTGGCCAGCAGCAGCACGAGGTGCTCCCTCTGGTTCCGCACGTTGTCCTCCTGTGGTGGTGTGGCAGGGGAGGCAGGGCACAGCACAGTGAATCAGAAGGGACAAAGGATGTTGGCGGGTGGGATGAAGGGAGAGGACTGGGAGCGGAAGACAAGCAACACCAGAAAAACGTTCAGCAGTCACAATCAGAGATGGCATCATGAAAGTGAGAGGCAGGCGCGCTCACTTGGAAGCCAAAGACGAATTGCAGGTAGTGCAGCATGTCCTTGAAGCGGCCTCGGTTCGGCACTCCTCTGAGGTCGTGGAGCAGTGCGATCGCTCCCCCCACCCGCCTCTTCCACTGCTCACGCCAACACGGTCACGTTTTTAGACGTTAGACGCCTCCAGTATCAACAGATGCATTAGATGCAACAGCAGCTGGTGCTATTGTGGTAACGAGGGGCCAATGTGGTAACCAAATGCTCTCAGTATAATACCACGAACATTGCTCTACTCTATTCCAAGCTAGCCAGAGTTTGGCGCGAGGTCAGCTGGTGGTTAACTCTGGATACCACATATAATGTGAGACTTGCAGATGACAGGCATGGGGGTTGGGGGTTTTACCAAAGGAGCATCAGTGGGAATGGGTGCGTCCAGATCGATCATGTTGAAGTTCTGGCGGGTGAAGACTTGCGTCTTGGCAGCAGCAGCCATCTTATCCTCCCGAATTTCCTGAAATTGGTAATGAACCGAGGAAAATTAGTCAAGAGCCTGGTTGGTTGGCTAAGGCCATGCATGCCACGGTCGACTCCCATTCAGAATCCCCCTCTTTGACTCCACGCTACCATTCAAAATCCACTTCGTGTCCTCCAGGCCCTATTCCTTGCTCCCTCCTCTCAAAACACCATCATGATCTACTGCTGCTCAGTGCCTATCACATCTCTCCATGCTGAGTCGCATTCACCAGTCTCTATTCAAGGCTTACCTGTTGCACTTGCTTGCGCTCGGATCCCGTGACCGTCTGTGCGAGGCCCTCAGTCACCTCCATGAGGACCCGCTCCGTCTTCCACGCCTTGCCCAACTCCTCTCTGCAAATCCCATACACGCGCACCCCATCTCGTCGTGAAGCGGCATGAACAAGGCACATTCAAGTCGCGTGATGAACGCAACGACTGGAGTGGCTCATGGTGCAAATCAAACGACACGAATTCTCGGTGGAGAAAGGGAGTTGTTGGACAGAAGCGCAGAAGCGCAAAAAGAGAAGCTGTAGCTGCTGCCCTAAAGGCGAGGCTAGATTGTCAGACGGAACGCACTTATTATTCTCGGGATCCATCTCCAGCCCGCGGACATAGTCTCGATACGCGGTGTAGAACTCATGGACCATGTCCATGTCCCTGCTCGGGTCCGCCGCAATGTCGCTCTCCTGCATCAACCGCACCCATGCAGCGACAGGTACATTCCGGTGAGTAGCGGCCGACAGACGGTTTCAGGTAATCTGAGTCTGGCATGAAATGCAACTAGACATCTTTCGTGTAATTCCTTTTTCGCTACACGATTTCGGTAGTTTTTATGGTGTAACTAATATCAAATTTACTCATTTTCCATCCACTTTCCAACCGCGTGTTCTGTGCTGACCACTCACGGGCAAGAGAATGTGCAACGCCGTGACGAACTGGAGCACTCCGCGGCCTTGCATGTTGGGATCAAGAACCATCGCCTTCTTGTAAGCAGCATCGAGAACTGAAATGGGGGAAATAGGGGCGATGAAGGTGTGAATCTCCGTTGCGCTAATCGTAAAAGATAGGAGTAAGCCGTATACTGAAACAACCGTGAATTTGATGCTAAGAACAAATGACGAATTAACCCATAGCTAGACACACGACAGACACCTGACCGACACGTCCGCACAGGACCCATGAATTTTCAGACACTCACTTAGTCGAGAAATGCGTGGATGTTCGGCTTCTAGGTCCTTCGCCGCTGCGAGGTAATCAGGTATGTTGGACCTCTGAGCCAGTGTCGGAGGCACAATATTGAGGCCATCGATCTGTCCTTCCGGTAGAACGGACTGGAAAAATACAGACTGCCGCTGTCTCGCTCGCGATACAGACTGCTGAGCGGCCTCAAGCACTCTCCGCCAGTTATCTACAACTGGAGGTGGAATATCTTCTGCCATTGGGACTACCCTATTCTGTGATTGCTTCGTTCGTATTACCTACGAAACGGAGTTGAGTGCGTCAACGCATTATGCCATGGATGCTAACAACAGCATACCACACAAATTTCTGAAGGTATAACCAACGAGGGCTTCACGGATAACAATGCTTCTAGCAGATATGTTCCGATGAAACCCAAGAAATCAGCCTGATCATGGAGGTGGAAAATGAGTCATGTGGAGTTGATCAGAAGTGAGGGAGGACAGGCTCTGGGGAAAGATCTTCCAATCTCTGGGGCGCTAGCCAGGCAGCAACAATTATGAGAACAGATTCATGGGCAGACACGAAACAAATTTACAATTGTAGGGGCCTAACGCGATTGGCTGTTGTGAACAGTTTTGAACGCGGTCATAGCCGACAATGGTGCTTGGGCAAAACTCGAGCTGTTGTGGATGAGAGCGGGAAGTCCGCGGAACGCGTTCCATCCAAGGCAAGATCGATGTGCAAGGGAGCGCAAGGCACGGCAGGCAGCCCAGAATTTTGATCGCCTTGAAAGCTCCAGTCTTGGCAGGGAAAAGAGTGTCGGTCACGGCGAATTTCAGATGACCCGAAACTGCCTCTTGCCCCGCCGTCGATGCTTCTCTCCCAGCCCAGACCGATCAAAGGAATACGGGCAGCGAACACGACTGTGAATCACTCGCTTTCCACATCATCGATATTGTCGTCCACGTGACAGCATTTTACTTGCTAATGTGCTGGTTATCACATCGCTTGCATTTTCGCATATGTCGTCAGACTCGTTAGCGTCGAGATTATCAGATTGTTTCTGTCTGGGGCTGGAACAATCAGTTTTCCGCTACCAAGCCTCAAGTCTCTCTCATCACCAAATCACCTCATTTCGCCAACACCAAATCACCATTTCCATGTCCTCCAGTGTCCACCATCACTTCGTCTGCCTTACTGCTTCACTGCGTCCCGGGTACACACATACTGGATAGTGATATCTATCAGTGGACTTAAGGAATTTCTTTTTATTTGTGCCAATGAGAATTCAATTCTAGCTCTTCCAACGTGTAGTCTGCACCAGATCTCGTCAAAATGCCTCCACACGACCTAGGAGGTCCTTCAGGAGGAAACATTTCGTCTTCTGGTGCACCGCATGAGCCGAAACACCCAATATACAACATAGTACCCACTGATCCTGATCACTGGCCACAAGCGAAAGATGGCAATCCGAACCCTCTGGCTCCCGAGGTGAGCTCCGCGAGCACACTGAATGTGCCTTGTGCGATGTGATGAAGGATCCAGAGGGAATCTTTGGAAGATGTACCGGAAGAGAATCCACCAGACTTACTGAACGCCGACGTTTTTTCATGGACGTTTCGCATAGTCCCCTGAATACAGCCTTATGGAGTTTTTTTACGAGTCAAAGCATGCGGTTTTCGGCTCCGAACGCCTTTTGTTGCCGTGACGTTGCACACAATGCAAAGCAATCTGTCATTGCTTATGGTTTGGTTCGTATAGACCGCTGGTTGTCGTCGTCCGCAAATAAATCAACCCATATTACCGTCACGGAAATAATAATTCGTTTCAGGTGCGAGCTGCAGTGGGAGCTCTTCGAAGGGTCGGTGCGAGCTTGGGATGGCCCGACGACCGAGGAAATCCGCCAACCGACGTCTTGGACTGCCTTCAAAACGCCTTCAGCTTCCAAGTGAGCTGCGCTTTTGACAGCTGAATGGCTTTCCTCCGTCTAGTCCCTGATACGCACAATCTTCGCATTGAAACGATCTGGTTAGGTTCACTGTTGACACCACGGACCTAATTATACTGCCAAGAACGTGGTGACGGGACTGAAATTCTACATACTTGAAGTAATTGCGTAACTATTCCTGTCTGTGTCCTGTGCTCTTCTGCTCGCATGCAGTCTGGTAACGTTGTTAACCAGAGGGAGCATCTGGTTCTTCTACTAGCCAACAATCAGATGCGGATTCGACCGTTGGATCCCCTTGAAGCTGAGCCTCTGGTACGTGCACATGCATCTCGCGAGGTGGATTTGATTTTCCAAGCGTTGTTCCAAGCGGAGCAATGAAAGGACTACGTTTGACATGTCTTGACGCATTACTTTTAGATGAACTGGGCCATCAGGGTACAGCTAGCCGAGCGGGTTACTCTTGGCTGTCCACGAACAGTGAACATATAGTTTGTGTGAATGAGCAATGGATTCTTTTGATGACTTCATTTGTTTTGCAAGGCATGTCTGATTGAATCCATGCAACATTTCATCCATCCACTGAGGAAGCTGCCATGTTTTTCCCTGCTAACTCCTCGGCTGCAGCTTGACCCGAACGTGATCACGCTGGTGTGCGACCAGCTGTTGAGCAACTACAAGTCGTGGTGCACATACGTGGGCAGGAAAACCAGCATCATGTCAGTCAGTCTCCGTTCTCGTCACGTTATGTCTTTCGCTTGTCACGTGTGAACATCCCCCTCACCACCGCAAGGCATGCGAATTTACCTTCCACTAATTTCGTGAGTTTCTGCTGGGGCTTGTCCATGCCAATGCACTCTTTCTTACAAACAGCAAGTTCTTTCGTATCCCTCCCTTGCCGATTCACGGCCTCACCTTAAATCGATCATGTCTCTGGGTCCCGTTTCCTGCCACTTACCCTGTGGCTTCTCCGGTCCAATCCAGTGACGACTCGGCTCTGGTTGGTCGCAAGAGGACTTCTCCCCCTACAGGCAGCACCGATTTAGTCTACTGCTCCCTCTTCCTGCTCATTTGGGGCGAAGCAGCCAACGTTCGCTTCCTTCCGGAGTGCCTCTGCTACATTTTCCACCATGTGAGAGCCTGGTTTCCACCTTCCATCATGTGAAAGCATGACCCAGTTTGTTTCACACCTTCCTCCATTGCCAAGTGAAAATTTCAGCTCATGAGAAATCTTGTCTCAAAGATCTCCCTGTGGGGTCGTCTCCATGCGGCCCTTTCATGTAGCTACAGAAGCCAACCAGCGGCCGTTTTCTTTCCACTTACTCTCCTCTTTCTCCTCTCCCCCTTGCCCTGTCAGCTCGCAGCAGAGACCAACGAGCTGATGACCCAGTCCGCCAGGGCTCTTTCTCGCGACCGCAGCATTCCCAGCCAGCCCTACGGGTTCCTCAACACCATCATCCAGCCACTCTACAATGCAATTAAAGGAGTAAGTTCTGTGAACTTATCCTATTTCAGTGGCTGGGTATTCTGTAATACCACAGCAGTTAATCCTTGGGGTGAACTACTGTGTTGCTCGTTTCCCCTCTCTTTCTCCCATTCTCCCGTTCTCTCATATCTTCGCCTTGTGCATGACATGCAGCACTCGAACTCCAGTTTCCCCGCACGCGTCTCCCATTTCCCCTCTCCCCTCTCCCATCTGCCCTCTCCGCTCTCCCCTCTCCGCTCTCCCCTCTCCCCTCTCCCCTCTCCCCTCTCCCCTCTCCTCTCTCCCCTCTCCCCTCTCCTCTCTCCCCTCTCCGCTCTCCCCTCTCCCCTCTCCCCTCTCCCCTCTCCCCTCTCCCTACCCTCTCCCCTCTCCCCTCTCCCCTCTCCCCTCTCCCCTCTCCCCTCTCCCCTCTCCCCTCTCCCCTCTCCCCTCTCCCCTTTCCCCTCTCCTCCCCTCTCCCTGTACCAGGAGGCGGACAGCAATGTGGGGGGCAAGCTGCCGCACGCCAAGTGGCGCAACTACGACGACTTCAACGAGTTCTTCTGGTCGCCACGCTGCTTCGACCGCCTCTCCTGGCCGCCCAACCAGTCAGCCGTCTTCTTCATCCCCCCGGTATTGCCTTGCCACCTCCTTCACCCTGTCTGCGTTGCTGTCCTCCCATCCCGCCAGTACTTCTGTCTTGTTTTACCAACGCTGTAACCAACCCTCCCGTATGCTGCTTTTATAAAGGCGAAGCCATGCCGGTGGTGCTCTCTCCGTTGAATCACACATTCTCGTGTGTCCTCCTGTCACCATCCTCAGCATGTTCAACGCACGCGTCACTGTCTATGTCATGATGTGACTTGCTCTGCTCTTATGCACCTCCCCGCAGAACAAGACGGGTCACGAGGGGGGCAAGACGGGCTTTGTGGAGCAGCGCACCATCCTCAACATGTTCCGCAGCTTCGACCGCGTCTGGATCCTCCTCATCTTCGCCTTCCAGGTGCTTATCTTGGCTCTTCCCCCCGGCCCCCCATCCCATCCCCACGCATGTCATAGCCTTGCCTTTTCCCTTCTCTGGTTCCTTGCCCACGTCCCCCCCTTTCCCCCCTTCTCCCCCGTCCTCCCCGCCCGTTTCGATTCCCTTGTCTGCTGCCTGCCCAATACCTGCTGCGCTGCCTCTCTTCCTGTGCGTCAGCTCATGTTCATCACGGCATGGAAGGCGGAGGGCAGCAACCCCTTCACGTACCTGGCCGGAAACAGGGATACTGTGGCGCTGCTGCTCACCTGCTTCATCACATGGGCCGGCATCAACCTTTTTCTTGGTGAGAAGCGGTGGTTGGTTGGCGGTGGTATGTGGTGGTATGCGGTGCTGTGGGGGTGAAAGAGTGGTGTGTCGTGATGAGTTTCAAGTGCATCTTAGAGTGGCTTGCATATGCTGTCGTCAAGGCAGTGCAACACGAGCTCTGTCTGTCTCACGGTGCTTTTTTCACTAACCACTGCACCTGACTGCATACGTGTCCCGCTTTGCCTTCTCTTCCCTGTCCCGCGCCCCCACCTCAAGTTGTCCCTCGCTCCCACCTCTATTTGTCCCTCCCCAACACCTCTTTGTCTCCTTCCCCCTTTGTTCTTCCTCTCTACCCCATCACACCTATAGCCCTGGCGGACATGGTGATGGAGTGGCGTGGCGTCTCATCCGCCCCTCCAACATGCGCTTCAACGTTGTCCCTCCCCACACTTCTTCCTCTTCCCTTCCCATCACACCCGCAGCTCTGGCGGACATGGTGATGGAGTGGCGTCTCATCCGCCCCTCCAACATGCGCTTTAACGTCCGCCTGCTGCTGCGCCTCCTCGTTGCCATCGCCTGGTGCATCGCCTTCACCGCTCTCTACCTGTATGTGCCAATCTCTACCTGCATGTACAGCTCTCTACTTGTGTGTACCACTCTCTGCCTCGCCCTCCACCTGAATCTGGTCACGTCCCCCCATTCCCCCCCTTACCCCCTCGTACTCCATTCGGGCGCATCAAGGCAGGCACCTTCATTCCCTGCCTCCCCTTCTTCTGGAACCGCGTGCACCCTCTCCTCGTCTTCCCCCACCCTCATCCCGCAAGCGGTCCATGTATTAGATCCGAGCAAGGTACAGACATGCACAAGGATATAGAAAAGCAAAGCAACTCAGCTTCTCATCCCTCTCTCTCCCAGCGTGATGTGGAATGCACGCAAGGCAGCCACCTACTGGTCGCCCACAGCCAACACGACTACGGTCTCGTTCCTCATAGCAGCGCTCGTCTTCATGACCCCGCACCTGCTCTTCCACCCTCTCCTCTCCATCCCATTCTGCCCGCCCTCACCCCTCTCTCTCCCTCTCCCAGCGTGATGTGGAATGCACGCAAGGCAGCCACCTACTGGTCGCCCACAGCCAACACGACTACGGTCTCGTTCCTCATAGCAGCGCTCGTCTTCATGACCCCGCACCTGCTCTTCCACCCTCTCCTCTCCATCCCATTCTGCCCGCCCTCACCCCTCTCTCTCCCTCTCCCAGCGTGATGTGGAATGCACGCAAGGCAGCCACCTACTGGTCGCCCACAGCCAACACGACTACGGTCTCGTTCCTCATAGCAGCGCTCGTCTTCATGACCCCGCACCTGCTCTTCCACCCTCTCCTCTCCATCCCATTCTGCCCGCCCTCACCCCTCTCTCTCCCTCTCCCAGCGTGATGTGGAATGCACGCAAGGCAGCCACCTACTGGTCGCCCACAGCCAACACGACTACGGTCTCGTTCCTCATAGCAGCGCTCGTCTTCATGACCCCGCACCTGCTCTTCCACCCTCTCCTCTCCATCCCATTCTGCCCGCCCTCACCCCTCTCTCTCCCTCTCCCAGCGTGATGTGGAATGCACGCAAGGCAGCCACCTACTGGTCGCCCACAGCCAACACGACTACGGTCTCGTTCCTCATAGCAGCGCTCGTCTTCATGACCCCGCACCTGCTCTTCCACCCTCTCCTCTCCATCCCATTCTGCCCGCCCTCACCCCTCTCTCTCCCTCTCCCAGCGTGATGTGGAATGCACGCAAGGCAGCCACCTACTGGTCGCCCACAGCCAACACGACTACGGTCTCGTTCCTCATAGCAGCGCTCGTCTTCATGACCCCGCACCTGCTCTTCCACCCTCTCCTCTCCATCCCATTCTGCCCGCCCTCACCCCTCTCTCTCCCTCTCCCAGCGTGATGTGGAATGCACGCAAGGCAGCCACCTACTGGTCGCCCACAGCCAACACGACTACGGTCTCGTTCCTCATAGCAGCGCTCGTCTTCATGACCCCGCACCTGCTCTTCCGCCCTCTCCTCTCCATCCCATTCTGCCCGCCCTCACCCCTCTCTCTCCCTCTCCCAGCGTGATGTGGAATGCACGCAAGGCAGCCACCTACTGGTCGCCCACAGCCAACACGACTACGGTCTCGTTCCTCATAGCAGCGCTCGTCTTCATGACCCCGCACCTGCTCTTCCACCCTCTCCTCTCCATCCCATTCTGCCCGCCCTCACCCCTCTCTCTCCCTCTCCCAGCGTGATGTGGAATGCACGCAAGGCAGCCACCTACTGGTCGCCCACAGCCAACACGACTACGGTCTCGTTCCTCATAGCAGCGCTCGTCTTCATGACCCCGCACCTGCTCTTCCACCCTCTCCTCTCCATCCCATTCTGCCCGCCCTCACCCCTCTCTCTCCCTCTCCCAGCGTGATGTGGAATGCACGCAAGGCAGCCACCTACTGGTCGCCCACAGCCAACACGACTACGGTCTCGTTCCTCATAGCAGCGCTCGTCTTCATGACCCCGCACCTGCTCTTCCACCCTCTCCTCTCCATCCCATTCTGCCCGCCCTCACCCCTCTCTCTCCCTCTCCCAGCGTGATGTGGAATGCACGCAAGGCAGCCACCTACTGGTCGCCCACAGCCAACACGACTACGGTCTCGTTCCTCATAGCAGCGCTCGTCTTCATGACCCCGCACCTGCTCTTCCACCCTCTCCTCTCCATCCCATTCTGCCCGCCCTCACCCCTCTCTCTCCCTCTCCCATCGTGATGTGGAATGCACGCAAGGCAGCCACCTACTGGTCGCCCACAGCCAACACGACTACGGTCTCGTTCCTCATAGCAGCGCTCGTCTTCATGACCCCGCACCTGCTCTTCCACCCTCTCCTCTCCATCCCATTCTGCCCGCCCTCACCCCTCTCTCTCCCTCTCCCAGCGTGATGTGGAATGCACGCAAGGCAGCCACCTACTGGTCGCCCACAGCCAACACGACTACGGTCTCGTTCCTCATAGCAGCGCTCGTCTTCATGACCCCGCACCTGCTCTTCCACCCTCTCCTCTCCATCCCATTCTGCCCGCCCTCACCCCTCTCTCTCCCTCTCCCAGCGTGATGTGGAATGCACGCAAGGCAGCCACCTACTGGTCGCCCACAGCCAACACGACTACGGTCTCGTTCCTCATAGCAGCGCTCGTCTTCATGACCCCGCACCTGCTCTTCCGCCCTCTCCTCTCCATCCCATTCTGCCCGCCCTCACCCCTCTCTCTCCCTCTCCCAGCGTGATGTGGAATGCACGCAAGGCAGCCACCTACTGGTCGCCCACAGCCAACACGACTACGGTCTCGTTCCTCATAGCAGCGCTCGTCTTCATGACCCCGCACCTGCTCTTCCACCCTCTCCTCTCCATCCCATTCTGCCCGCCCTCACCCCTCTCTCTCCCTCTCCCAGCGTGATGTGGAATGCACGCAAGGCAGCCACCTACTGGTCGCCCACAGCCAACACGACTACGGTCTCGTTCCTCATAGCAGCGCTCGTCTTCATGACCCCGCACCTGCTCTTCCACCCTCTCCTCTCCATCCCATTCTGCCCGCCCTCACCCCTCTCTCTCCCTCTCCCAGCGTGATGTGGAATGCACGCAAGGCAGCCACCTACTGGTCGCCCACAGCCAACACGACTACGGTCTCGTTCCTCATAGCAGCGCTCGTCTTCATGACCCCGCACCTGCTCTTCCACCCTCTCCTCTCCATCCCATTCTGCCCGCCCTCACCCCTCTCTCTCCCTCTCCCATCGTGATGTGGAATGCACGCAAGGCAGCCACCTACTGGTCGCCCACAGCCAACACGACTACGGTCTCGTTCCTCATAGCAGCGCTCGTCTTCATGACCCCGCACCTGCTCTTCCACCCTCTCCTCTCCATCCCATTCTGCCCGCCCTCACCCCTCTCTCTCCCTCTCACAGCGTGATGTGGAATGCACGCAAGGCAGCCACCTACTGGTCGCCCACAGCCAACACGACTACGGTCTCGTTCCTCATAGCAGCGCTCGTCTTCATGACCCCGCACCTGCTCTTCCACCCTCTCCTCTCCATCCCATTCTGCCCGCCCTCACCCCTCTCTCTCCCTCTCCCAGCGTGATGTGGAATGCACGCAAGGCAGCCACCTACTGGTCGCCCACAGCCAACACGACTACGGTCTCGTTCCTCATAGCAGCGCTCGTCTTCATGACCCCGCACCTGCTCTTCCACCCTCTCCTCTCCATCCCATTCTGCCCGCCCTCACCCCTCTCTCTCCCTCTCCCAGCGTGATGTGGAATGCACGCAAGGCAGCCACCTACTGGTCGCCCACAGCCAACACGACTACGGTCTCGTTCCTCATAGCAGCGCTCGTCTTCATGACCCCGCACCTGCTCTTCCGCCCTCTCCTCTCCATCCCATTCTGCCCGCCCTCACCCCTCTCTCTCCCTCTCCCAGCGTGATGTGGAATGCACGCAAGGCAGCCACCTACTGGTCGCCCACAGCCAACACGACTACGGTCTCGTTCCTCATAGCAGCGCTCGTCTTCATGACCCCGCACCTGCTCTTCCGCCCTCTCCTCTCCACCCCCACTCTGCCCTCTCTCTCCCAGCGTGATGTGGAATGCACGCAAGGCAGCCACCTACTGGTCGCCCACAGCCAACACGACTACGGTCTCGTTCCTCATAGCAGCGCTCGTCTTCATGACCCCGCACCTGCTCTTCCGCCCTCTCCTCTCCATCCCATTCTGCCCGCCCTCACCCCTCTCTCTCCCTCTCCCAGCGTGATGTGGAATGCACGCAAGGCAGCCACCTACTGGTCGCCCACAGCCAACACGACTACGGTCTCGTTCCTCATAGCAGCGCTCGTCTTCATGACCCCGCACCTGCTCTTCCGCCCTCTCCTCTCCATCCCATTCTGCCCGCCCTCACCCCTCTCTCTCCCTCTCCCAGCGTGATGTGGAATGCACGCAAGGCAGCCACCTACTGGTCGCCCACAGCCAACACGACTACGGTCTCGTTCCTCATAGCAGCGCTCGTCTTCATGACCCCGCACCTGCTCTTCCGCCCTCTCCTCTCCATCCCATTCTGCCCGCCCTCACCCCTCTCTCTCCCTCTCCCAGCGTGATGTGGAATGCACGCAAGGCAGCCACCTACTGGTCGCCCACAGCCAACACGACTACGGTCTCGTTCCTCATAGCAGCGCTCGTCTTCATGACCCCGCACCTGCTCTTCCGCCCTCTCCTCTCCATCCCATTCTGCCCGCCCTCACCCCTCTCTCTCCCTCTCCCAGCGTGATGTGGAATGCACGCAAGGCAGCCACCTACTGGTCGCCCACAGCCAACACGACTACGGTCTCGTTCCTCATAGCAGCGCTCGTCTTCATGACCCCGCACCTGCTCTTCCGCCCTCTCCTCTCCACCCCCATTCTGCCCGCCCTCACCCCTCTCTCTCCCTCTCCCAGCGTGATGTGGAATGCACGCAAGGCAGCCACCTACTGGTCGCCCACAGCCAACACGACTACGGTCTCGTTCCTCATAGCAGCGCTCGTCTTCATGACCCCGCACCTGCTCTTCCGCCCTCTCCTCTCCACCCCCATTCTGCCCTCTCTCTCCCAGCGTGATGTGGAATGCACGCAAGGCAGCCACCTACTGGTCGCCCACAGCCAACACGACTACGGTCTCGTTCCTCATAGCAGCGCTCGTCTTCATGACCCCGCACCTGCTCTTCCGCCCTCTCCTCTCCACCCCCACTCTGCCCTCTCTCTCCCAGCGTGATGTGGAATGCACGCAAGGCAGCCACCTACTGGTCGCCCACAGCCAACACGACTACGGTCTCGTTCCTCATAGCAGCGCTCGTCTTCATGACCCCGCACCTGCTCTTCCGCCCTCTCCTCTCCATCCCATTCTGCCCGCCCTCACCCCTCTCTCTCCCTCTCCCAGCGTGATGTGGAATGCACGCAAGGCAGCCACCTACTGGTCGCCCACAGCCAACACGACTACGGTCTCGTTCCTCATAGCAGCGCTCGTCTTCATGACCCCGCACCTGCTCTTCCGCCCTCTCCTCTCCATCCCATTCTGCCCGCCCTCACCCCTCTCTCTCCCTCTCCCAGCGTGATGTGGAATGCACGCAAGGCAGCCACCTACTGGTCGCCCACAGCCAACACGACTACGGTCTCGTTCCTCATAGCAGCGCTCGTCTTCATGACCCCGCACCTGCTCTTCCGCCCTCTCCTCTCCATCCCATTCTGCCCGCCCTCACCCCTCTCTCTCCCTCTCCCAGCGTGATGTGGAATGCACGCAAGGCAGCCACCTACTGGTCGCCCACAGCCAACACGACTACGGTCTCGTTCCTCATAGCAGCGCTCGTCTTCATGACCCCGCACCTGCTCTTCCGCCCTCCCTCTCCACCCCCATTCTGCCCTCTCTCTCCCAGCGTGATGTGGAATGCACGCAAGGCAGCCACCTACTGGTCGCCCACAGCCAACACGACTACGGTCTCGTTCCTCATAGCAGCGCTCGTCTTCATGACCCCGCACCTGCTCTTCCGCCCTCTCCTCTCCACCCCCATTCTGCCCTCTCTCTCCCAGCGTGATGTGGAATGCACGCAAGGCAGCCACCTACTGGTCGCCCACAGCCAACACGACTACGGTCTCGTTCCTCATAGCAGCGCTCGTCTTCATGACCCCGCACCTGCTCTTCCACCCTCTCCTCTCCATCCCATTCTGCCCGCCCTCACCCCTCTCTCTCCCTCTCCCAGCGTGATGTGGAATGCACGCAAGGCAGCCACCTACTGGTCGCCCACAGCCAACACGACTACGGTCTCGTTCCTCATAGCAGCGCTCGTCTTCATGACCCCGCACCTGCTCTTCCGCCCTCTCCTCTCCACCCCCATTCTGCCCTCTCTCTCCCAGCGTGATGTGGAATGCACGCAAGGCAGCCACCTACTGGTCGCCCACAGCCAACACGACTACGGTCTCGTTCCTCATAGCAGCGCTCGTCTTCATGACCCCGCACCTGCTCTTCCGCCCTCTCCTCTCCACCCCCATTCTGCCCTCTCTCTCCCAGCGTGATGTGGAATGCACGCAAGGCAGCCACCTACTGGTCGCCCACAGCCAACACGACTACGGTCTCGTTCCTCATAGCAGCGCTTGTCTTCATGACCCCGCACCTGCTCTTCCGCCCTCTCCTCTCCACCCCCATTCTGCCCGCCCTCACCCCTCTCTCTCCCTCTCCCAGCGTGATGTGGAATGCACGCTAAGGCAGCCACCTACTGGTCGCCCACAGCCAACACGACTACGGTCTCGTTCCTCATAGCAGCGCTCGTCTTCATGACCCCGCACCTGCTCTTCCGCCCTCTCCTCTCCACCCCCATTCTGCCCTCTCTCTCCCAGCGTGATGTGGAATGCACGCAAGGCAGCCACCTACTGGTCGCCCACAGCCAACACGACTACGGTCTCGTTCCTCATAGCAGCGCTCGTCTTCATGACCCCGCACCTGCTCTTCCGCCCTCTCCTCTCCACCCCCATTCTGCCCTCTCTCTCCCAGCGTGATGTGGAATGCACGCAAGGCAGCCACCTACTGGTCGCCCACAGCCAACACGACTACGGTCTCGTTCCTCATAGCAGCGCTCGTCTTCATGACCCCGCACCTGCTCTTCCGCCCTCTCCTCTCCACCCCCATTCTGCCCTCTCTCTCCCAGCGTGATGTGGAATGCACGCAAGGCAGCCACCTACTGGTCGCCCACAGCCAACACGACTACGGTCTCGTTCCTCATAGCAGCGCTCGTCTTCATGACCCCGCACCTGCTCTTCCGCCCTCTCCTCTCCACCCCCATTCTGCCCTCTCTCTCCCAGCGTGATGTGGAATGCACGCAAGGCAGCCACCTACTGGTCGCCCACAGCCAACACGACTACGGTCTCGTTCCTCATAGCAGCGCTCGTCTTCATGACCCCGCACCTGCTCTTCCGCCCTCTCCTCTCCACCCCCATTCTGCCCTCTCTCTCCCAGCGTGATGTGGAATGCACGCAAGGCAGCCACCTACTGGTCGCCCACAGCCAACACGACTACGGTCTCGTTCCTCATAGCAGCGCTCGTCTTCATGACCCCGCACCTGCTCTTCCGCCCTCTCCTCTCCACCCCCATTCTGCCCTCTCTCTCCCAGCGTGATGTGGAATGCACGCAAGGCAGCCACCTACTGGTCGCCCACAGCCAACACGACTACGGTCTCGTTCCTCATAGCAGCGCTCGTCTTCATGACCCCGCACCTGCTCTTCCGCCCTCTCCTCTCCACCCCCATTCTGCCCGCCCTCACCCCTCTCTCTCCCTCTCCCAGCGTGATGTGGAATGCACGCTAAGGCAGCCACCTACTGGTCGCCCACAGCCAACACGACTACGGTCTCGTTCCTCATAGCAGCGCTCGTCTTCATGACCCCGCACCTGCTCTTCCGCCCTCTCCTCTCCACCCCCATTCTGCCCTCTCTCTCCCAGCGTGATGTGGAATGCACGCAAGGCAGCCACCTACTGGTCGCCCACAGCCAACACGACTACGGTCTCGTTCCTCATAGCAGCGCTCGTCTTCATGACCCCGCACCTGCTCTTCCGCCCTCTCCTCTCCACCCCCATTCTGCCCTCTCTCTCCCAGCGTGATGTGGAATGCACGCAAGGCAGCCACCTACTGGTCGCCCACAGCCAACACGACTACGGTCTCGTTCCTCATAGCAGCGCTCGTCTTCATGACCCCGCACCTGCTCTTCCGCCCTCTCCTCTCCACCCCCATTCTGCCCTCTCTCTCCCAGCGTGATGTGGAATGCACGCAAGGCAGCCACCTACTGGTCGCCCACAGCCAACACGACTACGGTCTCGTTCCTCATAGCAGCGCTCGTCTTCATGACCCCGCACCTGCTCTTCCGCCCTCTCCTCTCCACCCCCATTCTGCCCTCTCTCTCCCAGCGTGATGTGGAATGCACGCAAGGCAGCCACCTACTGGTCGCCCGCAGCCAACACGACTACGGTCTCGTTCCTCATAGCAGCGCTCGTCTTCATGACCCCGCACCTGCTCTTCCGCCCTCTCCTCTCCACCCCCATTCTGCCCTCTCTCTCCCAGCGTGATGTGGAATGCACGCAAGGCAGCCACCTACTGGTCGCCCACAGCCAACACGACTACGGTCTCGTTCCTCATAGCAGCGCTCGTCTTCATGACCCCGCACCTGCTCTTCCGCCCTCTCCTCTCCACCCCCATTCTGCCCTCTCTCTCCCAGCGTGATGTGGAATGCACGCAAGGCAGCCACCTACTGGTCGCCCACAGCCAACACGACTACGGTCTCGTTCCTCATAGCAGCGCTCGTCTTCATGACCCCGCACCTGCTCTTCCGCCCTCTCCTCTCCACCCCCATTCTGCCCTCTCTCTCCCAGCGTGATGTGGAATGCACGCAAGGCAGCCACCTACTGGTCGCCCACAGCCAACACGACTACGGTCTCGTTCCTCATAGCAGCGCTCGTCTTCATGACCCCGCACCTGCTCTTCCGCCCTCTCCTCTCCACCCCCATTCTGCCCGCCCTCACCCCTCTCTCTCCCTCTCCCAGCGTGATGTGGAATGCACGCAAGGCAGCCACCTACTGGTCGCCCACAGCCAACACGACTACGGTCTCGTTCCTCATAGCAGCGCTCGTCTTCATGACCCCGCACCTGCTCTTCCGCCCTCTCCTCTCCACCCCCATTCTGCCCTCTCTCTCCCAGCGTGATGTGGAATGCACGCAAGGCAGCCACCTACTGGTCGCCCACAGCCAACACGACTACGGTCTCGTTCCTCATAGCAGCGCTCGTCTTCATGACCCCGCACCTGCTCTTCCGCCCTCTCCTCTCCACCCCCATTCTGCCCTCTCTCTCCCAGCGTGATGTGGAATGCACGCAAGGCAGCCACCTACTGGTCGCCCACAGCCAACACGACTACGGTCTCGTTCCTCATAGCAGCGCTCGTCTTCATGACCCCGCACCTGCTCTTCCGCCCTCTCCTCTCCACCCCCATTCTGCCCTCTCTCTCCCAGCGTGATGTGGAATGCACGCAAGGCAGCCACCTACTGGTCGCCCACAGCCAACACGACTACGGTCTCGTTCCTCATAGCAGCGCTCGTCTTCATGACCCCGCACCTGCTCTTCCGCCCTCTCCTCTCCACCCCCATTCTGCCCGCCCTCACCCCTCTCTCTCCCTCTCCCAGCGTGATGTGGAATGCACGCAAGGCAGCCACCTACTGGTCGCCCACAGCCAACACGACTACGGTCTCGTTCCTCATAGCAGCGCTCGTCTTCATGACCCCGCACCTGCTCTTCCGCCCTCTCCTCTCCACCCCCATTCTGCCCTCTCTCTCCCAGCGTGATGTGGAATGCACGCAAGGCAGCCACCTACTGGTCGCCCACAGCCAACACGACTACGGTCTCGTTCCTCATAGCAGCGCTCGTCTTCATGACCCCGCACCTGCTCTTCCGCCCTCTCCTCTCCACCCCCATTCTGCCCTCTCTCTCCCAGCGTGATGTGGAATGCACGCAAGGCAGCCACCTACTGGTCGCCCACAGCCAACACGACTACGGTCTCGTTCCTCATAGCAGCGCTCGTCTTCATGACCCCGCACCTGCTCTTCCGCCCTCTCCTCTCCACCCCCATTCTGCCCTCTCTCTCCCAGCGTGATGTGGAATGCACGCAAGGCAGCCACCTACTGGTCGCCCACAGCCAACACGACTACGGTCTCGTTCCTCATAGCAGCGCTCGTCTTCATGACCCCGCACCTGCTCTTCCGCCCTCTCCTCTCCACCCCCATTCTGCCCTCTCTCTCCCAGCGTGATGTGGAATGCACGCAAGGCAGCCACCTACTGGTCGCCCACAGCCAACACGACTACGGTCTCGTTCCTCATAGCAGCGCTCGTCTTCATGACCCCGCACCTGCTCTTCCGCCCTCTCCTCTCCACCCCCATTCTGCCCTCTCTCTCCCAGCGTGATGTGGAATGCACGCAAGGCAGCCACCTACTGGTCGCCCACAGCCAACACGACTACGGTCTCGTTCCTCATAGCAGCGCTCGTCTTCATGACCCCGCACCTGCTCTTCCGCCCTCTCCTCTCCACCCCCATTCTGCCCTCTCTCTCCCAGCGTGATGTGGAATGCACGCAAGGCAGCCACCTACTGGTCGCCCACAGCCAACACGACTACGGTCTCGTTCCTCATAGCAGCGCTCGTCTTCATGACCCCGCACCTGCTCTTCCGCCCTCTCCTCTCCACCCCCATTCTGCCCTCTCTCTCCCAGCGTGATGTGGAATGCACGCAAGGCAGCCACCTACTGGTCGCCCACAGCCAACACGACTACGGTCTCGTTCCTCATAGCAGCGCTCGTCTTCATGACCCCGCACCTGCTCTTCCGCCCTCTCCTCTCCACCCCCATTCTGCCCTCTCTCTCCCAGCGTGATGTGGAATGCACGCAAGGCAGCCACCTACTGGTCGCCCACAGCCAACACGACTACGGTCTCGTTCCTCATAGCAGCGCTCGTCTTCATGACCCCGCACCTGCTCTTCCGCCCTCTCCTCTCCACCCCCATTCTGCCCTCTCTCTCCCAGCGTGATGTGGAATGCACGCAAGGCAGCCACCTACTGGTCGCCCACAGCCAACACGACTACGGTCTCGTTCCTCATAGCAGCGCTCGTCTTCATGACCCCGCACCTGCTCTTCCGCCCTCTCCTCTCCACCCCCATTCTGCCCTCTCTCTCCCAGCGTGATGTGGAATGCACGCAAGGCAGCCACCTACTGGTCGCCCACAGCCAACACGACTACGGTCTCGTTCCTCATAGCAGCGCTCGTCTTCATGACCCCGCACCTGCTCTTCCGCCCTCTCCTCTCCACCCCCATTCTGCCCTCTCTCTCCCAGCGTGATGTGGAATGCACGCAAGGCAGCCACCTACTGGTCGCCCACAGCCAACACGACTACGGTCTCGTTCCTCATAGCAGCGCTCGTCTTCATGACCCCGCACCTGCTCTTCCGCCCTCTCCTCTCCACCCCCATTCTGCCCGCCCTCACCCCTCTCTCTCCCTCTCCCAGCGTGATGTGGAATGCACGCAAGGCAGCCACCTACTGGTCGCCCACAGCCAACACGACTACGGTCTCGTTCCTCATAGCAGCGCTGGTCTTCATGACCCCACACCTGCTCGGCATCCTGCTCTTCCTCACGCCTGAAATCAGCCGCCGTGTGGAGGCCTCCAGCTCCTCCTTCATCCGCATGCTCGTCACCTGCCTCGAGGTGAGAGGGGTGCTCGTCACGTGCCTCAATGCCTGCTAGAGCGGCTGCTGGATAGGCTACTGGCCCTACTCGGCATCCTGCTCTTCCTCATGCCTGAAATCAGCCGCCGCGTGGAGGCCTCCAGCTCCTCCTTTATCCGCATGCTCGTCACCTGCCTCGAGGTGAGGAAGAGGGGGGGGTACTTGTCTTGAGGTGGAACAAGTGCTCGTCGCATTCGGTGAGGTGAGGAGGGGTTGTTTTGAGTCGACTAAAAAACGTTTTTGATTCGACTGGAAAGCCGCTGCATGGAGGCCTCCAGCTCCTCCTTCATCCGCATGCTCGTCACCTGCCTCGAGGTGAGGTCATGCTTGCTGCTCGTCCACGGGTTTGTCACATGCTTTGAGCTGACATGCCTGCCTCACTGGCTGCTGGACAGGCTGCTCGTTGGCTCGTTCCTCTTCAATCTCAGCACAAACTAGGGCTTGTGTAGGCACGCACACCGTTCACCAGAATGCACCCCTAATTTGAAAAACAAGCCCACTGTTTGTGGCTTATCCTCTCTGTGTCTTATCCCCCATGTACCCATCTGCGTCTTATCCTCCATCCATCCATCGGTCGGGTCCATCAGGATGACAACTTCGTGGGCAGGGGAATGCGTGAAGACACATGGGACTCCATCAAGTACGTGCCCACCCGCCCATCCACCCACCTGCCCGTCAACCGTCTGCCTCCCTGCCCGCCTGCGTTCCACTTCCACCTTACCCGCCTGGCTGCCTGCCCGCCCGCCCGTCTGCCTGCTGTCCAGCCCACCTGCCTGCCTGCCTGCCTTCTGTATGCCTGCTGCTGTTTCTTGCACTTGACATCTCACGTACCTGTGCCTGCTGTTTCCCTTGCGAAGGTCCCCCTGTATTAGTCTCTTTCTCTCCTCTCCTCTCCTCTCCTCTCCTCTCCTCTCCTCTCCTCTCCCCTTCGCCCACCCATTGCTGCGGTGGTCTGTCTCAGGTACTCCTTCTTCTGGCTGCTCCTCCTCGCTGGAAAGTTCGCCTTCAGCTACTTCCTCTTGGTGAGCGAAAACTGTTGTGGTGTGCCCCTATCTCTTCGTCCGTCTTCTTTATCTCCCTGTTCTTCTCCCCTCTACTGTTTCCTTTCCACCAGCCTTCCTTCCAACCCATTTCGTCTGCTTGATTCAGCTCTACTGTCTCATTCCTTTCTTCCTCTCTCTTCTCACCCTGTCCCTGCCCTTTTCTCATCGCTTCCTCCTCATGCCTTCTCGTCTTCTCGTCTTCTCGTCTTCTCCCTCTCTCCCCTACTCCTCTTCTCCCCCTCTCCTCTCACCCTCTCCCCCTCTCACCCTCTCCCCCTCTCCCCATCTGCCCCTCTCCTCTCCCCCTCTCTCCCTTTCCTCTCACCCTCCCCCCCTCTCTTCTCCCCCTTTCCTCTGCCCCTCTCCTCTATCCCATGCAGATCCGGCCTATGGTGGAGCCCACCAAGGCACTGCTAAACACAACCATCCACTACACGTGGCCAGAACTCTACAAGTCAGGTGCGCTCCCACCCCACCCCACCCCATGCCATCCCATCCCATCCCATCCTATCCCATCCCTTCCCATCCCATCCCATCCCATCTCATCCCGCCCTTTGCCATCTCATCCCGCCCTTTGCCATCTCATCCCGCCCTTTGCCATCTCATCCCGCCCTTTGCCATCTCATCCCACCCGGTCGCATACCATCCTATATGCGTGGATACTGTCCCGATGGGTGCGTGAAGAATAGCTTAGTCACTGCCTGATTCTAAATTGTGTGCATGTGTGCTGGTGTGCGTGTGCTTGTGCATGTGTGCATGTGTGCTTGTGTGCTTGTGCATGTGCGCGTGTGCGCATGCATGTGCGTGTGTGCGCATGCATGTATGTGTGTGCTTCTCTGTGTGCTAACAGGCAACTACGTCGCTGTCTTCTGGCTCTGGGCGCCAGTTGGTGTGGTACGTCCTCGCATCTCCCACTTACTCTCCATCCAATCTTCATTCACCGATTCACCAACCCGTCCACTGCTTCCATCCTGCTTCTCTGCTCGTGCAAGCCTCTCCTCGTGATTGTGCTCCAATTAAAAGATCGGAAGCATGTCTGCACCTCGGCACTTTCCATGTCCCATCCACCTATGTGCCCCCATCCAACCAATGTCCCCATGCCCTTGTGCAGATTTACATCATGGATCTTTCGATATTCTACGCCATTTTCTCCTCTGTTGTGGGCTACATCATGGGCGTCTTTGCTCATATCGGGGAGGTGCGTAAGGGGGACGTGAGGGATGGAGGTACACTGCGCGTGAGGTACCCCCTTCTCAGAACCTGCTGTCATCTGATTTTGGTTGAAGGATAGTTGATTTGTGTTTGCAAGGGAAATGACATGCTCCCACTGGTCAGCCGTGTGAGTGAAGCTGCTTACCCTGCAAATCCTTTCCCCCCCGCTCCTCGTCCCTCCACGTGCCATGCACCTCAACCTATTGCACCCTCATGCCTGAATAACCCTCCCCCACCACGCCACCATGCCCCTGTCTCCCTCTTTCACAGGTGAGGCACATGAAGCTACTCACACCGCACTTCCGCTTCCTGCCCCGGCCCATGCACCTCTACCCCCTGCCTCATGTGCTCTTGCCCGTCCCGCCCCCTCCACCATGCCCTGGCCCCCTCCTCCCATCTCCACATATCCACTCTCATCTCCCTTCCACAGGTGAGCCACGTGAAGCTGCTCACGCTGCGCTTCCGCTTCCTGCCCCGCGCCATGCACCTCAACCTGCTGCCGCCCTCCACCAACGCCCAGCGCAGCGGTGGCATGCGCAGCGCCATGGCGCGCATGTGGAACCGCATGGCCATGACCTACGGGCTCGTCTCGCCAGACACCTGGGTGCGTATGTGCGTGGGGGGAGGGGGCAAGGGGTGTTTGGTCTGCACAAGGTTATGCATGTTCTTTTCCGCAGCATGCGCAGCACCATGGCTCGCATGTGGAACCACATGGCCATGATCTACGGGTTTGTCTCGCCCGACACCTGGGTGCGTTCGGTCTGAGCAAGGCTATGATTATATCACTATGTTCAAGAGTGACCTACGGGCTGCTCGCCTCACCCGAAACCTGTGTGCCTTTGGTCGCCTGCCGTTGACCCCAGCATCACTCGGTGCTCTTGACTGGTGCTCACACGGATGGCTCGCTGCTTGAATGGGCCGGCGTTTTTTGTCCCATGTGCAGGAGACGGACGAGCGGTGGGCGGTGCTGTGGAACAGCGTGATTGGGAGCTTCAGGGAAGAGGACCTCCTGTCTGACGCGTGAGTGGCAGGGAAGGGAGAGGGGGGCGGGGGGAATTGAGGGGTTTGGGAGTTTATGTGGGCGATGAGAGAAGAGAACCTCCTGGCGGATGCATGAGTGGCAGGAATGTGGGAAATTCGGATTTGGGGGGGTGGGGGAGGGTGGGGGGAAGGAGGGGGAAGAAAGGACGTTGTGAAACAGGTGTAAATTTCAATCCTGCAGAGGGACCATCTTCCATCAGAATAGTTCTCTTTACTTTCCCAACTCCACAGCGAGTAGGAACTCCTCCCACCCCCTCTTCCCCTGCTGATCCCCCCTGTCCCCCTTACCCCTGTACTTTCTTCCCATCCCCTCCTCCCCTGCTGTTCTCTCCCCCCTCCCCTGGCCCCTCACATGTGCCACAGCGAGCTGAACCTTCTGTCCATCCCCGAGGCCTACACCACGGCCACTGTTTCCCGCTGGCCCATTGTGCTGCTGGCCGATCAGGTACGTCTCAACTCAATGTGCTTATCACAAATCAGGCTTGACGTCCTTGTAACGGATTGGGCATGATTTGTATGCACATATCACACCAGCTATGGTGCGTGGTGCTACTGTAGTACAGCAGCAGTAGTACAAAGACATCACGCTTCCTCCTTCCTCCTCTCACTCCACCTCCTCCACTCACAACACCCTCTCCTCTCCTCTCACCCACACGTAACCAGGTGGTGAAGGCCACGACCATTGCCGGCAGGTGGAAAAACAGTTCCTCTTCCCTCTGGCGGCGCCTCTGCTCGTCCGACTTCTGCCGCTGCGCCGTGCTCGAGACCTTCGCCCTCTTCCGCCTGCTGCTCTCCCACCTGCTCATCGCCGGCACGCCCGAGCACCGCATGGTGCAGCAGCTGCTGGCGGAGATCGACGGTGCAGCCAGTGGCGCATCAGGAGAGGCGCAGACGGACAGGGACTTTGTGGATGACTTCAACCTGGGAAAGCTGCCCGCCGTGCAGGCGAAGCTAGTGGCGCTCACTGCGTTCCTTCTCAGGGGACCTACTGAGGACGAGCTTCCCAAGGTGAGTCATCTTTCTTTGACAGTGCGGTCAGCGGGGCAGCAGGGGAGGCACACACGGACAGGGACTTTGTGGATGACTTCAACCTGGGGAAGCTGCCTGCCGTGCAGGCGAAGCTGGTGGCGCTCACTGCGTTTCTGCTCAGGGGACCTACCGAGGAAGAACTTCCCAAGGTGAGGCTTGTATCGAGGTCAATTTATTTAAGTCTAGGTCAATTAGAGCCCAGGTCAGGTCACCGTATCTGCAGCACCGCTGGCACCCCTGAGCACCGCATGGTGCAGCAGCTGCTGGCGGAGATCGACGGTGCGGCCGGTGGGGCGGCAGGAGAGGCGCACACGGACAGGGACTTTGTGGATGACTTCAACCTGGGGAAGCTGCCTGCCGTGCAGGCGAAGCTGGTGGCGCTCACTGCGTTTCTGCTCAGAGGACCCACTGAGGACGAGCTTCCCAAGGTGAGTCATCTTTCTTGAGGGTGCAGCCAGTGGGGCGGCAGGGGAGGCGCACACGGACAGGGACTTTGTGGATGACTTCAACCTGGGGAAGCTGCCTGCCGTGCAGGCGAAGCTGGTGGCGCTCACTGCGTTTCTGCTCAGGGGACCCACCGAGGACGAGCTTCCCAAGGTGAGGCTTGTCTGAGAGGTCCTAAAATGCCTTTTCGCCATCGCCTGCATCTCTGAGCACTGCTTGCTGCAGCAGAGCAGCAACTCGTGGCGCTCATTGCGTTCCTCCTCAAGGGACCTACTGAGGACGAGCTTTCCAAGGTGGGGCTTGTCTTTAAGGCGCTTGCAACTATACATGACACTGCTCACTGGCCCTCACCTGTTACTTCAACCCACCACATCCATGCCCCTCCCACCCCCGCCACCGCCCACCCCGCCAGGCCATCATGCTGGTACAAAACCTGCACGAGGTTGCCGTGCGGGACTTCTGGAGCGCTGGCAACTACTCGCTCCTCCTCTCCAAGGGCGTCATCCCGCGCTCCATCCCTCCCGCCTCGCCGCTCTACGTGGGCGCCATCCGCCTGCCCGACCCCTCCGACCCGACCTACTTCGCCCCGCTGCAGCGCCTGCACTCGCTGCTCACCTGCCACAACGCCATGGCTACCATCCCTGCGAATCCCGAGGCCCGGAGGCGGGTTACGTTCTTCTGTAACTCACTGTTCATGGCCATGCCGCCCGCTCCCACGGTGCAGCGCATGCGGTCGTTCTGTGTGATGACTCCGTACTATAACGAGTCGGTGATGTACTCACCGGATGAGCTCAGGCGGCCCAACGAGGATGGCATCTCTCTGCTCTACTACCTCCAAAACATCTTCCCAGGTATGTCTTGAGTCGGCTGAAAACGCACACCAAACCGCAGTGCGGACGAGTGGTTGTTCTGCAGACGAGTGGAAAAGACCCTTCTACTCCTGCAGTCTGCATTGCCCTTGATCCCCTTCCCCCTTCACTCCTACTCACAAACAGCCTTCTCTGCTGCTCCTGCTCCCCATGCCCGCCTGCAGACGAGTGGAAGAACCTGGAGGAACGGCTGGGGGTGCGGGGCAGGGAGGTGTGGGAGTTTGACGACGGTGCTGAGGTGTGCCGCTGGGCCTCCTACCGTGGGCAGACCCTTGCTCGCACAGTGCGGGGGATCATGTACTACCACAGGTGTGTGCGGCATGAGGCATTCTCACTCGCACCGGTGGTGCAATCCTATAACTGCTTTCATCTTCTTCTGTGCTGCTGGGCCTCCTAGCGTGAGCGGACAGAGCCTTGCTCGCACAGTGCGCGGCATCAAGAACTACCACAGGTGTGTTCGTTCATGGCACCAGGTTACTGTTAGACACTTCGTGTAGTCACGTACGTTGTGTGCTTTGACCTATTCACCCCCCCATTCTCAACCATGGCAACCCCTTTCCTTTCCCCCTCCTACTCCCCCTCACAGGGCACTAAACCTTCTCTCCTACTTCCTCATTCGAGCTGCGCTGCCTCGAACCCAGACTGACCATGGCACCATCCCCCCTTTCCACCTCCTCCCCCACACAGGGCACTCGACCTGCTCTCCTACTTCGACACAGACCCAGACGCCCCCCTTGTGAGGCTCTCAAACACACACCGACCATGGCACCATGCTTTCCCCCGCACTCCCCCCCTCAACTCACAGGGCACTGGATCTGCTCTCCTGCTTCGATACCGACCCAGACGCCCCTCCCACCGAAGGCCGCGAGCTTCATTCCAAGCGCCAACCCACCGCCGCCGCACCTCCCGTCGAAGAGATGTCCGCCGCTGCCGCCGCCGCTGCCGCCGTCGCCTCTGCCTTCGGCGGCAGCGGGAGGATGCCAGACGCGGGGTGGGACTCTCAGGCTTCAGTGGAGCACATAAGAGAGCAGATCTCGCAGCATCTGGGGCAGCAGCGCGAGTACGACCCCCAGTTTTCCCTCGCCGATGTGAAATTCACGTATGTGGTCGCCTGCCAGATTTACGGCGAGCACAAGCGCAAGAACGACCCGAAAGCGCGGCACGTGTTGGAGCTCATGCAGGAGAATCCCGCGCTCAGAATCGCGTATGTGGACGAGCAGCCGCCCGCGCCGGGATCGGGCGGCGGGACTCGGTACTACTCCGTGCTCGTGAAATGGGACCAGTGGAATCAGCGCGAGGTGGAGATTTTCCGCGTGCAGTTACCCGGCCCGATCAAGATCGGTGAAGGGAAGCCGGAGAACCAGAACCATGCGATCATCTTCACGCGCGGGGAGGCGCTGCAGACGATCGACATGAACCAGGACAGCTATTTGGAAGAGGCGCTGAAGATCCGGAACTTTCTGGAGGAGTTTTCGGAGTCACGGCGGCGGATTCTGGGGATGAGGGAGCATGTGTTCACGGGCAGTGTGTCGTCTCTCGCGGCGTTCATGTCGGCGCAGGAGACGGCGTTTGTCACCATCGGGCAGCGCGTGCTGTACAACCCCTTGAAGGTGCGTTGCTGGCTTGTCTCATCTCATGTTGGGATTCTGGGGATGAGAGAGGATGTGTTGAGGGGCAGTGTGTTGTCTCTGGCAGCAGCGTTCATGTTAGCGCAGGAGACGGCATTTGTCACTCCTGGGCAGCGCATGCTGTATAACCCTCTCATTCTAGGCAGCTCAAAGTGGGGATCGCTGTACATGTTTGATCCTTTCCTACCCATGCGTGTGGTTGTTGGCACCCCCTCCACGCACTGCTCCTCGCCCCTCCAAGCCTCTCCTTCTCCTCTCCTTGCTCCCATCTCCTCCCCAGTCCCTCCAGGTGCGCATGCACTATGGGCATCCAGAGGTGTTTTGACCACCTGTGGTCACTGGCACCCCACCCAAACGATCCTTCTCATCCTTGCACCCCCTCACACCCCCTCACATCCCCTCACACCCATCCAGGTGCGAATGCACTATGGGCACCCTGACGTGTTTGACCGCGTGTGGTCGCTGGCGCGGGGTGGCATCAGCAAGGCATCACGGGTGATCAACATCAGTGAGGACATATTCGCTGGCTTCAACACCACTCTGAGGCGTGGAGCCATCTCCCACCACGAGTACATTCAGGTGAGAGATTGTATTCAGGTGTACTATGAGTTGATTTGAATGGCATCAGCAAGGCGTCGCGGGTGATCAACATTAGTGAGGACATATTCGCTGGCTTCAACACCACGCTCAGGCGTGGAGCCATCTCCCACCACGAGTACATTCAGGTGAGCGGATAGGTGGCATGAGTACATGCAGGTGATCAGAGGCGGCATGCATGTTCATATGTACCAGGTTAGACGGACTCAGAGTTTCCTCATGTGCATTTCCTCATGTGCGTTCTTCCCATCATGTTTGCATTGCCCACACCTGCTTCAGGTGGGCAAGGGCCGTGACGTGGGTCTCAACCAGATCTCCCTCTTTGAAGCCAAGGTGGCTCCCCAGGCGCCTCAAGAATCGACACCCATGCTTACTTCCACACACACACGGCCCCCTTACCCCCTCCCCACACCTGCTTCAGGTGGGCAAGGGCCGTGACGTGGGTCTCAACCAGATCTCTCTGTTCGAAGCCAAGATAGCAAGCGGCAACGGAGAGCAGCTGCTCTCACGGGACGTGTACCGGCTGGGCCACGGGCTGGACATGTTCCGCCTGCTCTCCTTCTACACCACCTCCATCGGCTTCTTCTCCGTCACGCTGCTTTCTCTAGGCCCCTTATGAATCCACACTCATGCTTCCACACACACCCCCCAACCCCCCGGTTTCAGGTCGGAAAAGGTCGTGACGTGGGGCTGAATCAAATCTCCTTGTTTGAGGCCAAGGTCGCCAGCGGCAACGGAGAGCAGCTGCTGTCACGGGACGTGTACCGGCTGGGCCACGGGCTGGACATGTTCCGCCTGCTCTCCTTCTACACCACCTCCATCGGCTTCCTCCCCACTCTACCCCCTCCAGGCGCCTCAAGAATCGACGCCCATGCTTACGTCCACACACACACGGCCCCCTTACCGCCTTCCCCCCCCGTTTCAGGTGGGCAAGGGTCGTGATGTGGGTCTGAACCAGATCTCCCTCTTTGAAGCCAAAGTAGCAAGTGGCAACGGAGAGCAGCTCCTCTCGCGGGATGTGTACCGGCTGGGCCACGGGCTGGACATATTCCGCCTGCTCTCCTTCTACACCACCTCCATCGGCTTCTTCTTCAGCACCGCCCTCACTGCCATGGCCGTCTACGCCTTCCTCTGGGGGAGGTGCTATCTGGTGCTGTCCGGCGTGGAGGCGACGGTTTCTTCGTCGGACAACCAGGCGCTCTCCACCGCCATCAACCAGCAGTTCCTCGTCCAGGTGTGTTCCAGTGAAGGGGTGGGTACAGGGGGCTTTGCGATAGGTCCTGGACTCAAGGATGCAGGCAGGTGAGAGTCATAAAGGCAGGTGGGCCACGGGCCGCCTGCTCTCCTTCTACACCACCTCCATCGGCTTCTTCTTCAGCACCGCACTCACCGCCATGGCCGTGTACGCCTTCCTCTGGGGGAGGTGCTATCTGGTGCTGTCCGGCGTGGAGGCAACGGTTTCTTCGTCGGACAACCAGGCGCTATCTGCCGCCATCAACCAGCAGTTCCTCGTGGAGGTGTGTCACATAGGGTAGCCTGTATGACTTTTAAGTCGACTCAAAATGGCTCTTGAGTCGACTCAAAAGTCAGCCTGGAGGAGACGATTTCTTCGTCCGACAACCAGGCGCAACCAGCAGTTCCTCGTGCAGGTGTGTTCCAGTGAAGGTAGTACTAGTAGGTAGGTACGCCCTACGTGCCGTAGAAGTTTTCTTTCTTTCCATTAACGGATGCATCTGCCTCTTCATGCCCCCTCCCCGCTAATGCGCATGACTTAATCACGCCAATTATAGTGATGCTCACAGGCGTAATCGCTAATGCCCCTTTGCCTTGCGTCCATACGGGCTCATTGTGTTGCTGCTTATGCTGATGAATGCGCGACTCAAAATCCTTCTTTCTCTCCTGCCCCCCCTCCTCAGATCGGGCTGTTCACGTCGCTGCCAATGCTGATGGAGCTGATATTAGAAAAGGGCACAGGGGCGGCGATCTGGGAGTTCCTGCTCATGCACGTGCAGCTCTGCTTCGCCTTCTTCACCTTCTCCCTCGGCACGCGTGCGCACTACTTCCTGCGCACACTCATGCACGGCGGGGCCAAGGTAAGACGGCCGCGCTTGGGCCTAGGAGAATGGTGAGGTATTTGTTACATAGGCGTATCCTCCCTCCTCCTCCTCCTTCCCCCTCCACTACATCCTCCGCACGTTTATGCACCGCAGGGCCAAGGTGCGAGGTTCACCCCTCTCCCTTTTCTTCCATGACAATGCCTAGGTGGAACGGGCGTGATTGATGCATGGTGCAAGGAGGTAATCTGTTGCACAGGCACACTCTCCCTCCTCCTCCCCCCTTCTTGGCCACCACTACTCCCTGCGTACACTCGTGCACCGCAGGACCAAGGTGGGAGGGGCGTGCTTCGAGACAGTCTTGAGACATCTCAGAACGGGGCATGCATGATGCATTCGGAAATTATGTTTCACAGCCATACTCCCCTTATGGAGTAGAGCTGCTGCTCTGCGCAGCCACTTCAACAAGGCAGTGGAGCTCCTCCTCTGCCTCGTCATCTACATGCTCTACTCCTCCCTCCGCTCCTACTGCCTCCTCTCCCTGCTCACCGTCCCTGCTCCCTGCTCTCCCTTTCTCTCGCACCTCCCCTCCCCACTCTTCCGTTCCCCTCCCTATCCTCTCCCTTTTCCAGTACCGGGCAACAGGGCGTGGGTTTGTGGTGAAGCACGAGCCATTCGCGGAGAACTACCGGCTGTACTCGCGCAGCCACTTCAACAAAGCAGTAGAACTCCTCCTCTGCCTCGTCATCTACATGCTCTACTCCTCCCTCCGCGCCTCCACCGCCTACTGGCTCCTCTCCCTCTCCGCGTGGATCCTCGTGCTCTCCTGGCTGCTCGCGCCCTTCGCCTTCAACCCCCTGGGCTTCGACTGGCTCAAGTGCTGCGACGACTGGGAGGAGTGGACGGCGTGGCTGTGGGCCAAGGGCGGGAAGGGCGTGACGGAGAAGCAGGCGTGGGTGGCGTGGTGGGACGAGGAGAGGGCGCATCTGAAGACGACTGGGTGGGGGGGGTGGCTTGTGGAGACTCTGCTGGCGCTGAGGTGGTTCTTCTTCCAATACGCGCTCGTGTACCGGGTGAGTGGAGTGCTGTTGGCTGGTGATGTGCCTGACAGGTCCTCTCAGATGGTTCTCTCTCCTGGCTGCTCGCCCCCTTCGCCTTCAACCCCCTGGGGTTCGACTGGCTCAAGTGCTGCGACGACTGGGAGGAGTGGACGGCGTGGCTGTGGGCTAAGGGCGGGAAGGGCGTGACGGAGAAGCAGGCGTGGGTGGCGTGGTGGGACGAGGAGAGGGCGCATCTGAAGACGACCGGGTGGGGGGGGTGGCTTGTGGAGACTCTGCTGGCGCTGAGGTGGTTCTTCTTCCAATATGCTCTCGTCTATCGGGTGAGTCTGGGTCTGGGTCTGAGTCTGAGTCTGAGTCTGAGTCTCGACTGGCTCAAGTGCTGTGACGACTGGGAGGAGTGGACGGCGTGGCTGTGGGCTAAGGGCGGGAAGGGGGTGACGGAGAAGCAGGCGTGGGTGGCGTGGTGGGACGAGGAGAGGGCGCATCTGAGGACGACTGGGTGGGGCGGGTGGGTTGTGGAAACTCTGCTGGCGCTGAGGTGGTTCTTCTTCCAGTATGCGCTCGTGTATAAGGTGAGTGGAGTGCACATGGCTGTTGGTCTCTCAATGTACAGGAGAGTGATCAGAGTGAAGTGAAGTACCACGTTTGATTCATGAAGCACACACACTCACACACTTGTTTTCTTTCCTCCCTCCACTCCCCCCCCCTACCTCCCTCCCCATTCCAATCTCCAGTTGGATATGGCCGGTGCGAGCACGAGCATCCTGGTCTACGTGTACTCGTGGCTCTTCATTGTCGCCATGGGGGCTCTTCTGGATCTTTTAATTCAACCCAAAAAATAACCTCTGTGCTCCTTTTTTCTTCCACGTCTCCCTATTTTGGCCTCCAGCTGGACATGGCTAGTGCGAGCACGAGCATCCTGGTCTACGTGTACTCGTGGCTCTTCATCTTCGCCATGGGCCTCGCCTGGATCTCCCTCACCCTCTGCGACCTCTACCTCTCCCACATGAAGCACCCACTCACCCGAATTTTTTCCCCACCTCCCTCCCCACTTCCCTCCCTCCCTCCCTCCCCACCTCCCTCCCTCCCCACTCTCCCCACCTCCCTCCTTCCCTATTCCAATCTCCAGCTGGACATGGCCAATGCAAGAACGAGCATCCTGGTCTACGTGTACTCATGGCTCTTCATCTTCGCCATGGGGCTCTTCTGGATCTTTTGGATCAGCCCAAACATAACCTCTGTGCTCCTTTTTTCTTCCACGTCTCCCTATTTTGGCCTCCAGCTGGACATGGCCAGTGCAAGCACGAGCATCCTGGTCTACGTGTACTCGTGGCTCTTCATCTTCGCAATGGGCCTCTTCTGGATCTCCCTCACCCTCTGCGACCTCTACCTCTCCATACGCGCCCACCGCCTTCACCGCGCCGTCAAAACCACCATCTGCCTCGTCTTCCTCGCAGCCTTCATAACCGCTCTCTCCTTCACCAGCCTCTCCTTTTCAGACCTTTTCCTGCTTCCTCTAGTCTTCCTCCCCACGGGATGGGGGTTCCTGCAGCTGACTCTGGTGGTGGCTGGGGCGTTTCCGGCGGTCGAGACGTGGTGGACATGGGGGCTTGTGAAGAGCTTTGCGAGGACTTATGAGTTTATTATTGGGGTGATTGTGTTTTTGCCCATGGCGGTGCTGTCGTGGCTTCCGGGAGTTCAGGACATGCAGACCAAGGTGTTGTTCAACCAAGCGTTCAGCCGGGGTTTACAGATTACGCGGCTTGTCACTGGGGCGCATCCGAATGCAGGTTATTAGTTTAGATATACCGCTTGTGTGGGCAATGGGCATATAATCTAGTGTTGCTTTTGTAATCTAAACGGTACTGCTGGTGCATGTGTTATGCTTCAGGGAGGACTGCTAGAATTGTGAAATAACAAAAACATCAAATGTAGAACCCTTTCGGAATGAATGTACATCTCGTGTACAGGTGGTGCCTATATTTTGATGGCAGCACATCATTGGCTGCGGAGTACTAGCGCGGTCACCTCCTCACCCTCCTGACTCATGGAGCATCCGCGGTGTGCCACATCACCACATCCCCACTCCACAAAGCCTGATCGCCCTAACAAAGTCAAATCAATTTGGTTTGTGGCTGAGAAACTTTCCCGCTGGTATGGAGAGGACCATCAGGAAATTTGTGGCATGTTGAGGTTTCAACGAGGGACAACGTTCAAAATGTACATTCGCCATGAAAAAACGTACTGTATCTTTCTGGAAGCTACAGCACCTTTGTGGATGTGTGGAGTATGAGTGCCATTGTGTTTCAGCGGACCTGAATGCTCAAGAAGGTTTCTGATCCTCAATTCTCGCCTTCCATCACCCCAGCCAGACCATACGCTATTTCCTTGGGATTAGATTCTTCATGCAGTACGAGTAGGCTTTCAGAGGAACTAGAGGATAGTCGTCAGTCTCGAGGGTACTTGCGCTGCATTGAAGCCTCTATCGAGATTGCACTTCTTACGAGTCGGACTGACGACGGCAGACTGACGACGACAGACTTGAGTAACATATCCGCGGCGCTTACTACTTAGCGAATTTGCTTTCTTTTGGCCGAGCATCAGTCAGTCAGTGAATTACAAAACGTCCCGAGGTTTTCTTGGGAGCACAGCGAAGCAGCCATGGGGTTGGTGGGGGAGATCCTGGGCCATCCAGACGAGTTCATGCCGCTGCTGCGGATTCGGCACATGGCGAAGATGGTGTCGAAGCTTCCCGACGACGAGGATTTCGCTTTCTGCTATGGCATGCTCAACCGCGTTAGTAGGAGCTTCGCGTTCGTCATTCAGCAGCTCCACCCGCTACTGCGCGACCCGGTACGATGTGAAGAAAATGTGACCCTAAATGAGTAATGGTCTGGTCTTCATAACAACGAAAAGAATGGTGAAAGTCCGAGTTTAACTTTCAAGATTGAACGCGCGTTCTCCCATCCCTATCGGATCCTCTGAACCAGAATCATGATGAAATTACCACCACCTGTTCATGGCGCGCATGCTCAACACGTGTCGAGCACCTCTCTAGAGCACCTCTCTAGAGGTCGCGCATTCATATTGTGCTACCGACTGACAGCCCTCGACTGAGCAGCATGTTAATGAGTCTAGCGTGTGTTCTGCTTGTCCCTCGCAGGTGTGCATCTTTTACCTCGTCCTACGCGCTCTCGACACTGTCGGTACGCTTCGTGGACTCACCACTTCACCATTTGACCCTGTCACCTTTTCACTCACCCGCGCCTTCTCCATCTACCTCGTTCCTCTCTATACACGCCATTCCTCTCCTCTTCACATGTTCCTGCATCTGCTTTGTACTTGCATTGATGCAAGCTTGCTACGACAGCTCATGCTGCTAAACCCCTCGGGTCCTGTCCTTTCCCGTTCCATTCCTCTAGAGCCATCCACTCTCTTCTTCACTCGCGCAATGATCCACTCAACTTCCAAAATTCATTCGTTCCCTCCGCATCTCCCCGAAGTTCCTCAATCAGTCGCTCCACTCTCCATTCCACACCCACTCTCCATTCCACACCCACTCTCCATTCAACACCCACTCTCCATTCCACTCCCACTCTCCATTCCACACCCACTCTCCATTCCACACCCACTCTCCATTCCACACCCACTCTCCATTCCACACCCACTCTTCATTCCACACCCACTCTCCATTCCACACCCACTCTGCTCCACACCCACTCTCCATTCCACACCCACTCTGCTCCACACCCACTCTCCCTACCACACCTCTCGCCTCCGCCCGTCCAACCAGAGGACGACATGGCAGTGCCCATAGACGAGAAGGTCCCCATCCTCATCGCCTTCCATCAACACATCTGCGACCCCGACTGGAAATTCGTCTGTCAGTGGGCCCCTCCCCAACCCCCCGTTTCCCCCACCCCCTCGCTTGCGCCCTTCTCCTTCTCAACGCTCTTAAATTGTCTTGTCTGCTTATCTGTATGCCTTTCTTGGCCCACTCAACCCAACTCCAGTTTGAACTTTCCCCACCAAGGAGGACTATTAGGACTATGCTCGTGTTAACCCCCTTCAAACATATTTCCTCGCTTGGCCTGGCATTCCTCCAACCTATGTGCAGGGAGCATGGCACGAAAGGCTACACGGACCTCGCTCACACACAGCTCCTCCATACGTCTTCCCTTGCTCGCCTCACTCTGCGCTCCCCCCTCCCACCACCAGGCGGCACCAAGGACTACAAGGACCTCATGCAGCGCCTGCACCACACGCTTCCCTCACCCACTGCCATCCCCCCTTTCCTCCCTTCACCCACCCCCCCCTATTTCCTTCCCACCACCAGGCGGCACCAAGGACTACAAGGACCTCATGCAGCGCCTGCACCACACGCTTCCCTCACCCACTGCCATCCCCCCTTTCCTCCCTTCACCCACCCCCCCCTATTTCCTTCCCACCACCAGGCGGCACCAAGGACTACAAGGACCTCATGCAGCGCCTGCACCACACGCTTCCCTCACCCACTGCCATCCCCCCTTTCCTCCCTTCACCCACCCCCCCCTATTTCCTTCCCACCACCAGGCGGCACCAAGGACTACAAGGACCTCATGCAACGCCTGCACCACGTGCGCCACGCGCTTGAGAAGCTAGAGCCCAGGTTAGACGAGATGAGCTGCAGCCGGGCCATTTCAGGCTAGAAGCTAGTGTGAGAGTGAGACCGTGCAATGGAACCCAGGGACGACGAGGTACCACGAAGGAGAGCCCAGGTAGGTTGAATGAAGTACAGCCAGGCAACTCTAGGGCATATGCCAGATTCTAGGTTCACGTGCAACCATGGAGCTCGTTCTGGGATTCACAACACAGTGCTACCACTTCCCATCCCATCTTGCGCTCCTCGCCTTCCTCTCCCCCCCTACCCCCTCCCCTTCCTCTCCCCCACTACCCCCTCCCCTTCCTCAAACCCGAAACCTTAAACCATGGACTCGCACATGCACCCACGTGCGGCAGGTACAAGGCGGTGATTCTGGACATAACGAGGCGCATGGGAGCAGGCATGGCGTCCTTCATCACCACCGAGGTCAGCCCCTCCCAGCCACCCTCAGCCGCTGTCAACCCCTCTGTGCCCCTCTCGGCCCCTCTCAGCCGCTGTCAACCCCTCTGTGCCCCTCTAGGCCCGTCTCAACTGCTGTCAGCCCCTCTCAGCCGCTTTAACTGAACCCCGCTGTGGCCCGTGTCTCGGTCCTCTTTACCGTGCATCACTTCCCCCTCTGCATCTCTGCCAAAGCCCATCCCTTTCCTCAGAATTGAGCCCTGAACTTTCTACCCAGCAAATCTTCTTGGCTGTTGTTCTATCCAGCAAACCGGTCCCCAGGTGGAGACCAATGGCACAGTACGACAAATACTGCACACTAGCTCAACTCGCCCACCACCTCTGTGCTTAACCTCATTGCCTCTAAATCCCTTCTAAATCATTACCCCAGGTGGAGACGGTGGCACAGTACGATGAGTACTGCCACTGGCTCGTATTTCCCTCCACCTCTATGCAAAAACCCCATTCCTCGTTTCTTTGTAAACCGCTCCCAGGGCGACGAGTACTAACACTAGCTAGCTCACATCACATCGCCCTCCACGTCTCTGCTAAACTCCATTCCTTCCCTCGATGTGGAATCACGCACCCTGCATGTCAACCTCCAGGTGGACTTTTGAGGCGCCTCAAAAGAATCATGCACCCTGCATGTTAACCTCCAGGTGGACACAGGCCACAGTACGACGAGTACTGCCACTACGCGGCGGGGCTGGTGGGCATCGGCCTGTCGTTTGAGGCGCCTCCAAAGACATCTCTAGTCTACCTCTACCCCGCATGTTACCCCCCAGGTGGAAACAGTAGCGCAGTACGACGAGTACTGCCACTACGTGGCGGGGCTGGTGGGCATTGGCCTGTCGGCCCCGACCAGTACTGCGACACGAGCTCAGCTCACTCACATTGCCCTCCACCTCTTTGCTGGACTTCGTACCTTCCCCCAGGTGGAAACAGTGCCACAGTACGATGAGTACTGCCACTACGTGGCGGGGCTGGTGGGCATCGGCCTGTCGGATCTCTTTCATGCGGCCAACCTGGAAGAAGCGTTTGAGGAGTCGCTCTCCAACTCCATGGGCCTCTTCCTGCAGGTGCGTGCGCCCGTCAGTCCTTCCTTCACTCACATGCTGCTGAGGTGACTCTTGAGTCAAATCAAAGGTCTCCTCGTTTCAGCAGTCTCTCTTTCTCATTCCATGGGCCTCTTGCAGCAGGTCCACCCGTCTGTCTTTCCATCCAACATCTGTCCATCCATCCGTCCATCGCTCACGTGATGTCTCGTCGGAGCACCGAAGCATCAGGGAAAAACCTTCATCAGAGCTGCTCACCCCATGCTAATCCGGTCCCTCCCTTCCTTCCCTGTTGTGCATGCCCCCATGCATACACGTGCTGTGCCCCATATCCCCGATGCCTCTCATGTCCCCATGTCCCCCATGCCCCCCATATTCCCCATGCCCCCATGGCACAGAAGACCAACATCATCCGCGACTATCTAGAGGACATCAATGAGGAGCCCGCTCCCCGCATGCCCCCCGTGCCCTCATGTGCCCCATGCCCCCCATGTCTCACATGTGCCCCATGCCCCCCATGTCTCACATGTGCCCCATGCCCCCCATGCCATGACCCCATGGCACAGAAGACCAACATCATCCGCGACTATCTAGAGGACATCACAGAGGAGCCCGCTCCTCATGTGCCCCTTGCCCCCCATGTCCCCATGCCCCCATCTTCTCCCCATGCCCCCCATCTGCCCCATGCCCCCCATTACATGCCTCCACGGCACAGAAGACCAACATTATCCGGGACTATCTAGAGGACATCAATGAGGAGCCCGCTCCCCGCATGTTCTGGCCCAAAGCCATCTGGGGCAAGTACGCCGCGCGCCTTGAGGTGAGTCGCAGTGGGGACAACATCTGAGCTCGCTCAAGCATTCGTTTGTGGCCCAAAGCTATCCGAGGCAAGTGCGCAACACGCGGTGCTGTGGGAAGAAATCGGCCGAGTAGGCTGTTTTCCAGGCGCCTTGGAAAAGGCTCGTCGCATTTTCTGGCCCAAAGCCATCTGGGGCATGTGCGCCACGCACCTTGAGGTGACCAATTGGTTTCCTGCTATGCCCTGCATTCCACGCAACACTGCCTGCCACGTGCCCTGCCTTTGTCCCCCCTTCCCCCTTTTCTTCCGCCTGTGAAATCAGCGATGTTTTAGGTGCCTCCAATAATGCTTCATGATTTGTGATCCTTTCCCTTTCTTCTGCCAGGCTCTCTCCAACCCCCCGCTTAGCAAGCAGGTATTCTCGGACGTGAAGAGCAATGGAGCGGCCGCAGCAGTGAATCATTCTGAGACGTTCCACTCACGACTACTTGACCACTCTTGTGCCGCATTGCCCCTCTCCTCTTTTCTCCCCTCCCTCCTACCCCCACACATGATTTCAAGGACGTGGCGAGCAATGAAGCAGCGGCAGTGAAGTGTGTGAACGAACGAGCTGGTGACCAACGCGCTGGGCCATGTGAGCGACTGCCTCTCCCGCTCCCTCCCCCTCTCTCCCTCCTCCTACGTCCACCAGGATTTCAAGGAGGTAGACAGCAACGGGGCAGCAGCAGTGAAGTGTGTGAACGAGCTGGTGACGAACGCCCTGGGCCATGTGAGCGACTGCCTCACCTACATGCACCGCCTCAGAGACCCCCAAGTGTTCCGATTCTGCGCCATTCCCCAGGTCCGTGAGTGACAGGTCAGCGTTCCCCAGGTCCGTGAATGACCAGTCAGCATTCCCCAGGTTTGTCACTGACAAGTCAGCTTACCCATAATCCATTGCTGACATATCATGCTTCCATTCTCCCATGTGGTCATGCTCCCATCCCATATGGTCATGCACCCTTGTGGTCAACTTTCCAAATGCGTGGTCTCGGCCACAACAAGCATTTCAAACCGTCTCAGCACTGGAACTGCTTCGTTCCCGCCCCGGCCCTCATACAGAAAACACGGCCAGGGGCACGCCCGTTTGAAACACGCCAGAGGCTTCCAGCTTCAACTTCAATCCTTCCATGCTGCTTGTCTACGCTCCTTTTCCACCCCGGTCCCCGCACAGATCATGGCCATGGGCACGCTCGCACTGTGCTACAACAACACCCGCGTCTTTAATGGTGCTGAGCCGTCTCAACACCTTAACGTGCATGCTTCCCCTGCTCCCATGCCCGCCCTACTCCCATACAGATCATGGCCATGGGCACGCTCGCACTGTGCTACAACAACATCCGCGTCTTCAGTGGTGCTGAGCCGTCTCAACACCTTAACGTGCATGCTTCCCCTGCTCCCATGCCCGCCCTACTCCCATGCAGATCATGGCCATGGGCACGCTCGCACTGTGCTACAACAACATTGGCGTCTTTGAGGGCGTGGTCAAGATGAGAAAAGGTGCTGTCACCGTAAGACCCCTTACCGCTCGTTGCTGAAGCATGTGTATGGTCGTACCCACTTGTTTCTATTAGTTTTTCCCTTCCCCGCTCACCTTCCGCTTCCGCTTTCACATCGGGCTTGGGCCTCACCCATCTCGACCTGTCTTCACCTCTCCCTCACCTTGTGCCTTTGCCTTGCACGCCCCATACCCTTCTTCGCCCCACACCCCATCCTGGGGGTCAGGTCTAGCGGCGAAGGTGATGGAGCAGACTTGGAGCATGGCGGACGTACGCTCCTCATTCACTGACTTTGGCTTCGAGATCCTGAAAAAGGTACAGCCTGCCTTGCCACTTGCTATCACAGCTTCCTACAAGTGGCGAGGATGGGCAAAGGCGAAGAGAATGGCCTATTTCTCCCCTCTTCACCTTCTCGCTATCGCTCATGTCGTTCCCCTTCGCACCACCTCACACCCCCACACCCACCCAAATGAACGGCAGGTGGACGATTCAGATCCAAACTCGCAGGCAACGCGGGAGTGTATTGGCAAGATCATCGCCTCTTGCAGAACAGAGGGGAGGCTAGTAAGGGGGCGCCTGTCAGTCTGTGACAATGCCAAGTGGCGGTACCTATTCTATTTATTCCTTATTGTAAGTGTCCTTTCCTTCCTCCCCTCCCTCGACTAATCGCTCACTCTCTGTCCTGTCTCAGTCCCCCACTCTCTCTCAACCTTTCTCCCTACGGTCAACCTGCCTGTCTCTCATTCGTTTTCCGTCCCTCCTGACTCTCCCTCCATCATTGCTTTCTCCATTCCGGGCTCCTCCATTCACAACCAATCCACTCGCGACCACTCCATTCACAACCAATCCATTCGCGACCACTCCATTCACAACCAATCCATTCGCGACCACTCCATTCCTTCCCTCTCCATCATTCCTCCACTGCACCCCTTTCTTGTTATCCGTTCTTCTGTTCACAGACACCATCTGCAATCATTTGCAGCAAAGCTCACCATAACCACCGCTCACTAAATGCTGGCTCGTGGCATAACAAGTCTGCTCTGTGTTGTGTTGCTTGCTTCTCTGCAGATGACGCTGATCTTCTACGTGGTCTCATACTTGAGTAATGCCTTCTCATCATAGGGGTTTTTTTTCAGACTGGTGGTGTAACGAACGATACAACACTTACGGTATGTGCTTTACTTGTTGCTGTAAATCAATCCAGTTCTTGTCATGAGCATCTTGAGTAAAAAGTTCCCTCTTTGCTAACAGTCCTTCAACGTAATGCTTCCTCCAGGTGTCTCTTTCACGGCAGTGTATTTCGCCGTACTGGCCAGCTCTCCGAATATGCTGATGCGTTCCCGTGGTGCCACCGTATGTTCTCTTACACTGACAAATGCATACTTCAAGCTGCTCCCCATTTCACAAACACTCCACCACTAGCACCCTGACAGCTTGACGGTGTTAAGTGTAGGGAGTTGGCTTCTTGGCCTTTTAAAAGGCCTTGAAACTTGACAATGTATTGGATTTCCTCATACATCAATGAAAGTTTTCAAATGGCCCGGGGAAAACCAATATGCATGGAAAAAAAAGGCGAGCAAAAATCTGTGTTCCGCTTGGAGCAACCAAGAGAAGGGCTAGTCTGGTCGTGGATGAACTAACAAATACATACTAAAGGTCTTGTGCTAACCACCCTAAGCAAATGTATCACAAAGTTATTCTGTATGAAAATGTACTTTCTCCAAGCGCGTACAGAGTGCATCTCGGGTTTCAAGTTGAATCTTGCCATACGTGAATGGTCACCGACTTTCTTCCGCTGACTCGGACACAGTGGAGAAGATACGAAGCACAGAGGGCAAGCCACGTGTTTCGCGAACCTTCCACTGATACAACATGGCGTGAAACTGAAGAAATCAGACCCGTCCACCGTCGTGCGCTCCCCTCAACTTCCCCGCATTTTACCCCTGTTGCCCAAAACCGCCCCTCCAAGCCTCGATACGTACAGCCTTGAAATGATCACTGCCTTGGGATAATCGATGCCACACATTGAGGGTCAATCACGGCCCAGAACCGAGCCTACCCCGTCGACCAAGCATCTGCTTCGGCGTCCGACCTGGACCACCTTCACTGGCCGACCGCATTATCTGTACCTGTCGCGCCTCCCCGCAACCTTCCTCCCCCGAATCCCCGCCCTTGTCTGCGCAACCCACAGATACCGAATCCCCTCCGCCCAACCCTTCCTGTTTCTGCCTGATTGCCAGAGCAAATTCTTGGAGCCTATATTGGCCAGAATCAACATTCATGGAATTCAATCCGGCTCTTCATTCTCCTGAGACTTGCTCCTGGTTCCGTGTTTCTGAGTAAGACTGGGTGTACAGAACCTGTAGCCATGGCCAAGTCCTACCCTACCGTCAGCGAGGAGTACCAGACGGCGGTTACGAAGGCTAAGAGGGAGTTGAGGGCTCTCATTGCGGAGAAGAACTGCGCTCCCATTATCGTTCGCCTGGCGTAAGTATTGGCTTGCGCTACATCGATGAGATTCTTTGGCCTGACCGTTTTGCAGACCCAATGACGTAGGCTGGCATAGAAGCTGACGGTGGTCTTGGTTTATGAATATGCATGCAGTTGGCATGGTGCTGGCACTTTTGATGTCAAGGATAAAACCGGAGGTCCCTTCGGAACGATCCGCAAGCCGGAAGAGCTGGCGCACGGAGCGAACGCTGGTCTCAAGTGGGCTGTTGACGTCCTCGAGCCCATCAAGACCAAGTACAACATCCTCTCTTACGGCGATCTCTACCAGGTTCGTGCTGGTGCCTCGTTCCGATCTTAGGCTCATTGGCTCTGCTCGTTAGCGTCTTTGTGGCATACTCGTGCGTACGCGCGTCTGATACATGTAACCTGTTTTGAACAGCTTGCTGGAGTCGTCGCTGTGGAGGTTACTGGAGGCCCAGAGGTTGCCTTCAATCCCGGACGCAAGGTACGTGACAAGTTGCACAATCCCAACCTCGGTTCTCAAGTATTACGACATCCGAGATCTCTTTGTAGGTATTGCGCGTATATTATCTTAAAAGTTCTTCATTCCTGTGAATGCTCCCAGGATGGGGAGAAGGCCCCGCCTGAAGGCCGCCTACCAGATGCCACGGGGGGCTCGAACCACCTGAGGGACATCTTCTACAAGATGGGCCTCAACGACAAGGAGATCGTCGCTCTTTCTGGCGCTCACACTCTGGTGAGTAGGGTCTGATAGTTAGGAGTCACTGTCAACGCCAGATCAGTTTTGCATCGCAACGAAGCTAATGGGGAAAACGCCAAAATAACAATGTGATGCGTTTATCACTTGCAGGGGAAATGCCACAAGGAGAGGTCAGGATTTGAGGGCGCGTGGACCACACAACCCCTGAAGTTCGACAACGAGTACTTTGTGTAAGTGGACAGGCAGTGATTGAAACACCGCCCAGTAGGAACCACAGATAAGGAACGGATCTCATAATTTCCTTGTTTGGTACTGCAGCAACCTTCTGGGCGACAATGACAAGGGTCTGCTGGTCCTTCCCAGTGACAAGGCCCTCGTGGAGGACCCTGAGTTCAAGAAGTTTGTCGAACTCTATGCCAAGGTGCGTTGTGTTCTGTGACATTTTTTTCTTTTGGCTTGGCTCACACTGCGAACACATGCCAAAACTCACTTGTGATCTGCGGTTTACTGGGAATGTTACAGGATGAGGATGCCTTCTTCGCTGACTATGCTGCGGCCCACCAAAGGCTAGCTGAGCTCGGGTAAGCGGACCGAAGGGGATGAGCATGGCACAAATGTGTAACCATATGTAACATGAGGCAGGATGCATGCCATGGTTTTCAGGATATGTTTTCCGCAGTTGCTCATGCATTTTTTTTGTCCCTGCAGGTTCGCCGATGCTTGATGTTTAAACACCTGAGTATATTATTGTGGATGTCTACTTTGTTGTCCTCATGGTGTAAAAATTGCAAGCGTGAAGTTCTCAGTTGAAATATTGTACCATCAGTTCAATCGAGTGCCCTGTCCAGTTGAGAAACACATATAGCACTAACAGTTACGAAAGGTGGTGAAGTGGACAGCAGGGGGTGGACAATCTTGCAAGCCTAATTTGCAATCCTAAAGCCTAACTTGAAGGTGCGGCACCCTTTTTGAGTTTCTCGTTAGAATGGAAGAAAAGCCCTTCAAGATAAATAATAGTTATGTTCTGTGCATTACCATCCCATCCATGCACAATTGTAAATTGCGGGGTGAAAGAAATGGAAACCTTGCCTTGCCACCACGAAAACTAGCATACCGTACGTTAGTTAGCCACGCAACACCACCGGCATTGAGAATCGTTCTTCTACATTCCTACTTCTGACTGCAAGTCTAAGCGGTAGCAATTGCCGAAGCTCCAGCAGTTGGAGCATCGCCAAGATCTTGTGCGATGACTCCCAGAAGAACCAGGGACGCCCTGAACATGAACCAGAACAAAATGAGACATATTTGCAATCAATCAATAACGTGTATAGAGCTCTCGAATCAACTGAGTGGTGCACACACATGTAATAAAGGTGGTGGGATTCGGAAGGATGGGAGGGAGGCGGGGGAAGAGTGGATCCCAGGCTGGTTACAACTTACATCGACAAGTGGCTGGCAGCGTGATTGTTAGTTACTGTGGAAAGTGAATGCATCTGTAGGAACGGAGGGGTGCAGATGGTTGAACGGCACGTGCAGGGTAGTGAAAACGAAAATGTTTTTGAGATGTGTCGAAAGTGAGCGCATACCGAGGAACGGAGGGCTGCACGGATGGCTGAGCGGCATGTGCTGCGAGGTCGGGGCGGAGCGATGGCTCTCGATTCAACGCATCCTCAAGCTGTGCGGCTGGCAGCTGTGGAGGCGGGGAGAAAGGGAGTGGGGGAAAGGAGAGGGTGAAAGGAGAGGGAGAAAAGGAGAGGGAGGATGGGAGAGCGGGGAAGGAAAGGAGAGAAGAACGCAGAATGGTGAGAAGATGGGGAGAAGGAAGCAGGTGAGAGTGACGGTGAGGGTCAGGGCGAGTGTGAGTGTGAGGGTGAGGGAGAAGAAAACAACAGAGGTGTGGAAGGATGAGATGGCTCACTTGTAGGAGAACAGGGAAGGAGAGTGGCTTTGTAACGAGGCAGCACTTGATGAAGCCCAGCCACAGCTGCGGATGCGCTCTCCACACCTGGAGGAGACGGCGAGTTAAAGAAGAGATGAGCTAGCAGCATGATGTGGCATTGGATGGCATCACACGACATGTGTTGGCATTGGATGACAAGAGGCGGTGTGAGATGGCATGGGGTGGGCATCAGGTGGCATGAGGTGACAGGCATGGACGGCAGAAAGTTCTTGCCCTGTCATCATGAACACACAGATCTTATGCACGTAACAGTATGATCGGCCACCAAAAAAAGAAGGAACTGACCGAAACACACAAGAGGAGTATCCATGCACCATGGATAAAAAACTGACATCAATGGTAGTCTGGCCTGGCCGTGCCCAGCCATGTTGCCAGTCACACTCTAACCTAACCACACATCTCATTGTCCGTCCTCACCTGTTTGGTTATCAGGCGCGAAAGAATGTCCGCCACAAACGATGCCTGGAGACAGCAACAAGACGCCATGAGACAGGAAAACACGAGAGTGAATGAGAAAGAGAATTAACAGAAACAAGTGTATGGATAATGGAACAGACTGGCGTTCGGTAGACGGCATTACAAATTTCCAAGACTGCAAAGGAAGTGGTGTGAGAGGGAGGCACACGGCTAATGCGGGAATCTTAAACTTGATGCAACATGTGAGGAGGGGAGTGATGAGGAGGGCAGTGAGGAGGGCAGCGAGGAGGGCAGCGAGGAGGGCAGTGAGGAGGGCAGTGAGGAGGGCAGTGAGGAGGGCAGTGAGGAGGGCAGTGAGGAGGGTAGCGAGGAGGGCAGCGAGGAGGGCGGTGAGGAGGGCAGTGAGGAGGGCAGTGAGGAGGGCAGTGAGGAGGGCAGTGAGGAGGGTAGCGAGGAGGGCAGTGAGGAGGGCAGTGAGGAGGGCAGTGAGGAGGGCAGTGAGGAGGGCAGTGAGGAGGGTAGCGAGGAGGGCAGTGAGGAGGGCAGTGAGGAGGGCAGTGAGGAGGGCAGTGAGGAGGGCAGTGAGGAGGGTAGCGAGGAGGGCAGTGAGGAGGGCAGTGAGGAGGGCAGTGAGGAGGGCAGTGAGGAGGGCAGTGAGGAGGGTAGCGAGGAGGGCAGTGAGGAGGGCAGTGAGGAGGGCAGTGAGGAGGGCAGTGAGGAGGGCAGTGAGGAGGGTAGCGAGGAGGGCAGTGAGGAGGGCAGTGAGGAGGGCAGTGAGGAGGGCAGTGAGGAGGGCAGTGAGGAGGGTAGCGAGGAGGGCAGTGAGGAGGGCAGTGAGGAGGGCAGTGAGGAGGGCAGTGAGGAGGGCAGTGAGGAGGGTAGCGAGGAGGGCAGTGAGGAGGGCAGTGAGGAGGGCAGTGAGGAGGGCAGTGAGGAGGGCAGTGAGGAGGGTAGCGAGGAGGGCAGTGAGGAGGGCAGTGAGGAGGGCAGTGAGGAGGGCAGTGAGGAGGGCAGTGAGGAGGGTAGCGAGGAGGGCAGTGAGGAGGGCAGTGAGGAGGGCAGTGAGGAGGGCAGTGAGGAGGGCAGTGAGGAGGGTAGCGAGGAGGGCAGTGAGGAGGGCAGTGAGGAGGGCAGTGAGGAGGGCAGTGAGGAGGGCAGTGAGGAGGGTAGCGAGGAGGGCAGTGAGGAGGGCAGTGAGGAGGGCAGTGAGGAGGGCAGTGAGGAGGGCAGTGAGGAGGGTAGCGAGGAGGGCAGTGAGGAGGGCAGTGAGGAGGGCAGTGAGGAGGGCAGTGAGGAGGGCAGTGAGGAGGGTAGCGAGGAGGGCAGTGAGGAGGGCAGTGAGGAGGGCAGTGAGGAGGGCAGTGAGGAGGGCAGTGAGGAGGGTAGCGAGGAGGGCAGTGAGGAGGGCAGTGAGGAGGGCAGTGAGGAGGGCAGTGAGGAGGGCAGTGAGGAGGGTAGCGAGGAGGGCAGTGAGGAGGGCAGTGAGGAGGGCAGTGAGGAGGGCAGTGAGGAGGGCAGTGAGGAGGGTAGCGAGGAGGGCAGTGAGGAGGGCAGTGAGGAGGGCAGTGAGGAGGGAGGAGGAGGCAGTGAGGAGGGCAGGAGGAGGGCAGTGAGGAGGGTAGCGAGGAGGGCAGTGAGGAGGGCAGTGAGGAGGGCAGTGAGGAGGGCAGTGAGGAGGGCAGTGAGGAGGGTAGCGAGGAGGGCAGTGAGGAGGGCAGTGAGGAGGGCAGTGAGGAGGGCAGTGAGGAGGGCAGTGAGGAGGGTAGCGAGGAGGGCAGTGAGGAGGGCAGTGAGGAGGGCAGTGAGGAGGGCAGTGAGGAGGGCAGTGAGGAGGGTAGCGAGGAGGGCAGTGAGGAGGGCAGTGAGGAGGGCAGTGAGGAGGGCAGTGAGGAGGGCAGTGAGGAGGGTAGCGAGGAGGGCAGTGAGGAGGGCAGTGAGGAGGGCAGTGAGGAGGGCAGTGAGGAGGGCAGTGAGGAGGGTAGCGAGGAGGGCAGTGAGGAGGGCAGTGAGGAGGGCAGTGAGGAGGGCAGTGAGGAGGGCAGTGAGGAGGGTAGCGAGGAGGGCAGTGAGGAGGGCAGTGAGGAGGGCAGTGAGGAGGGCAGTGAGGAGGGCAGTGAGGAGGGTAGCGAGGAGGGCAGTGAGGAGGGCAGTGAGGAGGGCAGTGAGGAGGGCAGTGAGGAGGGCAGTGAGGAGGGTAGCGAGGAGGGCAGTGAGGAGGGCAGTGAGGAGGGCAGTGAGGAGGGCAGTGAGGAGGGCAGTGAGGAGGGTAGCGAGGAGGGCAGTGAGGAGGGCAGTGAGGAGGGCAGTGAGGAGGGCAGTGAGGAGGGCAGTGAGGAGGGTAGCGAGGAGGGCAGTGAGGAGGGCAGTGAGGAGGGCAGTGAGGAGGGCAGTGAGGAGGGCAGTGAGGAGGGTAGCGAGGAGGGCAGTGAGGAGGGCAGTGAGGAGGGCAGTGAGGAGGGCAGTGAGGAGGGCAGTGAGGAGGGTAGCGAGGAGGGCAGTGAGGAGGGCAGTGAGGAGGGCAGTGAGGAGGGCAGTGAGGAGGGCAGTGAGGAGGGTAGCGAGGAGGGCAGTGAGGAGGGCAGTGAGGAGGGCAGTGAGGAGGGCAGTGAGGAGGGCAGTGAGGAGGGTAGCGAGGAGGGCAGTGAGGAGGGCAGTGAGGAGGGCAGTGAGGAGGGCAGTGAGGAGGGCAGTGAGGAGGGTAGCGAGGAGGGCAGTGAGGAGGGCAGTGAGGAGGGCAGTGAGGAGGGCAGTGAGGAGGGCAGTGAGGAGGGTAGCGAGGAGGGCAGTGAGGAGGGCAGTGAGGAGGGCAGTGAGGAGGGCAGTGAGGAGGGCAGTGAGGAGGGTAGCGAGGAGGGCAGTGAGGAGGGCAGTGAGGAGGGCAGTGAGGAGGGCAGTGAGGAGGGCAGTGAGGAGGGTAGCGAGGAGGGCAGTGAGGAGGGCAGTGAGGAGGGCAGTGAGGAGGGCAGTGAGGAGGGCAGTGAGGAGGGTAGCGAGGAGGGCAGTGAGGAGGGCAGTGAGGAGGGCAGTGAGGAGGGCAGTGAGGAGGGCAGTGAGGAGGGTAGCGAGGAGGGCAGTGAGGAGGGCAGTGAGGAGGGCAGTGAGGAGGGCAGTGAGGAGGGCAGTGAGGAGGGTAGCGAGGAGGGCAGTGAGGAGGGCAGTGAGGAGGGCAGTGAGGAGGGCAGTGAGGAGGGCAGTGAGGAGGGTAGCGAGGAGGGCAGTGAGGAGGGCAGTGAGGAGGGCAGTGAGGAGGGCAGTGAGGAGGGCAGTGAGGAGGGTAGCGAGGAGGGCAGTGAGGAGGGCAGTGAGGAGGGCAGTGAGGAGGGCAGTGAGGAGGGCAGTGAGGAGGGTAGCGAGGAGGGCAGTGAGGAGGGCAGTGAGGAGGGCAGTGAGGAGGGCAGTGAGGAGGGCAGTGAGGAGGGTAGCGAGGAGGGCAGTGAGGAGGGCAGTGAGGAGGGCAGTGAGGAGGGCAGTGAGGAGGGCAGTGAGGAGGGTAGCGAGGAGGGCAGTGAGGAGGGCAGTGAGGAGGGCAGTGAGGAGGGCAGTGAGGAGGGCAGTGAGGAGGGTAGCGAGGAGGGCAGTGAGGAGGGCAGTGAGGAGGGCAGTGAGGAGGGCAGTGAGGAGGGCAGTGAGGAGGGTAGCGAGGAGGGCAGTGAGGAGGGCAGTGAGGAGGGCAGTGAGGAGGGCAGTGAGGAGGGCAGTGAGGAGGGTAGCGAGGAGGGCAGTGAGGAGGGCAGTGAGGAGGGCAGTGAGGAGGGCAGTGAGGAGGGCAGTGAGGAGGGTAGCGAGGAGGGCAGTGAGGAGGGCAGTGAGGAGGGCAGTGAGGAGGGCAGTGAGGAGGGCAGTGAGGAGGGTAGCGAGGAGGGCAGTGAGGAGGGCAGTGAGGAGGGCAGTGAGGAGGGCAGTGAGGAGGGCAGTGAGGAGGGTAGCGAGGAGGGCAGTGAGGAGGGCAGTGAGGAGGGCAGTGAGGAGGGCAGTGAGGAGGGCAGTGAGGAGGGTAGCGAGGAGGGCAGTGAGGAGGGCAGTGAGGAGGGCAGTGAGGAGGGCAGTGAGGAGGGCAGTGAGGAGGGTAGCGAGGAGGGCAGTGAGGAGGGCAGTGAGGAGGGCAGTGAGGAGGGCAGTGAGGAGGGCAGTGAGGAGGGTAGCGAGGAGGGCAGTGAGGAGGGCAGTGAGGAGGGCAGTGAGGAGGGCAGTGAGGAGGGCAGTGAGGAGGGTAGCGAGGAGGGCAGTGAGGAGGGCAGTGAGGAGGGCAGTGAGGAGGGCAGTGAGGAGGGCAGTGAGGAGGGTAGCGAGGAGGGCAGTGAGGAGGGCAGTGAGGAGGGCAGTGAGGAGGGCAGTGAGGAGGGCAGTGAGGAGGGTAGCGAGGAGGGCAGTGAGGAGGGCAGTGAGGAGGGCAGTGAGGAGGGCAGTGAGGAGGGCAGTGAGGAGGGTAGCGAGGAGGGCAGTGAGGAGGGCAGTGAGGAGGGCAGTGAGGAGGGCAGTGAGGAGGGCAGTGTGGATCTGACAATGTCAGGGAAGGCTGCAACAGACTCCATGGCGGTGCGGAAGAGGAGCATGGGGAGGGGCGTCTGGCCGACCTGCGCAAGACAATGTAAAAAGCACGCAAACACAGACGCAAATAAACAACAAATTAGCAAACGAGGAAGGATGTCACGTGTAACTTGGGTGCGCCTGAACAGCTAGGATGCCGAGCGGCACTGCTAGAAGGGGACTTGGAAAGGTGGATATAGGTCTGGTGTAAGGTGGAATATATATGACTGCTGTCGAGATTTGGGAAAGAAGTAACAGCTGCATGGCAGATACGCAGGGCTGCGCATGTGCATAACTGTAACATTGTTTCAAGGAGCAGCAGCAATAGCAGGAGAAGCACCATTGACTAAGAAGAAACAAACATCAATGCACCAGCATTTCTGCATTTGTTGATGGACCGGAGAAAACAATAATGCTCCAACGTCAGACCATGCGAGCATACCAGCTGACTGAGGGTGTATTAAAAAAAAAGTCAGTTGTCAAGCGCCCAGCACAATTGCACTAACTATTGTCAAACAGTGCAGGACTGAGGGAGAGCATAGCATACCAGCTGGTTGAGCACTTTGGCAATGACTTGCTGTGTGTAGATGGCATTTGGGTCGACTAAAAAATGAAGCACCATTAGGGCGGGCATACGAGCAGCGCCAGGGCGAGCATTGAAGCATCATCAGGGAGAGCATACCAGCTGGTTGAGCACTTTGGCAATGGCTTGCTGTGTGTAGATGGCACGCTGGGAGATGCAGAAGGAACACACCGCCATGATCTGATGGACGCACACGCACAGCACAAGGGATTGATGTGAATCATCAGAGGAAAAGGAGGAGGTTGGAAATGTTTGAGGCGCCTCAAAAGTCGTCTCCTGTCGCGTTGGGGGAGATGCAGAAGGAACACACCGCCATGATCTGATGGACGCACAGCACAAGGGGTTGAAGTGATTTAGAGGAAGGTGAGATTGGAAGCAGGGTGAGTGCGGTCAACAATTCAACAACACCATGGATCAGAACTCAGCTCAGGCGTACCTTTTTCAGCGGCACGTTGTCCCGCTTGGGTTGCACGGCGTGCAGTGTGGTCATGAGCTCCACTGCTGTTAGCGCTGGCGGCGTGTGTGGTGAACCCTGAGAGAGAGCCAAAGGGAAAGTGGGGAGGCGAAGAAAGAGAGCAATTAGAAGGGTGTGCAGAGGAGTGTGCAGGTGTGTTGGTCATGAACTCCACTCCTGTGAGCGGTGGCGGCGTGTGGGGGGAGCCCTGGGAGCGAGAGAGGGCGCAAGTGAGAAGGGTGGGAAGAGAGGAGAGGGAGGAGAGCGATTGGTATGATCAAAGCAGAAAGGAAGGACTGCAGTGTGCAGTGTGGTCATGGGTTCCACTGCTGCTAGCGCTGGCGGCGTGCTGGGAGAACGAGTTGGAGAACAAGTGAAGGGGAGAGAGGAGAGCGATTAGAAGGGTGTGCAGAGGAGTGCGGAGTGATGACATGAGCTCCACTGCTGTTAGCGCTGGCGGCGTGTGCGGTGAACCCTGGGAGCGAGTGAGAGTGCAGGTGAGAAGGGCAGGAAGAGAGGAGAGGAAGGAGAGCAATTGTCGCTCTCCCTCTCACCTGCACCGCTCTCCCTCTCACCTGCACCGCTCTCCCTCTCACCTGCACCACCCTGCCTCCCTCTCACCTGCACCACCCTGCCTCCCTCTCACCTGCAGCAGCCTTTTCTCACCTGCAGCAGCCTTTTCTCACCTGCAGCAGCCTTTTCTCACCTGCAGCAGCCTTTTCTCACCTGCAGCAGCCTTTTCTCACCTGCAGCAGCCTTTTCTCACCTGCAGCAGCCTTTTCTCACCTGCAGCAGCCTTTTCTCACCTGCAGCAGCCTTTTCTCACCTGCAGCAGCCTTTTCTCACCTGCAGCAGCCTTTTCTCACCTGCAGCAGCCTTTTCTCACCTGCAGCAGCCTTTTCTCACCTGCAGCAGCCTTTTCTCACCTGCAGCAGCCTTTTCTCACCTGCAGCAGCCTTTTCTCACCTGCAGCAGCCTTTTCTCACCTGCAGCAGCCTTTTCTCACCCGCAGCAGCCTTTTCTCACCTGCAGCAGCCTTTTCTCACCTGCACCACTCCTCCTCTCACCTGCAGCAACCGGTCCTGGGCGATTTTGAAGAGCTCCAGAGGCAGATGCAGCAGGCGGGGAAAGACCTCCAGAGCCTGGCAGCAGGTGGGGATGGTGGTGTTCAAGGGAGACGGTGATATGCCGCCGTGTATGGGCAATGGGGCATGGGGCATTAGTCGTGGGGCAATGGGGCATGGGGCATTAGTCGTGGGGCAATGGGGCATGGGGCATTAGTCGTGGGGCAATGGGGCATGGGGCATTAGTCGTGGGGCAATGGGGCATGAGGCATGGGGCATGGGGCAATGGGGCATGGGGCATGCATGACAATGAGGCATGAGCAATGCGGCGTGTGGGATGGATCACACGGCATCATGGGGGCATGAGGGTGCGGACGGATAGCTGTTAAACGGCACATCAATACAGTCACATGGCTGCAGTCACATCTGTTGTACAATAGCAATACTACATCACTCAGTCACCACAACCAGCACGCTAGCGTTCACATAGAGCAATGGTGTGTATGTATGCACCTCGCTTTTTGAGAGGAAGGGCAGGATGGGAATGAGGAGCTCTGGTTCCTGGAGTGGCAGGGAGAAAGGGGAGCAGGCGTTGTGACAAGGAGGGGATGAAGGTGCGAAGTGAGTTGACTTTTAAGACGTCTAAAAAGAGAAAGGGCAGGATGGGAATGAGGAGCTCCGGTTCCTGGAGCCGCGAAGAGAAAGGGGGGAGCGGAAGGTGGGGAGGATGTGAGGAGACAACGGCGGAAGTTGAAAACTTTCTAACGGGGATATTGTGGGAAAGTTGTGCACCGAGAGAGTTGGAAAGTTAATGACACGAACGAAGGTATGATGGGAAAAAACAAGGCAGTTTGTGCTTTACAGTAAATCTTTCAAGCATGTAAATATACCACGCAAACGAACCAGACATAAGGACAAGAGGGACCATACCGCAGGCCATTGCATGAAGGGCGGGGGCGGGCGGCTTTTGAGTTGAGACATCTCAAAAATGGAGAACCAAACAAGAGGAATCTTACCGCAGGCCTGGCAGCAGCGAGGGTTTTGACTGCCGCGATGAAGGGCGGGGGCGGGGCGGCTCTTGAGACATCTAAAAAATGGAGAAGCAAACAAGAGGAATCTTACCGCGGGAAACAAGAGGCATCTTACCGCGGGCCGGGCGGCAGAGAGGGTTTTGACTGCCGCGATGAAGGGCGGGGGCGGGGCGGATGGGCGTGGTGGGTCGGCAACACAGTGCAGCAGCTGGGGGAAGGGGGAGGGGACGAGGTGGGGTGTGGGAGGGCGGAAGAAAAGTGGTGGAGAAAGGCGAGAGAGGGACTTGAAGGGCCACGCAACGCAGTGCAACAGCAGCTGGGGACGGGGAAGGTTTGATTGGTTCGCTCTTTCTTTCCCGTGATCATGCAGGCAACGACTTGATGGAACGGGGGCGGGCGGGCGAGAGCTGACTGGTTAGCGGAGGGGTGAAGAGATGGAACGAGGGGAGGATGTGAACGAGAATTTGGACAAGAGGGATTTTTGAGGCGCCTCAAAAAACGAGGGGAGGATGTGAACGAGAATTTAAACAAGAGGGATGCCAGCAGAGTGTCAGAGAGGGAGAGGCGAAAAAAAGCATGGAATCAGCGAGAGAGAGTATCACAGCCCGCAGCACTGTCGTCCAGCCAGACCAGAGAGAGACGGAGAGAGCCAGCCCTGCCCTGCATGCAGTGCAGCCTACGTGAATGAGTAGGCAAACGTTGCTTTCAGTGGCAGCCTCACCTTCAGCAGCAACCGCATGGAACCCTCTGGGGGGTTGGAGATGAGTGTGAGGAGGTCGGGAGTGGTGGGGGGGAGTGTGGCGAGCATGGGCGGCAGCAGGTCCCGCAGCATGACCCGCTTGGCCACGGGGTTGACTTGGCCGAATACCCGGAAGAAATCCGCCAGTAGAGACGGTCTCTGGTGCAGACCGGGTTAGGAGGGGGGAAGGAGAAGGGGGGAATGGGAGAAAGAGTACGTGTGACTAATAGCAGCATGACGCGCTTGGCCACGGGATTCACTTGCGCAAACACCCGGAAGAAATCCGCCAGTAGGGATGGTCTCTGTGAAGGGAAAAACAGAGGGGCGGTGATGGGAGTGTGACCAGAAGGGAACGTGAGCAAGCGGGGTGGTAAACTCTCAATCTGGGTGATTCTGGTGTGGCCCGGGGAGGTTTTGGAGGAAAGAAGAAAAAAAAAGAACGAGACAAGGCTGCAGGATGTTGGTGCCATACCCGGGAGCAGAGCGCACAGAAGAGCGCCAGTCGCCTCTCCACCTCATGCCCCACTGCCTTCTGCTGCTCGCCTGACAGCTGCACCGCTCCCCCTCCCCCGCCCCCACCTGCTTGCCCTGCTGCCCCTCCCTCGCCTGCCTGCCCCGCTTCCCCTGCTACCCCCCCTTGCTCCCCTCCCACTCCTTCCTTCCCACCACCACCACCAGCACCACCCGCAGCACCAGCAGCATCATCACCACCAGCAGCACCAGCATCACCAGCACCAGCACCACCCGCACCACCAACAGCAGCATCACCAGCAGCAGCAGCAGCATTGGCTAGCACCGGAGGCGGCAGCACCATGCTCGGCAGAGACAGCAGCTGCTTGAGCGCATACCGTTCAATCGGCACAGTGAGGTACGGCAGGGCGTGCAGGCGGTTGGCCACGAGTGCCACGCCCTTGGATCGGATATCGGGGTGCGGGTGCACTGCACACTGTAAGGCCATGGCTAGACATCTCCTGCGCACGGGTGGGCGTAGGACTAGCAGCCGCCAGAGGACCACGAGGGACTCTTTTACCCGCTTTAGCTCTTCTTCTGATCTTGGTCCCTCTGGTTCGTTCTCCTCGGCTTCCCCTCCCTCTCCTCCATCTCCTCCCTCTCCCGCCTCTCCTGCGTCTCTTCCCGCCCCTTTTCCTCCTCCCTCTCCTTCCACACCTCCCCTCTCTCCTCCTACACCTACACTCCCACCCCCCCCATCCACCTCCATTGCTCTCCCACCCTCCTCCCCCTCTCCCCTTTCCTCTAGCCTCCTCTTCCTCCCCACCCCAACCCCAGCCCCCCTGCCCGCGCCAATCCCCCCGTCACCCTCCTTCCGTCCAAGCCCCTCCAGCCCACACGCCTGCCCCAGAAGGTTGAGCAGCGGGGGAGGGAGGAAGGGCGCTTCAACAAAGAGAGGCAGCAGGAGGGACTTGAGCCCGCCAGGGGCAGCGGCAGCAGCAGCGGAGGAGGGCGAGAGAAGGGATCTCAGCTGCAGGGTGGGTACAGGGGGGGGGTTATGGGGGGGTAAGACCAAAATGGGCCCGGGAGCAGTCAAGGAGTATAGGGGAAGGGGGGAGAATCGGTGAGGTGGGTGAGCGGGACAACAGTGTAAAGGGCTGGGGTGAAGGTCATGGGTGGAGGGCTGGTTGGGAGGAGGTTGAGGTTATTAGCATGGGAAATAACAGGGCTTGATTTTTTAGGCGCCTCAGAAATCGTCTAAAAAATCCTCAAAAACTCTTTTGAGGAGCCTCAGAAGTTGTGGGAGGAGGTTGAAGTTATCCGTAAGAGGAGTTTTTTAAGACTTCTCAAAACACTACTTCTCAACTGACAGAGTGGCACACTCAATAAGAGTAGTGTTTTAAGACGTTCCAAAACACTAATTATCAACTGACAGAGTGGCACTCACCACACGAGAGAAGAAAGAAGTGTAGAGAGGAGGGATGTGAGACGATGCCAAGTCCTTGCCTCCTGCTGCAGCAGCACCGGCAGTAGCAGGTGCACCAGCGGCTGTTGTAGCCAGAACATTGGCAGGAGTGGCAGCATCCCCCCCCTGCCCCCTGCCATCCACTTGCATGGGATCGCCTGCTGCTTCTGCTGCTGCTGCTCCTTCGCCTGATGATGCTGGTGGTACAGACGATGGCGCTGGTGGTGGTGGGAGAGCTGGGATATTCGTGGAGGGAGAGGAGGAGGAGGGAGGGGAGGAGTGGTCCAGTGCGAGAGCGTGCAGCACGGAGAGCACAACTTGAGAGCCCTGGTGTGTGGGGAAACGGGAATGAGGTAGGAGTAAGAAATAGTCCATATGGGAATTCTCAGGAGGGAGGGGAGGAGTGGTCCAGTCCAGTGCGAGAGCATGCAGCATGGAGAGCACAACCCTAAACCCTAGTGTGTGGGGAAGTGGGAAGGGGGACAGGAAATAGAAAAAGGAAGGGGAGGAGGGATGAAGACAGGAGGAAGAAAATAGGGGCGTGGAGGAACGAAATAATATAGAAACGAGTCAATTGGAAAGGAACATGAATCCATGGATACCAGCTCACCTTGACCCGGTTGTAGTCTAGTCTGCTAGCAAACAGTTCAACAGCGCATCCAGCACCTGCTGCTGCTGCTGCTTGTGTCTTTGAAGTCTCATACGTCAGCTCACCTTGACCCGGTTGTAGTCTGCCAGCAGGTAGTTCAGCAGCGCATCCAGCACCTGCTGCTGCTTCTTGCAATGTCTGGCGCCTCTCGTGGATCAAACTTTCCACCTCAGATATCAGCTCACCTTGACGCGGTTATAGTCTGCTAGCAGGTAGTTCAACAGCGCATCCAGCACCTGCTGCTGCTGCTCCTCCTCCTCTGCCCCCCTCACCATGCCCACCAGCAGCGCCACCCACAGCCCTGCTTCACCCAGCAGCACCGCTCTGCACCCCCCGGCCACCACTCTGCACACCGCTGCCTGCTGTGCTGCAGCCAGCTGGGGGGGCGAGAGAGGAACGAGGGCTACGGGTGTGCGAGGGACAGAGAGGTAGGCTGCAAGGCGGGGAGAGAGTGGGACGGCTGGAGGGCCCACAGGGGAAGAGGATAACGGCACCAATGCACCAGAGACACCACCAGAGACACCAGCAGCAGCAGCCGCAGTAGCGGCAGCAGCGGAAGAAGCAAAAGTGGTAGTAGTAGGAACGATAGCAGATGTATTGGCAGCTGTGGAAGCAGGGAGGCCGGTCTGCATGGCTGCGTCTTCTGGCTTGGGGCGGGTGGCGTCTGTTGTCCTGTCTGCTGCCGGATGTAGCGGCGACTGTAGCCCTTGCTCATCCTTCACTGAGCCTGCTACAGCAGCAGCACCGGCACCAATAGCAGCACCACCAGTGGCGTCCTCTGATTTGGCCTTCACTCTCCGTGGGTCATGGCGACGCGCACCACCACCCCTGCCGGTCTCCCTCTTGCCATCACCATCCACCATTCCCTCCTCACCACCACCAGCAGCAGCACCACCAGCACCAGCACCTGCACCATCACCACCAGCACCAGCAGAACCACCACCACCACCAGCAGCACCAGCACCAGCGCCTTCAGCACCGCCAGCAGCAGCACCAGCAGCGGCAGCAGCGGGAGGGGGCGAGGGAGGGAGGTGCTGCATGAATTCAATGACCAGGTCGGCCAGCATGCCGGGGGGCAGCGAGGCGATGAGTGCATCCACTGCCAGCATGCCCTCGCTGCCTCGCGCCACCAGCGCACTCAGTAGGGTTACCAGCTGCTCCACTGGTAACGTGGCTGCTGACGGGTCCACTGCTACTGCTTCCGCTGCTGCTGCTGCTGCTGCCGCCGCTGCCGCTGCTGCTGTGGTGGCTGCTGTATTGCTGCCTCCTGCTGCTGCTGCTCCCCCGCCTGCTGCTGCTGCTGGTGCTGCAGTGCTGCTGGCGGGAGTGGCTGTGCTGGCTTGAGCAGCAGTGGACGGTCGGATGCGCTTGGAGTCTCGCGTTGCAGCGTCGTCAACGGCCTCAGTTGCACGCGCGCCAGCAGTAGCAGCTGTGGGAGCACCGCCGGCCGCGTTAGCAGCTGCATCTGCTGAAGCTGAAGCAGCAGCATTGGGACCACTGGCACCAGCGGCAGCAGTGGCTGTGGTGGTGCCTGGTGGGGTTGCAGCAGCCCCTGTGTCAGCAGGTGCACCCCTCGCTCTCTTCACTCCTGCAGCCTTGGCCTGCAAGGACGAGAGATGTGTGCAGAAAGCACAAGGGAAAGCGCATTAGCGAGGAGATGGAGTAGGGGGAGAAGCAGAGAAGGGTGAGAGGCAGGGAAGAGAAGACAGAGCATGCGACAACAACCGCACACATACACGGACACGTATACTCAACTCACCCGTGGATCAGCAGGGCGACCAGCAACCTTCCCTGACCCTGCAGCCGCCTTTGCTGCTGCTCCCTCGCCCCCACCCCCACCCCCACCAGCAGCAACGCCACCAGCAGAAGCACCACCATTCCCACCCGCACCATTACCCCCACTAGAAGCTCCAGTGGGACCATCAGCAGCAGCGGCGGCAGCGGCGGCGGCAGCGGCAGCAGCGGAGTTGCGAAGGGATCGGTCGATGTGCCTTAAAGATGAGTCGACTGCCTCTCCTGCTCCCAGCGACTCCTTCAGGAGAGACGTCAAGCAGTCCCGCCACTGGTGGTGGTGGTGGTGGTGGTGGGGCGAGGGGATAGAAACAGAGTGCGAGGTTGCAAAGGGAACTGTCAGGGCCTTGGGCAAATTTCCTTGCTCATATGGAGAGAGAGCCAGTACTGGAAAGAACACAGCCATACCCCCACTCACATCCACACCCAATCCAACAACCATAACCACACCCACACCCACGCTTACACCCACAACCACACCCACCACTCACACCACCACCCACCTTCATCCCGCCTGGAGCGAGCGGCATGAGTCGCAACATGACAAGCAGCGCCGCCCGCACGCCGTGCCTCACACTCGCCGACGCCTGCAGCAGCTGCTGCACCGCCCCACACCCACTCTCCTCCCCACTTGGCACCACCACCGGTGCCGACGCTGCTGACGTGGCAGTGGGCGGCACTATCCCCACTAAAGCCGGCACGATGTGACTATAAAGAGCGGGGCAGCGGCGGGCGATCCCAGCCAGGCTGCTGGTGAGCGTGAGGAGGAGCGGGGGCGAGAGGGAGGCGACTGCAGGGGGTTGGAGGAGAGAGGTGAGGGCGGAGAGGGAGGCGAGGGACTGGGCTTTAAGCCACGGGTCGGAGTCAGGGTCGGGGAGATGTAGCACTCCGTTTGCCATGTCTGAACCATTATCCCCGTCCCTTCCGCTGTTCCCGTTCTGCCCACTGCTGCCGTTACCGCCACCACCAGCACCACCACTACCAGCGGCAGCAGCAGAAGAAGAAGCAGCGGGTTTGCCCCCGGGTCGGCCGAGCAGCACGAGCATCTCTGTGAAACCCACTGCATGCACGCGCACGCTGTCCGGGTACTGGCCTGGCAGCAGGTCCCTTTTCAGCGGTGCCAGCGCTGATACCTGCTCCCACGCTTCTGACCATGGCTGAGGCTGGTGTGGATGGGGGTAAGGGGCAAGGGAGGGAGGAGGAACGGGAAGCAACAGGTTTGCCCCCGGGTCGGCCGAGCAGCACGAGCATCTCTGTGAAGCCCACTGCATGCACGCGCACGCTGTCGGGGTACTGGCCTGGCAGCAGGTCCCGTATCAGCGGTGCCAGCGCTGCCACCTGCTCCCGCGCCTCTGACCACGCCTGGGGCTGATGAGGATGGGGATAGGGGGTAAGGGAGGGAAGAAGGGGGAGGGAAGGGGAGAGGAGGGGGAGGAAGTAGGAAGGGAGGGCAGCGAGTTGTGAGTGAGTTCAGAAGCCCGCTGCATGCACGTGGAAACTGTCAGGGTACTGGCCTGGCAGCAGGTCCCTTATTAGCGGCACCAACGCTGCTACCTGCTCCCACGACCACGGCTGGGGCTGACAAAGGGGAAGGGAGGGAGGGAGGGAGAGGGGAGAGGAAAGAAGTACCACAACTGGAGTACCACTAACACGGTGGCGCCTACAACGTCAACGGGAGTACCAGGACCTGCTACAAGCGTCCTCAGAGCCAGGGCCGAGTCAGCCAGCTGGCTGGCCGAGGTTGCTCCCGGCGAGGGCTCTACCTGCAGTGGCGTTACGAGCGCGAATAGCGCTGACGCCGCCGCATGACAATCAGCTCGCGGTTTCTGAGAGAACCTGCTCGGAGGGCTCACCGGCATGGAGTCATATGACTCCTGGAGAATCCGCTCAAGGCTCTGCAGGGACGCCGCCAGCGACCATAGGCGGGCCAGGGTCGCCATGGGAACTTTCTTCATCGACGGAGGAAACGCAGACGTGCGGGCACGGTGAGATGACACGGCGAGGTCGCGCGGAGCAGGAAGAGGACACGGCGGAGCAAACTGAGCCCACGGCGGCCCGCCACCAGCGCCAACGAAGCCCATCCCCGCAGGCAGCGGCCTCTCTGAGCGCGCCGGGGATCCAGAAGGATTGTGGGGCAGGAGCGCGGAGAGAGGGACGACGGGAACAGCGCGAGGAGCTGATGGTGACGCCGACCCCGCACGCGAGCGACGAAGCTCCTTCTCCACGTCATCAAGCCTATCCAGAAGTCGGCGCTCCGCTGCGGACGGCGCTGGACGCGCGTTTCCGCCGCGACCATAACCTCCCCGTCGCCCACGACGCGCACGCCCACTTGCGTTCGAGCGCACAGGCGACTGCGGGCGAGATGGCCCTTGCTGACGCTGGCGGCCTGGGGAACGGTCCCCGCGACGAGGAGAGCAGAGCCGCTGGCGCTTTGCAGGAGGGGGCGAACGCGGAGGTGGGGGCCGATGGCCAGATGTCTGGCGGGCGGGCGATCGCTGACGAGATGAACGGTGAGCGGGTGAACGATGACGATGCGAGCGGCGGTCACGGGACCGGCTCCGCGATGCCGCGCGACGAGGCGAACGAGGCGACCGCGGCAAACGAGGCGACCGCGGCGAACGAGCCACACCGTGACGATCGTCGCGGCGGCTCTCCCGCTTGTCGTCGCGAGCTGCCGATGAACGACGGCGAGGCGAACGCTCCCGGTGCGCCACAGCCTCTGCGCCGGAGCGCGCGACGGACCCCGCGCGCGGGGGCTCCCGCGGTGACAAGGACCTGCCCGCGCGCGGAGCCATCTCGCGCCGCTGGTCCTCGAAGCGGCGGCGGATCTGATCAGCGGACGCCGGCGGAGCAACAGGCACGCTCGCGGCAGGGCGTGCAGGAGGAAGCGGACGGGGAGCAGGATCGCTCTCCGCGGTGCAGTCACGGCCCGGAGCGCCAAGGAAATCCATTGGCCAACGCTCAAGACGCTCCACTGGCACACGAAGAGCCGACAACGCCGATCTCCCAGGCGCAACAGGCGGAACCTGTGGCAGCTACCCCGCGGAGCGGACGGGGAAGCACGCGGGGGAGAGGCGGGCGACGAGGAGCGCGCGGAGGGCAGAGGAGCGCAAGCCAAGCGGGAAGGGGACCGCCCCGCCAGTTGCCGAGCCCAATCTGGTTGGGGGAGCCGGCGGAACGAGTCACGCGCCAGTCATTCGCCAGGCGGGGGGCGAGGGGAGGAACACCAGCGCAAGCGGGGAGAAACAGGGATATCAACACAGAGGGGAGTGGAGACGATTATATACCGTCAGATCTGAGGCAGCCAGAAGATCCCGACTCACCTCACGCGGAACAAGGAGAGGGGCAAGCGCAGCAACAGGAGAGAGGAACGGGCCGCAGACAGCATCGCAGAGCTCAGCTTCCCCCGGACCAGGCACTATCGGCGTCCCAGCTGGCCTCGCGGGAGGATCTTTTCCAGATCGCGATGACTTGGGACCTCACGCTCCTAACCTCCATCACCCATCTACCAATCGTCCGCCGACTACCGCCGCAGATCCTCAGCGACTACTCCACCTGTATGCTGGCTGCCCTACTTCGAATCTCCAAGCTGCCTAATTGCGCGGGAGCATGGCGGGTCCTCTTGTTCCTGCCACGTCTCACGCTAAGACTCAGCCGGCGATCAAGCTCTAGGTGGAAATTGCTGCGGGAACAGATGCATCTATTCCGATGTGGCCACTGGACCCAGCTGTACACTGACCACTTGGGGTCAATGCACCTGGCCGAACCACCTCAGCACCAGCGAGACCCACTGGGAATCTGCTCACGTGCGGAGGGGTTGGTGAAACGGGGTAACCTGCGAAAGGCATTGGCAGCCCTACAACCCTCGCCTGCAGCACCTGCGACAATTGCGACACTACATCAGCTGGAATTGAAGCACCCCCAACCCCAAAATGACCTGCCCGAGTGGGTGCATACCTACACCACACCCACGCAATTTTCAACCACTCTAGAACGGTTTTCCGACGTCCTTGGAGAATGCCCCAGGGGTATTGGGGCTGGCCCATCGGGGTCAACTTTTGAACACTACCGCGATCCAGCGCTAAGTAACATCGAGGTACTAGGGCACCTCCACTCCGCCGTTACGCATCTTCTCTCGACAAACCTTTCCACTGAAGTCGCAGCACTACTTGCCCCGTCCCGCCTTATAGCCTTCGCCAAACCAGGGGGGGGGGTACGTCCCATTGCGATTGGAGAGTCATTGCTTAGGCTGGCGGCGAAGGTGGCGCTCTCAGATCTGCAAGGAGAAACGCGGAATTTTTTCCTACCTCAGCAATTTGGCGTGGCAGTCCCTGGAGGTGCAGAATTTGTCATCCATGCTGTCCGAGACCTCACCACGGTGCAGCCCTCCAGCCTAGTACTCCAGCTGGACATCGAGAACGCGTTCAACTCAGTAGAGAGGAGCGCGTTCTTCAACGCACTCATCGGCTCCCCGCTAGCTCCCCTAATCCCCTTCACACGCTCTTTCTACGCAGCATCTTCACCTCTGCTACTAGACCCATGCTTCAATGCCACGGCACTCACCAGCGGAAGGGGAGTCAGACAGGGGGATCCCCTCGGACCCCTGTTATTCGCAGCGTCTATCCAGAAGCACCTCAGGCACGTAGCAACGAAGCACCCGGAAGTCACGGTCCTCGCGTACGCCGATGACATAACAATGATTGGACCCGCGGCGGCGACGCTAGAAGCACTCACGGAGCTCACGCCGCTGCTGGCACGGGACGGTCTCACCTGCAACTTTAGGAAGTCGTCGGCGTGGTCCACCGTGCCGCTAGGAGGTGACGTACTCCCCGAGGGCCTCCCCCTCACCCACGAGGGGGTACGGGTGTTGGGAAGTCCGGTGGGGTCGCAGAGCTTCTGCTCTGATTTTATCCGCAGTACTCTGACAGACGCGGCGGCCCCCTTGGGCTCTCTGGCGTCCATCCACCCACAACACGCCCTCCTGCTACTGTCTCGTTGCATCAGCCGCAGAGTCGGTTACCTGCTGCGCACTACCCCAGCTGACGTCTTACCGCTTTCAGAATGGCACACATGGTGCGCCGAATTACTGAACACCACCTTGACCGCCGCCAGCATTCAACCGCCACGCCGAGAAGCCGAATTCAACTTCCTCCTCCGTCAAGCAACTCTACCAGTCGCCCTGGGCGGGCTGGGCCTTACAGACCCCACAACGGAAGCAGCACCGGCCTACCTGGCATCAACGACAGAGGCGCTACGGTTACTCCGCTCTCTTGACCTACCAGCAACGGCGGCACTGGGGGCCAACAACAACACTCTGCAACCGTCCGCCGTGCACTCGGTTACCATTCAGGACATGAAGGGGCGCCTGCCACCGCTGGCGCTACAAAACTTACGTGAGGAGCAGCAAACCCCGTCCCAAGACCCGCTGCAACGTGCCCTGTCTCAGGAGGTGCATGCGGCAAAGGCCGACGCCCTAAGAGAGGAGTCACGCACAATACAGTCAGCCCCTGAGATGGGCCACACACTCCGCCTAGTCAGCCTGAGAGGAGAGGGAGCGGGAGCGTGGCTGCAGGCACTACCCTTGACCCCGGACCTCTGCTTCTCACCGGGTCAGTTCCGAGCGGCCCTGGCCTTCCGCATGGGCATCCGACAGAATGTACCAACCGTGTGCGAGTGCGGAGAACTCGTAGCCGACTGCAGCCTACCCAACCACTTACTCCGCTGCAGCACAGGCCCCGACAGGACACGCACACACAACCAGCTGGCCTTCGCCATGGCTAAAATGGCGAGGGAGGCGCAGCTGGTGGTATACCTGGAGAATGCGATGTACTCACCCCCGGATGACCCGAAGAAGGCAGATGTGATTGTACAGGACCCGGACAGTGGAGAGACGTGGATCACAGACACTACTATCACTGACCCTGTGCTGCAGAACCGAGACCCCACGGCCCGCAAACCCCCAGGCTGGGCTGCAAGGGAGGCACAGAAGCGGAAGGAGAGGGACTACTACCGACACACTGAACACGTGGTGTTCTGCGCCCTGGCCGTCGAGACCTATGGGGCAAACGCGCCCCCCACAACGGCGTTCCTGAAACTGCTGGCCACAGCAGCAGCCAGGAACCGCTTCAGGGCCAGCCCCTTGGCGAAATCCGCCAAGAAGATGGCCTGCCACTTCAGCCAGCGCTGGTCAGTGGCCCTCCAGCGCTCCCAGGCGAACGCCCTGCACACCAAGGCCAGGGCCGGGATTGAGGCAGCACACCCCCAGATGGCAGCGGACCCCTGGCCGCTGCACCTGGGGGACATCCTCCACACACTGGAGGGCTAGAGGGTCACTCGGGGGGGGGGGGAAGAGGGGTGAGTTGATAGGGCTTATGGAATGGAGGCTACCATGGATAGAACTGCATGTCTGTACCCCTGCTGAATTAATACAACGGACCATTTGAGGGGAGAGGAAAGGGAAAAGGAAGGGAGGGCAGGGGATTGTGGGTGGGTGGGTGAGATGGTGTTGGCAAATCAACCTGTTAGCAAATTAACCTCACGGTGCTAGTGTTCACATTCCCCTTGCTTGTAACGGGAGTGACAGCAGCGAGGGCTCAGTACTCACCTCGCCTGCAACAGGAGCGTCCGCAGCAGCAGCAGCAGCAGCAAGAGCTGAGCTCACCTCGGCTGTAACGGGAGTGACAGCAGCAAAGGCGCCTTTAAGGAGGGCGGCAGCAGCGTCAGCAGCAGCAGCAAAAGGCTCACCTCGCCTGTGGCGGGAGTGACAGCAGCGAAGGCGCCTTTAAGGAGGGCGGCAGCAGCAGAGATGGCGTGCTTGACTGCCTTGGTGCTCGCCACAGCCGCGGGGGGCAGGCGCGCGGGTAGAGGTGTGAGCGCCGCGGCAGTAGCAGGGGACGGCGCGGGGGGCGCAGAGGCGGCGGAAGGGGGGGGCGCGGGGAGGGGCATGGGCGGGCAGGCGCGGATGATGGCGGCGAGCGCGGAGGCGATGAGCGCAGGGGCGTCGCGGTGCTTGATGGCGGAGCCGAGGCGGTAGAAGAGCCTGGGAGGGGAGTGGAGGGGAAGAGGATTGAGGGAGAAACGAGGGTGATTGGGTGCATGGCATGGGGAGCGTGGGAGGAACGAGGTGGCATGACAGCACGTCCGGCAGCACGTCCGGCAGCACGTCCGGCAGCACGTCCGGCAGCACGTCCGGCAGCACGTCCGGCAGCACGTCCGGGAGCACGTCCGGGAGCACGTCCGGCGATCAGCATGAATAAATCATCCTATTCAAGACACTCACTCGACCGATTCCGGACAAGACACGTGGAGCCCGCCGGAAGCTGCACGTGAGGCAACCAGCATGAAAAAATGACGCTGAAACGACACTCACTCGACCGAGTTTTTCCGAACAAGGAACGTTGAGTCCGCCTGAAGCTCTAACAGGCGCGGCAGAGCGTCGGGCAGCACGGTCGCGCGCACGTCGGGCGGAAGGCCCGCCAGATACTCCACCGCCGCCTCCATCCGCTCCGCCTTCTCCTCCGCCCCGCTCCCCGCCTGCAGCTCCGCCAGCATCTCGTCCGCCTTCCGCTGCGCCTCCTCCATTGCGCGCGGAGGGGGGAGGAGGAGGGTCCGGGGGAGGGGGAAGCTCCAAACACGGGGGGGAAAGCAGGCTCGAAGGAGGAATTTTCGCACCGAAGGCTGATTGCGTTTTGTTGTGACTGTGGCTTGTTGTGGCTGTGCACTACGACGGAGTTGCAACCAATCAATTAACTAACGTACGTCCTTCAGCAGCCCGATGTTCTCCTCTCAAAGGCCCGCGCGCCGCATCTCTAGCGGTAGAACCTAATCAAGCCTACGGACAGACCACCAAGTGCCTCGATCCGTTCGCGAACACACAATAGCATCTGATTGAAATACGCGAAAGATTCGCAAATGATCCAGGAAGCGCGAATTGCGAGCTCATTAGCAGCCGACAGCCGTCCCTATCCGTAAAACGTAGGCGATCGTGGGGCTGCTGATTCAAATGCAGCCTCCAGAAACCAGCCTCCTAAACCAGAAAATGTACGGCTAGCTGTGTGTGTGAAGTGCCTGGACAAGCTATGCTGAAGGAAAACATGGAGTAAAGGGAAACTACTGCGTTTTAGAGAGGTGAAATGTCTATCTGGAGCGGTGAATTACGGTTTTGGGCAAAACCATACCTGGGGACTCAACCTGATTAGGGTCTGAAAGTGGGGCCTGAGAAATCTTCACAGTCACCGTGTTACAAATCTAGCATACCGAAGAAGATAAGCTGGTACTTTGAACAAAGTAAGGCGTTGCGTCGCATCTCAGAATCTCGTCGCAGTTCGCAACACTCGCCAAAAAAACCCTAGATTCTGGTCTCCTATGGACCCTCGTGCTCTTTTAAATTCGACTTCCTTCTCAGTCTCACTTCGTTTCCCCTTGTTTGGTTTCCGCGTCGGCTCTTTCATTCTTTTCGACTCGAGGGAATCCGGTGGAGGAATATTAGCTGTCGGTCATATCCTGCAACGAGTGCCACAAACGCTTGTGGAATTTCTACGTCTTCATGTGTTGATTCATCTGGTTTTGGGACCTAGTTTCGAGACGTTGTAAGGATCCGAATCTCTTGACCATCACCTTGCTTTCGCGATATCTCAGCACATGCCAGCTTGCTAGCAATTCCTTCGCGCAAGGTTGTCCATCATGCCAGGAGAAACGCTAGCTCTTCCGGCGCCGCCGCCGGGCGGCTTGAAAGACGCTACGCCGTCAGTCCTGACGGCCGAAGAACGGTCTGGGCAGCAGAAACCGGCAGAGAAGCCGAAACCGGTGGTGGTTGCGACGCAGACGAAGACGATTGGAATCATTCATCCTCCTCCCGATATTCGCAGCATCGTCGACAAAACCGCCACCTTCGTCGCTCGAAACGGTCCGGATTTCGAAAAGAAGATTCTCGCCGCAAACAAGGGGAACGTCAAGTTTAATTTCCTCACGCCCACCGATCCCTACCATGCGTACTACCGGCACAAGATTAACGAGCAGCTGGCGCAGCTTAATCTCCCCGCTCAGCCCGAACCTATAGCTTCCGAGTCTGGTGCAGGTTCGGCAGCAGCAGCCGGAGCTCCGGCCGGGGCTGCTCCGGGAACAGCCGGGGCTGCAGCTGCGGTTGTCAAGCCTGCAGGCCCGGCAGGGCCTTTTCCGGAGCCTGGCAAAGACGCAGCAGCAGCAGGGGCTTCGGCAGCAGCGGCGAAGCTTCCGGATCTGCCCGAACCAGAGCAGTACACGGTTCGGATTCCCGAAGGCATGTCCGGGCAGGATTTGGACGTTATCAAGCTGACCGCGCAACTCGTGGCGCGAAACGGCAAGACGTTCCTAACGGGTTTAATTAGTCGCGAGCACATGAACCCGCAGTTTAATTTCCTCAAGCCCACGCACAGCCTATTCACCTTCTTCACCGCTCTCGCGGACGCGTACTCTAAAGTACTAATGCCTCCTAAGGAGGTCTTAGATAAGGTGAAGCGCGACGCGGGGCCAGGCGGGCAGGCCGCGATCATGGCACGGATCCAGACGCGGCTCGACTACGAGAAGAAGCAGGAGAAGGCGCGGAAGAAAGCGGAGGACGAGATCGAGCAGGAGCGATTACAGATGGCTTTAATCGACTGGCACGATTTCATAGTCGTAGAGACGATCGAATTCGCGGACGACGAGGAGGCGGATCTGCCGGTTCCGATGACTATAGAGGAGGTGATTAGAAAGAGCAAGCAGCTTGGCGCGGACGAGGAGCTCGAGGCGGAGGACGCCGCGGCCGTCGCGGCGGCGGAGGCGGGCGCGAAGCCGGGCACGAAGGCGGCGGCGGCGGCGGCGGAGAAGGCGAAGGGGGAGAAGGAGGAGGCGGCGCAGACGATGGACGCGGAGGAGATGACGCTGGTGGAGGAGGGCATGCGCGCGACGGGAATCGCGGAGGGGGAGGGGGGGAAGGGCGCGGAGAAAGGGAAGGGGGAGAAGGCGGAAGGGGAGAGGGGAGGGGAGGAGATGGAGATGGGGGAGGAGGGAGGTGCGCCTGCTGGTGTGCCTCCGCCCCCATCACTACCGCCGCCACCGCCGCCGCCGCCTACTGAAGTGGAGGAGGTGGGTGGGACCGTGCGTGTGGGAGAAGTGGGTCACGGCTGGCTTTGCTCGTTGCAGGTGGGTGGGAGCATGTCTCTTTGATGTGGTGGTTGGGAGTGTGCCTGCGGCTGTTTCAGTGCTTTGGTTGTTGGAATGCGCATCGTGCGCAGCTGGAAGCGGCCATCTCACACTATCCCCTCTCCGCCCCCCACCCTCTTCTCTACAATCATGCATGATAGAAGTAAGCTTCGTTTCGCACCATAAATTTTCTGCGAAACAATCCCCTGCCCCCTCTCCTTGTCTCACCAGAACGAGATGGACATGGAGGAGGAGGAAGAAGAAGCACCAATGCGCATTGTTCGCAACTGGAAGTACTTGAAGCTCCTCACTTACTTTCTTCCCTCCGTCCCGTTCCCTCGCTGATGTTCCCTTCCTTCCCCTCTTCCCCCTTTCTCTCTCACCAGAACGAGATGGACATGGAGGAAGAAGAAGAGGAGGCACCAATGCGCATCGTGCGCAACTGGAAGCGACCCGAAGACCGAGCAGCGGCCGAGCAGGACCCGACCAAGGTGGTGGTCTCCCCCATCACGGGCGAGCTGATCCCCATCGCGGACATGGCGGAGCACATGCGCATCTCGCTCATCGACCCCAAGTACAAGGAGCAGAAGGAGCGCATGCTCGCCAAGCTGCGCGAAAACACCCTCGCTTTCTTTCTGCCTTCCCTTTCCCTCCCTGCTGTCCCGTTCCCGTCCCTTCATTAGAACGAGATGGACATGGAGGAGGAAGAGGAGGAGGCGCCGATGCGCATTGTTCGCAACTGGAAGCGACCCGAAGACCGAGCAGCGGCAGAGCAAGACCCGACCAAGGTGGTGGTCTCCCCCATCACGGGCGAGCTCATCCCCATCGCTGACATGGCGGAGCACATGCGCATCTCGCTCATCGACCCCAAGTACAAGGAGCAGAAGGAGCGCATGCTCGCCAAGCTGCGCGAAAACACCCTCACTTTCTTTCTTCCTTCCCTTTCCCTCCCTGTTGTCCCGTTCCCGTCCCTTCATTAGAACGAGATGGATATGGAGGAGGAAGAGGAGGAAGCGCCGATGCGCATCGTGCGCAACTGGAAGCGACCCGAAGACCGAGCAGCGGCAGAGCAGGACCCGACCAAGGTGGTGGTGTCCCCCATCACGGGCGAGCTCATCCCCATCGCTGACATGGCGGAGCACATGCGCATCTCGCTCATCGACCCCAAGTACAAGGAGCAGAAGGAGCGCATGCTCGCCAAGCTGCGCGAGAACACCCTCGCCAACGACGACGAGATCTCCAAGAACATCGTCGGGCTGGCCAAGACCCGCCCGGATATCTTTGGGACCACCGCGGAGGAGGTTTCGGAGGCGGTGCGGGCGGAAATGGAGAAGAAGAAGGACGAGGGCGCGCCCAGCCGGGTCATGTGGGACGGGCATACTGCCAGCATTGGCCGCACTGCCACCCAGGCCTTGCAGCAGAGCCTGGCTCAGCCGCCCGCCGCGGAGAAAAAGGACGAGCCGAGCCGCCCGATTTCGGGCCCGCAGGCGCCGGCGCCGCCTCCTCCTGCTGCTCGCCCTGCTGCTCTCCCGCGGCCTCCTGCTGGGGGTCCCCCTCCGGGTATGGGGCACATGCGTCCCGGAGGCAACATGCCTCCACCCATCGCCACCATGGCTGCATACGGCATGCCCCGCATGCCCATGCCAGGAATGCCTGGAATGCCGGGCATGCCGGGTATGCCTGGTGGGATGATCAACCCCATGCTGATGGCTCAGAACCAAGCTGCTGCTGCTGCGGCTGCAGCAGCGGGAGGGATGTTTGGCATGCGACCACCCATGATGGTCCCAGGGCAAGTTGGGATGGTGCCGGGAGGTTTCCCGGGGTTCCCAGGGGGAATGCCCATGGGTGTGCCGATGGGGATGCCGGGAGGGGTGCAGATGGGTATGGGTATGGTGCCAGGGGGTATGGTGCCTGGAGGGATGGGGGGTGCTGCATCGGCGGCGGCAGGGGTGGGAGGGGGAGGGGGAGGGGAGGAGGAGCATGATGCGAAGAGGCAGAAGACTGAGGAGAATCTCATTCCGGAGAATGTGTTTCTCGCACAGCACCCGGTCAGTGTCCCCATTCGCTCGCCCACTCTTTTCCCTCCCGTTTTTTCTATGGCTCATTTACTCATTCTGGGGTGTAGAAACAGCATGATTCGCCATTTGACTTTGCTGTCTGCACTTGCATAAACTTGTGCATTGCCATGCCCACTTCTCACCTCACCACACCTTATAGCACAAGTTTTGTGACTCCATTTCCTCCCTGTTTTTCGTTTCCCAATCTTCTTATTTGTCCCATTCAGGGCCCAGTGCGAGTGGTGGTTATGCTTCCCTCGGTGGAGGGAGAGCCGGCACTCAACGGGCAGAAGGTGGACGTGCTGGTGTCATCGCTCAGCGAATCAACAGGCGCATTCAAAGAGCACATTGCGCAGGCTCTGGGCGGCAGCGTGCCGGCCAACAAGCAAAAGCTCAGTGGCAAGGCAGGCTTCTTCAAGGATTCGCTCTCGCTGGCGTATTATAATGTTGGGCCTGGAGAGGCGGTGGTTATGAGCTTGAAGGAACGTGGAGGCAGGAAGAAATAGGTTTTTTGAGTGGTATTGGGCAGCGTACAGCTTGATGTAGCACTGTCCTGTGGTTGTTTCCTTCTGGTGTGGCTAACGGACTCAACTAATGGGGTTGGTGGAATACAGGTGCAGAAGATTTCATATGTGGTGTGTGGATCTAACTACTTCCATGTGCAATCCATGTAGTCGCGAATTCGCTTGTTCCAAGGACAAAATTTCGGGCATGTCATATCTGGTTGAAAGGATGCCACGCTCCAGTATTGATCCCAAATCTGCGGTAACCACGTCAGCCGTTGTAGCCATGTGCCGCCACGTCAATGCCCAACCCACCACTCCGATGCTGGCCTGGTCATGCGCATCTCACGCACACCAGTCCCCTAGATACAGACCATATCCGTCAACACAGTGCGATCGGCTGTGAGTGGCTGGTATGTGTTTTGCGAACAAACGCGAGCTGCGTAGAAGCTTGTATCAAGTAACCACGTTCGCCATGACTGAAAAAACTTCTGAACAAGCTTCTTCCAGACTAGCAAAAAATAAGTCGACTCAATTAGCAGGGCCGTTTTAGACTTGTCATGATTGCAGTAGTAGGACCAGATTTCGTCTGTGTCTTGTGGAGGTCTGCATTACACGAGAATTTCGAGGCTGCTAACTTTGCTGTTTCTTACTTCCGCTGCGGATTTGGTTGAACGAGCTTCTCGGACCCTGCGCAGCAATTGCCGAGGCGATATTATTAGACCAATTATCATATTATTTTCCCAGTAACCGTGAAGCGTTTCAACTAATCAGCGGTGCGATGGAGCTCGCCACAAATCAAACGGTGCTAACGTGCAGCATGATAGCTTCCCCGCAATACCGGTGTCCTATTAGAAACCAATCCGGCACCGTTCATTCTCGTCCACGTTCAATGCAACCCGTCGCCTTACGTCCAGTGGACTGTACCCAAACGAGACGCGGTAGTAAACTTATAGCTAGTGCAGGCAATAATTGTTTCGGCATTACCGGTGCGGCTATCACCAGTGCAAATGGTCTCCAGCGGCGAAGAGACAGTTTCTTTACAGGACATACCCGTTTACGAGCGAATTCGTTAACAGCAGTTCCTGGCTTCATTGGCTCAGACTCACCACTGCGCCTACATGTCTCGGCTTCGGGAAACAGGGAGCATGTGAGTCATGTTATGTGCGTTTTTGTTGTCTGAACGTTTTTGTATTCTATTTAATGATCATGTTGATCCAGGACATGAACGGACATGAACGGAGATGAAAGCTGAAATGTGCTGTTTAGCACGAATTTAGGTGTGAATTTGGTACGAAGTGTTTCTGAGTCGACGGTACGTATTTTCATTTGTTCTCTTCAATTCCTCGCATTTCTGCAGTTTCGTCTCCTAATCTCACATTTTTCCGTTGCTCGAGTTTTTTCTTCCTTCAAGCCGGTACCATGAATTGCGTTACTGTTTTTTTCTTTCATCATTCTCTTTTTCTTACTCTCCTTTGCTACTGCCAGCAACCCAAGGCGGTACCAGGAGCAGCAGAGGCATCAGCATTATCCGGTATCAGCAGCGGGAGTGAGAGTGACAACGGCTGGAGTGGCTCTGCCGCGAGTGACAGCGAAGACGAGGGCAGCAGCAGCAGCAGCAGCGACGGCGAGTGGTTTGTAGTGCGCAACCCGCTGGAAGCTCAACGGCCGAAACTGAAGGGGAAGGCGCGTTGGAGCAAGCGGAAACACCTGTCGCCGTTTTACCTGGGAAGAACGGCCAGTCTTCGCAAGGGCAAGACCAGCCGGAGCAGCAGCAGCAGCAGCAGTATTGGCAAGGCTGTCACCACCACCACCACCACCACCAGCAGCAGCAGCAGCACGACAGAGCTATGGATAGACGCGTCTGGGTCCGAGGTCAGCATTGTGCGAGAAACCAGTAGCGAGTCCTTTGTAACGGGTACAGGAGAAGTGCTGACGGGGCGAGGGCGGAGCGAGGTGGAAACGGAGGATGTTGAAGAAAGCGAAGAAGGTACTAGGTTCGTTACTACGGGGTCTGGTGCGGTGCTGTCTGAAACTGACAGGGGTGGGGATGCAGGAGAAGGGCTGGGAAGAAGAACAGAGGGGGGAATGGAGTCAGGAGGGGGTGGTGCCTGGGCTGCTGATGTTGCTGGGTCCACGGAGGAGGGATGGCTGGACACGGGAAATGGAAGCAGCAGCAGCATGAGCATGGGCGTGAGCATAAGCAGCACGCTTTCGAGTGTGTCTGGTAGCTTTACCTCTCTGGGAAGTGGTGGGGTGTATAGCGACGACAGTGACAGCGAGGAGGGCGACAGTGCTCGTGAAATCAGCAGCTCTAGCGCGGCAGATTACATTGCAAATGCAAACACCCTCAGCGTCGAGCCTCCCAGCACCGGTAGCAGCAGCAGCAACGGCATCAGCAGCAGCAGTACGAGCAGCGCGGACGGTGGCAGCAGCAGTGACTCGGAGGGCGAGTTTCTGGGCGGGGACATGTGCGCGTCGGCCACGGGCGTGGTGCGAGTGCAGTCGCGGAGGAAGGCGGAGATGTACCTGGTGCGCACGGACGGCATCAGCTGCACCCGCGAGAAGGTCACCGCGTCGACCCTCGCCTTCTCCCACCCCAGCACGCAGCAGCAGATGCTCATGTGGCGCACGCGGCCCCGCACGGTGCTGCTGCTGAAGAAGCTCGGCACGGAGCTCATGAGTGAAGCCATGGAGGTGCGCATGTGGGTGGGTGAGGGGGAAGGAGGGACTGGGAGGTAGGAGAGGAGAGGGTGTGACGTACAGAGGGAGGAAGTGACAGTTTGAGAGAGTGTGAGTGAGAAAAGGGGAGGATGGGAGTGGGAGAGGGGGAAGGAGGGTGTGAGGGGTGCAGGTAGCCTTCTCCCACCCCAGCACGCAGCAGCAGATGATCATGTGGTGCATGCGGCCCCGCACGGTGCTGCTGCTCAAGAAGCTCGGCACAGAACTTATGAGTGAAGCCATGGAGGTGAGCGCGTGGGCGAAGACGGGGGGGTCGGGGGTGGGAGTTGGAGAGGTGGCGCGGTGGCGGAGAGCCATGAACGTGACCCTTGAATGTATTGTTGTACCTATACCTCACTTCGTGAGAAATTTCAAAAGTAAATTTACCACCTCAATTTACCGTAGCACACTCCAGCCCCGTTATAAACACACGGCGCGGTTCCTGCAGCGCGAGGAGGGCATGAACGTCATCCCTGTACCTATCTCTTAAAACATCAACTCTCTACATCACATTCCGTCCCCGTTATCAACGCGTCCCGTCAGAGGGCATGAACATCACCCCTGTACCTCATTCCATCCCCGTTATCAACGTGTCCTGATATAACTACACCAGGTGGCGCGGTTCCTGTAGCGCGAGGAGGGCATGAACGTGATGGTGGAGCTCTTATAACCCCATACCCCTCCATTACATCCATCCGCGTTATAATCACACCACACCAGGTGGCGCGGTTCCTGCATGGGTCGGAGGGCATGAACGTGATGGTGGAGCCGGAGCTGCACGACACGCTCTCCTCAACTCTCTTATCACATTTCATGCCCGTTATCAACGCGTCCCATCACAATCACACCAGGTGGCGCGGTTCCTGCATGGCGAGGAGGGAATGAACGTGATGGTGGAGCCAGAGCTGCACGACACGCTCTCCCGCATGCCCGGCTTTGGCTTCCTGCAGACCTTCTACACGCAGGACACCAGGTGGGGGGTGCTACGCCCAGGACACCAGGTGGGACCCTGTGGGGGGTGTCGGTGCTACAGCCAGGTCACCAGGTGGGACCCTGTGGGGGGTGTCGGTGCTACAGCCAGGTCACCAGGTGGGACCCTGTGGGGGGTGTCGGTGCTACAGCCAGGTCACCAGGTGGGACCCTGTGGGGGGTGTCGGTGCTACAGCCAGGTCACCAGGTGGGACCTTCTACGCCCAGGACACCAGGTGGGGGGATATGGGGGTGCTACTCCCACAACACCAGGTGGGGCGGGGTGGAGGGAGGGCGGTGCTACTCCCAGGACACCAGGTGGGAGTGAGACCAGGTGAGGGGAGCGGGTGTGACGCTACACTCAGGACACCGGTTAAGGGGAAGCTAATCGGGCAAGTTCCAGGCAAGCACACCAGCTGTGGGAGGCGGAGGAGAAGTGTGAGGTGGCTGAGCATTACGCTTCTAAGCTGGAGCAGAAGGTCGCGCAGGTAGCCGGTGATATGATTGCAGCGGAAGATGAGCTGGCGGAGATGACCGAGCAGAGGGACCCCATGGAGGCGGAGGCCGACCGGTTGAGAGCATTGGTGGAGGAGAGAGGCACCGGCACAGCCACCTGCTGCTCCAGCTTTGAAGCGTGATGCTCAGCCACCTCACGCTTCCTCTCTGCCTCCCAATGCTAGTGTGCTTGCCTTACACCATCATCGTTAACAAGATTATGGCTCCTCCTTACCCTCACCACCCTTGCGCCACCCCCCTCCCCGCCTCCCCTCGTTCCTACCTACCAGCAAGCTGCATGAGAAGGTGGACTTCGTGGTTTGTCTGGGGGGGGGGGAACGTTGAGTGGCTGTGAGCTGACGTTGTTATGTGCCCTCTGCTGCCTCCTCCTGCTCCTTCCCCAAACCCCCACCCCACCAGCAAGCTGCACGAGAAGGTGGATTTCGTGGTGTGTCTGCGGGCCGACAAATGGATGGGGTTTGTGAGCTAACGTTGATTCCTTGGTTCCTGTTTTGACCGTCCTCACCTCTCCACTCCACCCATCCCCACCAGCAAGTTGCACGACAAGGTGGACTTCGCGGTGTGTCTGGGGGAGGGGGAACGTTCAGTGGCTGTGAGCTGACATTGTTATGTGCCCTCTGCTGCCTCCTTCCCACTACCTCCCTCCCCACCACCTCCCGCCCCACCAGCAAGCTGCACGAGAAGGTGGACTTCGTGGTGTGTCTGGGAGGGCACACAGGAACTAGGTCTGTTGACTTACCAACACACTATCTCCCTTTTTTTTAACCCACCACCCCTCCACTCCAATCATCCCCACCAGCAAGCTGCACGAGAAGGTGGACTTCGTGGTGTGTCTGGGGGGCGACGGGGTCATCCTGCATGCGTCCAACATCTTCAGCTCCTCTGTGCCCCCCATCGTCTCCTTCAACCTCGGCTCCCTCGGCTTCCTCACCGCACACCCGGTACGTGCCTGAGCAACAATTTTCGACGCACCCATTTGTTCTCTGTTTGCCTCCCCACTTTCTACCGCTCCACCTCTATTGCTCAATCCTCCTCTCTCTCCCACCTCCCTCCCTCTCCCTCTCCCATTTCCCCCTCCTTGCTTACAGTACGAGCAGTACAAGCACGACCTCAAGGCGGTGATTCACGGGCAGGAGCAGACGGCAGGCGTGTACATAACGCTGCGCATGCGCCTCAAGTGCGAGCTCGTGAAGGGGGGGCGCGCATCCTATGTTCACTTCCCCACTCTCTACCGCTCCCGCTCTCTCTCACACACCCCCCCTCTCACTCCCTCTTCCACCCGCCCCCCCTCTCCTGCTCCCCCTGTCACGAATTCTTTTCAACCGCCCTTCTTTTCTCCAGTACGAGCAGTACAAGCACGATCTCAAGGCGGTGATTCACGGGCAGGAGCAGACGGCAGGCGTGTACATAACGCTGCGCATGCGCCTCAAGTGCGAGCTCGTCAAGGGGGGGCGCGCATCCTATGTTCACTTCCCCACTCTCTACCGCTCCCGCTCTCTCTCTCACACCCCCCCTCTCACTCCCTCTTCCACCCGCCCCCCCTCTCCTGCTCCCCCTCTCACGAATTCTTTTCAACCGCCCTTCTTTGCTCACAGTACGAGCAGTACAAGCACGATCTCAAGGCGGTGATTCACGGGCAGGAGCAGACAGCAGGCGTGTACATAACGCTGCGCATGCGCCTCAAGTGCGAGCTCGTCAAGAATGGCCAGCCAGTGCCAGGGAAGGTGTTTGACGTGCTCAACGAGGTGGTGGTGGACCGCGGCTCCAACCCCTACCTCTGCAAGATCGAGTGCTACGAGCGCAGCAAGCTCATCACCAAGGTGAGCAAGCATGCAAGTGGGGGGGATGACTTATGATGAGTCAACTCAAAGGCAGGATTGGGTGCTGCAGCCCCGACCTCCGCTTCGGCAAGATCCAGTGCTAGGAGCACAGCAAGCTGATAACCACGGTGGTACAACAAGCACTGGAGAATGCAAAGGAGTATGCAGGGGAGCGTGTGCTGCTTAGTCCGGGTATCCTCTTTCTTGCTGTTCCTCCTATCCACCTCTCTCACGCTTAGTGCCTTCTCCTCTCCTGCCTCCCATACCTTTCCTCCTCTCCCCTGCCTCTCCTCTCCCGCCTCTCTCTCGCTGCAGGTGCAAGCACATGGCGTGATAGTGGCAACACCCACGGGCAGCACTCTTAGTGCCTCCCCTCTCCTCTCCCGCCTCTCTCTCGCTGCAGGTGCAAGCGGATGGGGTGATAGTGGCAACACCCACGGGCAGCACAGCATACTCCACTGCTGCTGGCGGCTCAATGGTGCGTGGTGAACGAGTGTGGGGGAAGGGGTGTGGGAGTGTGGGGGAAGGGGTGTGGGAGTGTGGGGGAAGGGGTGTGGGAGTGTGGGGGAAGGGGTGTGGGAGTGTGGGGGAAGGGGTGTGGGAGTGTGGGGGAAGGGGTGTGGGAGTGTGGGGGAAGGGGTGTGGGAGTGTGGGGGAAGGGGTGTGGGAGTGTGGGGGAAGGGGTGTGGGAGTGTGGGGGAAGGGGTGTGGGAGTGTGGGGGAAGGGGTGTGGGAGGGGACGGGGTGATAGTGGCCACGCCCACAGGCAGCACCTCCACTGCTGCTGGTGGCTCCATGGTGCGTGGTGAACGAGTGTGGGTGGGGGAAGAGGGATGGTGAGGAGACATGTGCATCGCTGTCCGTGCATGCATGCAAGCGGACGGGGTGATAGTGGCAACACCCACAGGCAGCACCGCATACTCCACTGCTGGCGGTGGCTCCATGGTGCGTGGGGCAAGCGGTGTGGGTGGGGGAAGGGGGATGGTGAGGAGAAGTGTGCATTGCTGTCTGTGCATGCATGCAAGCGGATGGGGTGATAGTGGCAATACCCACGGGCAGCACAGCTTACTCCATTGCTGCCGGTGGCTCCATGGTGCGTGGGGAGCAGGTGTGAAGGGGGGGGATGTGGGAGGGAGATGCGGGTGACAGGGATCAGGTGCGGGGGAGAGGTGTGTGCACAGCTGTGTCTCTATGCATGTGTGTGTGTATCCGTCTGTCAGCATGTACATGTGCAGGGATGTATGGTTCTCTTTGTTCCTTAATCCCTCCCCTTACCTCTTTGTCTCCCACCACGTTTCTCCCTGTGACCTCTCTCGCTTGTGCTACTTATGTCTCCTCACGGTCCTTGTTCTCATACCTCTCCCGCCCTTTCCACCCATCGCAGGTGCATCCCAACGTGCCGTGCATGCTCTTCACGCCCATCTGCCCGCACTCCCTCTCCTTCCGCCCCATCATTCTGCCCGACTCCGCCCTCCTGGAGCTCCGAGTGAGTCCCTCCGCCCTCCTGGAGCTCCGAGTGAGTCCCTCCGCCCCCCTTGAACTCCGAGTGAGTCCCTCCGCCCTCCTTGAACTCCGAGAGAGTCCCTCCGCCCTCCTCGAGCTCCGAGTGAGTCCATCCGCCCTCCTTGAGCTCCGAGTGAGTCCCTCCGCCCTCCTTGAACTCCGAGTGAGTCCCTCCACCCTCCTTGAACTCCGAGTGAGTCCCTCCGCCCTCCTTGAACTCCGAGTAAGTCCCTCCGCCCTCCTTGAACTCCGAGTGAGTCCCTCCGCCCTCCTCGAGCTCCGAGTGAGTCCCTCCGCCCTCGTTGAGCTCCGAGTGAGTCCCTCCGCCCTCCTTGAGCTCCGAGTGAGTCCCTCCGCCCTCCTTGAACTCCGAGTGAGTCCCTCCTGTTAGAAATAGTCAGTCAACACTTTGTACTATATTCTATATCGGTTAGGTTACTTTGTAGGTTGGGTGTAGATTTGTAATCCCAACCCTATCTGGTTGGGATTCCCTCGTAATCCTGCAAATTTGTCAACTCACCAATTAGATATTTGCTAGGATTCCCATCCCATCCTTTCCCTAGCTTTGCTCAACCCAACCGTGTTTGTACTTAAGGCCTCGTGCCTTCCTTATCAATCAATCAGTTAAGTTCCAATTCTATCATGGTATCAGAGCTAGTAAATTCCGCTCACGCGGAATCCGATCCTTGGCGTCCCGATGGTTCTCTCCTTCTAGGCTATGCCTATTTCGGCTCCCGGCTCCTACGCTTAGCGTATTTCAAAAACTTCACATCGTCGCTCCGTTCAAACGCGCATTCGGCTTCCTTCATCGCGCTTCTCGTTTTTCAACGGCGACATCTTCAGCTTTCGACTTCCTTCATCGTAAGCCTCTGGTTTTTCAAATCTCCGTCGTAATTTTCACATCTTCTTAACTTCGAACAGGTTTTCAGCGGCGCAGCGGAACAGGTCCAGCGGCGCAGCGGAACAGGTTTTCAGCAGCACAGCGGAACAGGTTTTCAGCGGCGCAGCGGAACAGGTTCAGCAGCGCAGCAGAACAGGTTCAGCGGCGCAGCAGAACAGGTTCAGCGGCGCAGCAGAACAGGTTCAGCGGCGCAGCAGAACAGGTTTAGCGGCGCAGCAGAACAGGTCAGCGGCGCAGCAGAACAGGTCAGCGGCGCAGCAGAACAGGTCAGCGGCGCAGCAGAGAAGCGGAACAGGGGCAGCAGCGAAGCAGAACAGGGGGCATTTGGCGAAGCAGTACAACAGGGTATTTTACGGGCATTCTATTGCCGAAATCGCGTTTCGGACTTCCTCAATTTCCAAAATCGCCGCTCCGCTTCGCTCCGCTACGTATCGGAGACTTTAGCGCTGCGCTCCGCGCGAAATGGCAACTTCTACTTCCACTCTCGTCGGAAACCTCATCATCCTTAACCTCGCTCCCAACGGCACGAGCACCAATTTCGGGGAGTGGTGCTATGGAGTGGAGAAGCACCTCCTTAGCTCGGAGCTCAAGGGGGGTTGCCTCAAGGACATCCTCCTCAACCGCGGCAAGGGGAAGATGCCTCTCCCTCCCGATCCTCTCGGTGAAGGCGCCACTCCCACAGCCAAGAGCGCTTTCGATGCTAAGACCACCAAGTATGAGACGGACTTTAGTCTCTGGGAGCAGGCGGATGCGGCAGTGATTAGGGTTTTCATCACCACCACCCCAGTTGAGTTAGTCAAGTCCTACCGCACCTTCCGCTCTGCGCATGACATTTGGAAGTACCTCCAGGATCGTTTTCATGACAAGACTGCCGTGGGAGTTGCAATCCTCATTCCTCGCATGTTCCAAATCCGCCTTGAGGAATGCCCGGGCATGGCAGATTACATCTCTGAAATCCGCAACATCCATGAGGAGCTCAAGGACATTGGGATCACCTTCCCCGAACAGGCACCTGCTGCTGGGCTTCTCGTCGGACTCACCCCGGCCTACAACGTCACCAGTTCCATGCTCAAGCAGCTCCCCACCAAGGAACTCACCTTCGAGAAAGTCGCTTCGGCCCTCCTCTCTGCGGAAAAGGACCTTGCAGCCCAGGCATCAGTCAATGCTGTGCGCTACTCCCCTGGCATTCCATTTCGTTCCCAGCAGGGCCATAGGCGCAACTCCTTTCCCCCATGCCAGTACCTCATTCGGAAGGGTCCACGTGCGGGGCAGAAGTGCAACGGCACCAACCACCCTGAGGCCACTTGCTTCAAGAAGCGAGATGACGAGTGGTATGACGTCCATGGTGTCTCCAAGGACAAGCGCCCTCCCAACTGGGTACCACCCCGTCGCGTGAACCAGGTCGAGGCAGTGGAGGAACCTGCTCAGGCATTTGCTAGCGCCCCATCTGATGTTCGCCTTAACCTGTTGTTCTCTGGTGCTGGTCTTATTAATGAGAAGGGGTCGCAGTACATCGGTGTTTCAACCACACAGGGAATCGAGTTCATACTAGACAGTGGTGCCACCCATACAGTGCTTAAAGACCAAACTGCCTTCGTTCCCTATCAGGCTCCCACCTCACTCCTTGGAGCAGATTCTAGCTTCTCCATCCAATGCCATGGCTCCTCCACAGTTTCCTGTCCAGCATTCCCATCTGGCACAGTCACTGGCATCTGTGCCCCAACCCTCCGCTACAACCTTCTTGCACAGCGGGAAATCCAACACGCAGGCGTGATCACCATCTTTCCCAATGATGTTGACTACTGTGACATGTTTGACGCCAAAACCGGACTCCATCTTGCCCGCTTCACCTTCAACTCCAACAACCTGTACACACTAGTTGTACCTCCCGTTCAAACATGCTCCCTCACCAACCTTCCGCTTCCATCCTCAGACTCCCCCTCATGTCACTGCCGCCTCCTCACTGACAAGACTATGCTATTTCATAACCGCCTCGGCCACATCAACTTCCGCGCACTTTCCGACCTTGCCACCAAGCAACTCCTTCATGGACTGCCCGCCTCACTTCCACAACCCCCCTCTCTTTCTGGACCGCCTTGCCTTGACTGTGCACAGAGCAAGCTTCGGGAACAGCCCCATCCTCCCACTGAGTCCATCTCTACCGCACCTCTCGATCGCGTACACATGGACCTTTGGGGTCCAGCTCCTGTTCGTTCCCGTGGCGGACACTTCTACTTCCTTGTCATCGTTGATGACTATTCCCGCTATGTGTCCGTTCACCTTCTCACCGCCAAGTCTGAAGCCCCAGCCATCATCATGGAATGGGCCAGGCAGGCTCATTCACACTTCAAAACCAAAATCAAGTTTCTTCACTCTGACGGTGGCGGTGAATTCCGCAACAACACTCTCAAAGCTTTCTGCTCTACTGAGGGTATCAAACAGACCTTCACTCTCCCAGACAGCCCTCAACAGAACGGTGTTGCTGAAAGCCGAAACCGCATCCTAGTGCAGATTGCTCGCTGCCTCCTCACTCATGCTTCCGCCCCTCCCTCTCTTTGGGGATCCGCCATGCTCCATGCTGCTGCCCTCCACAATCTCCATCCTCATCCTCACCACACCCAGACCACCCCCGCAGAGCTGTGGACGGGTCAAAAGCCGTCCGTCCGCCCTCTTCGTGTATGGGGGTGCACTTCCTATGTCCTCCTCAACTCCCAAGCCCGTCGTGCAGCTGGCGGCAAGCTTGCTCCGAAAACAATCACGTGCGTGTACCTCGGGCACAACTTGGACTCACCAGACTACCTCTTCCTCCATCCCACCACCAACAAACTCTATCGTAGCCGAGATGTTTTCTTCGATGAATCCCACCCATTCTACCCCTCCTCCACAGTTTCTCCTTCTCCTCCTCCTCTTTCTCTAACTTGGGCTGACTTTGACAGCCTTCCTCCTGCCACCACTCCATCTCCTCCTCTTCCCGCTCCCTCCACAGTTTCCGACCCCCCGTCACCCGCTTCCCCATCCAGCACCACGCAGTCTCCCCCGCTCCTTCCCGCCCCCGAGCCCATTCCTCTCAAAACCTACCAACGCCGTCCTCCTGCTGCCGCTCCTGCTCCTGATCCACCTCCTGCTCCTGATCCCGCTCCTGCTCCTGATTCAGCTGATGCTCCTGATGCTGCCACTACACCTTCTGCTTCTCCTCCTCCAGCTCCGCCTCCCTCCCCCATCGCTGGTCGCACCCGCTCGCACAAAGCTCCCAAGCCTCTTTCCCTTTCCATTCGTGTCTCTCTCAATCCTCCTCCTGTCGGGGGTGATTATTCGCTCATGCCCTCCCTTCTTGAGGACAGACATGAGGAGTTGATTGACATTGACTCAGCCATACACGCGCTCTGCTCTCTCTTTCCAGATATCGCAGAATCTCCCACCCTCAACTTCTCAGACAACCCCTCCATCCCCACACCTCTCACCTATGCTGAAGCAGTTTCTGGTCCTAACTCCGCTCAGTGGATAGGGGCCATTATCGCAGAGTGTGAGGCCTTCATTCACACAGGGACTTTCACAGATATCATTCCTCCCTCCGGCGTCAACATTGTGAAGGGAAAATGGGTTTTCCGGGTGAAACAACTTCCAGGCGAATTTCCTGTCTTCAAAGCCCGGTACTGTGCCAAGGGATTTACCCAAAAGCGTGGACTGGACTTCTTTGAGACATTCTCTCCCACTGCCAAACCTCCCACACTGCGCACCCTTCTCGATGTGGCCGCTCGAGATCACATGGAGGTTGGCTGCATGGATGTGTCTTCTGCGTTTCTGCAAGGGATCATTCGAGAGGAAATCTACATGGAGCGGCCCGAAGGATTTCCAGCTCCTTTTCCACCAGGCACTGTATGGAAGCTGAATCGACCAGTATATGGCCTCAAGCAAGCACCCCGGGAATGGCACAACAAGCTCAAGAGCACCTTAGGGTCCCTCGACTTTCACCCATCCACCTCTGACCCCAGCCTCTTCATTCGAGCAACACCATCCCGCTTCTTCATCTTGGTTTATGTCGATGACATGATCCTTGTCACCAAGGATCAGACTGAGCTGGCAGCAGTCAAAGCCGCACTTGGTGAGAAGCTGGCCATGAAGGATCTTGGGAAGCTGACGAACTATCTGGGCATGGAAATCACACGTGATCGCACTGCCCGCACCATCACCCTCTCGCAGAAGTTCTACATCAACAACGTTCTGACAAGGTTCAAGATGCAGGAAGCAGCTTCAATGCCCACCCCACTCTCTCTGCAGCACCAACTCACTGCACCCTCTGTTCCCTCACCTGAGCCCTGCGATGAGGCTTACCCCGAGCTCGTTGGCCTATCCAGTCAGTGTCCTGTCTCGCTACGTTGCACCTGGTCGCTTCACGAGCCACCACTGGTCTGCCGCCAAGCGGGTCCTCCGCTATCTCAAAGGCACACAGGACTATGTGCTCACTCTTGGCGGCTCTTCCCCTGTTCGCCTTGAGGGGTACAGTGACTCGTCCTATGCTGATGACCAGAGTGATCGGCGCTCTTCCCAAGGGTATTGCTTTACCCTTGGCAGTGGGGTTGTCAGTTGGCGCTCCACACGGTCGTCTTCCGTCTCACTGTCGACCTGTGAGGCAGAGCTGTATGCAGGGACCATGGCTGCCCAGGAGGCCCGTTGGCTCTCCTTCTTGCTGGCAGAACTTGGGTATCCTCAACCAGCCCCAACGCTTTGGTGTGACAACGAGAGCACCATTCACCTCACCAAGGACCCCGTCTTCCACGGCCGCACCAAGCACATTGAAGTCCGTCACTACTTTCTTCGTGAGCTGGTGCAGCGCGAGCAGCTGAAGGCAGAACACATTGCCTCCGACTGCAACCTTGCTGACTTGTTTACCAAGTCTCTTGTTCGCCAAGACCACTACCGCCTCCTCTCGTCCATGGGTGTTGGACCTCCATGTGGCTGAAGTGTTGTCAGCCTAGGGGGTGTGTTAGAAATAGTCAGTCAACACTTTGTACTATATTCTATATCGGTTATGTTACTTTGTAGGTTGGGTGTAGATTTGTAATCCCAACCCTATCTGGTTGGGATTTCCTCGTAATCCTGCAAATCTGCCAACTCACCAATTGGAGATTTGCTAGGATTCCCATCCCATCCTTTCCCTAGCTTTGCTCAACCCAACCGTGTTTGTACTTAAGGCCTCGTGCCTTCCTTATCAATCAATCAGTTAAGTTCCAATTCTATCACCTCCGCCCTCCTTGAACTCCGAGTGAGTCCCTCCGCCCTCCTCGAGCTCCGTGTGAGTCCCTCCGCCCTCCTTGAGCTCCGAGTGAGTCCCTCCGCCCTCCTTGAGCTCCGAGTGAGTCCCTCCGCCCTCCTTGAACTCCGAGTGAGTCCCTCCCCCCTCCTTGAACTCCGAGTGAGTCCCTCCGCCCTCCTTGAACTCCGAGTGAGTCCCTCCGCCCTCCTCGAGCTCCGAGTGAGTCCCTCCGCCCTCCTTGAACTCCGAGTGAGTCCTTCCGCACCCGCACGGCCCTTCCCTGGCCTCCTTCTCAACTCGAGTCTCGTTTTATCTCCTGTGTTACCTGTGAGATCCACTCGTGCATACCAGAGGTATCTCGACTCCACCCCTGGCGCCCTTGTTTCTCTTCTTCACACTTCCCTTCTTCCTCCCTCTCTCGTCCCTTGTGAATCCCTGCCAGGTGCCTGCCGATGCACGCAGCAACTGCTGGGTGTCGTTCGATGGGAAGAAGCGGCAGCAGCTCTCGCGGGGGGACTCAGTGCGCATTTCCATGAGCGCGCACCCTGTGCCCACCGTCAACAAGCGTGACCAAACCGACGACTGGTTTGCCAGCCTGGTCAGGTGCCTCAACTGGAACGAGCGCATGGAGCAGAAGGGATTTAACACTACCTTCTAGAGGTTGATTCGTGTTGGATTGCGTGGGGGCGTGAGTGATACGTATGTCGGGAAGGAATGTTCTTTCCCGCTAGCTGGCTTGTTGGGTGACTTGACTTGCTCTATTATCCACAAGGCACTTGGGATTGTTTTGTTGTGCACAGTAATAGTAACGATAAATATAATGTTGTGATTGTGTCACCATTGGCAATGCATGTAATCAATAATGTCAAAACATATTGTTCTGCTTATTTCACTCTAGGTTGTGTAGGGTTCTTTCCTTAGAGGGTACAACAATCTCTCTCGATAGTCCTTGTACCCCCCCCTTACCTAATCGAACTCACTCATCTAGCTAGTAACTCTAACATGGTATTAAGAGCACAATGCTCCTTAGGACCGAAATTTTAAAAGGGCCCACCACTACTATTTCGACCTGCTGCCCGAGTCGCGCCCCTAGGAGAAACGCGAAATGCGAAAACGTGCCCTAGGCGAGACGGTTCCCTTTTCTGCCTAGACGCGATTTTCTGTTCCTAGTCACGTGCGACCCCCCTGACCGAGCCCTAGCTGCCCCGTGCGCCTCTCGCGCGGCCCGTCAGCCCCTACGCCCGGTCCCCCCCTCGTTCCTGCTGCTGCGCGCGCCACTCACGCTGCCCGCCAGCCCCTAGCACGCACCTGATGCGCGCTCCTCGTAGTGCCGCCCCGCACGCACCTGTTGCGCGCCCCTGGTTTGCACGCCCACAGCCCACGCGCGCCTACTGCTACTACGCGCTGCCCAGCCCGAGCTGTCACTGCTGCTGCTACTGACGCTACTGCTGCTACAGCTAGTGCTACTCACTGCTGCTGCTACTGAAGCTAGTGCTGCTACAGCTAGTGCTACTCACTGCTGCTGCTACTGAAGCTAGTGTTGCTACAGCTAGTGCTACTCACTGCTGCTGCTACTGAAGCTACTGCTGCTACAGCTAGCGCTACTCACTGCTGCTGCTACTGACGCTACTCCTGTTACAGCTAGCGCTACTCACTGCTGCTGCTACTGAAGCTAGTGCTGCTACAGCTAGTGCTACTGCTGCTGCTGCTACTACGGCACTTGCTACAGCTGCTACTGACTGAAGCTACGGCTGCTACAGCTAGTGCTACTGCTGCAGCTCCTACTCCAGCACTTGCTACAGCTACTATTGACTGAAGCTACTCCAGCTACAGCTAGTGCTACTGCTGCAGCTCCTACTACTGCACTTGGTACAGCTGGTACTGACTGAAGCTACTTCTGCTACAGCTAGTGCTACTGCTGCAGCTCCTACTCCAGCACTTACTGCAGCTGCTCCTGACTGAAGCTACTGCTGCAGCTCCTACTACTTCACTTGGTACAGCTAGTACTACTGCTGCAGCTCCTACTACTTCACTTGCTACAGCTAGTGCTACTGCTGCAGCTCCTACTACTGCACTTGCTACAGCTAGTGCTACTGCTGCTGCTGCTGCTGCTGCTGCTCGGTCTGCTGCTGCTGCCCGAGCCGCCCTGCTACTGCTGCTACTGGAGGGAGTACTGCTGGGAGTGGTGGAGGTGCGGCCTCCCACCCCCACCGAACCGCCCTGCTGCTGTTACTACTGCTGCTGCTGCTACTTGTGCTACTGGGAGTGGAGGAGGTGCTGCTGGGAGTGTAGGAGGTGCTGCTGGCGCTGTAGGAGCTGGAGGTGCTGGACCTACTCCTGACAGTCACTGTCTGTCATGGCCACTTCCGCGGCAGTCGCTGCGGCCAGGGGTGGACAGCAGCGGGCACTGCTTCTCCCGGACGACCCCACCCCTCAGCAGCTTCGTGAGTGGGTTATTCAGCGAGGTCGTCCTGGTGGTGGAGGTTATCGTTATGTTAAGACCGCTGCTCTTGGTGTTAGTGAGTCTGCTGCCACTCCAGGTGTTAGTCAGTCTGCTGCCACTCCAGGTGTTAGTGAGTCTGCTGCCACTCCAGGTGCTAGTGAGTCTGCTGCAGCTCTAGGTGCCCGTGAGTCTACCGACGCTCTAGTTGCTAGTGCGTCTACTACCACAGGTCCTGCCTCAGCTGAGGTCTTGCACACGTTCACGCTTGACTCCGGCGCGTCACGTTGCTTCTTCCGTGATTGCACCACAGTCACACCACTCACAGCACCTGTCCCAGTCTCACTGGCTGACCCCTCTGGGGGCCCAGTGGTTGCGAGAGCCTCCACGGTCCTCCCTTGTCCAGCAGTCCCCTCCGGCTCTTTGTCAGGTCTCCACCTCCCCACGTTCTCGACGAACTTGGTGAGCAACGCTGCCATTCAGGATGTCTGGGTTGATACCTTTATTCCTGGAGGGCAGCGTGTGGCGATCTGTACGTGCTCCCGGACTGGCCGTCACCTGGCTACGTTCACTCGACAGCCTGGGTCTAGTCTGTACACACTGACCACTGCGTCTGCACAGGTGGCTGAGTCAGGTCAGGTAGCTACGTCGAGTCGAGCGTCTGCGTCAGGGCAGTTAGCTGCGTCTTGCTCGTGCCGAGTACTCACGCACGAGACTCAGCGCTGGCACCACCGTCTTGGTCACCCCTCCCTGCAGCGTCTGCGCCGCATGCACTCCCGGCTCCTGGTCACTGGCCTCCCTGAGACCCTGCCCCCCCTCCCGCGCTCACTTGCGCCGCCGTGCCTTCCTTGCGTCGAGGGGCGGCAGCGCGCCGCTCCTCACTCCTCCGAGTTTCCTCCGACCACTGCTCCTCTGCAGACTCTCCACATGGACGTGTGGGGCCCGGCCCCCGTCGGTGGAACGGATCAGGAGCGCTACTTCCTGCTGGTGGTTGACGAATACACACGCTACACCACAGTCTTCCCCTTGCGGCGCAAGGCGGATGTCAGTGGTGTCTTGATCCGCTGGATCCGTGCTACTCGTCTCCAGCTGCACGAGCGCTTTCAGCAGGACTTCCCAGTCCTGCGTCTGCACTCTGACAGGGGTGGTGAGTTCTCCTCTGGCGTCCTTGAGACGTTCTGCCAGGATGAGGGCATCCGCCAGTCGTTCACGCTTCCGGCCTCTCCGCAGCAAAATGGGATCGCTGAGCGTCGCATTGGCCTGATCATGGAGGTTGCTCGTACCTCCATGATCCATGCGGCTGCTCCCCATTTCCTGTGGCCGTTTGCGGTCCGATACGCCGCGCATCAGCTCAACCTCTGGCCCCGTGTCTCTGCTCCAGAGACCTCGCCCACACTCCGTTGGACGGGACAGCCTGGTGATGCGTCGTCGTTTCGGGTCTGGGGCGCGCTCTCCCTTGTTCGCGATACCAAAGCGAGCAAGCTCTCCCCTCGCACTCTCCGCTGTGTCTTCCTGGGCTTCCCCACCGACGCTCCACCCTGGCAGTTCTACCACCCTACCTCGCGTCATGTTCTGTCCTCTCAGGATGTCACCTTTGATGAGTCGGTCTGTTACTACCGACTTCACCCGCACGCGTCCCACCCGGTCCCTCTCGCACCTCTCTTCCTGGTACCAGTCCCCCCCCCGGTAGACCCCCTTCCCCCACAGGGTCCTGCTCCCTCAGGTGTGTCCCAGGTAGACCCACCCCCCTTGGATGAGCCATTCGAGATCTCTTCTGACTCCTCTGACTCACCTGAGGGGGGTGACGCCGTCGCCGACGACACGGCGACCACTCGCCGCACTCCTCGCTTGGAGACCCCCCCGGGTTTCCCGCCACGGCCGTCTTCGCCGCCTCTGCAGCCTGCTGCTGTGGACACTGGAGCAGAGACTGAGGGTACTGAGCCTGGGGGTGCTGGGACTGAGGGTACTGAGCCTGGGGGTGCTGGGACTGAGGGTACTGAGCCTGGGGGTGCTGGGACTGAGGGTACTGAGCCTGGGGGTGCTGGGACTGAGGGTACTAGGCCTGAGGGTGCTGCGACTGAGGGTACTGAGCCTGCGAGTGCTGAGACCGAGGGTGCTGCCTCTGGGGGTGCTTCGAGTTCGAGTGCTGACTCTGGGGGTGCTGCGAGTCCTTCTGGTGTTGGTGTCGTCGGAGCTCCTACCGGAGGACCTGGAGCTACTGGTGCTGGAGGTACTGGAGGTACTGCTGGTGCTGGAGGTCCTGGAGGTGCTGCTGGTGCTGGAGGTCCTGGAGGTGCTGGAGGTACTGGAGGTGCTGCTGGTGCTGGAGGTCGGGGAGCTGCAGGTGCTGCTGGTCCTGGTGGAGCTGCTGGTGCTGGAGGTACTGGAGGTGCTGCTGGTGCTGGAGGTCGTGGAGCTGCTGGTGCTGGAGGTACTGGAGGTACTGCTGGTGCTGGAGGTCGTGGAGCTGCTAGAGCTGCTGGTGCTGGAGGCGCCGAAGCTGCTGGGGCTGGAGGTGCTGGAGGTGCTGGAGGTCCTGGTGGAGCTACTGGTGCTCTTCGCCACCTTCTCAGTCTTCAGCCAGGTGCTACTGGCTTCCCTGTGGCAGGTACTACTCCTCCGTTGCTGTGTCCACCGGCGGACCAGTCACAGCCGCCGCTGCTACCACACTCCCCATTGCCTGCTCCTGCTCCTTACACTGCGGTGTCAGAGTCCCTGACTGAGCGTCGAGAGCCTGAGACTCGTGCTTCCACCCCTGAGCGTCGAGAGCCTGAGTCTAGCTTTGACCTTGAGCCTGAGCCTAGAGCTGCTGTCCGTGCTCGTGTTCCTCGTGTTCGTCGTCAGCGTGCTTCGGCTGTCCCCGGCACTCACGATATGACACTCCGTCCTTCCTCTGTTCCTCAGCGTGTTGTCCTACCGTTACCTCCTGCGTCTTCTTTGCCTGACGTTGCTGACCCTCCGTCTGACCTTACTCGTGCGTCCAGTCCGACTGTTACTCGCCTTCTTGCTACGGTTGTGACGGACCCTACGTTCTCGTCTCCTGCTGCGTCTGCCCTAGTAGCTGAGCTCGTTGACTTTGCTGCTGTGTACCGCCTAGACTACCTTGCGAGTCTTGTCTCTGACCCTGTCCCTGCCTGTCCTCCGTCCGTCGGGGGTGAGACTGCTCTTGGCTGCACTGCCCTTGGCTGTGACGTTCTTGAGGACAGACAGGAGGAGTTGGAGTGCCTTGCTGCCGCTTCACCCCATCACGCGACCATGCTGCTTGCCCCTGAAGGAGACCCGGATGCACTTGACATCCCCACCCCGCGCTCCTACAGGGAGTTGATTTCGGGTGAGTACTCCTCTCAGTGGCAGACAGCCATGGACGCATAGATGGCTTCCTGGAAGTCCACAGGCACCTACGTCGACGAGGTTCCCCCACCTGGGGCGAACATCGTCAGTGGCATGTGGATTTTCAGGGTGAAGCGGCCGCCGGGTTCTCCGCCTGCCTTCAAGGCACGTTACGTTGCTCGAGGCTTCAGTCAGCGTGAGGGGGTCGACTTCTTTCAGACCTTCTCCCCCACCCCGAAGATGACCACTCTTCGGGTGTTGCTACACGTTGCAGCTTAGCGTGACTACGAGCTGCACTCCCTCGACTTCTCGACAGCTTTCTTGCAGGGTAGCCTTCACGAGGCCATCTGGTTGCGCCGTCCACAGGGCTTCACAGGGTCGTTTCCTGCGGGTACCCAGTGGAGCCTACGGCGACCAGTGTACGGCCTGCGTCAGGCGCCCCGTGAGTGGCACGACACACTGAGGACGACACTTGCGGCTCTTGGGTTTGCTCCTTCGACTGCTGACCCGTCGCTGTTTCTACGCACCGACACTACTCTGCCGCCGTTCTACATCCTCGTGTACGTCGACGACTTGGTTTTTGCTACTGCTGACACTGAGGCACTGACCCTAGTGAAGGCGGAGTTGCAGGAGAGACACACCTGCACTGACCTGGGTGAGCTGCGGAGCTATCTTGGCTTGCAGATCACCTGGGACAGAGCACGGCGCACCATCACCCTGACTCAGTCACACATGGTGCACCAGGTCCTTCAGCGCTTCCGCTTCACGTACTCCTCGCCACAGCCCACTCCTCTGGCTACCGGCCACTCGCTCTCAGCTCCACCTTCGGACGAGTCCGTAGAGCCGAGTGGTCCGTACCCAGAGCTTGTGGGCTGCCTCATGTACCTGATGACGTGCACACGACCTGACCTCGCATATCCTCTCAGCCTTCTGGCTCGCTACGTGGCACCCGGCAGGCACCGAAAGGTGCACTTTGATGCTGCGAAGAGGGTACTGCGTTACTTGTGCAGCACATCGGGCATGGGGCTCGTGCTTGGAGGACGGGGTCCTGTGGTCCTCACAGGACACTCTGACGCTTCTTGGGCTGACGACCAGGCGACTCAGCGTTCGTCACAGGGCTACACCTTCAGTCTTGGCGCTGGTTCTGTCTCGTGGAGGTCCACTCGTTCTTCTTCTGTGCTTGGTTCCAGCTGTGAGGCCGAGATCTACGCTGGGGCCATGGCTGCACAGGAGCTCCGTTGGCTGACCTACCCGCTGACCGACTTGGGGGAGCGGCCTCGTTCTCCTCCAGTTCTGTACGTCGACAAGGCAATGCTTGCCTTGTGTCGCGAACAGAGACTGGAGCACAGAACGAAGCACATTGCTCTGCGCTACTTCCTTGCGCGTGAGATGCAGCAGCGTGGTCAGCTGCGCCTTGCTTTCGTGGCCTCTCGGGCCAACACTGCTGATGTCTTCACCAAGGCCCTTGCGGCTGGTGATCATCAGCGTTTCTGCACTGCTCTTGGGCTTGTGCCCACTCTGCCTCACCTGCTGGTTGCTTGACTTGCTCTTGTTGTACACTGCTATATATCTTTATACCTGCATGTTTCTTCTTGCTAGGTTGTGATCTGTGTACTGCCTTGCTCTTATAAATCTGCATGTGAACTGGCCTTGTGGCTGCCTGCTTGTGCTCAGATTGTGTGGTGTCCTTGAGATCCACCCTGGGCTTTGCCTTGCTTGTTCTCTTGCTTGACTGGTCTTGTGACCACTGTTAGGCTTGGCTATCCCCTACTTCACCTATGGGGGTGTGTCAAAACATATTGTTCTGCTTATTTCACTCTAGGTGTGTAGGGTTCTTTCCTTAGAGGGTACAACAATCTCTCTCGATAGTCCTTGTACCCCCCCCTTACCTAATCGAACTCACTCATCTAGCTAGTAACTCTAACAAATAATTGAATTTAGCGAGGTGAATTCTATAGGATGCCCGCCTACCCATCCATTCGCCGACCTCCCTAAAAATATATGCGGATATTGACTCAATGTACCAAAAGTGAGGAATAGAGAGCCTATGAATGAAAGCAACCAACCATACATGGAAGAAGCTCTATCTTGTTGTAGGATTGTAGCCAGAATTTCGATAACACAAGTTGAATCATAGTGCTTCTTCCTGTAACGAAAGACAAAGTTTGCCATTTTCAGGGACTCGTGAAAGGCACTGCGTACTAGGGAAGTTGTGGTCCACGAATGGTGATAATTTCGTTACAGGCGTGAGAGGAGCGGCTGTCAAGCACCAAGCCAGGCATGCAATCTAGCGCAGGCATTTTTCGCCTCAAATTTCCGACCGGACAGTAGATATTTTTGTGCTGACAATTCTGTGCCACAAACCTCACGCAGATACAGCGCCGAATTTTATTTTTCCTTCTGCACTGTTTGTCCGTTGGAGGTCTAGGCAAGACAGGGCCAGAAATAAGCCACGTTGACGTGCGCTGTCAAATAGAATCTAGGCTGGGATGGCTCGTCACGTGATGGCAGCTGTGGTTTTGCACATGGCAGCATCGAGTCGCTCAACGTTCCTCAACCACCAGTGGAGCTCAGAGTATCCCACTGAAAAGTGGAAAAGTGGGCAGCTGAAAGTGTTTTTGTGGATACGGGTTTGACTGGGCCCTTTGAAGGCGCTCACAGCCACGAGTTTTTCCTCAAAGGACTCATTCTCCCCAAGTTCGCTGGGTGGTCTGCCAACAAGCTTGATCCCCCCAAGCATGATTGATCTGCCCATTTTCCGCCTTCTACGCGGAAACACGTCAGCAAGAGGAAAAAGCTCCAAGGCGCGTCACAAAAAGGACGCACCCAGCGCTTGCCTTTTTCCGCTTTCTTCCGCCGCATCATCACTGGGCACAGACCTGCAGGGGGGGAGGGGAGCCGTTTCGCGCCTCCATCTGCAATTCTCCACCACAAGTCTTCCTCCTTTTGCTCGCTCCTCTTCCGCGGAGGTTCTGTTTTCCTCCGCCGCAATGGTTCCACCTCCCGCAATCTGCACATCCACAAACAAGACTCCCCCAATTCGTCTCCCTGAACCTTGGGATCGTCTCGTCTTGCCTCCCTCACCTAGAGAGCCGGGAGACTCGAGGAATGCTCTCTTGCTATGAGCTGCTTTCTAGTAGTTATCGATTTCATGTTCCAAGTTTGTATGCAGCTTATGAAATGCTCCATGACCAGCTGATGTACTTGCCAAGCTAAAACTCTCCATAATCGCTTGAAGTGAGATTACTTAATACAGATCAGTTATCTAGTTGTCGACGGCTCTTAATACTGTGTTTAGTTTGAATGCTTCAGAACGCCTGCGAGATCAAACTGACAGTTCGTTCATCTTCCGGCAGATAAGATTAAATAAGGTGCCTTAGACCGAGCGAACAGATATCCTGTCTTGTAATATCAAACAACCGCAACGGCAATTCTCAAGTTCAATCTTCCTCACTTTCAGATGGAAAGCCCACCTTACGTAGCCGCAGATGTTGGAGGAAAGCGTAAGAGAGAGGAAGAAGAAGAGGATTTCCATCCCGAACCCAATGGCTCAATAAAGACCCCAGTCGTTGCATCCAGCTGTCCGTTCGACCAAACCACAACATCATCCCATCCAGTACTCGCTTCCCCTCGCGAGAAAGACTTTCCGCGCGTCTCGCAGGACTCTCCTTGCGTAGCTGGCGTTCCAACAAAAGCCGAGACGCTTTTTGAAGATCACGAGAACGCGTCGCTACCGCTATCGCCGTCCAGAATTGTCAGCCAGCTGGTTTCACCGCCGGGAGTTGTGTCTCAAGAAATGGCCGCTCGAGTCGTGGCCGGGTCTCAGCTAAAAGAGGAAGCTGTTGCAGCAGCGGAAGTCGCAGCGGCTGCTGACGCCGCGGCTGCTGCTGCGGCGGAAGAGGCGACGGGATGCCCTGCGGGAGAGAACAAGGCGGTGGAGTTGACCGTTGAGCAGATTGATTCGATCTGCGAAGAAGCAGCAGCGGCTGTAGCGGCTACAGCTGCCGCAGCAGCCGGCGCGCTGGCGAGTGAGAAGTGGGAGGCGGAGGCCAGCAGCGAGGAGACGAACAAACGGAAAAGAAGACGGAGAGTTCACAAGAAGACGGCGGTGGGAAACTTTCCGTCAGCGTCGAATCAACCGGAGGATGGTGGGAGGTCGGACGGAGGAAGGGAGGAGGGAAGCGAGACGACGGAGAGCGACGGTTCTGAGGAAGAGAGAGGGGGGACGGGATTGGATGCGAGAATCGGAGACGCAGCGGATGCGGCGGCGGGAAACACGGAAGAGGTGGAGCTGGATTCGCAGGAGGAGGATGGCGACGACGCGGGTCTATCGCTATTCGACACGGAGAAGAACGACTCTATGATGGGCATCGATGGCGGCTCGGCGGCGGCGGATGCGGCGGGGAGCGCCGGTCGGAAGGGAGGCGAGGAAGGGATGCAGGAAAGAGTAGCGGCCGCTTCCAGGTTGGCGGCTGTGGATGAGTCGCGGATCGCCGTTGAAGTTTACGAGGATGACGCCGTGAATCACGGCGGGAAACCCGCGCACTCTCGGCGGCAAGATGCAGCCGCGGAGGTCGCGCCGGAGGATGCGGAGAGCAAGCATGGCGGGAAAGGCCGCGCCGGGAAGTGCGCCGCCGCACACTGCGGGAAGGCGACGGGGAAGGAAGCGCGAACGACGGCGACGGTGTCGCAGGTGCTGGTTCGCACGAGCATGGAGTCGTGTCGCACGGTGGTTCTGCGAGTCAGGGCGAGCGACACCGTGGACGACGTGCTGTGGCAGATCCAGTGAGTGACGTACCATGATGTCAGCATCGCCATGCCAAACAGTGCATCCATTGGTTTGAGTCATGCCAAGCAGCACTGATTTTTCTTTAGCCATGCCAAGCAGCAGCAGCTTTTATCTTCTGTTTTTTTCCTTTCCCCTCATGAATGTTCTTCCACCCCCGTCCCCCTCCCGTCCCCCTTTCTCTCACCGACAGGCGGAAAACGGGCCTGCCGGCGCACGAGCACCGCCTCATCTACGCCGGAAAGCAGCTCGACACCTCCGCGCGCCTGCAGGAAGTGCCTGTGCCGCACGATGCCACGCTGCAGCTGATCGGACGGCTGAGATCGACGCTCTTCCCCGACGTGTGGCTGCTTGTGGCGGAGATGGAGGCGGGGCTGGCGCAGCTGCAGCGCCTGGAGGCCGTTGGCGCGGGCGTGGGGGAGCCTCCGCCTGGCGCGGGGAAAGGCGAGGGGGGCGGAAGGGGCGGAGGCAAGGGGAGTGGGAGGGAGGGAGGAAGGGTGGACGGGAGGGCGGACGGGGGTGAAGTCCCCGTGCACGAGCAGCGCGCGGAAGTGGCGGATGGGGGGAGAGGAGGAGGCGGCGGAGGCGGAGATGCGTGCAATTGCGCGGAGGAGAGGGGAGGGAGGGGGAGAGGCGGGGGGAGAGGGCGGGGGAGAGGGAGAGGGAGGGGGAGCGGAGCAGCAGCAGAGGGAGCGAGTGGAGGTGCTGTGGAGGTTCAAGCAGGGGATGCCATGGAGCAAGAACCGGCTCAGGCGGAGCAGCAGCAGCAGCAGCAACAGCAACAACAACCACAACATCAAGACCAGCAGGACCAGCAGCAGGATGAGCAGGAAGCGCCAGGAAGCGGGGGTGGGGGAGGCGGCGCAGTGGTGCAGGAGGCGGGGGGGAAGGGGCGGCGGGAGCGGCTGAGCAAGTACTACGAGGACAAGATCCACTGCGCCATGGCGCAGCTCTTCGTGCGCGCGGTTGACACCATCCGCTCCGGCCACGACGGCTGGACCATCAAACTCGCCGAATACATCGAGGCCTTCAGGTGCGTTCAACAGAGCCCTCAGGCGTTTTCAACAGAGGGTACCTGTGATGAAGCCCTTGTGGTTGACTTCAGGTGTTTGAGGTTCTTCCGGCGTTCTGCTCATTGTCCCCCCAGCTCTCTACAAATGAATCTCCAAACGTCCCAAGAAACAATCAGTTTCTTTCTCTGCCTCTTCGTCCTCTTCTTCCTTTCCTTGAGTTGCGGGCTGAACATTGCATTTGCCTTGTGGTTTCCATCTCTGTCCCACTGGCAGGCTGGCAGGAGGTGTGCGGGCGGCCGTGCAGCTGCTGCAGCTGAAGGAGCCCCACCACATGCGCTTTGCCGACCAAACCGTCGCCAGCTTCCTGGACGAGCGAGGTGAGACAAGAGATTTTATAATATCAACAAGGAAATAGAGAAAGGAAAGAGAGAGTACTAGTTTATTTTGACTAAAAAGATGATGAGGGGAGCTAGGGGAAAGTCGTTGTTAAATGGGTAAGCACTGACAGATAATGCATTCGCATTGAGGATGTACTTACATGATTTTCCTTCTTCATGCACTCCCGCCTCGTTTCCGCCCTCATTTCTTTCATCCCCTCCCGCTCCCCTAATTCCTCCCTCGTCCAGCGCTGATCACGTACATGCACGACTACGCCTGCCCGGGTAAATTCACCCACCTTTCAAGGCGTCTCAAAGGGCAGTTTCTCTTCCCCCCCCCCTCTCCTCCCCACCCCTCCATTCTCTCACCCCATTCCAGCGCTGATCACATACATGCACGACTACGCCTGCCCGGGTAAATTCGCGCGGCCACTGCTGGACTATCTGGGCCCCGTTCTCATGGAGCTGCACGTCCTGCTCGACTCGTGCCGCCTGCGACCCGCTCTCACCACCAGGTGTGTGTGCGTGTGTGTGTGTGTGGATGTTTTGTGCTTGTGCACTCTCTTCACCTCACTGTTATGTCGGTTCGCTCCTTCTGTTATCTCATTTGTCGCTCCTCTTATCCATCTTTGCTCTGCTGCCTTCAACCCTTCTGCTCTCCCCATCAGGTGTTGGGACGCGTTGGTGAAGCTGTTTGGCAAGGTACAGCTGGGTCGCTTCTGCCCGCAGCTCAACCGCTCCCCCGACTGGCTCGTGCGCAACCTCGCGCCCTTCCTCGAAAAGGCAGCCACGGACCTCTGTATAAGCCTGCACCAGCTCACCCTGCTAGCAGCAGCCAAGTCCGACAACCTCACCTCCCCCCTCACCTCCTCCGCCTCCTCCGCTTTCAAAACGTTCGCGTCAGCCATTGTCCTCTCGCTCCCCTTCTGCCGCCCGGCCGTGCGCCAGTCCGCGTTCTGCCGTCCGGGGTGGCTGCTGACTGTGTTTGGCTCCGTGCTGAGACACGTGGACGCGTGCCTGGCTGAGTCAGCGCGGTTTGCCAGGCGGCTGCTGCTGCTAACGGAGGGGCCTGCTGTGCTGGCGAGCACTGCTGCTGCTGCCGCAGCTGCTGTTGCCACTGGTGCTGGTGGTGCTGGTTTCGGCATTGCTGCTGGTTTCGGTGCTGCTGCTGATTCATTGATGCAACCACCAGTAGCTGCCTTCGGCTCCTTCCCTGCGAATTGGCCGTATTTCACCGGCCTCCCTTCCTACACTGCTCCTTCCCCGGCCTATTCGCCTGAAACAGCTGCTGCTGTGGCTGCAGCTGCGGCGGCACAATCAGCCCAGCTGTCCCAATCTGCTGCGTCACTACACGCGTACCAGTACCATTCAACAGCAGCAACACCACCAGCAACAGCAACAGCAGCAGGAGGGCATGCATTCACAGGCGCAAGCCACTATCATGCTGCCTCTGCTCCTTCCTTCCCACACAGCCCCCCCTGGCACGACCACCACCACCACCACCACCATCACCCCGCCACTCCCATGCACACCTCACCCCACCGCAACCAACCCCACCACTCCCCCCAACACCCAACCCCCTTCCCCCCAGCCTCCTCTCCCTTCTCCCATCCCTCCCACCCCGCCTCCCCACTCCCGCCCCTCTCTCCCCCCGATCTAGTCGGCCGAATGGCCCTCTCGCTCCTGCCAGAACCCCTCAGAGAATGCATCCCCGCGGTCCTGCAAGGGCTATATCTCCTAGCCGCGGTGGCAGCAGGGGCGGGGAGGGGCGGCAGCGCGGAGCAGCTAGTGGGGCTGCTGGTGAGGCACAGGGGGTGTGTGAATGCGGTGATTCAGAACCAGCACTTGGCGCCGGGAGGGGACCTGGCGTGGGTGTGCGAGCACAGGGAGCTGATAGACATGGATGTGAAGAGGCGGTGGATGGGCGCTCTGCTGCCGGAGCCTGCTGAAGACCATGCCATCCGATGCACCGTCATTGTGAGTCCACGTGTGATGGCCGAGTTAAAGTGAGTCCAGGTGTGATGGCTGATTGGCTAAGTCGTTGTGTGTCAAAGTAAGTTAGAACCAGCACCTGGCGTGGGTGTGCGAGCACAGGGAGCTGATAGACATGGATGTGAAGAGGCGGTGGATGGGAGCGCTGCTGCCGGAGCCCGCTGAAGACCATGCCATCCGATGCACCGTCATTGTGAGTCCACGTGTGATGGCTGCTTTCTGGGCAGAGTCGGGGTGAGTCAAGGTGCTGCATAAATTCTCCAAGTAGATTTGATTCTCACCCTATTTCTCTCTCGGCCACTCTCAACCACACCAACACCCTGAAGACCATGCCAACCGATGCACTGTCATTGTGAGTCCACATGTGATTGCTGGCTGCTTGCTTGGCAGAGTCAGAGTGAGTCGAGGTGATGGCTAAGTCCAGTCCTCTGAGAGTGCCTCATGCTTGTCGGCTCGGCGGTGAGCTCGTGTCCACAGGCCGGCCTCTCCCCCTACTGCCAGTATCCTCCCAGTTGATTTGATTCTCACCCTTTTTCTCTCTTGGCCACTCTCAACCACCCCAACACCCCAGGTGCACCGAGGCCCGTCTCTACTCCACGAGTCGTTTGATCAGATCTTCTACGCGCCTCCAGAGGCCCTCAAGGCGGGCCTGCTCGTGCAATTCGTCGACGAGGACGGCTCGGGCGCGGGAGTCCTCCGCGAGTGGTTCATGCTCGTGGGCTGCGAGCTCTTCTCAGGCGTCAACGCCCTCTTCTCCGCCTGCCCGGACGACCACCAGCGCTTCTTCCCCTCGCCCTCCTCCGCCATCAACCCCGGCCACCTCTCCTACTTCCGCTTCTGCGGCCGTGTGGTCGCCCTCGCCCTCATGCATAACATCCATCTAGACGTGACATTCGCGCTCGCATTCTACAAGCTACTAGCCAGGCGCGAGGTGACCTGGCGGGACTGTAAAGACATGGATCCGGAGCTGTTTGCGAGCTGTCGGGCGATCATGGCGCTGCCGGCGACGGATGTGGATGCGGATGTGCTGGGGCTCACGTTTGTGTGCAGCGTGGAGGAGGGCGTGGGCGTGGGGGAGAGCCGGGTAGTGGAGCTGTGTCCGGGCGGGGAGTTCATCAAAGTCACCAACAGCAACCGCCACGCGTTCATTGATCTGCTTGTCAAGCGGAGGATTGTTGCGCCCATGAGGCTGCAGGCGCTGGCCTTTGCCGCGGGCTTTTCGGAGCTCCTGCACTGCCGGGACCTCCCCATCTCACTCGCCCTCCACACCTCCTCGCTCCATGCTTCCTCCCTCCACGCCTCCTCCCTTCACGCATCCTCTCTCCGTCTTCCCCTCTCTGTTCCTGCTGGCGTCAGCATTCCTGCTGCTGCCGTCACTGTGGCTCCTACTGGCGTCACCCTGGCCCCTGCTGGCGTCAGCATGCCTGCGGCTGGCGTCACCATGACTCCCACTAACCCTATCAACCATATGCACATGGGCGCGGCAGGGAATGTGGAAGCAGGAGGGCAGCAATGGGGCCGCGCTGCGCCACCTGCTGCTGCACCAGCATCAGTGCCAACACCTCCAACAGAACCACCAGCAACACCAGCATACGCTACAGCCCCTCCCACAACCGCCATTGCGCCCCCGACAGCCACTGCTGCAGCCGCCCTTTCCTGGCCCGCCTCCAATACCAACGCAGCTGCTACAGCAGCAGCAACGGCAGCAGCAACAGCAGCTGCGGCGGCGGCTGTAGCAGCTACAGCCCTGTGGGCTGCCGCCTTGCAAGGGACGTCTGGAACCGTGCCTACTTCCATGGACACCCTTCCAGCACTCATGGCTGCCCACGCTACAGCCGCTACAGCTGCTGCCACTGCTGCTGTTACCACAGTTGCTACACCTGCCACAGCTGCTGCTGCCCTGCACAGCGTCATGAGCACCCTGCCGACAGTAATCACCAGCCAGCCATCAGTCATGGTACCACTGGCTACAGCCGTGACAGCCCCTGCTGCTACAGCTGCATTACCCAGCGTCCTACCCATGGCAACAGCCGCTGTAGGTGTGCCAACCACTCCTGCCTCTGCTGCATCGGTTGTAGCGCCAATGATGGTCGAATCCCCGATGGTTGCGGCTGTAGCGTCTGTGGCGCCGGTGGTGGTTCCGATGATGAGTCCGGCTGTAGCGGTGGTGGAGAGCGGGTGGGTGATGCAGCAGGCTGTCCGGCCGCTGGGCGCAGGGGATTTTGAGGCGCTGCTGTATGGCGAGGAGAGGGACATTGACGTGGCGGACTGGCGGGCGCACACGGACTACCATGGCTACCGGGCAACCGACCCTGAGGTGTGTATAATCATGCAACCTGCTGTACCCATGTCCCCACTCTCAAGTTTGTTTCGTTACCATGGAACCAACTACACATGTGAATCACCAACACTTTCTATGAATTTTGATGGTTGCGGGGGTCTTGATGTTGCTTTCTTGACTTGGATCTGCTTTTTGCATCTCCCCTTGCTACCCGTGGTTGCAGATCGGGTGGTTCTGGGAGGTGGTGGAGGAAATGACCAAGGACCAGCGCAGGCGCCTGCTCTACTTCACCACAGCCATCACACGCCTCCCCGCTTCCGGCTTTGCTGGCCTGCAATCTAGGTATGAGCTAGCTAGGCTTCAGAAGCTTCCAGAAGTCTGGGCTTGCTCTTTTCTTCCTACCCTACATGCCCATGTGTGCCAAGCGATTTCTAAGTTCCTCTCCGTCTACCTGGTGTGGTGAACTAAGGTTGTTACTTGATTGCATTTGCTCTGCTGCAGGTTCCACATTCATCTTGCATTGACTGACACCACACATCTGCCAACCGCGCACACATGCTTCCATCAACTTGTGTTGCCACCGTACTCCGCCAAGGCAATGATGAGGAAAAGACTCCACACTGTCATCGCCGATCACCTTGTACAAGGATTCGGTTTTGCATAATAGGTTCTACTGATTAGTTGGAGTAGCCATTGTAATGCTCCTCCTCCTAGTTGGATTCGGTTTCTCTTAAATGGTAGGTGTGTTGCTTGATGGCAAACGCCATCACAGATTTTGTATAGTGTTGCCATGACCAATGAATTGCTGACTGTTGTGAAGAATAAGGTGCTGTATTTGTGGTTTGAGTGGAGAAAAGTATTCATATCCGTTAGGAAGTTTGTAGGGAGTTTCTGTTTGGAGAATGTATAGGCATGACTGATTCTTGTTGTATGTGGTATCTGACAAATGTAAGGTTGCACTTTGTAAGCGTTTTGGAACAAATGCTCGCAGTTTTCCTCCGACCTATTCCGTAGTTATGAACTGTAGCTTCGCATGTGTGGCTCCAGAAATCTCACTCCCTTCTAGAAACTAGACGGCTGCTTCGTTATTGGCGCAGGTAGGTTGGACTTCGCTTATGTATGGTGTGGAGTGGTTGGCGCTCCTCCCCTCCTCTCATATCACATCACCTCGGGATTGCCCTGCCTGTCGGTGACTGGTCAGCACATTTGCTTGCACGTTCTGGTCCGTGCCTATTCGCCTTCCTCCGCTCCTTTCTTCTACGTCGCTGCGCCGTCCATGTCCCTTGTAGGTCTTCGTTTGAATCTCGATATCAGTGCGATCGTGTGCGACCTTCGCGCGACCTAGCTCAAGGTTGATGAACCAGCGCCGCTCCTTATTACTATTGAATTGATCTAATCTGTCTTCAGGCCAAAGCGACTTACCTCGTCGGGTTAGCTTGAAGTTGTTTAGTTCTTTATAGATTAGAAATTAAAAGATGAGGATTTCAAGCTCGTTCATGGATGACGACTCTTCGTTATAACGCCGAAAAATTCGCCATAGCGAGTCAACAGGAACCAAGACTCGTTGATTCGGGTTCACAACATCTGACAACTCGCCGCTTTTCCTAGTCACCGTTTTAGGAGGAGCGTGACTCGTAGCCATGGAGTTTCTGAAGAAGCTTCGTCAACTGGACGCGTATCCGAAGGTCAATGAGGACTTCTACAGTCGCACCATGTCCGGCGGCATCCTCACGCTCCTCTCCTCCGTCGTCATGGCCGTGCTCTTCATCACCGAACTCCGTATGTCGTTCCCGTTACGATATCCCCTGTATAAACATCCTCCTCTGTCGTCATGGCCGTGCCCTTTATTACCGAACTCCGTATGCCTTTTCCGTTACGATATCCCCTGTATAAACATCCTCACGCTCATCTCCTCTGTCGTCATGGCCGTGATCTTCATCACCGAACTCCGTATCCTTCCCCACACGCATGTCAGCTGTGCTTCTCCGTCATTCCTTCTTCAAATTCTCGTGCTCGTCTCCTCCTCCGTCATCATGGCCGAGCTACTAATGAACATTCCCTTCCATTGTATTTGAACCGTAATTGCTGAAATATGTATCCATTTACTCTCTCGTTCTTCCTTCCTCTCCTTCCCTAGGCATTGCTGCTGCTTCCTTCGTCCTTAACATAAGCCCCAGGCACATACACCACCGTGCTCGTACTCTCTGCTCATCCCCTGCGTCTTCCACCCCCCTCTCCGTCTGATCCCGCCCTTTTCCGTCCGGAATATCTCAGCGGAAACGGGTCGTCAAGCCTGACGACCTGTTGACGACCTGACGACATGCTGCCCCGGGCAGAAAAAAACTAAAACCCTATCGGATGGCATGCCATCCGAGGGAGGCATCAACCCTAAATCCATGCCTCCCTGTGTTTAGGGTTGATGCCTCCCTGACCGGATGCATGCCCGAATGGGTTTTATTTTTTTTGCCCGCGGGCAGCGAGCTCCCCCGGCCGGACTCGCTTGTCCGCTGACCGTTCCCGCTCCTCTCCGTCCATTCCCGTCCAATCAGGCCTTTTCCTCCAGCCGAAGATCGTCAACGAACTCTCTGTGGACCTGTCGCGCGGAGAAACCCTCAAAATCAATGTGAGCGCACAGATTTTTCCAGATCGTCACGACCTCGCAAATATTTGGCCCATTTGGAGCCGCTCTCTCGTCAACCCGAGTCATGGTTAATGCACGTTCTCTCAACGACTTACTATTCCTTCCTCTCGACCCCCGTTCCCCTCCCTGGTGGCTGACCCCCTTCCTCAAAACCCGTTCCCCCCCTCCCCTCCCCCCTCCACCACCACCTCACCCGACGCACTTTAGCTGGACGTGACGTTTCCGCGGCTGTCATGCGCGGTGCTGTCGCTGGACGCCATGGACATCAGCGGCGAGCAGCACCTCGACGTGGTATGTGTGATATTCCACACGCTGCTTGCACATACCATGCCATGCTGTGCCCGCCATGCCCTGTCATGCCCTGCCCTGTCCTGTCATGCACTGTGCTGTCGCTAGACGCCATGGACATCAGTGGCGAGCAGCACCTTGATGTGGTACGCACACATACCCTGCCATGCACATGCCATACCCTGCCATGCCATGCCATGCCATGCCATGCACATGCCATACCCTGCCATGCCATGCCATGTCATGGTAGTTTGTTGTGACTTGGTTGGGACCACCATGTTCCCTTCTGACTACAGACCTCCCGCCTCCCATCCCGACTCCAAACCCTCCAATCATCTACCTCGTCCTCCCTGTCCTCCTTCTGCTCTCTGCCACACCTGTTCTCCCATGTACCCCGCGTCCCCCCACGTCCCCCACGTCCTCTTGTCCTCCCTGGTCCCCCCTTTTCCCATGGTCCCCACCCTTTCCCCTCAGCCCCTATGTCCCGTCTGTCCCCCCTGCCCTCCGTGTCCACACCGCCCCTCCCCCCACATCAGGTGCACAACATCTACAAGCGGCGGCTGACGCCCATAGGGCTGGCGGTGGAGGGGACTTATCCCGCATCCACCTCCCACCCCCGTTCCCGTTCCCCCCCCGCATCCCCACTTGGCCCCCCGCCCCCCATCGGGTGCACAACATCCATAGGCAGCCGCTGACGCCCATCGAGCTGCCAGTAGAGGGCATTGACCCTCATCCACCGCGCATCACCCCTCCTTTCCCCCTCCCCACCCCTCTCCCCTCTCCCCCCCCCTTCCAGGTGCACAACATCTACAAGCGGCGGCTGACGCCCATAGGGCTGCCGGTGGAGGGGATCGACTCGAAGCACGAGATAGGGGCGAAGCAGCACGACGTGCTCAAGAAGCGCGACAAGTACGGCAACGTGGTGCCTGATGACCAGGACTTCTGTGGCAGCTGCTACGGCGCTGCTGAGGTGAGTCTATGTGTTGTGTGCTCGCACTTTTTTGAGGGGCATCATGTACTCGCTCTCTATTGAGAGGCACCCTTTGTGCTGTTCTTTGAGGCGCCTCAAGCAACGTGGTGCCCGACGACCAAGACTTCTGTGGCAGCTGCTACTGCACTGCTGAGGTGCGTTCCTGTTTCTAATTACCCTCTCTCGCCCTTTCCTCCCGTTTCTTGCTCTCTGATCGCCTGCTCCCGCTCATCATCATCATCATCTTCATCGCACCATTCCCCCCTTTCCACCCCCACTCCTCCCCTCTCCCTCCTCCCCTCTGTACCCGCGTCAGACGGACGACCAGTGCTGCAACAACTGTGAGGAGGTGCGCGAGGCGTACAACAAGCCACCAAGCCCCCCCACCCACCCTACTGCCCCCCTCCACCTCCCTTCCGCCTCCCCTCCCCTTAAACGATGACAGACGGACGACCAGTGCTGCAACAACTGTGAGGAGGTGCGCGAGGCGTACAACAAGCCACCAAGCCCCCCCACCCACCCTACTCCCCCCCTCCACCTCCCTTCCGCCTCCCCTCCCCTTAAACGATGACAGACGGACGACCAGTGCTGCAACAACTGTGAGGAGGTGCGCGAGGCGTACAACAAGCCACCAAGCCCCCCCACCCACCCTACTCCCTCCCTCCACCTCCCTTCCGCCTCCCCTACCCTTTAACGATGACAGACGGACGACCAGTGCTGCAACAACTGTGAGGAGGTGCGCGAGGCGTACAACAAGCGCGGGTGGGCCTTCAGCAACGCTGATGCCATTGAGCAGGTGAGGGTGCCCTAGAGGGCAGCGATGGCAGCAGCAGCCCTGAGAGGCAGCAGAGCGGTCATGGAGCCCGCAACTGTGAGGAGGTGCGCGAGGCGAGGCGTACAAGGGCGGCTGGCCGAGCCCGCAACTGTGAGGAGGTGCGCCATCGAACAGTCCTCTCCGCAACTGTGAGGCGTACAAGCTCGGCTGGGCCTTCATCAACACGGACGCCATCGAGCAGCTTCTCCCTCTCTCTCCGCTCTTCCTGTTTCATAACCTCCTTGTCCTCCCTACATGTCTCATCATCTCCCTCTAATTCCTACCTGTTTCATCTCTTCCTTCACCGCTACACCCTACAGCTACATTCTCCCCCTCTCCTCGCATCACGCTCAACTCCCCCCCGTTCTCCCTCATTTGTCATCTCCTCCTTGCTTCAGCCTCGTGCTTCTCCCATGACCCATCATCTTCCTCCCCCCCCGCCATTCACTCACCATCCTCACTCTCGACTTGCCGTCCCGCTCCTGGTAGTTGACTGCACAGTGCAAGAAGCTTTTTGTTTAGGCGCCTCAGTCCTTGCCTGTCCCTCCCCTTCTTTTCGTGTGTGGTGGGGGTGTGCAGTGCAAGAGGGAGGACCTGACAGACAAGATCCAGGCGCAAGTGGGTGTGTGCAGTGCATACTGAAATGCCGTTAACTTCGTTCCTCTCCCCCCCATCTCTTTCGTGTGTGGTGGGGGTGTGCAGTGCAAGAGGGAGGACCTGATAGACAAGATTCAGGCGCAAGTGGGTGAGGGGTGCAACATGTATGGCGTGCTCGAGGTGAGGCGTTGGTTAGGGATCCACAGGTAGACTGTATTGCAGCGGGGGTGTGTGGTGAGATGGAGGGGTGCAACATGTATGGCGTGCTCCAGGTGAGGCGTTGGTTAGGGATCCACAGGTAGACTGTATTGCCGTGGGGGTGTGTGGTGAGATGGAGGGGTGCAATGCAACATGTATGGTGTGCTCGAGGTGAGGCGTTGGTTTAAGGTTAGGCTTTTGGTTTGAGGTGAGGCCTTTCTTTTGTTGCCTTTGCACCTCGTCCCATCCTCTCTCCTCAGATTCTCCTCTCCCGACTTTCCCCTCCTCCCATACGCCCCACCGACTTTCCCCTCCTCCCATCCGCCCCACCCCACAGGTGAACAAGGTGGCGGGCAATTTCCACTTCGCCCCGGCCAAGGTGTTCTACACGGCAGGCATCTCCATCTTCGACCTCGTCATGTTCCATGACACCGTCTTCAATGTGAGTGCCTGCCTGGGAGCAGTTGAGTCGACTCTATATCTCCATGACACGGTCTTCAATGTGAGTGCCTGCCTGGGAGCAGTTGAGTCGACTCTATATCTCCATGACACGGTCTTCAATGTAAGTGCTGCTGGCTGGCTGTGAGTAGCTGCTGCAAGTCGCGTTCTACACGGCAGACATCTCCATCTTCGATCTCGTCATGTTCCACGACACCGTCTTCAATGTGAGTGCCTGCCTGGGGGCACTGTCTTCAATGTGAGTGCCTGGGGGCACCGTCCTCCTCAGTGTGAGAGCCGGCTGGCTGGTTCTGAGTCTACTCAAAACGCATCTCCATCTTCGACCTCGTCATGTTCCACGACACTGTCTTTAATGTGAGTGCTATTTGAATCCACGTCAAGACACAGTTATGCTGTCACATCACACACACAACCATGAACCCGTGCCTCACCTGTTGCCGGATTACCCTCTTTCAGCTCACGTTCCCTTTGCCCCCAGACTCCCCTTCCCACATGACGCCATACACCTTCCGCTTTTAGCAAAAATCCCACACTGTCAAGTCACCCCGATCTCCTCATGTCTGACCTCCCCTCCCCCCCCTTCCCCCTTTTCCCTTCTCCCAAATCTACCTATGCCACACGTGTTCCCCTCTGCCAGATATCCCACACGGTCAACTCCCTCTCGTTTGGCGCTAAGTTCCCGGGAGCTGTCAACCCACTGGACAAGTAAGCCATTCTGAATCAGTTGAATTGAAACGAGTGAGCCATTCCGGCATGGTGGGCACGGCACATAAGCTTTCTAAGTTCGTGTGGATCAGAGCAGTTAGGAGTAACGCGCCTCCCGTGCTGTAACTGTAGCCATGAGGCCAGCCATGCGGTCGAATAGTTGTTGCCCGCTGTTGTCGAATAGTTCCTGCTCGCTGTTTGACCGCATGGCTGGCCTGAGCCTCCCTTCACCACTGTTTTTCATCAAGCTGATTCCCCGCATGTACACCACGTCCCTTTCCCATGCAGCTTAGATACCTCCTCCAACTTCCCCACCGATTACATCCCATGCCTGCGGTTCTGAGCAGGGCAGTGTGGGTGCAGGAGGGCGAGACAGGCATGTATCAGTATTTCATCAAGGTCGTACCCACCATGTACACCGACTCCCTTTCCCTGCCTCAAGTACCCCCTCCCGTTCCCCTCCCGTCTCCCACCTACACCATCCTGCGAGTGCTCCTTCAAGCAGGGCAGTGTGGGTGCAGGAGGGCGAGTCAGGCATGTATCAGTACTTCATAAAGGACGTGCCCACCATGTACACTGACCCCCTTTCCCAGGCACATTAGCCCCCCCCGCCTCTTCCCTCCTCCTCTCTCTCATTCCCCACCCACCCCATCTGGTACCTGCGGTTCTGAGCAGGGCAGTGTGGGTGCAGGAGGGCGAGACAGGCATGTATCAGTATTTCATCAAGGTCGTACCCACCATGTACACCGACTCCCTTTCTCAGGCACCTTACCCCCCGCCCCCCCATTTCCCTCCACCCCCCCCTCATTCCCCACCCATCCCTTCCCATGCCTGCCCCTGTGAGCAGGGCAGTGTGGGTGCAGGAGGGCGAGTCAGGCATGTACCAGTACTTTGTCAAGGTCGTACCCACCATGTACACCGACTCCCACAACCACACCATCGCCTCCAACCAGGTACGAGCATTGGTTGTCTAACCAAGTGTTAAGATGTACATGTATGTATGTATGCACACGTATGTGTATAAATATATATGTATGATGTATCCCTGGACTTTCACTTCATCAAGGTTGCGCCCACCATGTACAGTTGTTGAGTCGACTCAAAAACCGGTTGTGCCCACCATGTACACCGACTCCCACAACCACACTAACGCCACCAATCCAACCAGGTACGCTGTTCATGGTCTAAGCAGTATGCTGTTCATGGGTCGTACCTATAACCAGGGTCCAGGTATGCATGGTTCCTCGATCTTGTACCTCCATTGCTCTGCATCTGTCACTTCACATCACACCCACCTTTCTGCCCTCACCCTCCCTCGTCCCCCTTCCTTTTTCCCCTCGCTCCCGCAGTTCTCAGTGACGGAGCACTTCTGGCCAGCACCATTATTGAGTGAATTAAGAACGCACCAACCCCACGCCCCCCTCGCTCCCGCAGTTCTCAGTGACGGAGCAGTTCCGGCCAGCGCCGCTTCTGAGGTGCCTCAAAAGCCCTCTCTTCTCCCCCTTTCCCCGACACGCCCCTCGCTCCCCTGCAGTTCTCAGAGACGGAGCATTTCCGGCCAGCACCATTATTTAGTGAATTAAGAACGTGCCAACCCCACGCCCCCCTCGCTCCCACAGTTCTCAGTGACGGAGCATTTCCGGCCAGCACCATCGCATGACCATCAATCCCTGCCAGGAGTGTTTTTCTTTTACGACCTCTCTCCCATCAAGGCGAGTGCCCCTTTACAGGCCCAGCATGCCCTGCATTCTCTGCTCACCTGCTGCCGCAACATTATGCCATCTTCTTGCTGCTCTCTTTCCCAATGTGCTCAAACAAACCTTGTGCTGAGTGCATGTGTTCGCCTGTCTACCTGCCTGCCTGCCTGCCTGCCTGTGGTGCTTGGACTCAACAGGTGCAATATTCCGAACGCTACACCTCCTTCCTCCACTTCCTCACCAACGTGTGTGCCATCGTGGGAGGTGGGTAAAGCAGCATTAGTGCACACTTTTGCCTTGTGCAGATGCCTTTTCTGCCTCCTTCCCCCTTCCTTTCATACCGATTGTGATACATTTTGCCTCCTCCTTCCCCCTCCCCCTTCCGCCCACTTTGCCTCCCCTCCTCCCCGCTTCCTTACCAATCTGTTTACATATATGCCGTGATTTTTCATGCTATGCAGGCATCTTCACTGTTACAGGCATGGTTGATGCCTTTATCTACCACAGTCAGCGTGCCATAAAAAAGAAAATCGATCTAGGGAAACTCAACTAATCTTCAACATCTAGGGGCGTATTAGCAGCACCACTTGTGCCTGTAGGCACAAATCTAGAAAGCTTTCATAGGCCGTGCTAGATAAGACGCTAAACTTAGGCCTGTGGTACCGTATCTATTTCAGTATGACATTGATGGTGCAAACAAATTGCAGTAGTGATAATGAAAAATAAACAGTGACTTGTATGAGCTTTGTAAGTGCGGAAATGTGTACATATAGCTTGTTGTATTTGCCTGGAGGCCGGACTCTAGGGAAGTCAATGGGGAGTCTTGTTTTCCTACTCCGCAGAGACCATCTCCATTAGTTACGATCGACAGAACTTGCGCGTCCTGCATGCCGAGCAACGCTCGCCACGTGTCAGCAAGTGGTGCCGTGCAAGCGGGGCAGGAGCTGGGCAACCAGAGCATTCGCCGAGCCGCTATCATGGAGCGCGCAGCCTCGCCGATTTCCGCCTCCGCTTCAAATCTCCCGCTCTGGATACGAAAGCTTTCAGGACTCGTTTCGCTGTCGCCTTATCCTCCAGTGGTTGTTGGTGCTGGTGTTAGAGCTTCCGAGCATCCGATTCCGAGTTCGCGTGATTCGAGTTACTGCGTCTATCCTAAGAAGAGGTCTGCTCGCGAGAGGTCAGCTTGCGTGTTGTGAGCTGTTGCGCGGGAGGAAGCACAGAAGCCGCCGTTTGATCCCGATCGTGAATGAAGGGCATGATGCAGGAGGTAAAGGAAGGCACGAAGGAGAAGGTTGAGGGAGCCAAGGCCGGGCTCAAGGAGTCCATGGAGTATGCCAAAGCGGACGTGAAGCAGACGTTCGAGAAGCTCAAGCACCCCATGAACAGGTGACTGAATGTTGAATGTTTTGTTTTATTTATTTCTTGGCTATTGAGCTGATCTGCTTTTGATTCTGAGTTTTTTCCTTACTGTGAGAAATTGATTTGTGCGTTGCAGGGAGAAGAATCTGGAGGCCCGTGACGAGGCGTTTGAGCGGAAGCTGGAAGCAACGCGGGAGAAGCTGGAGAGGAAGGAGATTTCCCACGAGCGACGGCAGGAGGCCACTGAAGGTCTGTATTCTTCCCCCTTTTCCCCTTCTCATTCCTGATTTCTTTTTCTTGTTGTGTGCTCGTCTATATTTTACCTACTCACAGGGTATCTATTGTACCGTGTTACCATTTTCGATGTTTTTATTGCAGAGGCACTTCACAAGGTGCATGCCTCCAAGGCGGAGAAGGAGGCGGAGAAGGAGGCTGAGAAGGGAACGGCTCAGCACGGAGTGGCGCCAGGTGCTGCCGGTGCAGCTGCTGCTGGCGCTGGTGCTGCTGCTGGTGCTGCTGGCGCTGGCGCCTACGGTGCAAGCCACGAGCGTGAGCGTGGAACCGGCCTGGGGACGCACGAGCGTGGTACAGGAACCGGTTACGGGGAGACTGGCACTGGCACTGGCACTGGTTATGGTGCGAGCCAGGAGCGTGGGACTGGAGAAGGCGTGATGGGGAAGGTCAAGCACGCTGTGACTGGAAAGCCTTCTGCTGAGCGCCGTGCTGAGAGTGGCACGGGTTATGGTGAGAGTGCCACTGGCTATGGTGAGACTGGCACTGGGTATGGTGCGAGCCAGGAGCGTGGGACCGGAGGAGAAGGCGTCATGGGGAAGGTGAAGCACGCTGTGACAGGAAAGCCCTCTGCTGAGCGCCATGCTGAGACTGGCACTGGGTACGGCGAGACTGGCACTGGCTATGGTACAACTCACGGCGAGCGTGGGACTGGAGGCGAAGGGGTCATGGGAAAGGTGAAGCACGCTGTGACAGGAAAGCCTTCTGCTGAGCACTATGGTGAGACTGGCACTGGTTATGGCCACACTGGCACTGGTTATGGTGCGAGCCAGGAGCGCGGGACGGGAGGTGAAGGTGTCATGGGAAAGGTGAAGCACGCTGTGACTGGAACAGGAGGTACTGCTGGTGAGCGCCATGCTGGCACTGGCACTGGCACTGGCACTGGTTATGGTGAGACAGGAACTGGTTATGGTGGTGAGAGTGGCACTGGTTATGGTGCAACTCAGGAGCATGGCACAGGAGGCATTATGGGCAAAGCAAAGGAAGCTGTGACTGGTGAGCGCCATGCTGGCACCGGCACTGGTATGGGTACGGGAACTGGCTATGGACATGGTGGTACTGGCACCGGTTATGGTGCTGCTACTGGCGCTGGTGCTGGCACTGGCTATGGCCACGAGGGTGGTACTGGCACAGGCTATGGTGCTGAGAGTGGTGCAACAGGGACAGGAGGTGGTGGTGGTGGTGGTGGTATCTTTGGGACGATCAAGAAGGCATTCACAGGATCAAGTGAGCCCACGGCGGAGCGTCCTGTCGAGACTGGACGCACTGGCACTGCCGGGCAGGAGGAGTATGATCCGACTGCTCCTGTTTTCATGCGGAAGTAGTAGGCTGTGTACATGTGTATAATGTCATGTAGTGCAATGTGCCTCAACTACAGTCTGATTGGCTAGATTCACAGCACCAGCTGGCTTCTTGCGAGTACAGAGTACCTGCTGTTTTGAACGAGCCCCAATTGCTTCATGCAAAAACACAGGCTTGGCTCATCAGTCAGTCCGGTTCCAAACCAAACAGTCCAGATGTCACGAATTCATCCACCGCAAGCGGCGCGAAGGACACGCGGACCAATAAGAACACACGCGGAGGTTTGTGCTGCAGGTTTGGGATCGCTGCTTGTGTGCTTCTACTGCACCCACTGCTATCCACGATTCCACGCCAGCATTTGATCACTGATATCTCCTAGTCTGGTCTGGTCTGGTCTCGTTGATATGTAATCGCCAGTCGCCAGTCATTAGACTCTAATTTCTAGGTTGAAGTCCTTGATCACTTGCTGACATTGGAGGACTCGTGAGGCTTTGTGGGTGATTGTTAGCCACCTGTTAGTGGAATCAAACAGTCACCTCCTTAGCTTCTACTCCTTCAAATAGTCACCTCCTTGACCGCTCAAATGGGCTCTCTGGATCTTTCAGGCGGGGCTGCCTGGTAAGAAAATTCGACAGGGACCAACATTTTAATTTCATGGTGCTAAATAGCAGACACATCGCATGAAAATTAATTAAGACTACAATGTCGGCCATGCGTGGGTTTCGACGCTTGTAATGGACTATATATTATTTTTAATCACCTGTACTGCTGTCAATGCTCCTCGAAAGCCATGCGTGGGTTTCGACGCTTGTAATGGACTATATATTATTTTTAATCACCTGTACTGCTGTCAATGCTCCTCGAAAGGACGGTCATCGTGCGGCATTGATAGGATGCGGCTGCTTTTGTACAACGTTGGTCCTGATTTTACGAGTTCTTAACTCTTCATTTGCTTCGTCTCGTTCATACTTTGTTCGTCCTTCTTTCTCTGCTTCCTTCGTCTGCTCTCTTCTGTGCATTTCGCAGGGCCGCGTGGTAAGCCCGATTAAAGCTCCGCATCTTTGGCCATGGCCCCAATCGCTTGCATAATTTCGCTGAGTTTCCCCTTACATTTGACTGTGCTTCTTCGGTGCTTAAAACCTTTTTACGTGTTGCTGGCATTGACCATCCCTTTATATGAAGGTTTTTGTATCAAGCTCCCTCTGTTCTCGTATTCTCATTCTTCCGCCAATGACAGAAGCCCTTTCACCTACCTTGATTTCAGGCCAGCTTATCCATTGGCTCCCGAGTGGCGGGTTTCGCGGGTCTCTGCGTCGCCTCAAATCAGGACGAGCAGGGCGGTAAGCGTCGGCGACGTGGCGCACGCCGATTCGCCGGACTGGTGCTGGTGTCGTCAGCCGCGGCTACAGCCACACCCGCTACAGCGACCCCTGCTACAGCTGCTACAGGGGAGAAGAAGAGCTGCTGTGGAGGGAAGAAGCCGAATGTCGAGGAGAAAAAGAAGAGCTGGCCGATGATGGAAAACCTTGATGTTCTCGGCCTGATGATGGAAAACCTAAGATGCGGGGGTGCGTTTCCTCAAGTTACTAGTCCCTGAGCTATGTTGAGACAGATCAGGGGATGCCCTTCCTGTCACCCTTTCCCCCACTGCTCGTCCTTAGCAGGGGAACATTGGCAGGAGAAGCAGCAGGTTTGTACTATTTTCAAGGCGCCTACAGTAAAGCCTTCCCAGCACACTAATTTCCCGTTCTCGTCCCTAGAAGAGGGAGCAGTGACAAGAGGAGCAAGCAACAGGTGCTACGGCGGAGATTGCCCTGTTCTATGTCTTTAGCCGCCTATGGTATCACCTTCACAGCACCTTTTTCTTCCCTTCCCTTCCCTTCTCGTTCCGAACAGAGGGAGCGGTGGCAGGAGGAGCAGCAGGAGTGACGGTAGAGACAGCCCTGTACCCGATTGACACCATCAAGACTCGCCTACAGGTATGCGAGCCACGCCAATTGAAATCTTAGTTGACCCTTCTTGGTTGACCCTTCTTAGTTGACCCTTCGGGTCGACACTGTTGACATCTAGTTGGCAGGCACTTTTGAGATGACTCCAAATTCCCTCCACGCGTGCCCCCTCTGCCTGTCATCCGTCCCCAGGTGGCCACCTCGGGGGGCGGCATCAACTTCAAGGGGCTCTACTCGGGTCTCTCTGGCAACCTCGTTGGCGTGCTGCCGTGAGCTGCCCTTCCATAATCCCTCGCCTCGTTTCTCACCTTCCCTGCTGCCCTTCCCCCTCTTCCTTTCCTGGTTTTCCTTTCCTCCGCTTCCTTTTCTGGTCTTCCTTTCCTTCACATCCTTTCCTTTCCTCCTCCTCCTCCTCCTCCTCCTCCTCCTCCTCCTCCTCCTCCTCCTCCTCCTCCTCCTCCTCCTCCTCCCCCTCCTCCTCCCCTTCCTACTTCTCCTCTGTTACACTCTCTCCCTCTTTCTCTCCATGCCTCTCACTCTCCTTCTCCCCCCCACTCCCCTGCTCTCATTTTTGCCTACCCCACTCCCACTCGTAATATCAAGAGCAAGTTGCAACCTTCCTCTCCATGTGCCATTGAAACACAATGCCAAGCCAAGAAAACCCTAGACAACCTTGTTTCCTGATCCCCCAATTTATCCTTCACTTATGCCAACATCAACCGTACTTCTCATAAGCCACAATCTGTATCATCAGCCATTATCCACATGACCCACAAGTTACGCCAGCAAGGATGGACATGAGACGAGACGAGCTACATCGGTCATGATCCTTGATGTTCAGTCATCAACTGTTCAGTCATCAACTGTTCAGTCATCAACTGTTCAGTCATCAACTGTTCAGTCATCAACTGTTCAGTCATCAACTGTTCAGTCATCAACTGTTCAGTCATCAACTGTTCAATCATCAACTGTTCAGTCATCAACTGTTCAGTCATCAACTGTTCAGTCATCAACTGTTCAGTCATCAACTGTTCAATCGTCAACTGTTCAATCATCAACTGTTCAGTCATCAACTGTTCAGTCGTCAACTGTTCAGTCATCAACTGTTCAATCATCAACTGTTCAGTCATCAACTGTTCAGTCATCAACTGTTCAGTCATCAACTGTTCAGTCATCAACTGTTCAGTCATCAACTGTTCAGTCGTCAACTGTTCAGTCGTCAACTGTTCAGTCATCAACTGTTCAGTCATCAACTGTTCAGTCATCAACTGTTCAGTCATCAACTGTTCAGTCATCAACTGTTCAGTCATCAACTGTTCAGTCATCAACTGTTCAGTCATCAACTGCTCAGTCATCAACTGTTCAGTCATCAACTGTTCAGTCATCAACTGTTCAGTCATCAACTGTTCAGTCATCAACTGTTCAATCATCAACTGTTCAATCATCAACTGCTCAGTCATCAACTGCTCAGTCATCAACTGTTCAGTCATCAACTGTTCAGTCATCAACTGCTCAGTCATCAACTGTTCAATCATCAACTGTTCAGTCATCAACTGTTCAGTCATCAACTGCTCAGTCATCAACTGTTCAGTCATCAACTGTTCAGTCATCATCTGAACCCCACACTGCACCTCGCCTTGCCACTCCCATTTCCACATGTTCCGTCCCTGCAGAGCATCAGCAATATTCCTAGGCATGTTGAGCCGGTCATTCCCCGTCTCCCCCCGCTCCCCCGTTCCGTCCTGCAGGGCGTCAGCCATATTCATAAGTGTGTACGAGCCGACCATTTCCCTCCCCTCCCTCCCCCCTTCACCCCTCTCCCCCTTCTCCTCCTCGCTCCCCCGTTCCATCCTGCAGGGCGTCAGCCATACTCATAGGCGTGTACGAGCCGGCCATTCTTCCCCCCCCCCCTCCCCCTCCACACACACCCTTTCCCCCCTCTCCCCCCCCACCCCCCCCTCTATTCGGCCCCCGTTCCGACCTGCAGGGCGTCAGCCATATTCATCGGCGTCTACGAGCCGGTCAAGGCCTACCTCCTGAACGCCCTTCCTGAGAACATCAGCGTTGCTGCTCACCTGGTGGGTCTTCGCCTTGCCACACGCTTCCACTCCTGTTCGCTTCTCCATCTTGCTTTCTGTTCCAGCCTTTCATTGTGCATTTTCTTCAATTCTTTGCCTAAAAAAGCACACAATCATATCTATATGCTTCATTGTATTTCTATGTTGTTACGTAAACGCCCCTGTCTGTCCTTCCTGGCCCCGTTCCCACCCATCCAGGCAGCAGGAGCAGCGGGAGGCACAGCAGCTTCGCTCGTTCGGGTGCCCACTGAGGTAGGCCATCCATGGCAATGTGTTGTGTGTCTAGAATGGTGCGCCGTGTGCATACTTAATGATGATCTGCCATGCACATCCATGATACTCCATGATAGTCAAGGATGATGCAGTCTGGGAGTTGCTCTACATCACTCAAGGTGCCTCTCTCTCTCTCTACACTAAAGCATGCTCTCCCATACCCTGCCCTCGCACCAACCACCACCAGGTGGTGAAGCAGCGCATGCAGACGGGGCAGTTCCCCACTGCAGTCACCGCTGTCAAAACCATTCTCTCAAAGGAGGGATTCAGGGGGCTCTATGCGGTACGTTCCTTCTTTTGTGCGGTACGTTCTTTCTTTTATGCGGTACGTTCCTTCTTTTATGCGGCGACGTTCGCTCTTCTATGCGGTACGTTCCCTCGGCAGCACATTCCAGTTACATTTCTTCCCCTGTATGGTACCGTACGTTCCTTTCTCATGTATTCTGGCTGCAGTGTTGTGTTTCGTGTTTGCTCTCTCTGACGCGGCCCTATTGAAGTGAAGGTACATATATTTGCCTGTGTACCGTTTGGATAGTACAATCTGTCCTCTGCTTAAAACTTCTTGTGTTACATACTTGTTACAAATGTGCTGATGCCGCAGGGTTATGGCTCCTTCCTTCTGCGAGACCTGCCATTTGATGCCATCCAGTTTGCCATCTACGAGCAGCTTAAGATCCGACTCAAGAAAACGGTGAGCCCCATCTCTCGAATCCCATTCATAGGCTTCTAGTTGCACGCCATAATGCTGGCATTGTTGCAATACTTAGTTACACCTTTCCTTTCCTGGTTTGTCCCCATCTCGCTATAACTTCCTTTGTTCCCTCCTATCTGCAAGCCCCATGCTGTATGTGGGCCTTTTTTTTTACTATACTTTTTTTCTTATATGTGCCGTCTTTGTGACAGTAATGTTAACTTATTACTGTTTTGATGCTACATGTTCTTATTGGTGCGAAAAAATCAGCTGAAGCGGGATCTTAAGGATGCAGAGATGGCAGTGGTGGGGGCAGTTTCAGGTACCATCACAGGCGCTGTCACCACTCCCCTTGATGTCATCAAGACTCGACTCATGACCCAGGTGTGCCACGCTGCGTCAATGTAGTTTCTACTGGTTCGGGTGAGGTTCCTTTTCAGCGGAATCTATGGAAGGATGCCGTGAGAAACAGCAAATTTCTCATCAACATGCGAACTATTGTGCCAACCTCCCTCTCCCATCTTTTTGACACATGCACGCAATATCAATGCAGGGGACATCTGGGCAATACAAGGGCATCATTGACTGCATTCAGAAGACAGCCGCACAAGACGGAGCTGGCGCTCTTTTCAAGGTAGGTCCAAGGTAGCAAGAATGCATGCTCGTCATGTTTCACCAGAACCACTTGTGCCTCCTACATTACACCTCAGTGAAGTCGCTCTCTCAAACCAGCACAAGCATTTCACCAAACTCTTACCTTCCTCCCAACCTACAGGGTGTTGGCCCAAGAGTTATGTGGATCGGTATCGGAGGGTCAATCTTCTTCGGAGTCCTTGAGAAGACAAAGCAGCTTATGCACAAGGCATACCACACACCGCCCCCATCAGAAGCGTATTTCTAAGCAGTTGTTGCTTGCTTGCACTCACTGCGGTCTTACAATATTCAGGCTCGTGTCTTCCACAATAAGCAATTACCAGTATTCCGTTCCATAGTGTAGTACTTCAATATATAGTTCCTACTTATGCTACCAATATACATGTTTACGTGTTACATCGAGACTTCATCGCATTTATTCAGGCCTTGTACCATCTCACATGCAGACGCTTAGACAACTTGCGTTGCGGTGTATTATCCAAACTCAAGGTTACAAGTGAGCCCACTGGCCCCACCCCATTGCCTGATTGTCTGAATGCTTACAGAGTGAGCCCACTGGCCCCATCCCACCCCATGGCTTCATCACCATCTCAGCTTCCAAACTGACAGAAATCAAATTATAACCCTTGGTCTCTCCACCAGCCTTGCCCAGACACTTCGCTACCACCCATCATCTTGGACACAACCAAAATCACCAGCAGCTGTCCCCTCTTCTTCCGGACAATCTTACACCAGCAGCTCCCTCTCGTTCCAGCATCCTCGACAGAATACCTACAGCCCAAAACGAAGGATGCTGGCAGCTGCTTCAAGAATAGCTTCTTCCGATGAACGGTAATGAAGCCCCAGTTCCTTCTCAGACTTACTCTTGTCAAATGTTGGAATGTTGCTCAAGTTCCGCCTCAACACCTCAAAGCTAAGAGCCGGGTGCATAAATGACACTGCGTACATTAGAAGGTTTGGCATAGTGCAAGTTGGGACCCTAAAACCAGGATAATTCTTATTGATAACAGCTGCAGTCAACAAGCACAAGGGTGAGTAAATCAGTGTCCAGGGAAGCATCTCAATGTAACGGCCATATTCAACAGCAAAAAATGTACCTGCAATTTCTCGCATGTGCAGGGTGTCGCCATTGCACAGAATGTATCGTCCCTTCGCAGAATCCGTCTCCAGTGCCAATGCATGAGCAAGGACAACATCATCGATGTGCACGATGCCAAAGTACAAGTCAGGGGCCATGAGCATCCATCCACTCAGCAGCTCCTTGATAACCTGCACAAATGCAGGGAACACATAAATCCAAATTCAAAGTGCCAAAAATCAAGCTCAGAAAGCAGTGGTTCGTACACCGAGGCTTGTTCGAACATGCTCCTTTCGAGTAGCTTCACCCAGAACCAGGGCTGGACAAATGGTGACCAGATCGAATGCCCAATCTTGACCCTGCGTGTCTCCCACTGTCGTCCAGGCATATTTTTCAGCTAGAGTCTTGCCCATCGGATAGGGATCTTTAAGGCTCAGGTCTTGGTTCCAGTCTGCTTCCGTCAGTACTTGCCCTTTCTTGTTCCTGTAATCCATAATAGCTGCTACAGATGAGGTGAGCACTACTTTCCTGATGGTAAGCAGAACGCGGGTGGGTGGGAGGAGTGAGAAAACAGCACAGGAATTAAAAGGGGGAAGCGGAGGAACAGGTAGAGAAGGATAAGGGGGGTGAGGGAGGGAAACAAATTGGCGTTGAGAGAGGACGTATGGGTGAAATGGGGGAGGGGAGAGATTTGGGATCGGTTGAAGAAAGGAACAAGCTTCAGAGGGCTAGAGCTTACCTGGCTGTCTTATGCTTGAGGATGGAAGAAAACACATTTTTTGTGCCCTCAAGGGCTGCATCTATGATGGTCTGCGGATTCGGCGCTCTCATACGAGCAATAGCAGCAACATGGCACACGAACTCGCATCCCTCAACTGCTTCATCGAAGCTTCCAGGATCATTTAGGTTGGCTGAGAAGAGTTCAAGTTTCCCTGGCGAACCTTCAGCCTGCAAGAATGGAAAATTATGCCACAATCTTCAGCACAAAAAAGAGTCAAGTCGTAGTATTTTGACAAAGATACTTACAAGGTCAGGTATCCATGATGTCTTGGCGGCGTTAGTCGCGTCCCTAACTGTTCCTCGGACATGGTACCCGCGGTTAAGAAGCAACTTGACAAGATTGCTTCCAATGTACCCTAAGGGCATATGAGCAACATGGAGCCCAGCGTTAATTACCCTGACGAACGAGAGATTAAAATCACTGAAAAACTAAGCCAACAACATGGCAGACCTGATGCTCCAGTGACGCAAACTTTCTTCCCTCGCCCTGGCACCGAGCCTTCCGCCATTAATGACTATTTCTGGAGGACTACCGCAACGCAAGCCGAAACGAAAAGGCCCTCACGGTCGAGGTAAGGGACGTAAACTAGCACCACAGTTTGACCCAAGCATTCCGTGCTGCTTCCGATGCATGCTTCCATCACCAGCTGCTTCCTACGCGTGCTTTCCAATGCATGCGCAGCTTTCTTTCGTAGCTGTGAAACCCACGTATCAATTTCGTGTCAGCAAGCTTACGGAAAGGCCCAGTCCCCGTCCCAAAGCTCACATCCCCAGGGATTACGACGCCATTTTCCAGTCTAATAAGTCGGCGCGGTTCTCGCAACTGCTGGAAAAAAAAAACCAGCCTTGTCCCGCGCGGGTTGACACCTGTAATCATGTTCAACTCTCGTCACAATCAAGTTTGTGGCATGAGCTTGGATTCCGCAGGGCTCGGGACGATGACCTTGGGACTTTTTGTGGGACGTGGTAGACATACTAGCGAGAACATACCCAACTGTTGGTGAATCTCAAGATTATAACCAGGAATAAGTTTATTTTAATTGCAATAATAAAAACCACAGGAAACAAATAAAAGGATGACCACACAAATAGTATAACATGATCCTAAAGCTGAAAAATAAGGTACCATACAAGTAAAGAGGCCATGGTGATGCGGCTGCTGCTGTTGTCAATGCTGACACTACACATGAAAGTGCACATGGCAAGCCATGGCACAGTGCGCATGTAGCAGTGGCAGCATAGGACTGCAACAGCAGCAGAAGCAGCAACAGGCAAGCTAAAAGTCTCCAACACATTTCCATACAACATTTGAGGCTGATCAGATCACACCTCGCATGATGCATAATTGCACCACATTCCCAAAGTCTCATGCATACCCCCCCCCCCCCCCCCCCCCTCCTGCCTTCCAACTCCCCATCCCACCTCCCAACAGTCTGTGAGTTGTTCCTGCTTCAGCAGGCTCAAATCTGTCTTCACTGAGATAGTGAAAACGCTAACCAAGATGTCCAGCTGCAGTGCCTTCAGCACAGCCCATACCAATGATTCCATGGCTGACAGGCATGGACTCTGCTGCTCCGTACCACAAATACCCCACCACTGGACCACCTGTCCTGATATTACTCCACTATGTCGCACACTGGGAGGAATCACAACCAGAAGCTCCTTCGGTTCTGCGCCCTATAGAAACTCCTTTCCCCTCCTTAATCTCATGCGCCCACATGTAAGGCATGGTGCTTCAGGGGAACTGCACTTGCAGCGTACTGCTCCCAACCTCTGCCCTCTCCAACTAACCCCCACTCACTCCAGCCACCCTTGCCCCAATCCAGACGTTTGCCCCTAACACTGTGCACTGCTGCAACCCTTGCTGCAAATGGCCGCTGCTCCCTATTGCTGCTTCTGGCTTCTGAGTCTGACCAATAGGAGAAAGGTGATAAAGCGAATTAGCAGCCCGAAGCCTAACAGCACCAGCAGGTTCATCCACATATTGAGGTCAGGTTGCCCCACCAATGTCGTCATCAGCTGCTGCCCGTCCTGTAAGCAAGTCCCTGCCGAGATGTTACTGTAGGGCGTACCCGCCAAAAGCGATCTCATTCCCAGAAAAGCCTTGTTCATCGTTGTCGCGTTAACGTAAGGCTGCAGCGGAGTGTTATCGAACATGCTTCCGGCGGCTATGTAGCAGGGTCCGCCGTGGGTGAACTCGCTCTGAATAAGTGCCTCGTACGCGTATTTCATGGGCGAAAGGTAGTGCAGCCAGATCCAGTAGTTGGGGATGCTGTACTTGGGAATGTAGAAGCCGCTAACGAGGGCGAAATAGGCCATAAGCGCGATTCCAGCGGCATAGGCGAGCACAACGCTGTTTAGGAGAGGGACGAGGGAACGAGGAGGGCAGGGAAAGGGTTAGAAAGTATACGGGGGACGAGTCACGAGGGGACTCAAACGCGGCGATAGTAGCAGATAGAATATTGTACATGTATATAGCAGTTGTTGGGAAAATATGGCGGAAAGATAAGAGGGAAATGGATAAGGAGAAGGGAGAAGCAAACTTACTGGTCCACGACGACGCTGATGGCGATGGCGAATGAGCTGGCTGAGAAGAGGATAAGGAAACACGTCAGCAGCATGAAGAAGAACCCCGCAGCGCCGCCAGTGAGATTAATCGCCCACCAGTTCTCCAGCACGAAGATCGAAGCCATGGCGAGCTGCAGCGGGAGGTACACGAGCGTCGTCGCGACGAGGTACGTGGAGGGGCGGTACGCATTGCGCGTGGTTTCGCGGATGAAGATGTTTCGCTCCTCGATGAAGATGGGCACGGCGTCCAGGCAGCAGAAGAAGAGCACGCAGATGGAAAAGGAGAAGAACGCCAGTCGTTCCTGGAAACCCGACAAGCTGAGGATGGGGAAATGGGGAGAGAAGGATGAGGAAGGATGAGGAACGAATAGTCGGAGGGAGCGGAGAAATCAGTGTTTGGCAAAAAAAAAGGGGAAAAAAAGTCTCTTCTAGCGAGGCTTTGGAAAAACGGCTGAATCAGTTCGGCAAAACTCATGCAAACACATCTTTCCAGTTTCACTCAAATCGTCGGCTCACCTCGTGTCTGGGTTGAAATAGAGTGTCGCGAGCATGAGGCCAGTCACGGCCACCAGTGCGAGTCGCAGTAGGTAGAGAGCTGGCGTGCGCCATAGATTCAGGGCCGCGCGTCTCGTCAGAACCATCAGCTCGCCCATCCACCCGTTGGCGTACCGCCGAGTGTCCGCCACCGCGCCCTTGTCATCCGCTTTCTCCCCGACTATGGACTTCTGCGCGGTGATCGCGGCGGCGGATGCGGCGGCAACTACGGCGGCATCGACGGCGGGATCCGCGCAGCCGTCGATCTGCACGGCGACCGAGCCATCGGTGTCACCAGAGCGGCAGGAATTCGATTCGGGAGTGGCGACATTCTCTGCGACGCTCGTTTTTGTGAGCGCTGACTGAAGTGAATCCTGCGACATGTGCGACAATTGCTGGTATGACGACGCGTATGCGACAAGATCCGCAACGCCACGCTCCGACCGCTGATAATCCTCGATAAGATCTAAGGCGAACTCGGTGCTGTTAGCGAACTGCGGCACGGGACAGCCGAATGACGCGAGGAACGTGGGAAGCTGGGGAGGCGGCCCGTGGAAAATAGTATGCCCCGACGCGAGGAGCAGCAGACGGTCGATCAGCGACAGCACGCGGAAACTAGGCTGGTGCAGGACCATGATGGCGATGCTGCCGGTCTTCACGGCGATGTCTTTAATCGCCCGCACGACGCGGTACGCGCTAGTGGAGTCTAGGCCCGACGTGGGCTCGTCGAGAAAGAGAATCCGCGGATCGCTCACCATCTCCACTCCGATCGCCACGCGCTTGCGCTCACCGCCGGACACGCCGCTGAGGGGGAGAAAGCCGAGGGGGGCACGAGAGTAGGAAATGCGATGAGCGAGGGGACATTGACGAGAAGGCAATTGGCGGTGATGCACAGAATGAGCATGTCATACGACAATGGCGAGATGAGAGTTACCGAGATACATCGAGGGACACAAAGAAATGCGTTCCCGCGGGAGGGGGGGAGAGAAATGAGTAATACACTACGAGGCAAGCGGGTAAGAAAGAATTCCCGTCTTACCGTTGGCTCTCGTTTCCGATGAGCGAATCGGCCACCTTGGTGAGACCCAGCAGATCCAAAAGGCTCTCCACCTTTCGCTCCTTCTCCTCCTGCGTTACTCCGCGCGCCGCGAGGCGCAACTCCGCGGCGAACATGAGAGTCTCGCGCACCGTCAGCGCGGGAAACATGAGGTCGTCTTGCATCACGTACGCCGACATGCGCCGCATTGTACTCCCGCGAACCACTGTACCGTCCAGCTCCACCGAGCCCGACCGCCGCTCCTTCGCAATGCGGTGCGCGAGGATGTTAAGGAGCGTCGTCTTGCCCGAGCCGCTCGCGCCCATGATGGCCGTAACCTCACCAGATCTCGCAGCGCCGTTGATATCGGCGAGAATCGTACGACTGTAATGCTTCTTCATTGCCAGCTGCCGAGAAACGGAGCTCATCTTGCTGCTCGCTCGGCTGATGCTGCTCCCATCGCTCACGCCAGTTCCGGTTTGGCAAACGCTTCGGCTGCTTGCGGCGACACTTCCGCCAGCGCCGGCGTCGCTCCCGCGCTTGCTGCGCGTAGAGACGGTGTAAGACACGTGGCGAAAGTTTAGCTCCATCGACCTGGCGTAGAGTGGTTTCTTGAGCGTCCCCTCTTCGGATTCGTCTAACGAGCCGCAGTCGATCTCAACTTGATCGGATTCTGATTCCGTTGATGACGTGCAGGACGACGACGAGGAAGAACCCGAGGCGGACACGCGATCCGGCGAGGACTCTTCGGAGTAACGCGTTTGGTAAGAGATGGCGACGGCGGTGTCGGCGGCGGGAGAAGCGGCGTCGTTGATGGGAGAGTCGGGGAGGAGAGGGGCGGAATGTGGAGGGGGCACAGCTCGGGGAGAGGCGCTTTCTGTGTCCATTCTGGGTGTCTGGGGGGAATGGCGCGTTCGGTTGACGAGTAAGGGGTCGTTGAGTTGACGTTATGTCGCGGTCTTAAGTTAATGCTATGTAAAAGGTCTGAGAGGCGTGACGCCGAGAAGGAATGAGTCCTGGTTGTGGATCGTTCAAGTTACTCCAATGCAATAAGAGTGCAGAAGATGACTCGCAGCTCACACAATGCAGCCGTCTCAAGCCTCTAGTCGCCTTCCAAGCGGTCGCTCTTCCAAGCTGGGTGCTTTGGGGATGCTTGAGCTGCAGCAGCTGTGCGCTGGCAAACGTGGGCGGTGCTGCAGCGACTCTCGCTTGAATTGGCAGGAAAACGCTCAGCTCCTAGCACAAGTTATACCAGCAGCATGGTGCATTTGTGCATCGTGCCGTGATGACAACAGTGCGGAAGTCTGAGTTTTTCCACTCGTGTGTGAGGAGAAGGTGGGAGGGGGGGAGAGGGGAAAGAGAGGGACAAGAGGGGCGAGGTTGTTGAAATTTGCCTCGCTGGATGCGCGTTGTCGCCGAAATCTCTTCCCAAGCCTGTTGCATATCTTCCCCGTCGCCCCGAACCTCCCTCCAATACCGCAGGATATTTCATCCGAAAACAGTGACTATCCCTTCCCCCCATGTTTCCCCCACCCCCAACCCCGACCCAAACACACCCAACCCAAACAAACTCCCCCCCTCCCCCCCTCTCCATCCCCTCCGAACACCGCCACATCGAGGCGCTGCGCAAGCGGTGGTCCTTCGACCCGACGCCACCATGCTTTGGTTCACTGCAGCGAGTGTCTAGTGGCGCACGTTGAAAGGCATGGGTTTGATGTTTCGGTGGTTTGTAAAACGCGCCTTTCGCCGAACCACATTGATCAACTGACTGTACATGGTTGGACGAATCGTTGGAGAAGGGGGAAAGTTAGTTGCTGGTTGGTCGAGTTCGACACCTTCTTGGGAAATTGGGTTGGGGGAGCTGGATTTTGTGGATACGATATGGCAGCCAGGAAAACGCGGTGTCACTGACTGGTTTTCCGCGTGGTAGGGCAGTTGGAGTTGGCTCTTCCGGGCAGGAGGAGATTCTAGTGACTGAGGTTATGTACAGTGCATCAGGATTGGTAGAGCTAGAGCTCGGGAAACTCGAAGAATTTTTTGCACGCCAGCAAAGCCTACGTTGAATTGGGCAGAATACACCACCACCATGACCTAGCAACCAAGAACAGTAGCACAGCTGTATGGTCTTGAACCACTCACCACCATCTGTCGCTGGTTGTGGGTCGCCTACGCAACCCGACATGGCTACGCCGACTTCGCCAATCACAAAAGTCGGCCCCAGGTGTTGTGTCTGACCGAAATGACAGGTTGTTTCGCCTAGTGGCTGGGGTGCACCACTAAAAATGACCGAGTTCATCCAAAAGTCCAATAGAAAGCACTTTCTGACATGTTGATGCGAGTGACAAACATACACGCTGGCATGGTCAATTTTCCAATGAAACGAACATCTGTAAAGCTGAATGACAAGTGGACTGAATACATATGGCTTTGTAGGTTTATGTAAATACATAACACAAGCACTCATGCTAAGAACAATAGCTGGTACACAAGGGGTACACAAACAAGGGTCACACCATGGGGGCATCACAAAAAGCACCTAGCTCTTCAATCAAGCTAGGAGCTTTTAGGGAGGCCTCCTGGTGGTCTTACGAAATCTAGAAAACAGCAGCACAACTAAAGCCTGAGATTGTCCCACATCTACCAATGTCCGATTAACACTACTTATTCCCCAGAATCAATCACCTGGCCTCCATGGCAACGCCTTACTGCTTGCACCCGCATGTGATCGTAGGATACTGCCAACACCTCCATCATCAAGTGCGATGCACCTCAGCTTGAGTGTTCCCTCCCCAGATCTCCGCTTCAACGCATCACATGAATCCCCAGACCAGCAAGCACCCCTCCAATGCCTACCCAATCCTCCACAAGGTAATTAGGGTGAATCCCACTGAACTGCCATAGTCAATGACAGTTCAAACAGAATGCGCTCTCGGCATCTCCTTTCAGCGCCAGTTACAGCCTTCTCTCACTCACCCTCTCTTGGTGCGGGACAGCCTCACCAGCAGCAGCCAGTGCAGCAGCCGCAGCACACACCCCATCCCAACCAGCACCGCCACACACTCCCACTTGCTCATCTGCGTCAACCCCAGCGAATACACCAGCAGCTGCGGCCCCGTCTGCAAGCATGTCCCCACCGACAAATCCGCAAACGGCGTCCGAGCCAACCCCGGGCGAAGCACGGCTAGCGACTGATTCACCTGAGCAGGTGAGAGGAGCACGGAGAGAGGCGTGGCGGTGAAGAGATCCCCCGCGGGCTGGTAGCAGGTGGAGGGGCCGGCTGCGGCGAACTCATTGAGGGTGACTGCCTCGTAGGCGTACTTGATGGGCGAGAGGTAGTGCAGCCAGATCCAGAACGGTGGGATGCTCTGCCGCTGGATGTAGAAGCCGCAGACGAGGGCGAAGTTGGCCATTGTGGAGATGACAATGGCGTAGGCGAGGATGACACTGTGAGGAGGAGAAACAGAGCATGGAAAGAGGGGATGGAGAGGTAAGGAGAAAAGAGGGGTTGGTAAGTTTGCTACTAAGACAATGGCAAATGGCCAATGATGGTGGAGATGACTATGGCATAGGCGAGGATGACACCGTTTTAGAACGGGAGGCTGGAGAGAGGGTGACGGGATGGGAGGTGGCTGTTGTGATGGAAGTGGAGCAAAGTTGCTCGAGGAGGGAACGAGCATAATGAGTGGATGCGTTTAGATTCGTTCACTTGCTCACAATCCTGCTGACAACACTGCTGCTGCTAGGTCTCTTGCAATCATTTGTTCACTGTGGTCATTAGTGGGACACGGTTGGACGGTGGTGGGACAGCATACACTCACTGGCTTTATCACACTCTGCTGCTCACAACAGCACTGAGAAAGGTGGCAGCAGAAGCAGACGAGCACCAAAAACGCATAGGGAGACGCGCACGCTTTGTAACACTTTGCAATGCTTTGCAGCACTCACTTGTTGACAGCTGCACTGACGAACGTAGCGTAGGCATTCCCCGTGAAGAGGCAGCAGAAGCAGACAAGCACCACAAAGCCAAACGAGCTCCCCCCACCGGACAGGTTGACACACCACCACGACTCGGCAGTGATAGCGAGGGCCATAAGCACGTGCAGAGGCAGGTACACGAGAGTCGATGCCACCATGTATGTGGACGGCCTGTACGCGTGCTGCGATGTTTCCCGGATGAATATGTTGCGCTCCTGAAGGTAAGGGGGACGGAAGAAAACGGTACATTTCAGGGGTGGGAAAGGGTGGGAAAGGGTGGAAAGGGGTGGGAAAAGGTTGAGAGCTCTGAGGCGGATGTGATGAGGCGCCACCAGGGCTCGGCAGTGATGGCGAGGGCCATGAGCACGTGCAGAGGCAGGTACACGAGAGTCGATGCCACCATGTATGTGGACGGCCTGTACGCGTGCTGCGATGTTTCGCGGATGAAAATGTTGCACTCCTGAAGGTAAGGAGGACGGGAAGAAAACGGTACATTTCAGGGGTGGGAAAGGGTGGGAAAGGGTGTTAAGGGTGGAAAGGGGTGGGAAAATGGTGAGAGCTCTGAGGCAGTTATGATGAGGCGCCACCAGGACTCGGCAGTGATGGCGAGGGCCATGAGCACGTGCAGAGGCAGGTACACGAGAGTCGATGCCACCATGTATGTGGACGGCCGGTAGGCATGCTGCGACGTTTCCCGGATGAAAATGTTGCGCTCCTGAGGGTGGCAAGGGGGTTGAGTATGGTTGCAGAGTGGGAAATGCGGGATAAAAGGGTGAGATGGGAAGGATCAAGTAATTATCTGTGTCGAGGACTCCTGATTATCCGCACGAAGACAATGGGAGTGTATGGATGTGCCCTCCACCCAACGTCGTCCTCCAACCAGGGAATTGCCTAAGAGTGGTGTATCAGAGGGAGTGACAGAATGGCATATCGGGGCGAGTGACAGGGTGGCATATCCTTTCACCTGGACGAGAGACAGGGCTGTACACGATAATACGTGGTACAGGGGGCGTAATGCGGTTGCACGTGGTCCATAGAGGCGTACTGTGATTGCACCTTGTACAGAGGGGCTGAGACGGAGAGTATTATTTGCTCACCTGGATGAAGAGCGGCGTGGCGTCGGCGGAGGAGAAGAAGAGCGTGCACACGAGGAACGAGATGAACGCCAGCCGCTCGTGCAGCCCCTCAGCACTGGAATTCGGCAAGGGAAGAGTTGGGAAAGGGGTGGGAAAGAGGGAAGAAAAGGGGTGGGGAGTGAGGAGAGGGAAGGGAAGGAAAGGAAAAGGGAGCATGGGGACGAGGGAAGGGAGAACGAGAGTGGGTGTTGATAAGAGAAAGGGAAGCAGGCAACGGAGAGGGGTTTCAACCAGCGGAGAGGCAGGCTAGCAGAGTGTCCATCAAACAGGGCTTAGTATACATCAGCAGGCCGCAAAGCTGGCAAGGTGGCAAGGCCGCAAAGCTGGAAAGGCCGCAAGGCTCACAATGTAGGCCACTTAACCTAATTTCACGCGAGACTCACTTGAAGGGCGGGCGCCAGAAGAGCGACGCGATGAGCAGCCCCGTGACCATGATGAGCAGCAGGCGCAGCAGGTACAGCGCGGGGGTGCGCGCGATAACGCGCACGGACCGGCTCAGCAGCACGCGCAGCTCCCGCCACCACCCGTTCGCGTACTTGCGCTCGCCACAGTGCTCTGTCTGCGCGCCCGCGCCCGCGCAATTGCGCTCCTCGAGAGGCTGTAGCTGCGCCGCACCCGCGCTTTGGCGCTCCCCGAGGAACCCCATCTGCGCGCTGGCACCACCGCCGCCGCCGCCGCCGCTGTTAGTTTCCGCCACTCGAACATCCGGCGAATCACCTGAAGTAACACCTGATGAGGCGCCTGTAGGGATAGTGACCATTTCATTCCCGTTCGCCGCGGCCGCTGCAGCCGCCGCTGCGGCCGCTGCAGCCGCAGTTGTAGCAGCTACAGCCGCTGCAGTCGCTGCCGCCACTGCAGCCTGATCCGGGCTGAAGCACGTGGAGGGGCTACTCGGAGGGATGGAAAAGCTCCCGCCGCCCTCGCTACTGCCGCGGGACGAATCGCCACCGCCGCTGGAGCCTCCTTGTGACCAGACGGTAAAGAAGGCGGCCAGCCGTTGAATTCCGTCTCTCTTGTCCGTCAGGTTTTCCGTCTTCATCTCGGCTTCCGTCTCCGTATCCCCGTCGCAGCAATCGCCGGACGGTTGCCTGGCCAGATGTTCAGACGCATTTGTATTATTCGCAGCAGCTTCCCCCGCCACGTGGCACTTTATAATCTCGGTACCATCCACGTCATATTCCTCCTCGTCGTCATCCTCATCGTCCACGTCTTCGCCGCGCTTAGCGCCTCCCTCCGCCTCGTGACCCAGCCGTTGAATCACATCCAAAGCGAATTCCGTCGGGTTCGCGAACGGCGGCGGCGGGCAGCCGAACGCGGACAAGAACTCGGGCAGCTGCGCGGGCTGCCCGAAAAACAACATCCGACCCGCGCCGAGCAGCAGCAGCCGATCCAAAAGGCCCAGAAGGCGAAAGCTCGGCTGGTGCAGAACCATCACCACAATGCTCCCCGTCCGCACCGCGATTCTCTTAATCACCTTCACGACTCGGAACGCACTGGTAGAGTCCAGCCCCGACGTGGGTTCATCCAGAAACAGAATCTTAGAATCGCCTATCATTTCCACGCCAATCGCAACGCGCTTCCTCTCGCCGCCGGAGATTCCGCGGCTGTTTTCATCGCCGATTTTGGAGTTTTCCACTTTGGTAAGGCCCAGCAGGCGGATGAGGCGGCTTACCTTCTCCGCCTTCTCCGCGTGGCTAACCGTCGGCGGAAGCCGCAACTCCGCGGCGTACATGAGCGTCTCGCGGACCGTCAGCGCGGGAAACATGAGGTCGTCTTGCATCACGTACGCCGACAGCCGTCGGATCGTTTCGCCTTTCACCGGAGCGCCGTTCAAGGAGATCTCCCCAGTGAGGTTGCGCGAAGAGATGCGGTCCGAGAGGACGTCGAGGAGCGTGGTTTTCCCCGAGCCGCTCGCTCCCATTATCGCCGTAACTTCGCCAGCCTTCGCGTACGCGGAGACGTCGCATAGAAGCTGCTTCGTTACGCGCTGCGACTTCGGCTGCAGGAGCTTCTTGCGTTGAACCGTATAGGAAACACCGTGGAAGCCGAGCGAGGATATCGGCTGCGCGGAGCTGGAAAGCGACGCGACGAAGGGCGGACTCCCTGCTTCCGGAGCGACGTCGACCGTGAATGCGCATTGCCGCAGGGCTGCACTTAGTGAGAAGTAGGGGTCACTCGCATCTGCTGCCGCCATTTTCCTGGCTAGACGCAAGGAAGTGAGAGCGCAAGTACGCAAGTGAGTGGCTAGAGCTGCTTGTGTCTGTCCGTTTGTAAAGTGTGTGAGAGTTGGTGATTAGGCGAGAAATGCGAGACTTCCGTGCTGCTCGAGTTCCCGAATCAAGCAAAAAACACTACAGAAGTGAATGAGGTGGAAGGCAATGGCTGCGACTTCATTTACAGACTGTGTTGACAACGACCTCGGCATTTGCTAACTTTCGGTCCTCGGCATTTGCTAACTCTGCTCTAGGTAATTGCTAACTCCGCTCTAGGTATTTGCTAACTCCCTTGCATTTACCTCGATGTTGACAGAGCTGATGTCATCAAGACTCTAAAATGACTAGTCTAGAGAATGCACCGCCTCCCATCCACTCCCTAGGCTGCGGCGCACTGTCGCGGAGCTGCCGCATGGAGTGGATGTCCTTTCCGCGGTGGCGGAGATGTAGGGCGAAACGAATGGGAGATGCAGGGAAGACGCTGATGAGCTCGAAAGTGGGGGGAGCGGGATGAATGGCGGAGAGGGCACTGTGGAAAAAGGATAGTGAAGGCACGCGGGGGAAAGGGGAAGGGGGGAGGTGGGGGAGAGCTTCGGTTGTCTAGATTCTGCTTTGCGGAGGGGCGGTGCTCTGCAGGAAATTTTGTGTCGGAGCGGAACCACCAAAACGTCGGAGTGGTGCTGATCGGACGGCGGTCAGAGCTTGTTGTGAAGCCCGTGCGCGACAAGAGGTCCGCGGACCACGTGTATCCTGCAAGCGTCGTGCGTGCTGCGGGCACAGGCGGGATGTTCGGCACCCGCCGTCAGAAAACTTTTTGGTTTGACCTGCAGATGTCAACTTCACTGGTGGTGGTGGGGTGGGAGGACCGCACATGTCAGAAATCCGCACTGGAACTTACATTTGGGGCAGCTGTCTCCACCTGCAGGGAACCTCGAAACGCTCGGACACATTTTTGCCCCACGAGCGTCGGTTAATTGGTGATGGCGGGAAAAAAATGGTGAAAATTTAGAGGCTGGATTGATAGGGGGTAGTTGTTGACCAGCAGACACCTAAAAGGTGTCGATTGGAATTGGGATCTTTCAACGTTTTCCCCATATCAAAACGCTGTTTCAATCTAGAACCAGTAATTCCAGCAGCGTGCGTCCTAACCCAAATTAGTCAAATGGATCCCTTAACTACAGAGAGTCTTGATGAAAGTTTCGTCGGTCAGTATCAAATCGTACACGTCATATTCCTGGATGATGGCGCTGCCCACGTCAGGCCGAATCGCGTCTCTCATTGGATGCGGTGCTGATTGCTGGCATCAAGTTGGCAAATCCTCCCTAGAAGCAGTCACCATTTCAGAGTAGGATTCACATACTTCATAGTGTTCGGTAAAATGCGAAAAATTCACGTAATGTCGATTAGGATGAAACACAAGTGGTCCACGATGTTCATGACCTCCATGAACACCGTCCGTCACTTTCAGCCCAATGAGTGCTTCGGCCTGGTAATATCTGACATGCCGCCATTTTTCCCTGGCAGAGTTTTGGAAATTCATGACGTGTTTGTTTCGAAGCAGAATCGCTTGCTGCTTGCTGGTCACATCGATATCGCCTGATTGGGACCGCTGTTGATTCGACGGCATGCCTGAAAACGAACGGGCGATAATAGGGTATGTCGGTTTGTCCGTCACCCGTCGCCTGTCAGCATGCACTTTTTCGACATGCACTGCTGCTAGTCACCGAGACAACAGCCCTTGAATATCACACATCGGAAAGCGACGTCTCTCTTTGCCTGTCATGTCGACTCTTGAACTGCCTCAGACGATCACACCTAGAGGTTCCCCTCTACCTGCAAAATATCACACACCGAAGCATGCCGTCGGCCTGCCTGTCATTCCGCCTCGTGACGACGAAACAGTTGACATTGTACTTTCGGTGCGCTTTGCGGAGAGCACTGTACCAGCGTCGCAACCACAAGGTTCCAGAATCATCCAATCGGTCAAATCTGACCGTTGGTTCCTGCTCTTGAAAGTGACGTGCGGCGCAGATGATGCCATCCGTCACTCGGATGACCAGTGAGGTTGGAATCACCGCCTCTCCAAATCAATTTCCTCTAGCGTGCCCCACCCACATGGCGATGTTCGCCAATCGCTTTCGCCAAGTGCACTTGCACGGAGTTATCGAACCGCGTCGCTCTGCATGGAAGAGACGCGATACGCGAGACGGAGCGATGCGTCCACCGGTGCATGCCAGAGGCGATAAGAGGGAGAGAGAACCGACTCATTCGTTTCATGCATTGACTTGCTTCCGTGAATTCAGCCGCAGAAAAGCACGGCCTCGTTTGCTCCCCCATTGAACCACTCGACGTGCTGCGCGCTGCTTGCTGCTGCACTTGTCTACACTCGTCTACCAGGAGCCTGGCCGTCGTCGTCCGTCTCCCTCCGCCGCTGCTAGCCTCGATCCCCCCGATTGGAACGCCCAGTTCACCACCCACCACCTCGCACCACACCCCACCCCCCACCCAAGCGCAACCACGTCTTCCTGGTAGTACTTGTGCCGCTAGCCCGAGCACACATGGCTCCTAACGTCGCTGCTGCAAGCAGTTTTCCTTCAGGCGCCGTTTCCTCCTCCAGTGCCGCTTCTTCCATGCCCTCTGCCAAGGCCGCGGCTACGCCGTCTGTAGAGATGCGTGCGCCGCACGCAAGCCGGCTCAAGCTGGCCCCCGGCCCTGCTGACGTGGCGGGCAACCCGCGCAAGTGGTCCCCACCGCCGCCGCAGGACGGCATCCCATTGGACGAGCGCCCCGAGTGGCTGCGCGACGAGGCCTTGTCGTTTCTGGAGCTGTTCGAGCGCAACGTGAGGAAGTTTCCGAGCAAGGCGGCGGTGACGTGGGTGGAGGAGAAGGGCGAGATCAAGCAGTCGTACACCTATGAGGAGGTGCGTGCATGGCTTTCCATAGATCGACGGTTTTTCATGATTGGCGATTTTTGTGCATGTACAACGTCACGCGGGTCGCGCTGTTAGCAGCTGTGGTCACTTCACACTGGGCTGTATTCGTCACCTCCCATCTTCCCCCTCTCCCCCCCTCCTCCCAACCCCTCCTTGCGATTCCCACCCCCATTCCCCCAGCTGGATGCGCTGTCCCGAGCCGTGAGTGCGTCGCTGGTGGGCGAGTGGGGGGCAGCGCGGGGCGACCGCGTGGTGCTGCTGTACCCGCCGGGCCTTGACTTCCTCATCGCCTTCATTGCCTGCCTGCGCTCCGGTGGGTGACGTGGCATGTGGCATGGGACATGGGGCACGGGGTATGTGGTATGTGGCATGTGGTGTGCAGTGCGCTACCGGGGCACGGAGCATGGGGCGTGGGGCGTGGGGCGTGGGGAAAAGCTCTTTCTAACTCACCCCCCTCAACCCCCCTCCCTTCCTTTCCCCCCTCCCTCTGTCCACCCTCTATGTCCCGCTGTGCAGGGGTAGTAGCAGTGCCAGTGTACCCGCCCAACCCCCGCGAGCTGAAGAAGGACGTGGAGAAGCTCACTCGCCTCGTCAACGACTGTGGGGCGCGCATCGTGCTCTCCACGTCCGAGTGAGTGCAGCTCTCTGAGAAACTCCATGGCCTGTGCTCGCAGGCAGTGCTGCTGCTGCCCACCAGTAGCTCACCAATATCAATTTCCCGGCCGTTGTCTCAGTATAGCTCCCAACGCCTGGATCATGCACCCGCTCATTCCGTCAACTACCAGTCCAAGCCCCGACTCTCACTGCCGAAGCTTATCTAACACTTCAGATTTCCTTAGGTTTGGGTTCTGCGCAAAACCTTATGCCACACCTGGCCTCCCTCTGTTCCCCCACCTTGCTCCCTCGGCACCCCATCAGGTACCGCTCCAAGATCCGCCTGTCGCTGCTGAAGCTCATCCCAAACCTTCATGCAACCGACCTGTGGACAATGCCCTGGACGGTGGAGATTTGATGCCATACCTGGCCTCCCTCTGTTCTAACCCTGCTCCCTCGTTCGCCCATCAGGTACCGCTCCAAGATCCGCCTGTCGCTGCTGAAGCTCATCCAAAGCCTTCATGCAACCCACCCACCCGTGGACAATGCCCTGGACGGTGGAGATTTGATTGATGCCATACCTGGCCTCCCTCTGTTCTCCCACCCATCAGGTACCGCTCCAAGATCCGCCTGTCACTGCTGAAGCTCGTGCGCTGGCCGGGCGAGCACTGGTACAACACCAACGGCATCAAGCCGCTCCCTCGCAGCGCGGCCGAGAATGACAGCAGCAGCAACAGCAGCAGCGGCGGCAGCGGCAACGCGAATGGCACTGGCGGGAGCAGCAGCAGCAGCATTGATGAGATAGCGTTTCTGCAGTACACGTCCGGGTCCACAGCGGATCCCAAGGGCGTCATGATCACCCACACCAACATCGCCCACAACGTCATGTTCATCCGCCGGTGCGTGTCCTATCAGAAGGTGCATGTTCAACAACAGGTGTGTGTTGCTCTGGAAGGCACAACGTTTTAGTCAGGAGGAAATCAGGAGATTGTGGTACAGGGTTTTGTTAGAGTGATAGCAGAGCAGCAGGAAGGAGGGCATACTCCTTTTTCAAACTGGTATTGCTTATAACGCGTTGCCGCGTCTCGTTTTAACATGTGTTTCCCGTTGCCTTCTCCTCGCCTCGCCTTTCCTTCCAGGACCCTACGCATGCATTCTGGAATTCGCTTCTTCAGCTGGCTTCCTCAGGTATTTTTGAATCAGCTAAAGAATAGGCCGTTCTTCTCTTGCTGGATCTTTTTGAGCCGCCTCAGAAGGTCTGCTCGTGCCGCAGAGCATAGACTGCTTGTGCTGCCACTGACAGGAAGTGCTGACCTGTATATACAGGTGCACTGCACACCACATCTGCGTCACATCACATACATTGCATGTGCACATGTCACTCATCTCCTCTCCTCCCACTCACATGCACTCATCTCCTCTCCTCCCACTTCCCTCCTCTTCCCCCCCTCCTTCCTCTCCCCTCCCTCCTCCCTTCCCCAACAGTACCACGACCTGGGGCTGATAGTGGCGTATCTGAGCACGCTCACAGCGGGCGGCAGTGGAGTGTACATGTCGCCCATCGACTTCATCCACCGCCCCGCCTCCTGGCTGCAGTGGATGAGCCGCCTCAAGGTGAGGGGGGAGGGCGGGAGGGCCAGGGTGTGAGGCTGGGGTGGGGCAGGGAGGTATGGGGTGCGCGAGGGTTGGGTGGTTGGGAACATTGGAGCAGGGAGTGATACAGTGGATGAGCCGCCTCAAGGTGAGGGCAGGGAAAGGCTGAGTGGCGGGGGAGGTGGTGGTGGGGCTAGGGGAGTGGTGCAGCAGTGTGTGATCAGATCACTAAACGTGTGGCTGCAGTGGAGGGCGACATGACCAACGTCCGGGCACGCCCTGCCTGCCCCTTCCGTTCTTTCTCTCCTTGTTATCGTGCCCTGCTGCAGACTCTCCTTTTTTTTACTTTTTCCACAACTGGCAGTTGTTTGTCTTTTTTTCCTCACTGTCCATCACCCCCACTTCCCCTTCCTCCCTCCCCCCCCACCTCCCCCAGATCACCCACACAGCAGCACCTAACTTCGCTCTCAACCTCGCCACTCGCAAGTTCGTCCCCTCCAGGGATGCCGCCCTGCCCGCTCTCAATAACTTCTTTCCCCCCTCCTCGTCTCCCCTCCCTCCCTTCCCTCCAGATCACGCACACAGCAGCACCTAATTTCGCTCTCAACCTCGCCACTCGCAAGTTCGTCCCCTCCAGAGATGCCGCCCTGCCCGCCCCCTTCCTCTCCGCCTCCCTCCCACCCTCCTCCTTCCCCACCCCTCCCAATCCCCCCTCCTCCACCCCCTCCGCTCTCAACCCATCTGCTGCGCTTCCCACCGCTCTGGACCTCTCGTCGCTGGAGTGTTTCCTGAACGCGGCGGAGCCGGTGCGGCCGGAGGCGATAGAGCGGTGGAATGCGGTGCTGGGGCGGTACGGATGGGATGCGTGCGGCATGTGCCCGTGCTACGGGCTGGCAGAGCATGTGGTTGGCGTGTCAGGGTGGGGCAGCAAGGTACGCTGAATCTAGACTGTGGTGGAGCATAGTGGGATGGAGAATGTAGGTTGCACCTTTCAGCATGTGCCCGTGCTACGGGCTGGCAGAGCATGTGGTTGGCGTGTCAGGGTGGGGCAGCAAGGTACGCTGAATTTAGACTGTGTTGAAGCATAGTAGGATGGAGAATGTAGGTTGCACCTTTCAGCATGTGCCCGTGCTCTTTGCTGGCGGAGCATGTGGTTGGCGTGTCAGGGTGGGGCAGCAAGGTACGTTGAATCTAGTCGTGGGATGGGATGGTGTGTTGGGGCGAGTCAGCAAAGAACGTTCAGAGTTTCGTGTTTGATCTTCCGGTTTTGTTCCCTGCTGCAAAGGCTGGTAGAGTGGGTAATCTGTGTACGTCCCATGCCGCTGCCCGCAACCCATGCCTCGCCTAACGCTGCCCCCATCCCATGCCTCGCCTAACCCTGCCCCCTTCCCATGCCGATGCTTCCTCTACCTCCACCCCTTCCCCCGTTTATGTGTGCCTGCGTCCCCTACGCACCAGCTGCTGCACCTCCCCGACATCACCCTGCACAGCAGCGGCCACCTCACCACCCTCCCATGCCTCCCCTCCCCTGCCCCCCTTTTGCCCCTGTCCCCGTCCATCGTTGCCCCACCAGCTGCTGCACCTCTCCGGCATCACGCTGCACAGCAGCGGCCACCTCGCCACCCTCTCATGCTTCCCGTCCCCCCCTTGTCCCTCCTGCCCCCATTCCCCCTGTCCCCGTCCATCGTTGCCCCACCAGCTGCTGCACCTCTCCGGCATCACGCTGCACAGCAGCGGCCACCTCGCCACGTACCCAGTGGACGGGCGCATCGTCATCGTCAACCCCGAGACGCATGAGGAGTGCGCGGAGGGCGAGGAGGGCGAGATCTGGGCGCGCAGCTGCCACGTGGCGCGTGGCTACTGGGGCAAGCCAGAACTTTCAGAGGAGGTGAGTCGACAGCCTTTCCCTGTCAGCTGCATCAGCAATGCGACGGTGTTAGATTTAGCTATCTGCGCCCCATGTGTTCATCCACCCCTGTAACGCCTTCCGCGTTCCTCTTTCCTCTTTCCTCTTTCATCCTCCCTCCTCTTCCAGACCTTCCAGGCCCGCATGAGGGAAGGCGCGCCAGGCTCGGACGATGGTGCCTATCTGCGCACGGGGGATCTGGGGCTCGTGGTGGAGCAGCAGCTGTTCATCACAGGGCGCATCAAGGACCTCATCATCGTGGGCGGGAAGAACTACTACCCGCAGGTGAGTCTATCATAGCATGCTACTCTTGCATCATTCCACATGCAGTGTCGCTCTCGCAGCATGCCCTTCTGCATCAATGGCCTCATCATTTTGGGCGGCAGGATCTTCTATCCGCAGGTGGGCTTATCATGACACGATTCTGTCACCATTGTGATTGCTGTTTCAGTACATGTTTGTCAGCGTCTCCCCTCCACTCCGCTCCCTCCTGCACGGCGCTATCCCCCTTCCCTGCAAGAACGTCGAGCTGAAAGTGGACTCCGTTTCAAACAGCATTCATTCTTTTTGACCTAAATTTCGTCTGTTCCATTCCATTCCCCCCATCCCCATTCCCCCCATCCCCCTTTTCTGCCAGGACATTGAGCTGACAGTGGAGGCCGTTTCAGACAGCATTCGCCCCGGCTGCTGCGCCGCCTTCAGCGTGAACAAGACGAGCCACAGTGCTGCAGCGGGCGGCAAGGGAAAGACGGCAGACAAGGGAGAGACCGGGGAGAAGGGAGAGGAAGAGGAGGTGCTTGCAGTGGTGGTGGAGGTGAAAGCGGTGGCACAGGAAGGGTGGTGGCGGGGAGGTGGAGGAGGGGGGGCAGGGGATGGCGGGCTGACGAGGCAGCAGATGAATGAGCTGGCGGGGGATATTCGAAGCGCGGTGGTGCGTGCGCATGGGGTCATGCCTGCCATTGTAGCGATCATTGCGCCCCGCACGGTGAGTGCAGTGGCGCGGATAAAGGGGGGGTTTTGTGTGCTGTGAGGCTGACGAGGCAGCAGATGAATGAGCTGGCGGTGGAGATTCGAAGCGCGGTGGTGCGAGCACATGGTGTTATGTTGTTATGCCTGCCATTGTGGCGATCATTCCGCCCCGCACGGTGAGTGCAGGAGTTTGTTGATATGGGTGGCGTATTGCATGGTATGGAAGGGGTTGGAGTAGCTGGCAAGGCAAGCTTGCAGAGTGGTGGTGCGCGCGCATGGGGTCATGCCTGCCATTGTGGATCTCATTGCGCCCCGCACGGTGAGTGTGTTGCGTGGTGTGGTGTGGTGAGCATGCGTTGCACAAAGATTAGCTTCAAGACGAGACCATATCATTTCAAAACACGATGCCTAACCATTGCTTGCATGGGGGACCATGGCGGGTGGGAACATGATGCCTAGCCATCATGCTGACGGGTGGGAACGAGGTGCTTGCATTCCTTCCGTCACGCCTCTCTCTCGCTCGCTCTCCTGTGTTACCCCTCGTCAGATCCCCAAGACCACGAGTGGCAAGATTCGGCGCAAGGAGACGAGCCACCGACTCACTACAGGCACACTCAACGTGCTCAACAGTAACTTGCACATGGAGGGCGGCGCTGGAGACACCATTGTGAGTCTTGGTACCAGTTTCTAGGTGCAAACAATGCAGCAAGCCATGGGAGAGACATTGTGAGACGCTTGTGAGTCCATTACAGGCTTCAGAAACCCTTAATTGTGATGCCTCGGCCGTTTTTGTTGTTGCAGCCAGCACTTCAGCAAAGTAGACTGAAGCGTTTTTTTCGTCTCCGTGTCACTCTCTTTCCCCGTCCCTCTTTTTTCCAACTGCTCAGGAGAGTCTGCACTCAATTCCTGAGCCTTCTGGGGCGAAGCGAGGAGAGGACGTGGTGATTGTGGAGGAGGAAAGTTCCGCTGAGATGCCTCGAAAAGAGGAGCTGATTGGCCAAGAGGCGAGGGAGAGTGAGGAAAAGGAGGAGGCAACCAGCGGGAAGTTGGTGGAGGAGGAGGGACAGGTGGAAGGAAAAGGGGCGAGTGAGGAAGAGAGTGTGGGGGTGGAGGAAGGGGAAGCTGTAGATGAGGCTAGTGATATTGCAGCAGCTGGTGCAGGTGCAGGAGTGACTGTCGAAGCAGGGGTGCAGTCAGAGGGGGCAGATGATGCAGAGGAGGAAGCAGTTGTAGCAACACCAACGGCAGTGGCGTCAGAGGAAGCAGCAGCTGCTGCAGCAGAGGGTGACGTGGCAGGGGCAGCTACAGAGGAGGATGGGCAGAGCAAAACTCCTGGAGGAGATGGGGCTGTGGAGGCAGAGGAGGGAGCAGAGGAGGGAGCAGAGGAGGGAGCAGAGGAGGACATGGGTGCAGCCAAGTGGGATGGCATGGGCGTGGAGTCAGCTGTCAAGGCCATCATGGGCATCCACGTAAGTGCCGCTCTTGGTTCTTTCCTTTCACCATTCTTTCTTTCCTTTCACCATTCTTTTCCTCTGTTTTTTTCCTCTCTTTTTTTCCTCGCTTTGGTGTACCGGGCCAGTGTTTGTAAGCATTAACCAGCTCGTATGGTTTTATTCTTCATACCATGCCGCTCCTCCCGTCTCCTTCCAGGACCTGGAGATAGCGGGGGAGCCATTGCTGATCGACATAGGTCTCACGTCCATGAATGGCATGGAGGTGCTCGAGCTGCTGGAGAGGCGCTGCGACCGCAGACTAGTTGTTGATGACATGGAGGTGAGTCGAGGGGGGTTGACATGGAGGTCGAGCTGATGGGGGGTGACATGGAGGTCGAGCTGATGGGGGGTGACATGGAGGTGAGCTGATGGGGAGTGACATGGAGGTTGAGCTGATGGGGGTTGACATGGAGGTGAGCTGATGGGGGGTGACATGGAGGTGAGCTGATGGGGGGTGACATGGAGGTGAGCTGATGGGGGTTGACATGGAGGTGAGCTGATGGGGGATGATGTGGAGGTGGGCTAAGGGGGGTGGCGTGAAGGTGTGATAATTGAGCGACTTGCGACTATGTGCGGTCCATTTGGTGATGGCGCATTGCGCATTGGTGGCTTATCTTTAATGCCTTGCTTATTGTTGCCATTCACACCTTCCCCTAACCCCATCACAGCGAGTTACCATTGGACATTTGCGTCGGCTGGATCAGGGCATCCCTCTCCCTGACACATTCGAGGTGATGTAATGGCTTAATGTTTAGACATTTGAACCATGGGCGTGCTTCCTTTGTTAGTGTGGTGCTGTCCCATTTCCACCTACCTGTGTTTGTTGTCCCCTCTTGACTGACTCTTGGTTCATCTGTTGGGTGTTGGATCTGTACTTCTTTTTCCTCCTGCAGAGTGATGACGAGGATGAGGATGAATGAAAGATTGGAACTACCTGCTTTTATTTCCATGCTTGATGTGGAAGAGTAAAAGGTTAAAGCTGTATTATATGTATGTATAAAGGAGTTTATCAATATAAATACATCCAATCCAACGTCAGTGAACCGTTAGATGGAAACGCGTGACAATGAAGGTAAATGTACACAACGGCTAGATTCTATCGCACGTGACAAACCCAGCACCCCCTACTTGTCGCACAAAACATAGGCGAAGCGAATCGCCACGAAGACCTTCCATACTGTACGTTTACACGTTTCCGCATTTCGCCGCGGCTTGCAAACTTGAGTTTCAAACGGACGTCAGCCATGGCGACGACACCATCTTGCTAGGGCATGAATTTGATCTCAAATTCCGCGGCTCTCCGTGCTTGGCTGAGCCATGCCTAAAGACTCGAATTGCATGCATTTTGTTCCCTGACGTCTACCTTTCGCATACCTATCCGAGGTTTTACACATCAGAGCTCACTCACATCTCAGAGCTCATTTATTCCAAACTTATTTCACTAAGTGCATTCGATTGAGTTGCGCGTCGGCTTGTTCTAGTCAAAGTGCGCTTTTAGTGGCGCGTATTAAGGTTCGATCTCTCCACCCTTATTGTAGGATAATTCCAGAAACATCAGCCAGATTATTCGACGACGAGTTTCTGTAGCAATGGCCGCAGCTATTTCGTCTCGATGTCCATTGATGCGAAACCATTTTCTTAGTTAAAGCAATTGCTTAGTCGCACTACACGTCGCTCGCGTCTTCGAGTGGAACCTCTCAGCTGACCCATCTTGACATTTTCGCCTTCACTGACACGAGACGCTTTTTCTTCCAGCACCTGTCCTGAGCAAGGCCAGAAGTAGGGTTTGAGAATGGCGTTCCTCACGGTTCAAGAGTCGCTAACTTGGGCGATTCTGTTCTGGATGGTGGCGTTTCTTGTCTCAGCAGCGTTAGTGGGCATCGTCATGTACATGGTGCGTTTGCTTGTGGTGGAATCTGGTTGTACTTTTCAAGCACTAGAAGCTGCGGTTCATGTTAATCTTAAATCTTCACAAGAATCATGCGGCATAGCTGTCACTAGCGCCCAGCTTTTTTACGCGCAACAGTTCTGTGTCTATCGGATACCCCTGTACAGCCTAGTGCAGATCGAATCCATCTCGTGCTTCTAATTCGTTTCCTCTTCTTTACTCTTTTGGCTGTAATCCCTTGTTCCTTCACCTTCTCATTCAGCTCATCTGTATATCGGACCTTGAAAACGACTTCATCAACCCGCATGACGCCGCCAGAAGAGTTAACGGATTCGTTTTTCCAGAAATCTCCCTTCATTCCGGCCTGACCGTTGTCTTCGCCCTCACCGGCCACTGGCTCATGTTCCTTATCAACCTCCCTCTCGCCCTCTACCACTTTCACCTGTGAGTGTTACCGGGACTTCGTGCATAATGCTGCTAATATCAACCCGCAAGTTGAGTTCCTCTTCTCTCTGGAGCATTACCGTCTACAACATCTGGCCTCCTATTTTCCCTTTTGTTTACCATACAGATACCTTAGAAAAGAGCACATGGTGGATGTGACAGAAGCTTTCAACCAAATTAGCGTTCAAAGAAGACGGCAACTAATTAGATTCGTCATCTACCTGACTTTGATGATCGCCACGATATTCAGGTCAGTCAGAAGAGAGGAAAATTGCACACGATCCTAGCCTGTTGCAAAGGCTGTGGCCCAAATTCCTGCTTTGCCGGCTATGGCTGAGCAGTTTATTTAACTTCTCCATTCCCGTCCCCTGCCCGTCTCTCCACCCAACAGGATGGTGGAGAGAGGGGTGACAGCAGTAATGGAGAGCCATGGTGGAGCAATCCATGCCAAAGTTTTAGGAAACGTGGCAGGCCTCTCCAACATGTCTTCTATGTAGACCACAGATAAGGTGGTGATCTGACATTCACCCACATGACAGGCACATGGACGGAGGTTCCAACTCTTGGAAGGACTGCCATAGCTTCTCTCCCGCTTCAACTCTGTCCAGTGCTAGGGAAATTAGGTGTAGAATCTTGTGCTAACTTGCTTGGTTAGCAATTAAGGACGCCATGGTAGGAAGTAATGATGCTGATGTTACATGAAAGCAGAAATTGGCCAGCATCAACTGAGGAGCCTTTAGGCCTCCTGATTAGCAAAATGCAAGTAGTGGTGGTGGGTGGGACAGTGCCAAGCCAACGTTTTGTGGGTGGGACAGTGCCAAGTAAAGCATCAAATCCACTGGTGTGACAGTGCCAAGTAAAGCATCAAATGCACTGGTGGTACAGAATTGAATGGGAAATCATTTGTAACATACACAATACAATAATAAGCATAAATCAGTCAAAATTGGATGTGGGCCATATTGAACCCAAAAGGCGAAACTCTTCATTATGCACAAGAGCTTGGAAGACAGCTCCACATATGCAGCAGCTCCCCTACTTCAGCCTCTCTAAAACCTCTTGCTGAAACTCCTTAAACCTCCCCCGACGCCGACTCACAAGCTGCAGCTCTGTAAGCAACTGCAGCAGCATCTAGGTGGCCTGCCCCCCGCCTGGCATCTACGTGGCTAAGTGACATGCTGCTGCTGGCATCACTGGCATGACTCTGGGCTGCAGGATGCGGGTGGAGCTTGAGGTACATCTCAGTGAGCCTCTCCTTGGCCTCGCTGAGGATGAAGACGGCGAATGTCACCCGCTGAGCTCGGGGGATGAGGCCTCTGAACAGGGTCTTGCTGCCTCCTTCTCTCCACATGCGTGCAAATGTGCCAGTCATTGACCTGAAATTAAAGAGAGGAGAAGGTTGCAGAAAATGAGAAAGCTGCCTACCGTTACTCGATCCAACGATTGGATCAGACAGACCACGCACAGATGTACAACACGGGCAACGAGCGGAACCTCCCGTACCTGAAATTAGGGTCTGCGAGATTGGCCTGCATGCGCGTTTTGACGGTGTCGAAGGGCTGTGTAAGCACAGCAGCTCCCACTCCCGCCAGCACCGACGCCGTCGCCATTGCCGCGACGGGTCTCTCTGCAAAAACCGGCCACGCCTTTTCCATGTGCTCCGTCATCACAGGAATCACTCCCAGGTACGCCCCTGTGAAGATCGCTTCTCTCACCACTGCGGGATTCTGCAGGGAAACATAGGAGAGGGTGATGAGAGCGAGGGGAAGAGGATGGTGAGCAGATCCCCCAGCAGATGGTGGAGACTTCAAGACTTCGACCATATAGTGAGCCATTGAACAGTAGGCGGTACCCCATCATGTCATTCGCATCGACCCAGAACATCTATCCGAACGCTCCGGGCGGATTTCGCCCTATCACCTTGATTAAAGCGCTATTAGAGCGGCAACACGGATGTACTCGAAGCGACAATGAGGATTGACGTTGAACGAGTCGATTCGTATTGAGAATGTATTCCTACTTGAGAACTAGAAGGGATTAGCCCCAGCATCCCACCTGAACATCCAATCTCCGAAAACAATGTCCAACGTACCGTTCCTCTAGCGAGGGCGAAGACACCGTGCTCTCCGACGACATCCCGTAGTCTAGCGCCCAGCGATCCTCCCCACTTCTGCTGCTGGATCATGAGCAGCTCCGCCGGACCCGTTATTATCCCCGACATAGCACCCGCCGCCGTCGCCGCTCCCGTCCGCGTCGTGTCATTTAACTGACCCCTCGCCACTAACCACTCTTCTAAAAAGGTGTTGGCGCCGAACTGGAATCCGTTAATCGGCGCAATGGACGCGGCGTTCACGGCTACCCCGCGATAGAGCAATCTGGGGTGCAGCGGGACGGGTCTCATGTCCTGGACGGCGTTCTTCCACGTGACCAGCGGTTGCTGCAGCAGCACCTCTATGACGCCTGCTAACCCGCCGATGGCGGTCGATATAGCCGGCGAGATCGCCAGATCCTCTTCCAACCCCATCTGTGCAGATGCTTACTGTGAGTAGTGGCTAAAGATGGGGACTATGAACTGGCCCAGCGAACTCTATAACTGTTAGATTTGAAGAACGATGGATCGATGTGCAGACGGCGGAGAGCGAACAAGTGCAGTTCTACGAAAGACGGCCAGAGAAGCTAGATTTATGTGGACTGCTGCAATGGACGGAGTAGTACCTCTGGCAAAGCAAGGAGAAGGGCAAAGCCTGGTTGGTGGTCAACAACGTCCATGCACCTGCTGCCTTGGAATTGCTTTTAGAAGTGGATGGTGGTGGTTCTCTGAGCCCAAGGTGGACGACACAGCTTGGGCGAATGTGATTTTTTGGCGATTTCACAACTCAGCCTCGGAAGGCGTCGCGTGGACTCCAAGGCCCGTGGTTCACCGAACCTTATTGGGGATACTGGTATCTTCGAGATAAAAAACTTATCCTAATGGCCACGTGGGAGGAAAAGGTAGGGAAGATTTCTGCAACTGACCTCGTGGGGTTCAAACCAAGCCACTGGAATTTCCCCGAACAAAATTCCAACTTCTGGAAGCTCTCCCAATCTACTGCCACCACAAACTGTACTGGTTCGTATGGCTGAGAGAGATTTCTCAACTTCGCGCGACTCCGTAAAACTTCCTTCAAGCACCGTTGGCAGAGGACTGTCTTGCCTACGTGCACAGGAGTTTGGGTTATTGCCGTCATTGACCACTAGGGAAGAGGTGTCTCCACGTGGCGGCAGGCGACTGCTAGATATATTCCCGTGAAAGTGGACGTGCCCCACACCCTCATGAGGCATCTCGTGTGCGGCATGAGGTGTCGACATGTCGGTTCGGGCGGTTGCTTAGCTTGACCCTTCCAAATTTCAGGGAGCCTTTTTTATCCATGAGCAGATGTGTTCCACTCTTCAAGATCCTGTGCACCTAGAGAAGAGAAGGGTGCCATTCCAGCTTGGATATACTCTTCAGAAGCACTCCCCTTAAAAACATAATCTATTATAGGTGTTTTCACAAGGTGCCAGTTCTTAAAATATTATTTGCAACACCCACAACACCAGCAGTCGTTAGAATTCGTTGTCTACCGCTTTGCTGAAACACCTTTCAGGTTCACCTGCCCCACCTGCGCTCTGAGATCGGACGAGGTTGCAACCACAACTCTTTCTGACGGTAGGGAGGGATTTTGAACCGTGGATTTCGTCCTCGTGGAAGGATGGACGGGCATCCTGCTCCTGTCAGCTTGGCTGACAGCGGGAGGGCGCCGTCGAAAACAGGGGCTGTCGTTCTCGTTGCGCGGCTGGCTGATGGAGCTCAGGGGAGGGCGCACTTCGGTGACGCGATGGCAGTACACCGCAAGAGAAATTGCCCAAGGCATTGTATGAGGAGGAGGATAAGTACGTCTCTAGAAATAAGATGCTGTCATTAGCTCCATAGCTGTGCGTGAACAGCGATTCACTTTACCCTGTTTCTGTAGTAGTTTTATCGGTCTAAATGGACCGTGCGGGAGTATGGGTGTTTTGCAGTTTAGTACGGATGTCGCCACGTGTCCTCGTCGCTTTGGTCGCACTGTTCGCAGTTGCAAGCGTTTTCTGCGACGCCGAGAGTCCGCGAGCTGAAATTTCCGCCCCTGCGACCGCCGCGAACACTGTCGCAAAGCAGGCCCATGCGACAGTTGGACGCGGGCGAATGCTCGCGAACTTGACGAATGACTGGAGCCGTGCGACGAGCGTCCACCGACGACGACGGCTAAAGCCGAGGAGTGAGGACGTGAACGGGCTGCAAAAGGTGGACCTTGCACAGCAAATGAGATCGAATAAGAATAAAAACAAGAAGCAGAAGAATGGACGCGAGGAAGCGGACGATGTGATTACGTTCACCGGATCAAGCAGCGAGAAGAAGCAGGAGAAGAAGCAGAAGACGAAGGCGCCGAAGCAGAAGCAGGAGAAGAAGCAGAAGACGAAGGCGCCGAAGCAGAAGCAGGAGAAGAAGCAGAAGACGAAGGGGCAACGGATGGAGGGTGAGGAGTCCGGGAACGACAGTCCATTGAAGAAGAAGGAAAAGAATGGAAAGAAGGAAAAGACGGAGAAGAATGTGAAGAATGTGAAGAAGCAGACGAGGCAAGGCTCAACTGAGGAGGGGTCCTCAGCAGCTAAGAAGGTAAAGCGGACGAAAGGCAAGAGCAGTTTTGCCGATCTAAATCGTGATGATGAGCACGAGAACGACGATGACGACGATAGTGACCGTGAAGGCCATGGCGACGACGATGACGGCGACAATGACGGCGACGATGATCACCGTTTCCCCCCCCCCCCCCGCCCCCCCCACCGCCTCCTCCCCCTGCACCTCCCTCCGCTCCCCCGCCTTCCACCCCGCCGCCTGGCCCTGGAGTTGCGAAAAAGTTCAGCTGCCCGCCCACTCCCGAGATGTGCTCTTTCGTTTTCGAGGGGTACGAATCCGATCTCCCTACAATCACACTCCCTGCTCTTAGTAGCACGTCCGCCGCATCCAAGCAGTCGTTTCGTCCCAAGACAGCGTACGAGGAGAACCTGGAGCCTGGTACACTCGTGGCCCTCTTACGCGGGTCATCTCTGGATTTATCTGACACGGTGGCTGACATGTCGCGAATCATGTGCCTGGGGGGGAAGAAGAAGAACGCGACACTCCCGAGGTTCACGTTTAAGCTGACGCCAGACGGCCACCTGCGATACGATGACACGAGAGTGGACAGTGACATGGCTTGGCTGGCAGCAGGCCAAACAGCGGAAGGCGTGGTGGTGAGGTTGCGAATGAGGTCAGTCACTGTAGACGCGTTTGGCATGCCTATGCGTGTCAAGGGAAACAGCCAGAGGGCGAATTTCCATAACAAGAGAAACTGCGTGCTGTTCAGAGTGATGTTCGTGGGGGGTGCTACGATGAGGAAGCATAAATGGCCATGAGGGAGTTTAGGAACAGGGAGATGCAGGAGGTGCAGAGTCTATGCGATAACCTGCTGCTTGTGAGGTATGGAATGGAAGCTACAGGTTGACTGGAAGGTTGTAACTGGTGTGCTTGCTTGTACCATGATCATTGTTCTTTATGGGGTATGGAAATAAGATTGCATGATGCTCTGCTGTAGATGCTTTGCAGCAAGGAGATAGAGCATGAAAGCTGGCTCAGGCTGTGATGCAGGCTGTGGGGACCCAAGGGAAGCAGCTGTATGGCATTTCTTGTACCGGTATAAGAGGCGAGGTCCAACTGCAAACCAGCTCATGTCATGGAAGGATCGAAGTGGTCATTGCCACTTGTTATATAATCTGAAAAACTGGGGCTGGATATGTCATGCCAATTTTCCGCCATATGATAATAGCGGAGCATTCCCAGAAGTGAGGGGCACATGGGTACGGCCACGTCAATAAACAGCCTTTTGATATGTCACGTAACACGTGCGTCGTTGAGATTGAGAAATGTCGCCGACTACGAGTGGTTGATATTTAGATTAGCCAATCCTTGGCGTCACGATATCCACGTTCTGAATATGCGCTACGAACCAAAAACTGATAAAGCCGCGCGCCACAAAGCAGGCTAGGTACCAGACCGTACCAGGTCTTCCACCTGGAGGTCCGAGCCGAGTCTGCTCTTGACACCAATTTGGCGGGAACTGGTATGGGAACGTGGGCGACCACGAAAGCATGAATTCGGCCTCCCCCGCGGGATTGTCCACCCACGAGCCTTCTGACCACAAAGCTAGGGGCGAAACATGCCTTCTCTAAGTCGAAAGAAGCTGACGGACTTGTCAGGCAACCGAGCCAGAGACCAGCTTCGTTCTCAGCTTCGTCCTCTTTCCCCCCGAACCAGCGCCCCCAAGCTGCCTCCCACTTCCCCCGCGCGCTTCCAACCAACCAGCCCACTCCCCTCGCGGCTTCCATTGGTGCTGGTTGTGTAGACTCGTAGCTCCTCCAACCACACTCAGATGCCAAAGCAGCAACAGCCAAACGGATCGACCAATCCACCCCACTTCTTTGCTCTCCTCTTTTCAATCACTCCCCATTTTCCCCTTCTCCCTCCGGCCTTGCTCCTCCTCCTCGGTGCTGGAGAGTACGCACAAGCAGCAGTAGCGGCTTATTCGAGCCCGCCGCTAATCGTTGCCTAGCACTATCGTGCCTAGCAGTTATCCCGGTCTAGCACTGATCGAGGCCTCGCACTACATAGGTGTGTGAGAATTCTGTGCATATTCCCTAAACACCCCGCAAGTGCGTATTGCCGTGCGCATTGTCAGTCATGGCCGCCGACATTGCTGCTACGCAAACCTTTCTTCGCGGAACCACAATCTGCCAATTCTCCGCCGCTTCCCCGCGCACAACCTTCTTACGCCAGCCATGCGGTCAACGCGCAGACTCTCGGTTATTCTCCCCCACCCTCCCGCTGCGAGCACAGCCCTCCCGAACCCTGAGACCCTCAGCCGCTGGATCGCGCCTTTCTCCCAGCGGGCCCGCGTTCGGGCCGGCGCGGCAAAAGTCGTTCCTTTCTGTGCGGGTGCCTGGAGGGGAGAACGGAGCAGCGGTGACACAAAGACGCGGAGGTACTAGTAAGCGCAATCTCCGAAGCCCCGCTCCCGCCGCCGCCGGAAGCGCAATGTCGCCGGAGCTTACGCCAGACGGCGCGGTAGCTGCCCTCGGTACGGCGGCGTCGCAGGAGAACGCGGAGGAGTGCGCGGCGGTGCTGGCGCGGCTGGGCCGGTCCGCGGACAGCCTTCCCGCGGACCTGGCGGACGCGATTGCGCGCGGGCGCGTCCCCGGGGCGGTGGTGGAGCGATATGCGGAGATGGAGAACACAGTGGTGCTGGGGTATTTGATGCGGTTCGGCGGGTTCAAGGAGCGGTTGCTGGCAGACGATCTGTTCATGACCAAGGTGGCGATCGAGTGCGGCATTGGGATCTGCACCAAGGTACGACGGCCCGAGAGGAAATTAACTTCAAAATATCTCATAACTTTGTAACGTCATCGGCGTCATTGGATTGCATCGGACGAATTGAGGGGTGGGGTTACTTGCGGCACTTCTGATCGACGAGTGTCGGTCGACGGTGGGTCTAGATCGAAATGGCTTCACTTACAGCCTCATACTCGTTCGGCGGCGCACCAAAGCAATCTGCAACCTTGTACGTGCAATCTCATACTCGTTCGTACTCGCTTTCGTGCCAGAGGCGCTGCATGCAGCATGAAGCGCGGAGCGCTGAATAGAGTTCCAGTCACAACGCCGTGAGACTGGAACTCTATTCAGCGTTGTGGAACTCTCCCGCAAACAGTCTCGTCGGCAGTAGACTGGGTAACTGGGACGTTCAGACTGCCTCCACCTAAGGTTGCCCGTTGCTGCATTGCCCGCTGCCGCTTTGGTTAGATACTTGCCTCCTTGGTGCCCCGCTCCCCCTCTTACCCGTGCTGTCTCGCTCCCCCTTCCCCCATACGCGGCAGACCTCGGCGGAGTTGGAGAGGCGGCGAGGGGCCTTCTTCCCCGAGTTCGACTTCGTCATCGCTGACGTGGTAAGCAGCTGCTGACGTGGTAAGCAGCTGCTGACGTGGTAAGCAGCTGCTGACGTGGTGAGCAGCTGCTGACGTGGTAAGCAGCTGCTGACGTGGTAAGCAGCTGCTGACGTGGTAAGCAGCTGCTGACGTGGTGAGCAACTGCTGACGTGGTAAGCAGCTGCTGACGTGGTGAGAGATTCTTACGTGGTAACCATCGACAGATGCCCAGTTGGTGCCATGCCCCTTGCTCACATTTTTCCTCCCCCGCCCACACGTTGATTAGCTTCTCCATGGCCCATGCCCCTCCTTCTCCCTTCACCACAGCCCTCTCTGAAACAACGCTCCTCATCCACCGCACTCAACCAGTCCGCACCCCTCTTCACATTTCGCATATCAGATCACAGCAGACTTCAAGCTCGTGTGGCTGCTCCTCAATTCCTCCCCCTCCCTTCCTCCCCCTCCCCCCACCATCTCTCTGTACCCGTTTCTCTCAGGCGAACTGCCCCTAGACATCCTCACGTTATAGGCCCCGCTGCATCTCTCCTTACCCCATCTCCACCGCACTGCATCCCGCCCCCTGAGCAGATCATGGCGCTGATAGCGGACTTCATGCTCGTGTGGCTGCCCGCGCCCACCATCCCTCTGCACCAAATAATTGAAGCACCCAATAATGGAAGCTAACTACCCCCAGCCATCGTGGCGATCCAAACCCCGCTCCACCACTCATAGCCCCTCTCCACCGCACTGAAAACCACTGTGCCACCAGATCATGGCGCTGATAGCGGACTTCATGCTCGTGTGGCTGCCCGCGCCCACCATCCCTCTGCACCCCGCGCTCGCCAAGGAGGCCACGGCCCTGCAAAAGTTTCTCGACACCTGCCCGGATAACGCGTTCCAGGTAGGAAACCGCCCTGCAAAAGTTTTGAAAGCGTAGCGGGGGGCTTGTGTGGGTGGGTGGACCACTTCCCTATCAGGAGCAGTTGTTGGATCAACCTGCATATCCCAAGGAAGGAACATTTGTCACGTCGTTTCTTGCCCATGTTCCCATTCTGCGTGTGCTCCCATTGATTGCTTTGATCAGTGAACGAGCGTCTCACACGTTACCCTACCTTCATTGTGTGTGGTGCACCGTCCCAGGTGCCTGTGCGTGGCACGGAGTACACTCTCCTGCAGCGATTCATGGCTGTGCTGGTGAGTCCGAGCCTCATTTCCGCTCCCACTACTCCCACTGCTGCTGCTGCTTCCGCTGATGCTCCGGTGATCTTATCCCTCTTGTTGCTGTTCCAATTTCCCTCACGTGGCACGTACCCCTTTTCCTGCCGGATACTTCCCTCCATACATCCAAACCAAACAATGTGGGACCCCCTGTCCAGCCAACTTGCACCACAATAATGTACCCCTTTGCCACCCTCTTTCGCCATCTGAACCCACTAACCCCAAGTAACCTCACCAATCGCAATTGCACTACCTAATCCTACCTAACCCTCCTCTGGACCGCCCCAGAATTCCTTCCTCTCCAGTGGCAATCGCTCTCAACTACCTTCCACCTTTCCACTTACCTCCGGCTCCCTCACCCATTTTCCTTGCTCGATCACAGAGGAACGGAGCGAAGCTCATGGTTGTCGGGACGACTGCATCCCTGGTAAGCTGATGCTTCTCTCTCTCTCTCGCCCTCCCCGTTTCCCCCCAGATATTGCTTTTAGTTGCCTCACTTCCTCACACATGCCTCACTTCACCACACATGCCTTGCTTCACCACACATGCCTTGCTTCACCACAAATGCCTCGCTTCACTTCACATGCCTCACTTTTGAGAAGTCTCAGAAGTGCCTTCACCATGCCATGCTTGCTCTCCAGCATTCACTCAACTAACCTCTTACCTCTGCCACATCCTTCCTATCCTTACCCGACGTCACTACGTCCCAGTTTGGCTGTGGCATGACCAACGCTCTCCAATGGGTGCGCAGGGAGCTTGCTGCTCCCCCGGCTGCTGCTGCAGCCACAATCCCCTCCCTAGACCTCACAGCCGCTGCCTCTTTCCCTCTAGACTCTTCGGCTGAACTGGCTGCTACGTTGAACCCAGCTGCTGCCATTGACGCCGCCACGACTGCTGCCTTGGTATTGGACCCGTCGGTCGCTGCTGATGTGGCAGCTGCTGTGTCGGCGTCGGCTGCTGATGTGGCGGCTGCGCTGGCCACGGCTGCTGAGGTGGCAACTGCAGCTGCGGGGACCATTCCACCGGATCTGGAGGTGCCTATTCTCGCTACGAGCTTGGCTTATGGGTCCTATGCAGCGATTTCTGCAAACCTAAGGTGGGATGTGATGGAGGGAAGGGGTCAACATCCTCAAGGGTGTGCTGTTGATGCAGGTCGTGTGTCCTGGGTGTGTGTACCACAGTACTTGGTTCCTCTGTTCCATCTCAACTCTTCATGTGTTTATTTTTTATTCTTGTTGTATGTATCTCAACTCTTTATGCCTGCAGGTACCAAATATTGGCTGGTGTGATTGAGCAGCAGTGGCTGGAGCCTAGATTCCATGGCAACAAGACTCTCCTTTCAGTTCTCTCATTTATCTTCCGCACGTCCAACACGTTCATTGGCTCGCTCTTGTGAGTAACATCTTCTCTCAATGCTGTCATGTCAGCCTATCTATGCCATGCCTTCCACCACTTTTAAAGTGCAGAACCTGAACTACAAAGCTTGGAGGCAAACTGGGACCAGTATGCCTCCCTCACCACCTTGGTTTCGAGCGTGGTTGTGGTTTGCCTTCTCACAGAAACTCCTGCCGGGGTTCTTCCAAACCTAAAATCTTTGTGTTGACGTAGTTGAGTAGTACAGGCTCTAGGCGTTTAACTTCATCTTGATTTTTCTTGCAGGTGGGTGGACTACGCGAGATGGATCGGGGTTCAGTGATCCTAACGGACAAACCAATTCTTCAATTCGCTTCAGACTATGTATCAGCATCAATTTAATCTTATGTGAATCTTAGATCCTCAATATTGTAGATCTTCAATATTTCAATGTAGAGAACGCTACAGGTTAGTGCATGTCCATTCATTATTTCCTATATTAGTTTATCATCACTTGAACATCAGTGTGTTTCCAATCTCTTGGGAGCCGAATCACGACATAACGCGTACAGGAACCACCAAGTTGTCCGCGTCGCTCACAGTCACGCTCAGATTCATCGTTTGAATACGTTGTCAACCATGGCTGACAGCGAGTCGTTGTCGGGGCAGGGGAAGAAAGTCTGTGTCACTGGAGCGTCTGGTAATGTCGTGTGTGGCCTAGCTAGTTCACGTTCGAAACTATTTGAATCGATCATCATGAATCATGACATTCTCCGTTCGAAATTGCCCCAGGTTTCATCGGAAGCAACCTCGTCAAGCTTCTGCTGGATCGCGGGTATCATGTTCGCGGAACAGTTAGGGACGCGACCAATGAGGACAAGACGTCATGGATTCGCGATCTCGTAAGTTCGTAAATCGAAATAGAACGCTCAAACGATCCAGCACGAGCATGAGTAACTAATGTGACCATCCTCCCTTTTTTTGACAGGCAGAGGGCACTCCAGGCAAACTTGAGCTCTTTTCGGCCGACCTGGGCAAGCCTGGGAGCTTCGACGAAGCCGTTGAAGGATGCGAGTTTGTGTGCCACGTCGCCTCTCTTGTTCGTATGAGTGTGCCAAATCCACAATCTGTTGTGGATGCAGCCCTGGAGGGCACGAGAAATGTATTCTCTTCCATTCTCAAGCACAAAACTGCCAAGTAAGTGAGCTTAGCGATTTTGCGAGCAACTTTCATTGTTCCTTCTTTTCTCTTTTCCGTGTGCGGCATTCCACTCCGCTACCCTCTCACCTCCGCACCCCCATCCCTGCCCCTCGCCTCCTCTCTCCTGCATCTCTCTCTTGCTCCCTCATTCTCTTTCCCCCTCTTCTTTCTCCTTCGTTGTGATCCCCACAATATGCTTTCTCCTCCTTCCTGCAATCAATTATCCCTTTTCCTGCTGATTGCTTTTTGCCGTTGTCACAGAAAGGTGGTGGTCACCTCATCTGTAGCAGCAATTATTGACTACGTAAACAACAAGGACCATGTATTTACTGAAGAAGACTGGAACCGAGACCTTAGTCTTAAAGATCCATACCCGATGGGTAAGACGCTTGCAGAGAAATATGCTTGGAAGACTGCAGAAGATCTAAAAGGACAAGATTGGTCTTTTGAACTGGTCACCATCTGTCCAGCCATGGTTTTTGGTAAAGCCACTCGTAAGGCGCATGTTCGAACAAGCCTTGATGTAAGTTATTCTGTATTTCCATTATGCTTCAGGTTGTTTGTCTTAACATTGTCGTAATTCCCTTTCTTGCCTTCTAATTTGCTAATATATTGGCTGTTCAGGTGATAAGGCAACTGATGAGTGGATGGCTCTTCATGGCCCCGGACTTGTATTTTGGCATGGTGCACGTTGACGATGTTGTGCTTGCTCATGCATTGGCACTGGAGAAGGATACTGCAAAGGGAAGATATATTCTTTGCAATGGCGACACTCTCAGCATGCTAGAAATGGCGGGTACGTAGGTTTATTTACCCCTCTGACCCCCCTACCTGCATGATCCGTCTTTGTTTCTGACCTTTTTTCTCAAATAAAAGGGTTGGGCGTTCTATTCAGGCTAACTAGGTGTGTTGTTGAATGCAGGTGTCATCAAGAAGGACTACCCTAATGCCAAGACTCCGTCGTACAGCATGCCAAATGCATTAGCGTATTTGGTCTCATTGACCATCCCTACAGTGAGCTTTGAGGTCCTGAGGCGAAATTTGAGCAAAATCCCCAAATTTGATAAAAGCAAGTCGGAGAAGGAGCTGGGACTGCAGTACCGTTCGTCTGAAGACTGCATTCGAGATACAGCTGCCAGCATCTTGAGCTTGGAAGAAAAATGAGCTTTGGATGCTTGTGCTGACACTGCAGATTGCAAGCGATCCTGCTTGTGCAACTAGCTTGGATATTCTGTGTGGCAATTTGAGCACTGATACCGTAGCGCCTGGAGCTTCGAACGTGAGTAGCAAACAGAGGTCGTTGCCCAGTTTCTAGGCCATAATACATGTAGAAAATGAATCCATTGTGTGAATCCGGAACATAAACATGAGTGACGAGCACAAGAACTTCTGCACTTCGCCACAACTACAGCAAAGGCCTCGAGTGAGTTAATGCCATAGTCATAGGCCGCTACAGCTGCAGCTTGGAAGAAAAATGAGCTTTGGATGCTTGTGCTGACACTGCAGATTGCAAGCGATCCTGCTTGTGCAACTAGCTTGGATATTCTGTGTGGCAATTTGAGCACTGATACCGTAGCGCCTGGAGCTTCGAACGTGAGTAGCAAACAGAGGTCGTTGCCCAGTTTCTAGGCCATAATACATGTAGAAAATGAATCCATTGTGTGAATCCGGAACATAAACATGAGTGACGAGCACAAGAACTTCTGCACTTCGCCACAACTACAGCAAAGGCCTCGAGTGAGTTAATGCCATAGTCATAGGCCGCTACAGCTGCAGCTTGGAAGAAAAATGAGCTTTGGATGCTTGTGCTGACACTGCAGATTGCAAGCGATCCTGCTTGTGCAACTAGCTTGGATATTCTGTGTGGCAATTTGAGCACTGATACCGTAGCGCCTGGAGCTTCGAACGTGAGTAGCAAACAGAGGTCGTTGCCCAGTTTCTAGGCCATAATACATGTAGAAAATGAATCCATTGTGTGAATCCGGAACATAAACATGAGTGACGAGCACAAGAACTTCTGCACTTCGCCACAACTACAGCAAAGGCCTCGAGTGAGTTAATGCCATAGTCATAGGCCGCTACAGCTGCAACTGTCGGCTCATTCTTGCTCTGTGCGGTGCGAAATGCGAGTGTGGGTATCACAATAGGCGGATTAAAGGCACCACATGAGGAGAAAGACAATGATACGACAGTACCAAAGCAGTACAAAGAGTCGCAGTCACACGAGCAACCTGAGGGTATGATTGTAAGAGAGTGGGAGAAGCAGATGAGTGGATATACGGTACAAGGATTTATAGGTGGTACTGGTACGATACCAATCTTTCAGATTCAACGAATGCTGACTGCAGGTAAGAAACCCGATGTTGGCAGGAAAAAAAAAGCACTTTCGCATACAAAAAATCAAGTGCAGTTATCGGCTTGCATCGACAACAGATGGTTAAGGGCGCGCCCAATACTGCCCGTCCAAACCATGGCTGGAATTTGTGGCCATCATACCAATTCGCTCCAAGCAGCTCCGCAGCATGCATATGACAGTTGCTGCAAGGAGAAGGCACAATACGGGAGAACAGCACATTCCTGGCCATGGTCCGCATGGACATGGGCACAGAGGTCACTGGCCATGGGGACATGGGCACAGAGGTCACTGGCCATGGGGACATGGGCACAGAGGTCACTGGCCATGGGGACATGGGCACAGAGGTCACTGGCCATGGGGACATGGGCACAGAGGTCACTGGCCATGGGGACATGGGCACAGAGGTCACTGGCCATGGGGACATGGGCACAGAGGTCACTGGCCATGGGGACATGGGCACAGAGGTCACTGGCCATGGGGACATGGGCACAGAGGTCACTGGACATGGGGACATGGGCACAGAGGTCACGGTCAACTGGGAAACCTGCATGTGGGCAGAGCGGGATGTGCAGAGTATAAGCAAGGGTGTTGTGTGCAGTAGAACTTGTCGAAACATGGCTGTTGCCAGGAGTGGCAATCTGAGAGGAAGGGTGGCCATCCCAGAGGAAGACGAGGAATATTAAGGCTTAAAAGAGGCAACTCAAGAGCGAGTAGAGGCAATGTGGGGAGAAACAAAGGCAATCTGAGAGGATGAAGATGCAATCTGAGAGGACGAAGATGCAACCTGAGGGGAGGAAGAGGCAACCTGAGGGGAGGAAGAGGCAACCTGAGGGGAGGAAGAGGCAACCTGAGGGGAGGAAGAGGCAATCTGAGAGGACGAAGAGGCAAGAATAGGACTGAAGTCGCTATAGCAGGGAGCACTGGATAGGTTTCTCTTATGTTGTTTCACACTCGCCTCCACTGACTTGCCTCCTTTGACTCACTGCCACTGACTAAATAGAGGACGTGAGTAGAGGATCAACTGCAGCACACGATGTTGCAGAATTGAGAGGGGTTGGGGGAGGGGAAAGGGGAGAGGTGGAAACTAGAGATCCACGAAGAGGAAACTTAGTACAGAAGTTATCAGGGAGGCGTGATACTAACAGAGAACATCATTCAACAGAACTTATGCAAGGGGGGCCTAGACAGGGGGGACTTGGACATGGGTCACTTAGGCAGGGGAAACTTAGGCACCACTACAAAAAATGGCAATGCAATGGGCTGTGCCCCTCAGGGAGGGTGGCCCAAACCAGCCATGGTGACTGGGAGTCCAGAGAAGATATGAGGAAGAGGGTAGACAAGAGCCACACGGGTGAGCGATGGTGACCAGTGGTGATTGGTGGTGAGCGATGGTCAGCGATGACTTACCGTACAAAGAGCACCATGGAAGGGGATGGGGTGCTCCTAGCTGTGCCCACCTAAAAGGGTCGTGCTATTGACTCTGATCAAGGGAAGCTGGAGAGTGATGAGAAGCTGGGGGGATACAGGCTTTAGACGGTTTTGCAGTGCCAAGTGCAGATTCGAATTTCAGGCCACACAATCCAGATATTGAATGCAAATGTCATGCATAACAGCCGTTCCTAAAAGAAATGCTCGCCAGCATCAGGCTAGGTTAGCAGCCTGGGCGCATCAAATGCAAGGCCCAGTAGCGTGGATTCAGATGCCTTTAGCCTTTTTACACTCCCCTCCAATCGATCCCTACGCTGCTCATCCACAGCCTTGAGAGCTGCAATCTTGGATACGTCCCCACCATGAATCCCCTCCCATACAGCGCCATCAGTGCCATCCAGGAGAGCATTCTCAAGGTACATTCGTATCTCCATGGGGATTACGTCACAGAGCCTCTTGTGCATCACCTTGGCATACGAGAACATGTTGACCTGCAAATCCCTCGCAGCCTGGTCATCATTGCTTATAAGATTGGCGAGTGAAGCAGTGCTGGAAGCGAAATCGCCAACAGAGGGAGTGACTGCGCTTTCTTGAAATCAGCGATCTTCACATGGATTTTGGAAACCGTGTCCATGTAATAATGGTTGATTGTGAAAATAATCCGCTTCTCCTTTGTCAGCATGTCCTGAACAAAGCGACTTGCTGATTCCTTAGCCGCCCTCAGAGCGTTGAGACCTTGGAGATGAATCACATTGTTCAGCCCAGGATACATCCTGGGTAAGGAGAAGCTGTGGGATACAGGAAACAACTTGAATGTTTTGCAGCGTCATGTGCAGATCCTTATTTCAGGCCACGCTGTCGAAATTTCGAATGCATAACAGCCGTTTCTAACATAAACATTACCATGCTAGGTTAGCAGCCTTGGCGCATCAAAAGCAAGGCTGAGTAGCGTGGATTCAGATGTCTTCAGCCTCTTCACACTCCCCTCCAATCGATCCCTACGCTGCTCATCCACCGCCTTGAGAGCTGCAATCTTGCAAACGTCGCCACCATGAATCTCCCCCCACACAGCACCATCGGTCCCATCAAGGAGAGCATTTTCAAGGCACATCCGTATCTCCATGGGGATCACATCACACAGCCTCTTATGCATCACCTTGGCATAAGAAAACATATTGATCTGGAGTTCCCTCGCAGCCTGGTCGTCGTTGCTTACCAGGTTAGCGAGTGAAGCAGTGCTGGACGCGAAGTCCTTGACAGACGGAATTGTAGGGGAATCATCATCCTCACCATTGTTGAAATCGGCGATCTTCACATGTATTTTGGAAACAGTGTCCATGTAATAATGGTTGACTGTGAAAATTATCCGCTTCTCCTTCGTCAGCATTCCCTGAATAAAACGGCTTGCTGACTCCTTAGCCTCCCTCAGGGCATTCAGGCCTTGAAGGTGAACCACATTGTTCAGCCCAGGATACATCCCACAGACGTGAGAGGCAACAGCCTGCTGCACCTCGGTTGCGTAAGCAAAGCAGTCATTCACTAGCAGCAGGCACGGCCCTTCAACGCTGTCCACCACCTCCTGAACAAGCTGCTTCACCATAGCCTGATCCAGCATGTTCGGGAGTGAAACTCCAGCCACCTCTTTCAGGGCGTCCTTGCACCTTTTAGTGTAGTTTTCTCCAAGGAAATCCGGGAGAACTTTCCACATCTTAGCCTCAAACGCGTTGAACTTCTCGTGCAGTCTGGCAGCGTAGTGCATATCATCATCGCCCTGAAATGGGCCATACTTCCCGCTGATAAAACCGCTCATCATGTCCCGTCTCTTCTGGACAGTTGACGAAATTAACCCCAACGCTGCAGCGCTAGAGGTGGCGGCAAAGGGGATGGTCTGCAATTCAGACTCCTTCGCAGCAAGAGCCTTCTGGATGGCTTGTCTGATCCTTGGGATGCTGTCTGCCACCCTCTTAGCTTGAATCTCTGTAAGTCGTTGAGCCAGGGCTGGAATTCCACGGCAATGATGCTCAATCTGGGACAACTCTGGATGATTGTTGAAAAAATCCTTTTCTGCTTTTCTTGCATCCTCATGAGATGCATCAGCGTCAGTCTTGTTCCGGACACACACGTAGCCAAGTCCGATCCGCACAGCATCTCCTTGAATCTACTCATAGAGGCCATCAGGAGCCCGATCAACCTTGGTGACGACAGCCAGGGTGCGATCGCCATCCTCATCAACCTCTTGCGACATCACAATGGACTCGCATGTAGTGAAATCCACCTCCGCTGCAAGAACGTTGAGAATGACGCTCTCTTTCGGAGTAATGTAATGCATGATCATTGCCTTGACCTGATCGTATATGTCCCTCGGCTGGTCTTCAATAGGAACACGTGTAATTCCAGGCAGATCCACGAGCGTCAGGTCAGGCACGTCAGGCCGTCGCACTTCCAAAGTAATCGGGCAATTCATGACACCCTTTCTGCTCCCAGCTAATGCCACCGTCGCCTCGGAAATCTCCTCCTCGATCATATCTTGGCCAGGTATAATTTTGGATACCTTACCGAAACGAGGGGTGTATTCAATCGTAATTTCATCCTGACCTTCGGCGCATGACTGTAACCTCAGGATCAGCGGCACTCGGGTGACGATCCCCTTGCCTCTCGGCAGGCTGATTCCGGACAGGTTCTCCAAGACGGAGGACTTGCCGCTGGACTGGTCACCGACCACAACAATCGTCGGGAGCTCGATACCCTCTTCCTTGAGGCCTAGAAGCCGGAGCTTGTCGATCGCATCCAGCATCGGACGGACATTCTCGTTGAAAGAGGAGATGAGAGGAGCCATGGTGAGGTAAGGCAACAGGACTGGAAATACTAGTCGGAAAACCGCGAGAAAGCGTAGTAGTGTGCTTGTCAAAAGCACTACTTCCCGGAGTCAGCCCTTCTTAGGGTGTTCGGCAGAACAGACGGGGGTTGGATGGAAGTGCACTCAGCTGTTGCTCTCAGCCTGTTCGAGAATCTCGGGATGCCCGGGGGAAAGAATAACCATCCCCCTTGAACCGGCAGGCATCCCGTTCGGGAAGGGTATTCTCTAGACACGGGGAAGACATCCGTATGTTTCATCATGCGCGCCGCGAAATGGTTGCCGAACCGAGCGGGGTGTTGTATTTTTGCGCGAATCGGTACCCGCACCGAACCCATCACAGTTCCAGAATGGACGGCCAAACCGCCCCTCGTTCACGCGGCAGGCGGTAACGCTACTGAAGCCAACGCGCGAAATAGAGCAGCCTACAAGGCGTTCGCGATAACGGGTCTCACACAACCATTCGCGATAACGATCGCGAAGGAACTATCGAGGGTCTCCCCCCTAGGTACTGTCGACGATGTAACCATGATACGATGACCTAAAAAGGACGGCGAACCCGCCCACCTATCACGCATGGCTGCGCCGCTCATGCTGCAGTCAAGCTCACTAATAGGGAAAGCCTGCTTCTCGTACTTTCGGAAGCCGCAGACGACAACCGACACCGCACGTGAAAGGCGGGACCTGTCCCCCCTCCTCCTCCTCCCACCCGCAAAATGCTCCGCCAGCCACCAACACACCTCGCCCCACTCCCTTCACGCCCTCCTCACGCCCAAACCTCTAAAAGATATACACTGTACCGGTACATGCCATAGAAAGCCTAGAGTATACAATTTGGTTCTGGCAGGAAGACTACTCTAGGAGTTGCCCATACCTCATGTTGTGCGCGAACTTCTATGTGAGAATGGAAGTGTATGGATGTGAAGTTCATGGGCACTTTGAGAATGGCATTCCCAATGGATTGTTTACAAAATACAGCCTCAGTCAGTGCCCACCCAACTGACCAACCCACCACTACCAGTACCGGACCGGGTACGCTGCCGGCCCATCAGTTGAAACCAGTTTTAGCCACGGGAATTCGGATGACAAGGCACAAAGCACAACACGCTTTTGCGAGTAAAAGGGGAGCCAGATCGTAGCTCGGTGGGCCTATAGTACAATACAAGTGGAGGATACGGCTTATTGGAACTTGTGTGTGATCAAGGGCAGAAGGATTAGTGCCACTTGAGAAACCAGAGGAAGTGACTTGCCCATTGGACGTGAGCGAATGGAGGAGAGAATGGATGAGAGAACGGATGAGTGTCTCTTGGGGGTGATATATATCGTAGCAGGGATGGGCTCAGGGAACGAGTCAGTGTCCCTTGGGGGTGATATAAAGCAGGGAAGAGCTCTCCACATCCCCCGATGCATCACTCCTCCCCGACCGATTCGGCGATGGCGGGCCTTGTCCCGACCCCCTCTGCACCCCCTCCCCCCTCCCCCCACCCTTCTCCCCACCCCCTCGTCTCCGAAACGACGCCGAAATCACATCAATAAACGACGACCCCGCACTCCGTTTTCCCCCTCCTCCTCCCCCGCCCCCCCCTCCCCCAGCAGCATCATCAAAAGCACCGTCATTTGCCAAGGCGGTATACCGGTCCCCGTTGCTGCTGCTGCTGATCCCACTGGCGGTGGAGCCGGGCGAGAGGAGGCGAGTGGAGGGGCCGTGGAGGGAGGAGAGGAGGTCCTCGTCTACGGTGTCCTCTAGGGCACTCAGCACGTCGAGCATGGAGGGGCGCTGCGAGGGCGCCTGGTGCACACAGTCCCGCGCTATTGAGGCCAGCGAGACCAGCTCGTCCTGGTTGAAGTAGCCTGGGGGGAGAGAGGATGGGGGGATGGAGGCATGGGAGCATAAGGACGTGTGAGAATGGAGGTATGGGAGCATGAGGGTCGTGGAGGGAGGAGAGGAGGTCCTCGTCTACGGTGTCCTCGAGGGCGCTCAGCACGTCGAGCATGGAGGGGCGCTGCGAGGGCGCCTGGTGCACACAGTCCCGCGCTATGGAGGCCAGCGAGACCAACTCGTCCTGGTTGAAGTAGCCTGGGGGGTAGAGAGGATGGGGGGATGGGAGGATGGGGGCATGGAGGTATGGGAGCATGGGAGCATGGAGGGGCGCTGCGAGGGCGCCTGGTGCACACAGTCCCGCGCTATGGAGGCCAGCGAGACCAGCTCGTCCTGGTTGAAGTAGCCTGGGGGGAGAGAGGATGGGGGGATGGGGGGATGGGGGCATGGAGGTATGGGAGCATGGGAGCATGGAGGGGCGCTGCGAGGGCGCCTGGTGAACACAGTCCCGCGCTATGGAGGCCAGCGAGACCAGCTCGTCCTGGTTGAAGTAGCCTGGGGGGAGAGAGGATGGGGGGATGGGGGCATGGAGGTATGGGAGCATGGGAGCATGGAGGGGCGCTGCGAGGGCGCCTGGTGCACACAGTCCCGCGCTATGGAGGCCAGCGAGACCAGCTCGTCCTGGTTGAAGTAGCCTGGGGGGAGAGAGGATGGGGGGATGGGAGGATGGGGGCATGGAGGTATGGGAGCATGGGAGCATGGAGGGGCGCTGCGAGGGCGCCTGGTGCACACAGTCCCGCGCTATGGAGGCCAGCGAGACCAGCTCGTCCTGGTTGAAGTAGCCTGGGGGGAGAGAGGATGGGGGGATGGGGGGATGGGGGCATGGAGGTATGGGAGCATGGGAGCATGGAGGGGCGCTGCGAGGGCGCCTGGTGCACACAGTCCCGCGCTATGGAGGCCAGCGAGACCAGCTCGTCCTGGTTGAAGTAGCCTGGGGGGAGAGAGGATGGGGGGATGGGAGGATGGGGGCATGGAGGTATGGGAGCATGGGAGCATGGAGGGGCGCTGCGAGGGCGCCTGGTGCACACAGTCCCGCGCTATGGAGGCCAGCGAGACCAGCTCGTCCTGGTTGAAGTAGCCTGGGGGGAGAGAGGATGGGGGGATGGGAGGATGGGGGCATGGAGGTATGGGAGCATGGGAGCATGGAGGGGCGCTGCGAGGGCGCCTGGTGCACACAGTCCCGCGCTATGGAGGCCAGCGAGACCAGCTCGTCCTGGTTGAAGTAGCCTGGGGGGAGAGAGGATGGGGGGATGGGAGGATGGGGGCATGGAGGTATGGGAGCATGGGAGCATGGAGGGGCGCTGCGAGGGCGCCTGGTGCACACAGTCCCGCGCTATGGAGGCCAGCGAGACCAGCTCGTCCTGGTTGAAGTAGCCTGGGGGGAGAGAGGATGGGGGGATGGGAGGATGGGGGCATGGAGGTATGGGAGCATGGGAGCATGGAGGGGCGCTGCGAGGGCGCCTGGTGCACACAGTCCCGCGCTATGGAGGCCAGCGAGACCAGCTCGTCCTGGTTGAAGTAGCCTGGGGGGAGAGAGGATGGGGGGATGGGAGGATGGGGGCATGGAGGTATGGGAGCATGGGAGCATGGAGGGGCGCTGCGAGGGCGCCTGGTGCACACAGTCCCGCGCTATGGAGGCCAGCGAGACCAGCTCGTCCTGGTTGAAGTAGCCTGGGGGGAGAGAGGATGGGGGGATGGGAGGATGGGGGCATGGAGGTATGGGAGCATGGGAGCATGGAGGGGCGCTGCGAGGGCGCCTGGTGCACACAGTCCCGCGCTATGGAGGCCAGCGAGACCAGCTCGTCCTGGTTGAAGTAGCCTGGGGGGAGAGAGGATGGGGGGATGGGAGGATGGGGGCATGGAGGTATGGGAGCATGGGAGCATGGAGGGGCGCTGCGAGGGCGCCTGGTGCACACAGTCCCGCGCTATGGAGGCCAGCGAGACCAGCTCGTCCTGGTTGAAGTAGCCTGGGGGGAGAGAGGATGGGGGGATGGGAGGATGGGGGCATGGGGCATGGGAGCATGGGAGCATGAGAGCATGAGAGCATAGGAGCATCGGAGCATAGGAGCATGGGAGCACAAAGGCATGAGAGCATGGGAGCATGGGAGCATGGGAGCATGGGAGCATAGGAGCATGGGAGCATGGGAGCATGAGAGCATGGGGGCATAGGAGCACGGGAGCATGAGCACCTGGAAGGTTTCGAGCATAGGAGCATGAGGGCATGGGGGCATGGGAGCATGAAAACATAGGAGCATGAGAGCGCAAGGCATGAGAGTATGGGAGCATGGGAGCATAGGAGCATGAGAGCACACCTGCAAGAGCGCTGTCAGCCATGAGGGGCATCATCTGATCGTCCTCTAGGAAGGGCGCCGCCTGATGGCACGAGAGCGAGAAAGAGACAGAGAGTGAGCACCGCATTAATACAAAGGACCGTTTGAGAGTGACAAGAGGGGTGGAGAGGGGAGGATGGGGGGAGAGAGCAGCACCACACGTTCCACATGCCACGTTAAACACACAACGGTGCATGCACCACAGTCGACCGCACTGAACAATGCAGTACTGCCTTCCGAAGTTGGCCATATACACATCATGCACGACCGTGTGCCTCGTATTATCACCTCCACCAGCACCACTCCAAACCCATCCACATCCCACATACCCCAGCAGCACACCACCCAGCGCTCCCACCCCACCACACTCCACCACACTGAACCACGCTCCACCATCTTTCACCGCAGCGTACCAGGTTGGTGATATGCACGTCCTGCATGGCCTTCTGCCCCGTGATCAGCTCCAGCAGAACCACTCCGAACCCATACACATCCCACATACCCCAGTGGCCCAACCCCCCCACCCCACCAGGCTCCACCGCACTGAACCACTCTCTATTGCACCAAATCACACTCCACCAACATACCAGGTTGGTGATATGCACGTCCTGCATGGCCTTCTGCCCCGTGATCAGCTCCAGCAGAACCACTCCGAACCCATACACATCCGCCTTTCTCTCGTCCATACTCGAAATCGTGTTCTCCCGCGATAGAATCGGTGTGCTCTCCCTCTCCCTCGCGAAGTGCGGCGTGCTTTCCCGCGACAGCACTGCCTCCCCATCCGTGTCACTCCCACTCTCCCCTCCTCCACCCCCCCGCCTCCCACTCCCAAACGACCGCCCCCCCACGCCGCCCAGCAAGTCGCCACTGCTGCCACCGTTGCTGCCGGCGCTGCTGCCGCCTTGGAGGCTGTCTAGCTGCCCCGTGCTACCGATGCTCGTGCCGCGGCTGCGGGAGCTGCGGTGCGCCCGGCGCCGCCGTGCCAGGTCGTCTGCTGCTTGTGCCGCACAACCCCTCGCCAGCCCGTAGTCCGACAGCTGGTGATGCACGGGTGGGAGAGAGGGGTAAAGGGAGGTGGGAAGGGGTTGAGCGGCTGCGTGAGCTACGGTGCGCCCGGCAACGCCTTGCCAGGTCGTCTGCTGCCTGTGCCGCACAACCCCTCGCCAGCCCGTAGTCCGACAGCTGGCGTGTGAGGGGATAGGGGGGAGGGGTTGGGTGGGGGGGAAGGCAGGGGGACAGGGCAGAAACAAGGAGAGGAGGACTAGTCATGGCTTATGCACGTATAAGGAGCAAAGCACACGGTGGTGGGAGCACACGGTTGTGGGGAGTAGAGCAGCCAGAGTGGCAGAGAAATCACACCTTGGCAGTCATGTCGGCGCCCAGCAGCACATTGGAGGAGGTGACAGCGCGGTGGGTGAGAGGCGGGTCCACGCCGTGATGCAGATAGGCCAGGGCTGATGCCACGTTCACCGCCACTCGCACGCGTGCATCCCACGGCATGGGGTCCAGGTTCGAGCCTGAGAGACACACACACGGTTGTTGTGGATAGGGGGGAGGGGGGGAGGAGGTGACAGCGCGGTGGGTGAGAGGGGGGTCCACGCCATGGTGCAGATAGGCCAGGGCAGACGCCACGTTCACCGCCACTCGCACCCTCGCATCCCACGGCATCGGATCCAGGTTCGACCCTGTGGCATGGGTATTTGGGAAATGGTGGAGTTGAGAGAGGGGGGATGACGATATGCATGTGCCTGACGACGAGCATGTGAGTGACCCTAGTTAATTGTGCGTGCTGTGCTCATGATGTTTCAGGGTGTTTATGAGAATCCTCAAAATCGCCCTACATCGTGCGTGCTCATGTTGTTTCGGAGAATTCGAGGAATTTCTCAAAAGTCTCCTGCATAGTCAATGACTCACGGCGCAGGCGGTCAAAGAGCGTGCCATGGCATAGGGCATGTACTCGAGATAGGAAATGAACATAGGCTGCCTGCAGATTGCTTTCACTTCACACAATGATGGGTGTTTGCTTGATCAACTCACGGTGCAGTGCGGTGCAGGCAGTCGAAGAGCGTGCTATACGGCATGTGCTCGAGATAGGGAATGAACATAGGCTGCACGTTTCTTTGACACAAAGATGCGCATGTGCTTCACAGACGCACGGTGCAGGCGGTCGAAGAGCGTGCCATAAGGCATGTACTCGAATCGAAGACGAGCATGCGCTCCGTCGGGCATGTAGTCAAACACGAGCATGCGCTCCCTCTTGCCCATGCAGTACCCCAGCAGCGAATTGTGAGGCACCACAACAACAGAATAGGCGGACTTGGAAAGAATGGGTGGACTCACGGTGGAGGCGGTCAAAGAGGGTGCCATAGGGCATGTACTCAAACACGAGCATGCGCTCTGTCTTGCCCATGCAGTACCCCAGCAGCGTGCATGTGTGGTTGGGGGGCAGGATGACTTGGAAAGGGTGGGAGTGGGGCTTACGGTGGAGGCGGTCAAAGAGCGTGCCATAGGGCATGTACTCAAACACGAGCATGCGCTCTGTCTTGCCCATGCAGTACCCCAGCAGCGTGCATGTGTGGTTGGGGGGCGGGATGACTTGGAAAGGGTGGGAGTGGGGCTTACGGTGGAGGCGGTCAAAGAGCGTGCCATAGGGCATGTACTCAAACACGAGCATGCGCTCTGTCTTGCCCATGCAGTACCCCAGCAGCGCCACCAGACACCGGTGCCTCGCCCTCGCCAACTCGTCCACCTTCTCCTTAAACTGCTCCTCACTCATCTCTGCAGTGGCAGGCAATGGGGGGTGGGGTTGGGAAGGGGTGGAGGAACGGTGAGTGTGAGTGGCATTGCACGGTGCCCTCGCCAGCTCGTCCACCTTCTCCTTGAACTGCTCCTCGCTCATCTCTGCAGTGGCAGGCAATGTGGGGGGGAGGAGGAAGGGTGGTGGGGAAGGGATGGTGAGACGGTGAGTGTGAGTGGCATTGCAAGGTGCCTTGCCCTCGCCAACTCATCCACCTTCTCCTTGAACTGCTCCTCGCTCATCTCTGCAGTAAAACCCAAGCGAAGGGGTGCGGCCAGGGGGGAAAGGTTTGGTGGAACAGTGATTGTGAGCGGCAGTGTAAGGTTTCAACTCGTCCACCTTCTCCTTGAACTGCTCGTCGCTCATCTCTGCGGTACAAGGCAATGGGGGGTGGGGTTGGGAAGGGGTGGAGGAACGGTGAGTGTGAGTGGCATTGCAAGGTGCCTCCCCTTGCCAACTCATCCACCTTCTCCTTGAACTGCTCCTCACTCATCTCTGCAGTGGCAGGCAATGGGGGGAAGAGGAGAGAAAGGGGGAAAATGGGGAAGAAAGGGGTGGGATGGTGAATGTGAGAGGCACCAGAACAACGTTCTCCGCTGTCTCGAACTGCATCTCTGCGGTAAAGGCACAATGGGGGGTGAGGGAAGGGATGGGGAAGGGATGGTGGGACGGTGATTGTGAGTACAAGTACTAGGAATGACCTAAGGTGTTGTACTCCTTAGAGTATGCTCCACTACAGCCTAGAGATAACAAATGCAATTTGACACACCCCCATAGACAAAGTGGGGGATAGCAAACACAACGGACGGTCACAAGACCAGTCAAGCAAGAGAACAAAGCAAGGCAAAGTTCAGGGTGGATCTCAAGATCACCACGCAGTCTGAGCACAAGCAAGCGGACACAAGACCAGTTCACATGCAGAACCCACCTTCAATGTCCCCAAATTCAGGCACCCATTGAGTCCGGCATCCATTTCTGAGGCGCCTTATGAAACGGTGTAGTCAGGCCGAAGGGCTTGCCACAGCAACTCACTCTCAGGGTCGTGCGGGCGCTTGATGATAATGTGTGGGTTGGCATGGTCGGGCAGGAACTCCTGCGCCAGGTACACGGTGCCAGGTGCCCCATGCACAGCATGCTCTGGGTCAACCCAAGAGTGTTCTGAGTCAACTCAAGGCAAAACTACTCACTCTCAGGGTCATGAGCGCGTTTGATGATAACATGTGGGTTGGCGTGGTCTGGCAGGAAGTCCTGCGCCAGGTACACTCAAGCCAGGTAGGTAGACTGTGCCAAACCAAGGGTTACCCAGCCACTCACTCTCGGGGTCGTGTGCCCTCTTGATGATAACATGCGGGTTGGCATGGTCTGCCAGGAAGTCCTGGGCCAGGAACACGGTGCCAAAGCTGCCCTTGCCGTACAGCGTGGTGAGGTTCTTGGTGGCGCGCTTTATCTTGGAGAGGCCATACTCCGTCACTGGCACTGGGGGTTGGGGGGAGGAGAGGGGAAGAGAGGGGAGCGGCAGAGGGCAAGGGGGAAACGAGGAGATGAGAGTGGAGGCCTTGGTCGCACGATCTACCAAGGGGGAGGGGCACTGGAGGGGGAGGAGAGAGAAATGGGAGGGGAGGGAGGGGGAAATATGGTGTCGTGAGGGGAGGGGCAGAGGGCAAGGGGAATATGAGAAGATGGGATGCACGAGCGGAACGGATGCAAGGAAAGCGATGTATGGATTCAAAATCACTTTATAATACTTCTTACGCATGTAAGTACGACTTGTTTGTTCTTACGCATGGAGGGGAGTGACTGTTACTGCAATGTCTTGCACTCTTTAACGCGCGGGGGAGAGAGGATGAGAGGCGGGCGATGGCGAGGAAGGAGGATGAAAAGCTTTTGAGAATTCTCACCAATCGCTCACAGGTACTGCAGACTTTTGAGTCGACTCAAAAGCCAAATCGCTCACAGGTACTGCAATGACTTACACTCTTCAACGCGCGGAGGAGGCAGGCTGAGAGGCGGAGCAACATCAAGGGAGGAGGAGGAGGGGGGTCTGCGCTGGGAGATGTATCCGAAGCATGCAGCGGCAATGGTAACGGCTGACGCGAGGGCGAGAGCGAGCAGGAGGAAGTTCAGCCACCCCCACCCAGATGCTGCTGTCGCTGGTGCGTATGTGCTTGTGCTGTCAGTGCTGCTGCCCTGGTCTGCAGCAGCCATTGCTGCTACTGTGGCGGGGGAATGAAGCAGGGTGGATAAGGGGAGATGGGGCGGGGGGAATAGGGGGAGATGGGGTGGGGGGGAAGAAGAGGGAGAAGGGGGGTGGGAAAGGGAGGAGGTGGAGAGGCGAGAAGAGAGGGTAGGGGAAGGCACGTGGGTGAGATATGAGGGATGAGGGATGAGGCCAATGGGAGAGAGAGCGAGTGTAGGAGGTAAGGCAAGACGAGAGGCATTGAGGTAGAGAGGAAGAAGAGGGAGAGAGGAAGAAGAGGCAAGGCGGAAAGAGGCAGAGAGGGAAAGAGCTTGAAAACTTCGTCTCCCATCTCCTTCAACTCTCTGTCTCCCGTCCTGACTCCCTTACGTTGTCCCTCCACCCCTTCTTCCCCCATGTCCCCCCTTCACCCACCTCTTTCTCTCGCACTCCCCTACCACCCTCGCCCCTCACCCATCTCCCTCCCTCGCCCCTCACCCATCTCCCTCCCTGGTCCCTCACCCAGCAGCACAGCCAGACCAACTCACCGCCGTATGTCGCCTGGGGGGGAGCCTCCACCGGGGGAGGCTGGGCTGGAGGCGGCTCAACCGGTGGGGGTTCAACTGGAGGAGGCTGAACCGGAGGGGACTGCTGCTGCTGCTGCTGCTGCACGGGTGACGGTGGGGGGGAGTGCGCCGCTGCCCCTGCGCCCTTGGGTTTGTCGGTCTGTATGAGGGGGTCCACGGGCCAAGCGCCCTCCTCCAGCGAAGGGGACGAGTTCCAGATGTCCTCCCACCCTGTTCCGCTGCTGCTGCCGCTGCCGCTGCCACCGCCGCTGCTGCCGCCGCCACTGCTGCTGCTGCTGCCAGTACTGCCAGTGCTGCCGCTGCTGCTGCTGCTGCCGCTGCTGCTACCGCTGCTGCTACTGCTGCTGTCGCCGCTGCCCCTGTTGCTGCCACTGCCTGGCCATGCGCCCTCCTCCTGGGAAGGGGGTGCGTTCCATATGCCGTCCCAAGCTGTACCGCTGCTCCCAGTGTCCGCACTGCCACCACTGCTGCTACTAGTGCTGCCACCACCAGTGCTGAGACCGGTGCTGCCGCTGCTGCCACTGCCTTGAGAGCCAGTTGAAGGGGTGGGGGAGGCGGAGGAGGGGGAGGATGGGGAGTGGGACCCTGTGGGGCAAGGCGAGAGCTGCTGTGGCGCCCCTTCCAGGCAGTTTCCGCCGACTCGGAAGTCAATGGAGGAGGCCGGAGGGACGGGCGGGACGGGGCCTGACAGGCGATTAGATGACAGGTCCCTGCAGAGTGGTGAGGTGGGTGCAGAAGGGTTAAAAAGGGTGAGTATGGGTGCAGGGAAGAGAGTTGAGGTGCAGAGGGACGGGTGGGACGGGGCCTGACAGGCGGTTGGACGACAGGTCCCTGTAGAGTGGCGTGGGTGCAGAGAGATTGAAGGGAGTGAGGATGGGTGCAGCGGAGAGTATTGGAGTGCAGAGTGGTGAAAATGAAGAGCAGATGACGCTATAAAGGAGAAAGTGGTACAAGATCTGGGAGGGCTAGTTGAGCAACCAGGGTCTATGATAGCACACTCTTTAGAGAAGGGGACCCTCTATGATCAGTATGCAACCACACAAGCACAAGCACCCCTCCCAGCACAACAACCCCTCCAACACAGGCAACCCAAGCAGAACCCAACCCGCCCCCCAACTCATCACAAGACGCACAGCGTGGTGGTATTGGGCAGCGCAAGCAGGCACGCAGGAATACCGCCCTCCAGATCATTATGCCCCAGCATAATCAATTATCACCCCCAGCGAACCCAGCCCGCATAGGTCCTCCGGAATCGGCCCCGAGAGCTGGTTTCTGTTGAGGTAGAGTGCTGTGAGCGCTGAGGCCGACGCCAGGGACAGAGAACTCACAGCGTGGTGATGTTGGGCAGTGCGAGGAGGCACGCGGGAATCCCCCCCTCCAGGTCATTATGCCCCAGCATGACCACTCCCAGCGATCCCAGCCCACACAGGTCTTCGGAAATCGGGCCTGAGAGCTGGTTGCTGTTGAGGTAGAGCGCTGTGAGCGCTGAGATGAGAGGGACGCTAGGGAGGGACGCTAGGGAGGGACGCCAGGGAGGGTGGCTAGGGAGGGTGGCGAGGGACAGAGAACTCACAGCGTGGTGATGTTCGGTAGCGCGAGGAGGCACGCGGGAATTCCCCCCTCCAGGTCATTATGCCCCAGCATGACCACACCCAGCGACCCCAGCCCACACAGGTCTTCGGGAATCCCCCCTGACAGCTGGTTGCTGTTGAGGTAGAGCGCTGTGAGCGCTGAGAGAGAGGCTAGCGAGGGACGCTAGGGAGGGACGCCAGGGAGGGTGGCCAGGGAGGGTGGCCCGGGAGGGTGGCCCGGGAGGGTGGCTAGGGACACAAAACTCACAGCGTGGTGATGTTGGGCAGTGCGAGGAGGCACGCGGGAATGCCCCCCTCCAGGTCATTATGCCCCAGCATGACCACCCCCAGCGACCCCAGCCCACACAGGTCCTCAGGTATCTCTTCTGAGAGCTGGTTGCTGTTGAGGTAGAGCGCTGTGAGGGTGGCTAAGGAGGGAGGCTAGGGAGGGTGGCTAGGGACACAGAACTCACAGCGTGGTAACGTTGGGTAGCGCGAGCAGGCACGCGGGAATCCCCCCTTCCAGGTCGTTATGCCCCAGCATAATCACCCCCAGCGACCCCAGCCCACACAGGTCCTCGGGAATCGGGCCTGAGAGCTGGTTGCTGTTGAGGTAGAGCGCTGTGAGCGCTGAGAGGGATGCCAGGGAGGGTGGCAGGGCGCCGTGCAGCGCGTTGTGGTCGAGAAAAAGCTCTCGTAGGTTGGGGAGGGATGCGAGGGTGGGTGGGATGGAGCCGGTGAAGCCGCATGACTCGAGGGCACTGGGGAGATGTGGAGGGGAAGGGAGGGGGGCAAAAGGGAGAGGGGATGGAGAGGGAGGGTGCGGGCCACAAGGGAGAGGGGGTGAGGCAAGGAAGCGAGGGCGGCAGGGCGCCGTGCAGCGAGTTGTGGTCGAGGAAAAGCTCCCGGAGGTTGGGGAGGGATGCGAGAGTGGGTGGGATGGGGCCGGTGAAGCCACATGACTCGAGGGCGCTGGGGAAGGGGTGGAGAGGGAAGAGGGAAGGTCATGGGGGAGGGGGTGGGGGGGAAGGGTGGAGAGACATGGGAGAGTGGGTGGTGAGGGAGGGAGGAAGGTGCAGAGCAAGGGGGATGTGGAGCAATGCAGGTGAGGAGCAATGGAGGTTCGGGGCATGGGAGGGGCTCACATGGACTCGAGAGAAGGCATGGCGCCAAAGAAATCCGGGAGAGGACCTGAGAGCTGCAGGTTGAAGCTGAGATCACTGCAGGGTGGCGGGCCGGGGATCAAGATGGGAATGCGAATGGCAGGAGCAGAATTGAGCATTGAATCGCTTTGTAGAAATGTGGACCCGCTCAGAGATGCAGACGCCTGCCGATTAGTCAGAAGTAAATATGGGAATGGTTTGTTGTTGGCGTGGTGTTAATTGGCGTACTAGGAAATGAATGTGCGTGGTGTGAATTGGCGCGGGAGTGGAAACAGGTGCATGGACGGCAGGGCATTGATACATTTGCTTCATACGCCCTTCATCTCACACACCCTTCGGCTCAAGTGCGACTCACATGTACTTGAGGCTCTGCATGCCCCTGAAGGAGTCCGGAATAGGCCCTTGGAGGTTGTTGGACACCACATACCTGCACGCAAGTGGGAGAGGGAGGGCAGGCGGTTACACAGCTACGTTAATGAAAGGACCATTCGAGAGGTGAGGACGATGAGGGGGGTGAGAGGGGAGGGGGTTGGGAGGGGAGGGGTGTGAGGGTCGTGGCAAGAAGATAGGCGGGAATGAGAATGGCACTGGAGTAACAAGTCAAGCAACGAGTGGACGCCGTGACAGGCGGCCTCACAACTGCGTGCTGTGCGGACAACGATATGCAGCGATGTAAGAAACAGGGCTCACAGTGCTTCAAGGCGCGGCAGCGATCCCAGGGAAGCAGGCAGCGAGCCCGACAGTGCATTCTCGTCCAGTGACCTGATGCATAGGAAGGGTGATTTGTAGGGGGGCGGTTCGCACAGGGGTGGTTCACAGCGGGCACGGGGGAACATATGGTGAGTCAACTCAGAAATCGGCAGCGAGCCCGACAGTGCATTCTCGTCCAGTGATTCGCACAAGTGAAATCGGAGAAGTCAGCCAATGACTCACAGGGCGACCAGTGACTGCACGTTGCCGAGAGAGTGCAGGGATTTTTAGAGAATTCTCAAAAACATCCTTGAGAAGTCAAAAAAAATCCCTGGGTGGGAGAAGCCAGAAACTGGACTCACAGGGCGACCAGAGATTGCACGTTGCCAAGTGAATCGGGAATGGGGCCCGTGAAGTCATTCTTGAAAAGCTCGCTGCGACGAGGAGGGGAGTAACGGGTTAGGAGAGAAGAAGGAGAGAGGGGGGCGTGTACGAGAATGGAGGCTGTTAAGGCGTTCTTGACGAGCTTCGTAAGACAGGGAGGGGAGTAACGGGGTGGAGAGAAGAAGAGCGTAGGGGAGTAGGCTTGTCGAGAAGTCCAAGAGAGTAAGAGAGCAAGACAGCCAGGAGTGTAGCCCATAATGCGTGGCTAGGAGGCAAGCGGGAATGCAGTGAGAGGGTGAGGGATAGTGGGTTGGAAAAGTGGGTGCGGAGAGTGGGGAGGGTGGGGAGAGGCGGGGGCACGGGCGAGGGCACTGACAGGTGCATGAGTCTGGGCCACAAGGCAAGCAGTAGAAACAGCAGTGAGGGGGGAGGAAAGAGTGGGGAGAGTGGGCGAACAAGACTGGGGGGGCAAGCGGGGGCAAGAGAGGGCAAGCGAGGGCAAGAGAGGGCACTGACAGGTCCATGAGCCGCGGCCACGAGCCGAACCAGTCGGGAACGCAGTGAGAGGCGCGCGGGGAGAGTGGGGAGAGTGGGTAGTGCGGAGAGTGGGGAGAGTATGGAGAGGGAGGAGGCACGCGAGGGCAAGCGAGGGCGAGAGAGGGCAAGCAAGGGCACCGACAGGTCCATGAGTCGCGGCCAAGACGCGAACCAGTCAAGGAATGCAGCGAGAGGGGGGAGAGAGTGGGGAGAGTGGGGAGGGGCAGGAGGGCAAGCGAGGGCAAGCGAGGGCACTGACAGGTCCATGAGTCGCGGCCACGAGCCGAACCAGTCGGGAAGGGCGCCGTCCAGCTTGTTGCGCGACGCCTTGCTGCCATGGGGCCATGGATTGTGATCGACAAGGGTAACGATGTGGTAAGGGGCGATGGGTGAGGGGTGCTGGGAGATGGAAGCAAAGGCACGAGCAGAGATAGGAAGAGACGGAGGTGTGAGCGAGGCAGACAAACAAGCATACGCCAGCAGGCAGCAGGCAGCAGGCAGAAGAGGGGTGCATGCATCGGGGGGGGGAAGCAGGGGGAGCAGTTGAAAGGATGGGGGCGAGGGGAGCAAGGGGAGCAGGGGGAGAACCCGAAAAGCGGCGGCGAGGGGAGCAGCAGGGGAGGGGGAGCACTCACAAGTACACGATTTGCGAGAGGGCGGAGTAGGATACTGGAATCTCGCCTGTCAGCTGATTGGCTCCCACGTTGCTGCGGGCGCATGGATGTATCGAGGGGGGAAAGGGATGAGGGCATGAGGAGGGATGAGGGGTGGAGTGGTAGAGGAGATGTTGATGAGAGGCGGAGTGCACACGGGTGCAGGACAAAAGGCTCAGAGGAGCGTAGATGGCATCATGGCATGCACTCGGCCCCTCATGAACGCAGTAATGCACCCACATTCGTCCCGTGATGGCATAGTGCATGCCATCTCCGCTCACTATGGCACGATGCATCGCGGGAGAGAGGGAGTGGCAGGGCGAATGCGGCGACTCACAGTGCAACCAGGTTAGTGAGTGCGCCCAGCGACTCTGGCAGCTGCCCCGAAAAGTTGTTTGTCTTGAGGTTGCTGCGGCCAGGCCACAGGGGTGTGAGGGGGGGTGGGAGGGGGTGAAGCGGAGGGGTGTAAGTGTAACGAGGGGAAGGGAATGTGAGTGCGCCCAGCGACTCTGGCAGCTGGTTTGAAAAGTTGCTCATCTTGAGGTTGCTGCGGTGCGGACACAAGGGGGATGAGGGGGGGCGTTGGGGGAGAAAGAAAGGGAGGGGGTAATGAGGGGGAGTGGATGTGTGGAATGGAACGGGTATGAGAGAGGCTCTTGACATGGATGGTTACAGGGATAAGGGGACATGGGAGCAAGGGAGCATGGGGCATTGGGGCATACGAGCATGGATTGATGGGGCTATGGATTCATAGGGTCATGAGGGCAAGGAAACAAGGGACACGTGGTATGGTGCATGGGGAGTGGGGGCAGTGAGTGGGGGCAGCGAGTGGGTGAGGGGCTCACAGCAGCGTGAGGGCGGTGAGGGAGAGCAGCACGTCGCCTGGAATGGGCCCTTCCACTGCGTTGCCTTCCAGAGACCTGGGGGGGGGGGGTGGGGAGAGGGGAGGGAGCTGAGGGTGAGGGAGGCGACAGGCGTGGATGGGTACCGCGCGGCGTGGATGGGGGAGGAGGGATCATGGGAGGGTGGTGTGGAGAAACGACTTCAGCCGCCGCTAACGTGAGTGAGATTGCTCAAGGGCGTGCAGGGTGAGTGAGTGGTGAGGGGCGTGCGAGGTGCTCCGGAGCGTACAAGTGCCAACTTGCCAAGAGCACCTCTACGTTGAGGAGCGTGAGAGAGTCAGCGCTTACAGGTGCTTCAGGGCGGACAGCCTGGAGAGGTCTGCTGGCAGAGAGCCCGAGAAGGTGTTGCCATCCAAAGCCCTGTGAGAGAGAGAGGAGGGGGAAAGGGGCGAGAGGGGACAGAGGGGAAGAGGGGAGAGTGAGTGAAGAGAAGAGCGGAGATGGAACCGCGTGGAAAGCACTTGATCATTTGTGAGCTCTGCGGATTGAGAAGCACAAGTTACAGAAATTAGTTACATAAATCAGCGGCACAACTTTCAGATGGCACATCAGATTCCCTGTCTAACAATCAGACGCAACTCCACGATGGTGAGCATTCCCCGTTTGGCAAGCAGACATCAGCCTCGCTCGTGCCTCATTCCCCTGCGCTGAACACCCACACGCCTTATTCCCGCGCCGTTCATGTGAGCGTGGTGCTATGACCAACCGCTTGTTCTTATCTCACACTTCACAGCACACAGCTCACAGCGATTGCAGCTCACAGCGGTTACAGCGCACCTCACGCCTCACAGATCACAGAAGAGCACGAGAGTTCGTAGCGCATAACGCAATGGTAGACACTGACAGCTCATTGCTTCACTTCGCACGCCCCCTGTGCGCGTACCTACCGGCTCCAACTTTCAAGCACAATGAGCAGGTATGTGTGAGGTGAGCACTGACAGGTAGGTGAGGTAGGAGAGTTGCGCGAGGTCCGCGCCTGGGATGGGCCCCGATAGCTGCAAGCTGGATATGTCGCTGGGGAAGGGCAAGGGCACGGGAAGGGAAAAGGTGGGAAAGGAAGGGAGGAAGGGAGGGAGGACGGAAGGAGGAAAGAAGGGGGGACAGGGTGGGTTCGTACGGGGGAGGGAGGCATCCACGTGTGAGTTACAGACTTGTGACACGTGGTAGTGACACCCCTGAGATTGGACCGGACTGGACCCAATGGATATCGTATCCCCGTCTAAGACGGGGTTAAATGTGTCGCTGCGTGGACGAAGGCGGAACGAGATCTCATATCCCCATCTACGATGGTGCGCGTGAGTCTGGGAGCTGAAACTGAAGGATGCGAGCCAGATACGTCGCTGGGTGAAACGACGGGAAAGGAGGAGCGGGAAAGAGATGCAAGCTAGCAGATACCAGGCGATTCTCCAGGTAGCTATTATCCGGTAGCTGCCTGGGGGGTTGGGGGTGGGGGGTTGATTAGGGGGGAAAGGTACTTACAGATGGACGACTTGGTTGGTGTCCGGGTCGCATCTCACGTCCGCTTCCCATCCGCCGTCGCACGGGCTCGTCGCATCGGTCCACGACGGCAGTGCGGACCCCTGCGACAGCTGAAGCGTCGCGCGTACGCGGAGAAGAGCTTCCGCTGATGGAACGGACGGAGGGCGGGGGGGCAAGCGCGCGGGGAGGACACGGGGAATGCGCGCGGGAAATGGACGCGCGGAATGCACGCGGAGATTGGGCGCGGGGAGTGCACGCGGAAATGGACGCGGGGAGTGCACGCGGAAAGTGGGCGTGGGGGCAACGGAGAGTTGTACGCAGTAAGAAAATGATGGGAACGAGAAGACGGCTTTGGGAAAACGACGTATGGGGAGGACTTCAGAGAAGGGTACACAGAACGGAAGAGCCTTGTCGAATTCGACTCAGCAAGTCGAGAAAGGGTTCCCGACAGAAGGGGCAGAAGTGGCTCAGTTGCGTCGAAAGAGGCCCAGCAACGGAAGTGACGGAGGAAAATAGGAGGATGGGGGGAAGGGGGGAGGAGGGGAAGTGGGGAGGGAGAGGAGGGGAGGAGGGGGGGAGAGATGGGGGGGAACGAGGGGAGGTGGGAAACGAAGGGGATAGCGAAAGAAGCGAAGAAAAGGGGTCATGGTCGTCAGAGGGTTACCATTGCGTGGTTACCATCAGGTGAAGGGGCGGCAGAAGCAGGCGAGGAGGCGAGGGGTGTCGCAAGCGTGCAGAGTAGCAGGCACGCGGCCGCGAAAGCCGGAGAACGCGGGAAGCTTAACGAGACTCTGGGAGACCGTGTACCGACGCGACGCTTCGGAACTGCCGGACACCATTTACCCGTCATGACGAGAGCTTAGTCCGAAACGACGGTTGATAGCAAGCTGGATCTATGAATTGGAAGAGGTCCGTGAGACTAGTACCTACAATGATACCATCACACACGTGGCGTTACGAGCCTACGAATCTGCCGTCATCTATAGACACCAGACAGCGCAGATCACGGACTAAGCGGTGTCATCGACCTTCGCGACCGTGACGTGGGAAGCTCTTCCGACAAGTGCGGAGTGAGAGACGCCACATCAATGTGAGCAAGAAGGGAGGAGACGTGACAGAAGGAGGGGCGCAAGCATGCCCCCGCCAGGCTGTTTGCCAGCTAGGTTCAGCAGCAGCAGCGCATCTCCTTGTCCCCTCTCAGATTTCCGTACTGATGGGAAAGAAAGATTTTTGTTTCGCAAGCTTTCGGGAATTGCGAGAGAATGGCAAAACCCAGTAGAATCCGATTCGCGAAAATTTCACAGAAGTTACCTCTTGTCTGGCGAATTTTACGGCGCCAATCGTAATGATTTGCCCAATGTCGCACTTGACCGACATGAACGCGGACATGCGTGCACTGTGGGTCCAGGTCAGGTCAGGTCAGGTGTTTCGGATTCACGCAAAAAAAAAATCCCTGAACAGAAAATATCCGCCTATAGCGCAGATGCCGGACAGCGTGTAAGCATTCGTGACAGAGCTACTGGCCTCAAGCTTGTTCAAAGAATTAGTCTCTTTACTTTCACAAGGCACTATTTGGGTACTCATGTCCTAAAGTATCTGTACTACGCAGTTGACTCATTGCACAGACCATCAGCTAAAAACCCTGACTAAAATAAGAAGGCTGACCCTTGTCCACCACTTCATTCCAGAAACCAGGAACTAAGTTGTGTTGGGATCGGCTAGAATGTATGTTAGTGGAGTGGAGGCGATGCAACACTGGATGTAGGCAGGGCGAGGGAGAGCAAGCTATCAAGTGGAGACTCAGGCCTTGAAGAAAACTTCTTTGATGCACTACGTGCTCTCCTGTTGGAACGAAGGTCGTTTGTGAGTCTGAGCGGACTGGCAGACGCTTCAGCCGGTGCAAAGAAATCCAAGACGAAGGAAAGGAGGCCAAAGGCAGCACATCCTTGCAACATTGCCATTGGTGGACCTGCAGCAGCCGAACCAGAAGTTATTACAGTGGATACGAAACAGAAAAGGGAGAGCAATAACGTCAAGAGAATGTGCCCGTGAAGAAGAGACACAGAAGGCAAGGCAGGATTGCAGGACGATGTAAGAAATCTCAGTAACAGCGACACGGAGAGCAGGCTTCATTAGGATATTCTCGAAATTCACCTGGGACACTCGCTGCCAGTCCAGCTGCACATCCAGCAAGCCCTGGCTTTGCACCTGGTACAGGCAGGCAGGAACATTGGGATATTGACATGGAAGGAAACAACTGAGATAAGGACAACGACTGATCACCGAGTGGAGGAGTGCCAGGAGGGGAGAAGGGGAATGTGAACACAATAACTAAGTACAAGTAGTGCGATTGAGAAATGCATGTGTTCATGTACGTAGAGCGTCAGCAAGGCACTCACTGTCAAGTAGATCATTCCTCAAGTTCTCAATAGCTGCTGTCGTGGCAGCATAGACAGCTGACATGATAGCCACGGTCTGGGAACAACATTGGCATGAGCAGGTGGAGAAACAAGGTCAGTTGCATTTTGCAAACTCCAGCTGGTACACGACATAAATGGTTGACTCGCACGCATCAACGGATCACACACAGCAGGATTTCGCAATCATCATTCTCGCATACAGCATGACTCACACATGAGCAAACAATTCCTGACTGATTCACATTCGCTTGTGGAATTACAACTACATCTGTAGGTCGGGGATTGCAAGCAAGCCTTCATCAGCCTCAGGTGCTCCCATACCACAAGGTTCAGAACCCCCTAACAGTCAGCATACACTTGAACCTGAGCCATTCGTTGAGAGGGTGAACCAAGGCACAATAGAGCAAAGACCACGTACCAGGACAGCATGGGAATCATCCGGTTTCCCTCACCTTGAGACCGAAAGCAGACTCGCGCATGGCTACCTTGGTGCCCTCGCGCGCCACGAAGCCCAGCCCTGCACGGGCGCGGAGACGGCGGACAATGAGGCCGACAATGAAGGGACAATGGGGGAGAATGAGGGGGACAATGAGGCGGACAATGAAGGGACAATGGAGGAGAAAGAGGGGGACAATGAAGGGACAATGGGGGAGAATGAGGGGGACAATGAGGCGGACAATGAAGGGACAATGGAGGAGAAAGAGGGGGACAATGAGGCGGACAATGAAGGGACAATGGGGGAGAAAGAGGGGGACAATGAGGCGGACAATGAAGGGACAATGGAGGAGAAAGAGGGGGACAATGAGGCGGACAATGAAGGGACAATGGGGGAGAAAGAGGGGGACAATGAGGCGGACAATGAAGGGACAATGGGGGAGAATGAGGGGGACAATGAGAGAGAATGAGGGGGACATTGAAGCGAAGAACGAGGCGGATAATGTGGATTGACGATAATGATTTCTATCCATCGAAAGCAGCGACAGCGACACATGAGCCTCTTAAAAGGTTCAACGGCGAAGTCTTCTGGTCCGCAGGAGGTGGCAGGATGCAAACGAGACGGAACACACCAGGGTCTCGAGAGACTAAACAAGAATCGCCCATTTTGAGAAGGCGATAAACGAGTGGCTCATCTCGGCCGAAAGTGGTTGTCCGAAAAGACTGAGAGACTGGCGAGAGGCGGACAACTTATCATACGTGAGCCTGCTAGAGTTTCGCAGTCTTAACCAGCCACTTATCGCGAGTTAACCATCAGGTATAAACCATCATTTACTCAATATCATTCGACTTACCAAAGCCTAGCGCACCGCCGAGCACAGCACCGCCAGTGGCGGCCGCAGTAATGCGGACAACAGCCGCCTTGATCGCCGCTGTGGGCGAAACCGGCGGCAAATCGTCGACTAGGGAGTCTGGAGCGGGAGGAAGCGACGACGCCATCGCGTGGTATTCTAATGGATCGCGCTGATTGAATGCGAACGACAAGATGAGCTGGTCAGGAATATGTCAGAAAAGAAATGTTGAGGTGGCGGAGCAGAGGGTTTCAAAAAGGGGTAAGGGGGGAATGGCGGAGAGCACAACCTACATACGGTACTAGAGGGGAAATGTGTGTTCCCGACATTAGCATCGTTGACATACTCCTTTTCATGACTTATGCCTTCTGGAGACTAAAAATCAGCAATATTGCTACGTGAAATTAATCCAGGATTAACGATGCCACGTGCATTTGTAATATTCCCATATAAAAAAAATAACATATCCAAACTAACCAACCAAACTCTCCTGCCCTGATGCCACTTTTGCAAAATCGTCAGTACGTGGATTAGATTATGTTTATAAGACCTAATCACAGATATCCATCAGAAATTTAAGAATTTTATGGCCACATATTTTTCTTAGTGCACAAAGTGTGGGAAAGATTATTGCGCTATACTTATCGTTCTATAATATAAGCTTCCGTCATAAAATGACTGGCTAATTGGACTTTGTTGGGAACGACTGTTACAATGCGTTGAAGGTTCGCTCGTTAGCAGTCGCAGAGTTCGGTTTGACTCCTGCCGACCTTCTACGCCTTCGCCAATGATTTCATCGCCGCGAATTGCGCTTCCTCATCCTTGGCCTCGGTCCCCAGCTCGACTCCACACAATAATGCATTTGCGAAAGTCGTCCTGGGACGGTTGAAGGTGTCGCAAAGCTCCACCGCGGAAACATTGCGACACACTGATGCAGAGTGGATACTTAAGCTCGGAAGGTCTCTTGATGTTGTCGAACGTCGCAGCATGACAGATTCTCGCCCTATGTCACTTCCTCTCCCTGATGGCACCAGGTTCTCGCTTTCAGCCAGGACTGATGTCAAGCAATGGCTGACTGAAAGTTTGCAACGCGTTTCTGATAGACACGGCATTTCTCAAACCAGAATCTGCAACTTCTAGACTTGTCTCGCGATGCACGTCGGATATTCCTAGTATTGAAGTAAATGTTTGCTATATAAGCTCACGCCTTTCCTGTCGGCCTGCGAGACAACTTACTTATGTCTTCTTAATCAGCAGGGAGTGACAGATACTATTTTTACGGGCTTATACCAAGATAATTCAAGATACGGCTTATACCAGCTTACTTGACCGATCAAGTTTGAAGATAAAAATGCCACGTTCATTTTTGTAACTTAATATACTCAACGGGTCATCAACTTCATATACCGGACCCGACATTTTATCAAGATGCAAGGAATCTGGTCCATTCTTGGTATAGCCGCCGCTGAAAGGCCTGTGGATAAGGTCGTGCCGGATGAATGGCACCACAACTATCACTTCAGGTCAGCGACGCTTTCTTCTAACCTGCCTGACACCCTGCAGATCAGCTGGTCATTACAAACACTGAGTCACATATGGATTGTTTATCAGAATGTGGACCATTTCGTCGTCGCTCGGATGGTTTCATTTTTTCAGCATGCATTGACAACGGGCAATCAAGCTTTCCGTTTTCATCTCCTCTACGAGTTCCATTGGTTCAGCCTTCTGGACATCTCTTATGAATATATTTATCGCTGAAACCTGTGATCACCACTTTCCGTCCACCAGGGATGATGACGAAAACGAAGCTGAGTTAAAGCGTTTGCTTTGGGTGTACCTTGCAAGAAAGGAGCAGGTTAGTTTGGGTAATCATATTAATGTTTACGTCGCCATTTTATTTTTCGTGTGTGGGCTGAACAGTCTAAAGTGCAGGTTCTTTATTACGCAATGGAAGAATGTATACCGTAACCTGACAGCCCTGTTTATTGAGCGGTTTTTATAAAGTCCGCGAGAATTCTAACACTAGATGTGTTATTTCTTGATTTTTAATGTCGCATGTCCTGCGATGGCTCCACACAGGACCCGACACGTTCTGCAGCCAGGAAATTGATTGACTTATTCGTGGAAACCTATGACGATTGGACACCTCCAAGCTCTTCGTCTCCAACAGAACCACATGAAGGTTTCGAAAACAAGGAGGTCGTTTCATCTCGCGAGGCTCATCCCTTGGAGATGATTCGATGCGTTGTCAGAGAGCTGGTGTGGCTCTCTGATCTCGCCCAAAGTGAGCCTCTTTCGTCATATTGACCTTAGTTCTGCATCACCTACATACATACTAATTTCACGTGTGCATTCAGGCCTCCTTGTGCCCGTAATCAGTTACAAAGCTGCAATTACAGTACTTCGCACTTAATCTGTGCCATATTTTCCTTCATAACTGGCATAACCTTTCAGCTGCATCAACCAGGCGGAAGGATGAGATTGCTAAAGAAAGTCCTGCCGTTGTTGGAAGTGGGTCTGAGATCGAAGTCGAACGACCAGACGAAGACATTGAATTGTTTGTGCCAAAGCGGGACCTCGAGCATGCCATCAATGTCCTTCAGGCTGCAGCTATTATCACTGAAAGTGCTGAGAACCGCAAGCGCTTTGTATTTTTCCGTGGAATCGTCACTTCCTTGGATGTGCTGAAAGGTGAGCTGCAGAGTGACTTCGTTAACCCTGTATACATAAATAACCGCAAATTCATGTCCATTTCTACTCAGTTTCAACCTTCGAAATGAGAGCATGTTTCGTCGGCTAAAATTTGCTCTTCTATTCCGCGTTCTGCAGGCATCACCATGGATATCGATGCCCACAACGCATCAACGAGAACTCGAGCTAGCAAAACACCTCCTTGTTCCGAGCCAGTGCTTGAACATGGACCCCGAAAAGCTGGTGCTCTGGGCACAGAGGATACGGATGATGGTGATTGGAAGACTGACGGAGGCCACAGCAGCGAGGTAGCTCCAACTCCAAAGTCGCAAGTGCTGCAGTTCCTTCTCTCCGCCTCGCAGCTCATCTTGCAAGTCGTTATCAATTTTCTGAAGCCTGCCATTCAGCGCAAAGGACATCTGGTTCCCAAGGTTGTTATTAGTACGGGAGGAAGCAAGAGGTCTGAGATGCTCAAGAAAACCAAGCAAGGAGAAACGAGTTCTGGCGGTGGCCCTGATGGCCCAAAAGAAGGGTTCTCAAAAAGGGAAGACCCTGGCCAGAAGCCAGAGATGGCACTGGGGACGGAAGTGTTTGAGGCGTTTTCTGTGACTCACGAGATGCTTGCGCCAAAAGGAAAGGTGGTGAACGAGGAAAAACGGATGGCAGAGTTCAGAAAGCTCCTAACCAGTGTGCAAGACAAATGCCATTCTGTGCTCCTAGGTGAGTCTTTGAGGAGGTTCGGATTGCATGCATTGCATTCTTATGGTGGCTTATATATGATACATTCTCGCAGTGCCTTTTTCCATCAAACATTCTTTTTGTTTACCCGTCTCCCAAGTTCTTACTCTGTCATTTTCTCCCACTTTCTCCTGCTCGTATTCGCTGGCCCCTTCCAGCCTTCATCCCTTCGGTCCGCTACCTTCAGCAGACAGAGACGTCCCTGTCAGACCAAGCACAGGACGCACTGCTGCAGGGAGTGGAGGCGGTATGGGCGGTGGTCACTGCGCTCCCTCAGTCTAGCTCTGCCTTCATCGCCCACGAGGGGTTGCAGGTCACTCTTGGGCTGCTTGCCTGGCCTTCATGGCTCCTGCCCTCGACCCCGTGAGTCCGCGTGGACCATCTGCCTTTCATTCTTCATTCATTGCCAGTGAAGTGAACTGTCATTTGTTCTGTTGTGACTGACCAGAATCTTTGTGATGTCCAGGTGCATGGACCGCACCATGCTTGCGAGCAAGTTGCTAAAGGAGTACAGCCTGCAGTTCTTGGCTCTTTCCACTATCAAAGAATCTGTGTAAGTCAGCATGTGAAGTCATGCATTTCCTCCATAATGTCTTCGTCCATCTTGCTCTGAGATGTGCTTCACATCCATGTGCTCTCCTAGATTTGCGTAGAACAAGATTTTGGATTTCTGTTATTTTCTTTTGCCCTGTCACATTCGGCTTCACTTCTCAACGTCCGTCTCATTCACTCTTTCTGTCGTCTTCCAGATTCGGCAGTGTTCCAGCAGCCCGATCCTTGCACTCTCTCAATGCCGTGCCACACATCGCTCAGTTCATCCGATGGACTTCCTTGGTCTTCGCGAAACCTGGTCCCCTTGAGTCCACCTCTCCCAGCAATGCCGCCTCCAAACCAAGCAATTCTGTCGGTGCCGCATTCCCCTCTCACCCTGGTGAGCGCGGTGACCCATTCACAGACATGACGACCTCTGAACAGACTGGCATGGGGATGGGCATGGATGCTCTCTCTGCAGCCAAGAACGAGCACCTGAATATTGGCGGACAGCTGGCTGCGTGGAACTTGAGGGCAGCTGCAGCTTGCAACTTGATCATGTCGTTTTTGTGGGATGGGAACGAGTGGGTGCTTGCTCCCGTTCTCTCGGAGTCTCAGAATTTTGGATCTCGTCGTAGGGGGACAGCAGCGGCAGGAGGCGCGCTCGGAGAGGTTGATAAGCTGGATGCAAAGAGGGCATATGGAGAGGAGGTCATGGCAGATGCCATTTCTGTGTTTCTGCATGCCTTCCACCCGGTGAAACTGGGAGACACTGACTGGCTGGACGATGCAGCAACAGTGATGTTCCAGAATTCCTCCACTGAGCTTCAGCGCTATGTCGTGCGTGTCCTGCGCTTCCTCCTGGGATCACATGCCAACGCGCTTAGCCACTTCCACACCGCCAACGTCGCGCCTGCTCTCTTCTCCCGCCCTTTCTTCTTCTTCGACTCCGTTCTGCTCTCGGAAGAAAGCACAGCTCGCACAGCAAGTGGGGCTGCTGTTGCAGGAGATAGTGAAGCAAGTGGCGTGGATGTGGGGGGAACAGCACATGAAGGCATGGCTGGAAAGCCTCCTCTCTCCATCCCGATTCCATCTCCGGGACCCATTCTCCGCAATTCCTCTGGTCTCAGAAATGAGTTCGGCTCTCCCAGCATTACAACCCCACACAACCCAGCTGCATGGCTGGACCCTCCCAAGATGTCCACTGCTTCACCCCAAGTCCCTGCATGGACCCCTTCCTCCATTGCTGCTGCGCGAGGCAGTCCTGCTCTTTCCACCCCAAAACTCCAGGGCTTAGGCAGTCAGGAGGAAAGTACAGGTTGGCGAGATTGGCAGAACGCACAGTCATCAAGGGCACAAGCTGGGGGGGGAACACCGGTGAAGAGCATGGGGTCGGGGGAAAGCCAAGTGAACACGCTGCAACCTTCAGGCGCTGGCAAAAGAGAATCCAAAGATTTGGATGCAAACGAGGAGTATGTTGCTCTTTCAATCGATCGCAACGCTGAGGATCTCAGGAGCAGCATTCTCGCACTCGTTGAGCTCTCTGCCTCACTGGACTGGCAAGAGGACCTCCAGCAAGAATTCCATGCTGTTCTTCATGCCCTGCTCAGCTGCTGCCGAGTACCATCCGAATCCCAGCTGCTGTCTCAAGCCTTGCAGCGCATGCTCCAGGTTGGAGACCGAATCGTGCCCTGCCTTCTCTCCACGGCGTGCGGTGACCACATTGGGGAGGTCATTGAACGGCAGCAGGCTGCTTACCTCCTCATGGATGCTCAAGGCTTCTTTCTTGAGCCCATGCATGCTGGTTCAGAAGTAGCTGACGGTGCCGCTGATGTTGCTGACACTGCTGCTGGTGTCACTGCAGCAGGTGAAACTGGATCAGTGGTGTCTCGGTCAGGTCGTCTGGTTCTTGAGGTTGAATCGCTGAGAGAGGAGTGGCAGGAGGCGAGGGAGGTGGTGCTGAAGCTTCTGGAGTCGTATCTGGAGTGCTCGCCCTCTTTGCTGGCTCAGGCTGCCACCAGCCCACAGACGTTCATGCCCTTGCTATGGCTGCTGCGGGAAAAGAACTTGCGACCCTTGGTTCTTCAGCTCCTTTCCCTGCTCATGAATGTGAGTCGAGCGTGGTGAATCCTGTATTGCGATTGTAGTCTTCTATGCAGAGTTTATGTTCGTGAATGTGGCTTGTACTTGTGAATGTAGCAGCAGCCCCAGCACATGCCTCAATGTTCCTTACTGCTTTCGTAACCCCTGCACAGGCCCCGGTGTCTGACCCATCGGTTAAGTCAACTCTGTTCAAGCGGTTCTTTGAGGCCATGACTGTGGCACGCAGTGGCAAGAAATTAGGGGACGCGGGCGGAGGAGGAGGAGACGGGCGTGGGGTGGGGAGAGGTGGAGCTGCGGCTGGTGGCACAGGGCTCAGTGGGGAAGATGCAGCGGAACAGCTACAGGCGATGCTGGCAGTGGTGCAGGAGGTGGTGAAGGAGGATGAGAGCTCAGTAAACCAGAACCTCTGTGTGAACGTGGACGCCTTTCCTCGCCTCATTGGCCTGTTACGGGTGCAGTACGAGGAGGAAGCTGGCCGTGTGCAATGAAGCTGCCAAGGTAAGGGTTCGATCCAGGCTCGTAATCTGCACTTGTTCCTTTGTAAACCTTTGTCTTCATCTCTGTGGTGCCGGTCCAGTGATTCCATCGTATATTTCCTGCTCAAACTTCTCGTCCTGCTTCCTTCAGGCCTCTACTTTCTCCTTCGCCCATTCTCCTTCATCGTTTTCTCCCTGTCGTGCCACTCTTCGCCTCTCCACAGGCTGTGCTGGTCAAGCATGTTGGGCCAGGCTTCCGTTCCCTTGCGCTGTACCTGCCCTCTCATTTCGATGGAGCCTGCCCGCCGGTGCTGCTGAGTGCGGTCATGGACATGGCCATGGACTGCCTGGCCGGGGATCAGGCCCAGGGCAGCATCCACTCACCCAATGCCGTCATCCTCTGGCTCCGCTTGCTGCACAAGGTGCGCCTGGTTCAAGCGTGGCAACATTTCGCTTCCCCCATTCTTAATTATTCTGGCACAAGCGTTAGTCTCATAGCTCCTTTGTGAACCACATAGTCTCAGTCCCATTGGTCCAGACTCATAGCCTCACTGCATCGCCTTGTCTCCCCAGATCTCTGTTTCTGCTATTCGTTCCTGGTCTCTACTTTGACGCGCCATTAAACATGACGCATCCCCCTCCCTCCACTGATCCCTGCACTCCTCAGGCCGACCCGCAGCAGATAGTTTCTGGTCTCCAGTCATTGCACAACCTGCTTGACCGCTCTGCTGGCAACTGTGCTGCCTGCTCCCGTGCTGGCCTCATGTTTGACCTCCTAGAGTGGCTGGGAGAGCTGGAAGGGGAGCATCTGGACGGCACTGAACCCAAGGAACGCGTCCTCTGGGGAAAAGTTCGGGAGAGTTATAGGAAGCGCGTGGATGAGACAGGGGAGCGTGGGGCGGAGAAAATGGATATGGTTGGCACTGGAGGTGGTAAGAATGAGGGGGAAAGCAGAGGGCGCATGGTGAAGCTGACCCGAGAGAATGTGGAGGCGATACTTGCTCTGCTGTCGAAGCTGATAGCGAAGCTGGGGCAGCACAGCATCAACGGTAAGGAGATTGCTGCGATCTTCAAGCTGATGAGGAGCACCGCCGATGGATGCCGTCCCAAGAGGGTGTCGTTGCTGCTTCGCACACTCGTGGGCGTGCTAAGCCATGATGGCCCGGCTTCTTACTTCGAGATGGACGGGTCTGAGTCGGTGAGTTGAATAAGAATTCTTTCACTGATGATGCATGTTTTTTTTTTTTTATCGCACCATTCCTTTTATTTATCCCACATTTTTCTTCCCTTGTATCTCCCCTTTCCCTCTTCCCTTCCCCCGGCCCCCCGGCTCATCCCTTTCCCTCAGCTCCTGTGTTGAACACTACAAATTAACTCCCTTTCTAATTCTCCTCCACCCCTGTTTTACCCCAGGGTCTTGAGATCCCCACTGACTTCCGCTTCCCCTGCACCAAGGGTTACACCTTTTGCTGCTGGGTGCGCTGTGAATATTTTCCAAACTACGATGCAGCCAGCATCGCCGGCATCGCGAGCAGTGGCGGTGACAACAACATCAGCACGGCGCGGGGCAGCAGCCTCAGAAAGAAGGGGCCGGAAATCAGCTCAGAACCCAAGGAGCCAAGCATGAGATCGATCACACGCAGGGGACATTGGTTGGGCGAGTCCCTGAGTGTTAGTGTCCGAGACGACAGCCCCATGACGCTCTTCAGCTTCTACACGGACCAAGGCAACGGCTGCAGTGGCTTCCTCACCAAGGATTCCCTCCTTATCCATGTAGGCTCATGCCACACCTCCTTTGATACATCCATACATGTATGCGTCCATTTGGGTATCTTCCAGCCCATGAACTGGCCCTGTCTTACACAGTTGATTGCTGGTAAAATTCCGACTGCAATTCATCGTTCTCCTCATCTGCCGCTCGTATTGCTCCTCTCTGTTCCTGGCAGGTGGCTGGATCACGGGACGTGATAGTGGAGGTGCCTCACAGCATGGCCCTGCGCCACTGGCATCACATCGCCATCTCCCACTCCACCGCAACCTTTTCCTCCGCTAGCATGCTCCGAGTCTACATAGACGGCGTTCTGGTAGGCAAGGCCAAGTGCAGCTATCCGCGCCTGCAGGACCCTCTGATTCGCGCTACCATAGGAGCTTCTGCGCCTCTGCCCCAGTCGGACTCTCGCTCCTCTAACTTGTTCCAGACCTCGCATCCTTTTCAGGGTCAGATTGGGCCGATCTACCTTTTCAGCGACACTCTCACTTCCCCTCAGCTCTCTTGCGTCTACAAGCTAGGCCCTGGCTACAATCACACGTTCCAACCCACGGATGTAGCCCTCCTGCGTACACAGGTAGACAATGCAATTCTTGCACTCTTTGATGGACCCGACTCGCTCAGCTCCCGTATCGCTCTAAGCTTTAACGCACAAGCATATGCCGCCGGTCTGGTTCTTGACACCTCCCCTGCCTGGCTGCTGTCCCAGCAGCAGACTGCTAACAGCGCTGCCGCCGCAGCTGCTTTGGCCCGTGCGAGTGTCTCCCCTGTTCGTGTGTTTGACGCGGCAATGCTTCCAGGAGTGCAGCGGTGCCATCGGCAGCGGCTGCAGCAGGTGTTGAGCACAGTGGGTGGCGTTTCAGCCCTCTTGCCTCTCTTCACGCAGTTAGATCTGCCAGTTGTGGGAAGTGATAGCAGCATGGGGGAGGGAAGGGTGGTCGAAGGGGATGGGCAGTTGGCAGTGGATATTATCAACCTGCTTACAGAGATCCTGGCTGGGAGCACGGGGAGTCAGCAGGCGATGCTGTCTATTGGGGGGTTTTCTGTGATCAACTTCTTGTTGCAGCATGTCTCACCCACACATCTGACAGCTAGTCTCGTGCTCACACTGGAGAACATGGTGGACTCATTCGCCGAAGAAATTGGTAGGTTGATGCACTGCAGCTGCAGAATTCTTGTACACGTTTCCTTTTCTACCTGCATACGGGCACACCTGTCCTGGTACCTCCATAGCTCATCCTTCCATTCTGCCTCTCTTCCCCCCCAACTGCTCCCATGTTCATAGAACAAAGCCTTCGGGAGCGCATGGTTCGTGGTGTCATCATCTCTCTATACATGGACGCCTCTCTCTGGATTTATGCGCCATACATCGTGCAGCGGGAGCTCTTTGTATCCCTCCAGCGCCACATGGAGCGACGATCGTGGCTCGTGCCCTCCGTCTGCTCCCTGCCCCGCCTCCTGGATTTAGTTCGTCGGGTTTACTGGGACAAGCCGCAGGGCCGACACGCCATCGGGGTGAAGCCCCTAGTAGAGCCTGTCACTCGACGTGTGCTCGGCACACGACCGCATCCTCAGCAAGTAGGCAAGCTGCGGCTGCTGGTTCTGAGCCTGCTGCAGCACGTTCTGAAAGGCGGGTTCACAGAGGCAGATGTGAAGGCGCTGGTGGTGTACATGGAGGCGAGCAAGGACGCTGGGGCAGTGAAGGATGTGCTGCAAACAATCTTCGGGCTGATTGCACAGCCCAACCTTGCCAAGTCATTTCTGGAGCACATATCAGCACTAGCTGGACCGCAAATATTTGTTGGACTGCTTGCCAGGTAAGGCTACGAAACTTCTTGTTTTCTGTTTTCCAGGGCGCTGAGAGTTGCCTGCTTCGCATCTCGTTCACGACCACGTCATCTCGCCTCTCCCATGTGTTGCTTCTACTTCCTCTGTCCATCCATTGTTCAGGCCGCAGGAAGAGATTCGCATCCTCGCGCTGTGCCTCATACTCACCCTGATGAACGAAATGAAGAAGCAGGCCCCAGCAGCCAAAGCTGGCACCAGGGGCGCATCTGGTAGAGGAGGCTCAGGTCGAACTCGAGGCTCGGCACGGGCAGGAGGATTAGGGAGGAATTGGCTTGGGATGCAGGAAGAGGAGGAGGAGGGGGATGAGGACGAGCGTTGGGATGAGGAGCAGGAGGAGAAGATGCTTCTCGACCTTACATGCCAGCATCTGATGCCTTACGGTCTCTCTCATGGGCTTGAGACTCTGCTCTTTGATCTTCTGCTTGGTGCATCACCCACCGATCACCGGTCGGTTCGCACGCACACACATGAGGCCATGGTTCACAAAAAGCTTCCGCCCAAAACCACTCATGCCATTCCTCCTCGCATGCCTATGCCATCAGCGGGACATGCAGCAGCACCAGCAGCAGCAGCAGCAGCAGCAGCAGCAGCAGAGGGAGCAACTCCAGCCTTTGGCATGCCCCGCAGTGCCTCTGCCCCGCATCCCCCTGAGCCTGAGCCACAAGGAGCAGCTAAAAGCAGAGCTGCGCAAGGAAGAGCTCATGGAGAACGTGGAGACCAATCAGCAGTCAGAGCAATAGTGTCAGATCCATTGCCTGCAGCTCCAGCCGTATCCACCTCCTTTAATAACTTCACGTCTGGAGGCAAGCCCTCCCCCTGGGGCATCCTTCCGCGCAGGGGCGGAGGAGAAGCAGGCAGCTCGCGCAAGTCAATAGTGAAACCTGAGATGCTAAGGCTGCTGCTGCCTCTTATGGTTGGACAGCTGAGGCTGGCGGCTAGCTCGTCCGAAGCAGGTAGCAGAGGGGGTGTAGGCAGAAGCGGCTCAGGCAGCAGGCCAGGAAGTAGCAGCAGTGCTGCTGGGGAGGGTAGTTTGTCAGCACGCGGAGTGAAGGTGGTGGAGGATACGCTGAAAAAGCTGGGTGATTTAATCTCCAACAGCAAAGCCAATAGACTCAAGCTGCTGGAGGTAAGAACTGCACTGCTGTCATCTGCCAGAGGCAATTTGTCGATGCTCGTGCTAGCTTCTACTTATTTTCTGCGTTCTGGAATTGCTAGAGGTGACTGGCTGTGCTGTCCTGAGTTCGTACAGGTATTCAGGCCGCATGTGCTCACACTCGCTATTTTTATCGCCCCCACATGGCCCTTTTTTCCCTCGTACCCTGCATCGATGCATCTTCTCTCTGAACCCCTACCTGTGCCCTCCAACCTTGCCTGTGCCCTTGCAGCAACGGGGCTGGCAGCAGTGGTTGCTGGATATTGTGGTCACCGGTTTGGACCTTACAGCCCCAAGGAACTCTAGGTCAAATGCCGAGCATGCAGACAAAGGCAAAGACACGGCAGAGCAGCACACTCAGGGAAGGCCCCCAGTTCCAGGACCAGCAGGGGGAGGGAAGGACGCAGCGGAGGGTGAGGAAGGGCAGCCGCCACTGCCTCTTCAGCCTGGGGGAGGGTTGGAACTGGTGTGGGTGCATGTGCGGCGCATTTTCCTGGCGGCACACTCGTTTGCAGTGCAAAAGGTGCAGGGCGGGTGGAGGCATGTGGCGGAAACTGTCAACGTACTGCGCATCTATGGTGAAAGGGTGAGGCTTGGACGGGCTTATGGTATCGAGTGGGGTTTGGTAAGAAGAAGCATGCACCTTGTCTTCACTCGCCCACTCCCTGCGTCCCTTACCTCTCTCCCAATATGTTTATTGCTGCAAGCAAACCATGTCAGTCTGTTGATTGACATAGTATAAGCCCGACTGCCGTGTGGTATATCCCACATTAGACCACCCCAACATCTCTCCTCTCCTCGACCTTCCACCTTCCTCCCCCAACCCATCTATTTCCATCCACTTCTGTCCCTCTCAGGGCAAGCTGCCATACGCGGGTCTGCTGCGTGTGCTGCTGGGCGAGTTGCTGGGCGTGGTGCCGCTGCTGTGTTCCACGAGGGACCACCTGTTGGAGCAGCCCGTGCACGCCAACCTGCTCTACCTTTTCGTCCTCGTGCAAGAGCTCGTCATCCGCGACTCTTGCTACATCTTCCCTGTCAGTATTCCGTGCCTGTGCAGTCCAGTACCTAACCTGGCATTATCCCCGCCACTTGTTAACTGGCAATCCCATTTCCTCACCCCCTGTAGGGTACCTTCTCTGCCAGTGTCCCTGCAGAACGTTTTATTTTTTGCATTGCTCCTTCATGAACTGCATGGGTCCCGGCTGATGCTGGCCATCCGAAAGCTCTCTCTCAACACTTAACACTAGCTACAGTCGTGACCACCTTCAGCCCCCCTTCTGTTGGCTCTCTGTTCTTCTCTCCTTATGCCTAACTCTGTCAGCCTCCGCACCTGCCAGCGGAGGATTCAGGGAAGGCTGTAAATCCTTCCAGGCGGAGTGCCACTGGTGATGCTCTTGACAGGGGAAGAGATGGCAATAGTGCTGCTGGCGATGGTGGCATTGAGGACGTGGAAAGGCAGAGCGGGGAAGGGAGTCGAGAAGAGGATGCGGAAGCAAGAGGAACAGGCGAAGGCAGGCCAGGGGTGTGGAACACAGTGGATCGGAGTGCTCTTTCCACTATTTTCCAGAACATGCTTCCTGATGACGATTTGGGCCCTGCTGCCGCCAGTGCAGAGCTCGCATGCAGGTATATCTTCCTGAAAAACACCCCTCACTCTCCCTTCGGCCCAACCCCATTCCCTCTCCTTTTTCCTCCCTCGCTCCCTTTCTCCCTCACCCACTCAGCCAACCTCACTCTCTTGCATCTAATCCGTCAGCTCATATATCTTCTCTTTGGCCAATTCATATCCTTTCTGTCGGCTATCTTCAAGTTCTCTTCCTCTCTGGGCCCTTCCTGTCCCCGGCGTTCCTATATCTCCCTTTTGCACTTCCGTTTTCCCCTACCTCACTTATCCCAGTATCTTGGGCTCCAAGCTGGTTGAAAGCAAGTGGCGGGTGTACGAGCACTTCTGGACGGTCATTACCATCATGCACAACAAGGCGGAGGCAGCAGAGGCCCTTGCAGCAGGCATGCTCCAATCTGACGATGATGACCCTGAAGCACTACACCTGCCGGTCCACCCAGCGTTCCTCCCACCTCCTCAGCCGCCCTCGCCTCCCCACCGCTCCTTCCTCCAGCCCAAACCCGATTCCTCAGCTGCTTCTGCTGCCGTGCCGCACGGGAGTGGGAGACATGGGAGCGACAAGGGGAGTGCGCGACAGGGGCTGTTGCGTAGCTTAACAGTCACAGCAGAGGCTGTGGAGACTGAGAGGCCAGCAGGCGAGGTGGCATTGGAGGAGGTAGAGGAGCAGATGCTGGACTTGGCTCGGCAGGGGTGTCCGTGGTTTGTGCTGCGCCTGGTGCTGATCTACATGTTCGAAGCTGAGCTGCCCGCGCTTCATCGCTGCCTGAACCACTTCGTGGTGCTCCTGCCTGTCGTCTTCCCTAATGACGATGACAACCGCCTGCACAACCAGGCCCACCTCTTCCTCTGGTAATTCGCTTCAGCCTCTCTGCTCACAATGAGCTCTGCTCTCGCTGGCGATGCTCATGTCCTGCATTCCATCTCGTAACTGGCTCTTGATATCAACATTTCTGCTGCCAACCAACTCCAGCCATTATTCCCAACCAAATCCCCCTTCCCTCCGTCTCCACTCCCCCGGATTTTCCCCCCTCTCAGGGCGCTTCTCGAAGCTCGGGCGCTAGTGGGTGACATGAATGACGGGGCACGGGGCCACATCATAGCCCAGTGCACTCGTGACGTCTTCCTGGCGATCATGCCCATCCTGGCGCGCTGCATCGATGAACGGGGCGGCCCTCCCGCGTACACCCCTGTGGACTTTTCTCTGATGACAGGAGGCATGCTGGATGATGAGGGGGAGGAGGGGGAGGAGGAGGAAGATGATGAGGATTCGGACGAGGAAGTTTTTGCCTATGGAATGGGGAGTAGCAGCAGTGGCACAGGGCATGGGGCAGCTGAATCGTCTGGGCTGTCTGAGGCAGAGTCGCAGGGTGCGGCAGGAGAGGGGGAGCAGCAGAGGCATCCTCTTTATGAAGTGATCCATGCTGACAGAGTGCACAGTGCAGTAAGTCTGATTTTGATAACCCCTTTTTTAAGGTGTTTGTTTTAATTTAGTACCAGTTTGGCCTTCGATTCGGAAACGTCGAGGAGCCATTATCAACCTTCCATATCATCCAAGTCGTCATTCTCCTCTTCTAGTACTTTGATTTGTTGTACAGTCTGATAAACAAGTAGCAACACATTCTCAACCCTTTTCTTCCCTTTCTCCTCATACACACAGTGAGTGAGTCTCATAGAAGAGTCTCACTCTCACAATCACGACTTCACACATCTTGCGCCTTTCCCTTCTGCGTTTCCTCAGGCGCGCACCGAGTGTGACCACGTCATGTTCATCGTGACCTCTCTCAACGACAGCTTGGTGGACATCCAGCCTGACATCGAAGCATGGGAGGAGGCCCAGCAGGAGCGGCGGCAGGAGATGGAGCAGCAGCGGCGGAGCGTGCTCGGCGGGATGATGGAGCAGGAAGCCAAGCGGCGTGCCGTTGCGACACTTGCATACGCGGAGCAGCAGCAGAACGCCAAGGCAGCTTGGAACGCCCTGTATCGACAGATGACGAGCGAAAGGGGCCCCTGGTACTCTGGCCCGTCGCCTGACGATCCTCCACCCCGCTGGAAGCTGGATAAGGCAGAGGAACCTCAGAGACGTAGATTCCGCATGCGTCCGAACTATCGGTTTGATGAAAACTTGTGCATTGGTAAAACGAGGAGCGGAACTTGGGTACGGGGGGGAAAGAGAAGGGTGGTGGAGGCGAGGAAGGGAAGGTGGGAGACGGGACGTCCGAGGGGAGTTGGATGGACAAGTCTAGCGCCTCTGGGCCGGATGCCAGGAGTTTTCGCAGGTACACAAGTGATGCTGGTGGTTCAGTGGCAGGAGATGCTTCGGCATCTTTTGCGAAGAGCAGCAGCTACGACATGGGGGAGGGAATGATGCGAGCGGGATCAGTGGGAGGGGATGTGCAGCAGCAGCATGGGAGGGTGGTGTCGAATGTGAACGTGGACCGGGACTTGATGGAGGAGATGGCGTTGCTGCAGCAGAGCAACGAGCAGAGCCAGTCAGGGCAGGGAGGGAAGAAGGGCGTGCAGGAAGGGGAGGTGGAGGGGACAGGTGTGGCAAGTGCTCGTGGTTTTCCAACAGAAGGCATGCCAGGAGTGAGTGAATCTGTGGGAACGGATTCGTGAGTGAGGACCTGTGACTGAGGGAGGTCTGATCTCTTTTCCCAACTCAACATCATGGTTTGCTTCTGTCAGCTGTCTATTTCTCTCTGCTATCATGCTGGTGCCCTCATCCTTTCTCCGCACTGGCCCAATCACCCTTCTCCCCCTCCAACCCCTTTCTTCTCCTTCGTTCCACCCAATTTTCTGGCCCCTTCACATTGTTGCCACCCAAAATAAACAAAATACGTACTTATCCTCCCCTGGTGCCCCAGGCATTGGAGGAGATCCCCTGCATCCTCCTCACCACCAAGCGCAAGCTGGCGGGCCGTCTGCACATCTCCCACACAGAGCTGCACTTTTACGTGGACTTTGCCATGGACAGCACAGAAGACTTTCTTCTCTTCCACCCTGACGGCTCCCTCCACAACCCCCACTCCCTTTCCTCCTCTGGCTCCGTTTCCGGCGGAGAGAAAATCCCTCCTAAGGAGCGATGGAAGCGTGTGATACAGAAACTGCTGTTTGTAGCTAGGTTCCAGCCGAACGAGAAGACTCTGGAGAAAGTGACTCTAAGGATGCGCAAGCACACGGATATTCTGGACGACGTGAAGATGCACCGAATGTGGTCGCTCTCTGAGCTCGCTAGGATCCGCATGACACGCTACCTCCTCCGCCCATCCGCCTTTGAGCTTGATTTTTCCTCGTCGCAGCCCCCTGCCTTCTTCTCCTTCTCCTCGCCTCAGCTAGCTGACAAGGTCGCCCACCGTATCCTGGCTATCGCCAACCGCGGGACCGCGGCTCGCAGCAGCAAGCTGGTTGACTTTGTGGACAGGAAGAGAGGGCAGGAACTGGCAGAGAAAGCGAGGTCCCAATGGAGCAAGCGGAAAATCTCCACCTTTGATTACCTCATGATCCTTAACACCCTTGCTGGGCGCACGTACAACGACCTCATGCAGTACCCTATTTTTCCATGGGTTATTGCGGATCATACCTCGGCCAAGCTGGATTTGTCAAATGGAGAGACGTTCCGAGATTTGAGCAAGCCGGTTGGGGCACTGAACCCCAAGAGACTAGAGGTATGTGTGGAGCGGGAACCTGGGTGGGAGTTGTGGCAGGGGGCTGGAGGTATGGCTTGAGGCAAGGTTCATCATTGCTTATGTGTTCTGTGCTTGTTTGTGTACTAACTGCCCTTGACGAGGGTGTGTTTTATCCGCTGACTATCTCTGTCCATTCTTCCCTTCATCTGCTGCTTTTTGCTTCCACTCGCCTGCCACAGCTGTTCAAGGAGCGATATGACAGCATGGATACCGACATTCCAGGGTAAGGGCCCGTGCATGGTTTGCTCACATTTTCTCACTGGATGCTTTCGTCAATCTTCCTTGCTCTGATTGTTCCCTTCGTTTGTAAATGGATTCTGAATACTACGATTAACGCCTCCATATGAATGGATTCTGTTCCTGCTGTCAACATAGTTTTCAGCAACCATGTACTGTATCCTGTGGCCCACATCACACCCTGCTTCCCCCTCCATCGCCTCTCAACCCTCTTCATCCTTTCCCAAATCCGCACTCATCATCCTTCACCCCCTGTCTCATCCCTCCGCCAGCTTCCTGTACGGATCGCATTACTCCTCTGCTGGCGTCGTGCTCTACTTCCTCATCCGCATGGAGCCCTTCGCCACGCTCCACCGGCTGCTGCAGGTGTGAAAATTCCTGTGAATGCTCCCACTTCTTACCTCAGGGTTGTTCACTTTGACATGTGAGTGCTGTTGCACACACACACCACCACCGCCCCTCCAGGCTCTCCTTCATGTTCCCTCACCATTCTTCGAAAACGTTTCTGGATAAATCCAAGCCGAGAGCCGTTTGCAAGGGGCAGCGTCGTTTCAACGAGGGGCAACAACTGGAATGCGAGCTATTGCTGACTTCTTTATCCCTGCCTGCCCTCTCTCCCAACAGGGGGGCCGCTTTGACCAGGCGGATCGTTTGTTTGACAGCGTGGCGTCGGCGTGGGACAACTGTCAGAGCAACACGAGCGATGTGAAGGAGCTGCTGCCAGAGTTCTTCTACCAGCCGGAGTTTCTGCGCAACAACTGCTGCTTCGACCTGGGCCTCAGGCAGGACGGGCAGGCGCTTGACGGCGTCATCCTGCCTCCCTGGGCCAAGGTGCGTGCGTCTCTTGTCTCGTGCCTCTTGGGACTAGCTGTACTCCGTCCTCCCACGAGCGACGTGAAGGAGCTACTGCCAGAGTTCTTCTATCAGCCGGAGTTTCTGCGCAACAACTGCTGCTTCGACCTGGGCCTCAGGCAGGACGGGCAGGCGCTTGACGGCGTCATCCTGCCTCCCTGGGCCAAGGTGCGTGCGTCTCTTGGGCATCCCTGACCCTGTAGTGAGAGACCCTGTAGTGCGACCTAGTGAGCCTAGCTGTGCCCTTGTTGCCTCTGACCCTGCCTGCTTGTGATCCCCAGGGCTCCCCGGAGGAGTTTCTGCGCCTTCAGTGAGAGGCCTTGGAGAGCGACCAAGTGAGCCCAGCTGTATCCTTGTTGCCTGTTACCCTGCTTCTGATCCCCCAGGGCTCCCCAGAGGAGTTTGTGCGCCTGCAGCGAGAGGCCCTGGAGAGCGAGCACGTGAGCGAGAGGCTGCACCACTGGATCGACCTTGTGTTTGGCTACAAGCAACGGGGGGAGGCGGCTGTTCAGGTGGGCGTGTGCACAAGTGGTGTGGGCGTCTGTCTGGGCATGTGGCCGTGTGGGCATCTTGTGTGGGCGTCTGGACATGTAGCCGTGTGGGCACGTGGGCATGTGGGCATGTGGGCAGGTGGGCAGGTGGGCATGTGGGCGTGTGGGCCTGTGGGTGACTCAGGACCATCCCGTCATGCGGGAAAGCCCTTGAATGAGATGCCATTATGGAAGTACGAAGAAAGTTTAGTGGTGATTCTGGGAAGGGTGTGCCTGATTTTTTTTTAGGTTGATTTTGAGAATTCTGAGGTTGATTTTGAGAATTTTCAAAATCAACCTCGAGAATTCTCAAAATCAACCTCAAAAAAAATGATTCTGTGAAGGGTGTGCCTGGGCTATGAACTCCGCACCCGCACTTGCATGAGTGCCTTAGTGAAGGGCGCCTTGAAAGCAAAGAGCTACATGACAGCACACTTAGAAGCCCCCACCCACGCACGACCCCCAACTCTTAACTTCATCTGGTGATACAGTCTTCTCGTTTGGCACCTCTCCTGCAAGGGCGCTCTTGATTTCGCTCGTATAAGCCAAGCTCCTGTTCCGCTCTCTCCTGCTTTTTCTCTGCCCCACTGCCCTCGGTTTCTCCCTCGAGGCGGCCAATGTGTTCTACTTCCTCACCCATGAGGGCGCTTTGAGCACTTTACCCCGGTAAACCAATCTCCCATTCAGCTCTCCTCCTGTTTCTCCTCTGCCTGTCTTTCCGTCCTTGGTTCCTCCAGGCGGACAACGTGTTCTACTACCTCACCTACGAGGGCACTGCTGAGCACTTTACCCCGGTGACCAATCTCTGATTCAGCTCTTCTCCCGTTTCTACCACCGCCCTTGGTTCCTCCAGGCGGACAACGTGTTCTACTACCTCACCTACGAGGGCGCTGTGGACATTGATGCAATCACCGACCAGACCAGGCGCACAGCCATCGAGCAGCAGATCGCAGCCTTCGGCCAGACCCCCATCCAGCTCTTCACACGCCCCCACCCCGAGCGCGGCCCGCCTGTCCAAATCACCCGCCCGCTCCGCTTCTTCCCCTCCTCCATCTCCCTCTCCGCAATCATCCCAGCTCCGCCCACCCCGGCTGTTCCCTCCCCTGTGATTCCCGCATTCGGTGGGGGCGTGGGGAATCCTGGGGGGAGGACGAGGGGGGGGAAGGGGAGGTCGGAGGATGATATGGCTGTGGTGTTTATGGAGGTGGTGGGGCGCACGGTAGTGAGTGTGACGAGGGGGCAGGTGCTGACAGTGCGCTCGTGGAATGCACCAAAGAAGCGCGTGAAAGTGGGAATGGTGAGTGTGGTGATGGGTGAATGAATGCAGGGCTCTGGTTGGGTGTTTGGATGATTGCTGAATGGATGCCATGTCATGTGATGGATGCGGTTTCGCCACTGTGGGGAAAAATCGGTGTTCGCCAATGACCTCCCTCCATCCGCACGTAATCCTTCCAATATCCCTAATGTGCTCTTTCGCCTTCATGCAAATCTGAATTCACTCGAGAGCTTTGCCTCACCTTCTCACCCCCCAATCATCCGCCCTCCCGTCCTAACGAACCGACAGGACTATAGCATCAGCTTGGGTGACCCAAGCCGAGTGTGCAGGATTGGAGCGCCTCTCTCTGCTCCCGGAGCTAGCAGCCACGGCGACTGCTTCGGGGTCGTACCAGGAGCCACCTCAGCATTCCTCTTCTCTGGGGGCCACTGGGACAATGCCATTCGCAGCACGTCCGTAGACGATGCTGCCACTGTTCAGGCGTTGCAGCAGCACAGTGACCTCGTCACTTGCCTTTCAGGTGTGCTAACTTCTGCTTTCAACTCACTGTTAGTACGGTTCAGTTGTTTTGCCTAGCTGTTGAAGACTGCTGAACACAGTGACAGTAGGCAGTTGCAGCAGCGCACCCCAGATTTTTAAATTTCCGGTATCATTTCAGCCACCTCGTGTCCCATTTACTGGCAAGCCATTCAAACAATCAATCACTTCTCTCCCCCCTTTCCGGCACCCTCGTATGCTGCCCCACTCAGTGTCCAATGACGGTAACTGGCTCGCCACAGGCAGCCGAGACACAACAGTCATGATCTGGCGCATCGACCACCTGGGAGCGCACACACATGCTCAAGGTGACCCCTTCATATCCTCCAAGCCCCGCGCAGTGCTCTGCTCCCACGACGACGCTGTCACCGCTGTCATCGCCTCCTCCGAGCTAGATCTGATTCTCTCCGCCTCTCTGGATGGCTCCCTCGTCTTTTCCAATCTCCGCACCGCCCGGTTCCTGCGGTCGCTGCAACACCCCAACGACTGCGCAAACGAGGCGCTGCGCATCGCCCTCTCCGCGCCTCTCGCTCGCGTTGCAGTCTACTCCGACGCCGCCCGCATGCTCCACGTGTGCTCCATCAACGGGGGGTGGCTGGAACATGCACTAGTGGACGAACCGATCACGCATCTGACCTTGTCTCGTTGTGGAGAGTTCCTCGTCACGGCGTGCAGCGCAGGGTGGGACACTGGAGGGGCGGGCGGTGGAAGAGGGGGGGGTGGCAGTGGTCGGGGGGGGGGAGGATCAGAAGCGGGGATGGTAGTGGTGAGATCCATGCACACGCTTGAGCCACTGCTGCTTTTTGATGGGGTGGGGTCGCCAGCAGCATCGATCACAACGACTGAGGAGGACGCCATTCTTGTGGGCCTTGAGGATGGCAGGATGCTGCTGTATGCTCTCAAGCTCTCCTCGCATTAGCCATCCCTACACTACCCAATGCAACGACCCTGTACATCTCCTCACGCCAGCTCTCGATCACATTCTCTTGGGCTCCTCCCTACCGTTCAAAGCCACTTTGCCTGTTATCCATGCTTGAAGCTCCTCCTGCCCAGAGCTTTTACGGCGTAACAGACCGTTTATTTCAGCCGTACCAGCTACAGCTTTATCCCTGTGTTATATCACAATCAATAGGATGTGGGAGAATGGAGGAGAGCACCAGAGGTGGCAGACAGCTGACTTGTGGTTCTGTGTGAAACTTTCTATTGCCCTGTGTTTTCTTTTTGCTTCCTGCTTGGCTTGGTTCCATCTAATGTGCGCTGGTGTGCCTAGGCCAAACAGTTAGTGTTAGAATCTAGGAGGTGTCACTGCCACCAGCTGTGTGGAAGTAAACACCAAAGACTTTACTGCTAAAGCATTTGGCACATCTATAATGGTTTACTTTTAGGGCACATTGTCTGCTAGTGCCTAAAGTGTTTGTGGTGCTACAGAAGTGTTGCCAAAACGTCTGATTAATGCCCCATGTGGGGTTACATTTTAATCAGCCTTGGTGTTATCCAGCTGCTGTAAACACAACAGCCTTGGCATCGATACATCACCTGTCACTTTCACAGTATCACTCCTTTTTCAAGCATTTCCTAATAATGGCTGGCTTTAGCTGCCCTTGGTACACCACAACCGCAATAACAAGCGTGAAGAGCGAGCAGAGGAACCCACTAGCCATGGCGACCCCCACCTCTCTGGACCAGCTACCCTCCCCTGCAGCAACCGACCACCAGTCACTCTCCCCTCCTCTCCTCAGCCCCAAACTGGACTCCGTCTGAAAGCTGTGGTGGTGAAACCACACCACGGAGCCATGCAGGCCCACTAACCCGCCCTGCTTCACCAGCTGCATGTGGTCTGCTACAGGGTACACAGCAGCTCCGATGATTCGGTTCTTGTATGCGTGGAAGACAAGGTTTATGCGGTTATTCACTCTGAGTATGTCCTTTACTGAGCTCGCAGTGCCAAGAGATACTGCATTGGCCCCGGATTTGTTGCTCCAGCTGCTGTCACTGGCATTGCTGCTGCTGCTGCTGCTGATGGTGCCGCTGTTGCTGCTTCTGTCTGTAAGCTTGTGATAGGAGCCCATGAGGAGGAAGGTAAGCGGCACAAACGATTGGTTCCTGGGATCTGCTGCCACGCGGCATTGCCACGTCAGGTCCTGCTGCACAAGCTGCGCTAACCGGTCGTACTCCGCAGCAGTTCGCACCTCGAGACTGCAGTAACGGTAGATATTGACGCCAACGAAGACGGACAATGGACGGCCGGATTCGAAGCACAGGGGTCCTGGACCCCAGGGATCGGACGGCGAGTGGCGGCACTCGAACACCACCTCGTCGCCCTCCTTGTAAACGGACGGCACGGATGGATCCACGTGGGATGCATGTCTGCCTGAATGATGGATTTGTACATCAGATTTGCTGTCTTGATCGACGCCGCTGTACACATTGCGAGCTTGGACTAGGGCTAACGGGAGATGTCTTGAAATGGCGGGATGAGTTGATGAGCGAATATTTAGAATGCTGGGGACAACCGTAAGGGTAAGGAGGAAGGCGGGAAAGGAACGGATTAGAAAGGTGAGGCTGGAGGACGGGCAGAGGCGGCGACGCGACGGTCTGATGTACGGGGGGAGCATCGTGGCTGTATGGGGTGCTCTTCTGACGAGTCACGACTTCCCTATTGATAGATGCTCGGCCTGTCAATGCTGCTGAAATACCACTGATCCTGTGAAGTTACGGATGAATGGGAGCTGCAGCACTTGAGCACGGGAACAAGCCATGGATGGAAATTTGTCAATCCTGCTTTCGTGATGGTCGGCGGTCGCTGGTCAAGAATCTGGGGGGGAGGTGATGAAGGCTGTGGTGGGTTCGACGAGCAACAAGCCAAATCTGCCAATTCGTTCTACCGAATTTGCGAAAGGTATGTTTCAGTGTAGACAAACGGACGCAGGAGAGTCATCACGCAACTATTTTACCCATGTTGTAGAATGCGTAAACCAATAGTACACCCCATGCATTCTTACAACGCGTATATATCGTCTGACAGCTTCTTCAGCAGCAAAGCCACATGCATGTGCGGTGCCATTTCCCGCGCAGCTCACCACTCCCACCATGTGCTGCTGGCATTGCGAGTCGCGTGGTGGTGCCTCGCCCCACCCACCTCGTCTCCTGCAGCCTGCTCTCGGCATTCCCAAGGCCACTATCAGAGCCAAGGGGGACGTGTGCAGGAGGAGCAGCAGAAGCGAGACGATGCGACGCGATAGAGTGATCTCTGAGGAAATCAAAACGGCCCGGGCAAGCACCTCAGCACTGATTATTTTCCCCGCTCCTGAACCGTGGATTGTACTCCGTCCTAGCATCCCAAGCGTTCATTGACGTTGCGCTTTCGGCGTCGTTTATACTTGCTTTCGAGATATGAAGACTTGCAGACCCGAGTCGAGCGTCATAGGAGGCTAGCGTTGTATCTCGCGCGGAGAATTTGATGAGTTCAGCAAGACCATCGTTGACTTGTAGCCTTGTCCCTTTGCCAATCCCGCCAGTATAGCATAGAAATACTATGAGCCTATAGTTCACGCCGTCTTGTTCGTCTCCAAATGCAAGTTGATTGTCCACTCATGACACGTGGGACTCTACTTCGTCCGATTAACTAGCCTACATTGCTCCTTAGAAGCTAGCAGCATGCGGTCTGCGCTAGTATCATAAGGTCGAACCCGTTATAAAGTCGCTGTTGAAACGTCTCAAAGCTAGATCCGTAGCACAATGGAGCACCACGTGGACCATGTGGACCACGTGGACCATGTGCCAACTCGTTGCGGCGCCATGGCCCGACAGTCGCAGCAGCGTTTCGGCTCCACTCCGTTTATCGCGTTCATTATATCACTCTCCCTCATAATCTTCTCACTCATTCTCAGTCCTGCAGCAGCAGAGTCGATTCAAGCTTCTCCTAAGCGGCACATTAGAGGACTGCTCGACCTTGTCAGTGACCCCTTCAACGGCTCGATCCCGTCTTTCTTCCTCGGCGCGACGCCGCTCTCCACGGCGTCGCAGCGCGTGCTTCTGGGCCAGGCTCTAGGCGAGGAGCCCGCGGCGCCCACGCAGCTATCGTCTGTGCAGTCCTCTGTTGTACTGGCGACCGATCACTCATTACGACAGTCGCCAGAATTGTCGCTAAGACAGTCGTCAAAACAGTCGCTAGGACAGACGACAAAACAGTGGCTAGAACAGTCATCAGGGCAGTTGCCAGAACAGTCGTTAGAACAGTCGTCAGGACAGTCGTCAGGACAGTCGTCTGATGAGTCGCCTGTCGTTCTCCCTGCAACATCTGCGACGAAATCTACAGCAGTGAAGCCGCACGATGCCACGTGGACCGCGCTGCACAACAAGTACGCCCGAACCGCCGATCTGCTGCCGTCAGCTGACGTCATCTTCTTTGGCGATTCGCTCACTGAGGTATGCACCAGGGCGGCCGTCGAAATCGAGGCACTGATGATCGCGACTTGGCAGTCGAATCTTGAATTCGCTGGCGGATCAGGTCTCGTAGCCAGGGGTCTCGTGACGAGAGCCAAGACCTTGCGGGCGAGTTCACGGTCTGACATAGCAGTCCAGTGCAGGCTTGTATGATTGTATCAGTTCTGAGAACCTCAAAAGCATGCCCAATCGAATCTAAGGAACCGGCTTTTATACCTTTTCGTGCCAGCATGCTCAATCACTTACAAAATGTCGTGTCGCTGCCACTCACCTGTAACCAATCTCGCCAGCTCTTCGCCATCCCCCGAATCCGTCGCTTCCACATCTACTACAGGGGTGGCTTGGCACGTTCAAGGGAACGTCGACTGGCCTCTACGCGGGCGTGAGGTCAGTGCCCTTGTCGCCCGGTCGCTGTCGCACAGCTCCAGGGATAGTCGTCACCATCGTCGCATGTCGCGCAGATGGTCGCAGCGAGTGGTTGTCGCAGAGATAGTTTGTCCTAGTTTGGCTAGATGCATCTCTGTCCGGATCGTTCTGACAAGCCACGATGCGGAACCCATGCGCACCGTTATAGACGGGTTGTATGCAGCAAGTTATGATGCCCCCATTACTCGCATCCGTGCTTCTATTGCCAACTCCTTTCCGAATCTTCTCAGAACTCGATGCAGCGAGATGCTCACCTCACTCCCGCCAACGCGTCCCCCTTCATTCAATCTTCCTTCCTTCCACTCGTACCCGCTTCCAAAAAAAAAAAAAAAAAAAAAAAAATCCTCTCATCTCATCCTCTCATCCTCGCATCGTCGCATCCGCCTGTCGTCGCCAGGGGCGTGTTCGAGTCGGTGAAGGCGACGGTGGGTGCGACGGCCGTGCAGGCGTTCGGCATCGCAGGCGACACTGTGGACGACGTGCGCGAGAGAATGGAGGTGCGGTGGGGCCGTGTGTGTGTGTGTCCGTGTGCGTGCGTGGGAATCTCTGATGCAGGGTGTTTTTCAGAATCACCACCGCCTCCCATGCTTCTAATCCTCCTCCTCCTCTCCCCTTCACACCCAGGGCGGCGAGTTCCCCGCATCGCTGCAGCTGCGCGTGGCGGTGGTGTGTGCGGGGATCAACGACGTGTTGCAGGGGAGAACCAGCGCCACCACCACCGCCAGTAAGGTACGCCTGCAGCCTCACACCCTTTCAGCCACACGCCTTTCGTGCCCCCACTGGGAAGAGTAGTTCCCCCCATCGCTGCAGCTGCGCGTGGCAGTGGAGTGTGCTGGGATAAACGACGTGTTGCAGGGGAGAACCAGCGCCACCACCACCGCCAGTAAGGTACGCATGCACTGGCTCAAAGCAAGGTACGAATGCAGCCACACGTCTTCTCACATCCCTCACTTATCCCCTCACATTCCTGCCTCGCCCATCGTTTCCTTCTCTCCCGCTCTATCTCTCCCCGTGCATCTCCCACCCTCCATCTCTCCCCGTGCATCTCCCACCCGCCATCGCTCCCCGTGCATCTCCCACCCGCCATCGCTCCCCGTGCATCTCCCACCCGCCATCGCTCCCCGTGCATCCCTCCCCCTCCGTCCCTCCCCGACCGTCCCTCCCCGCGCCCAGGTGGCATCGCTGGCAGCGAGTGTGCGCAAGGCGCATCCCTCCACCTCCGTGCTCGTGCTGGGGCTGCTACCAGAGGTGAGAGCAGCGAGGTGAGACCAGCGAGGTGAGAGCAGCGAGGTGAGAGTACCGTGCTGGGGCTGCTACCCGAGGTGAGAGCAGCGCACTTGTGGTTCCGCTCACTGATCAGAAGTGACATTGTGTCCTTGCTGCGTTTTCCCTTGATTTTCCTGTGAGCCATCGCGAGTCCTCTGCTGTGGTGTTCTCCTGGCCAAACATCACGTCACTCCTCTGTTGTTTTCTCCTGAACCACCATTTCAGGCGGCCACCAGCAAGAACGTATCGTTGCCTGACCCTGTGCCGGCTCAAGTAAATGTCATCCTCGCCTCAGCCCTCCAATCAGGTACGACCTGAGCATGACGTGGCACTTGCTGATTTGTGGCTGGCGGCATTGCCAATAAACTCGCTACAAGCTCTTTGAATTGCGTGGGGCAGGCAGGAAACTTGCGTTGCCTCAGAGCACGGCCAGCATAAGTACAGTATCCCCTGGACCCCTGCCTATCCCTCTCTTCTCACTCCCCTCCTCCCTTCCTGCCCTCCTCCCCTCCTCCTGTTCCCCCCATCCCTCCGTTGCTGGCCTGCAGTGGACGGGGTGTCGTTCCTCGACTGCTCATAAGTGCAATCCCCTGCTCATCCCCCTCATCCCCCTCCTCCCCTCCTCCTCTCCCTCATGCCCCCCCTCCTCCATCGTTGCTGACCTGCAGTGGACGGGGTGTCGTTCCTCGACTGCTCATCCGCCTTCACCAACCCCGGGGGTTCCATCAATGCAGCCGCCTACGCGCCTGTGAGTTGCGAGCTTGAGTGAGCTTGAGATCTATCTTCGGTGCTGTGCAGTGTGGTGTGGTGCTGGGAGGCCACCAATGCGAGTACATGCCCCCTCCCCATGCACCCACATGCTGCCCTGCAGGACTCGTTCCACTGTCCGTCCGTGTCTCATGCCGCTTCTCTTCTCCCCACTTGCCTGCACTGCCCTGCGTGCCCCCCCCCCACAGGACTCCTTCCGCTACCTGCACCTGTCAGCAGCGGGCTACAAGGCAAGGTCTGCACCCTCTCACCCCTCCGTACCGCACTGCACTCCGTCCCATCGCCCTCACAGGACTCCTTTCGCTACCTGCATCTGTCAGCAGCGGGCTACAAGGCATGGTCGGGATGCTTCTCACCACAAGTCAAGACCATGCTCAAGTGAGACGGGGGGCGGAACTGGAGATCTGCTGTTGGTGATTCTCTGTTTGGTAGAATCTATCTAAACACACCTGCAGCAAGAGGCACGTCAAGGCCCTGCTCAAGTGAGATGGGGAGCGGTGCTGTGGGGTACCGGGGGACTGTGGAGGAGGCTGATGTAAGTGAAAAGGAGAGTGAGGCGGGGCCGTGGGCATGCTGACGCGTGGGCCTGTGCATTCGTTTGCCCTCGGATGAAATGCCGTTGGCGTGGGGGTGCATGGAGGGGCATGGAGGGGCATGGAGGGGCATGGAGGGGCATGGAGGGGCATGGAGGGGCATGGAGGGGCATGGAGGGGTACGGAAGTGCTTGTTGCCTTTGGGACGGGAGTGCAGGGGAACGAATGGGTGTTGGCAGTGCTACAGCCATGTTCAGAATCTGCTCTTCACCAATCACTTCCTCGCACCTTCTCTCTTCGCCCTCTCACTGCCTTCGTCCTCCCCATCTCACCCCATCCGCAGGGAAGCATCAGCCAGCCCTGCCGTACCCACGTCTCCAGCCCGCACTCCCTCCACCCCTCCCCTCTCCAACGCACCTCCCTCCAAGCCCTCGCCTCCGCCTCTCAAGTCGCCCCCCACCAGCTCGCCTGTGCCCTCCGACTCACCTCCTCGCAAGCAGCCCTCGCAGCACCCACCAAAGGGGAAGGCACCGTCTGCCAACTCAACGAAAACAAAGTCACCACCCTCCAAAGCTTCTCCCTCCAAAGCTGCTCCCTCCAAATCTCCTCCTTCCAAATCTCCTCCTTTCAAATCTCCTCCTCCTCCCTCGAAAGACTCTTCCTCCAAAAACACTTCCGCCAAAGCACCCCCGACCAAAGCCCCGCCCTCCAAGGCACCCCCATCCAAAGCCCCCCCCTCCAAGGCGCCCCCAACCAATGCTCCCCCGTCCAAAGCCCCTCCCCAGCAATCATCCCCAGTCAAGCCCCCCCCAGCTGCGCCCTCCCTCCCCTCCCCTGCTGCTCCCTCCCTTCCCCCTCCCTCCCCATCCAACCTTCCCACCTCCTGCACACCCAATCGCACTTCCGTCTCACCTGCTAAACTCCCTGCGAAGCCCTCTGCCAAGCCCTCTGCTTCAAAGAGCCGTTCCCCTCACAAGTCGCATGCAAAGAAGCAGTCACCTTATAAGCAGCCCCCTTATAAGCGCACCCCGTCAAAGGAGCCACCAGCATCTGACCTCCCTCCGCCTGCCTCAGTGCCTGCTTCCAACGAAACGGGTAATTCCAGTCATCAAAGCCCCAACACTGGGTCTAAACCCGCAAACCACCCGTCCGAACCTGCTGTTGAACCGGGTCCCAAGTCGTTCAAGCCTGGAAAAAACACCTCCGAGCCTGAACCGAGCCTCTCTGATCCCGAGCATGGCCCTTCAAAGCCTGGGGGAGGTCCCTCCGAGCCAAAAGGCACTCCATCCGAACCTGAGACAAGTCCTTCTGAGGCAGACGGCTCGACAGGTTCGGGGATCAAGAGGATGAAGGGGCGGGACGCTGAGCACCCGTACAAGCCTGGGGGCATGAGCAGTGGGGGTGGGGAGGGCAGTGGGGGTGGGGAGGGCAGTGGGGATGGAAGCACTGGGTCCAGTGGCAGTGGCAGTGGCAGCGGCAGTGGCAGTGGAAGTGGCAGCAGCGGTGGTGGTGGTAGTGGCGGCAGCACTGGCAATGGGACGAATGGGGATGTGACACAAGGGAATGTGACAACTGGGAATGTGACACGTGGCAATGTGAAAGAGGGCAACGTGACGGGTGGGAGGAGAGGGCCTACGATAGCCAATCCAGTGGAGAAGCAACCAGCCTCTGACACCGCGCCATCTACCCCGGCTAAATTGCCCCCTGCTGCGGTGAGTTTTGATTCGCCTCAAAAGTCGTTTCTCTACCCGTAATCCGGTGGAGAAGCGACCACCCTCTGACACCGTGCCGTCTACCCCGGCTAAACTGCCCCCTGCTGCGGTGAGTTTTGATTCGCCTCAAAAGTCGTTTCTCTACCCGTAATCCAGTGGAGAAGCGACCACCCTCTGACACCGTGCCGTCTACCCCGGCTAAACTGCCCCCTGCTTTTGTGAGTGCCGCCCCATGCATGCTTTTGAGTCGACTAAAAAAAGCCACTGTGCCATCCGCCTCAGTTAAATCGCCCCTGGACACCCCATGCATGCTCCCACCTCAGCCGTTTGCTTCTTGCCTGCAGCGTACGCCTTAATCCAGCCTTCCACGGCCGTGTCCATGTCCGTGCCCGTGCCCATGCCCATGACCGTGCCCATGCCCGTGCCCATGACCATGCCCATGCCCATGCCCATGCCCATGCCCATAACCATGTCCATCGAACCCATGTCCATCCCCCATTCCGTCCCCATGCCCACCCGCAGCAACCACAGAGGCCTCTTCCCTCCGCCACGCCGTCACTTCCTGTGAGTCCCAGTACCTCTTGCTCTGCACCCCTTGGGCACATTTTCATAGCACACTCTCTCACCCCTTGGGCACATTTTCATAGCACACTCTCTCACCCCTTGGGCACATTTTCATAGCACACTCTCTCACCCCTCGGGCACATTTTCATAGCACACTCTCTCACCCCTTGGGCACATTTTCATAGCACACTCTCTCACCCCATATGTCTGTATCCGAGTGTGCTGCCCTTGCGTTGCCATCAGCATCAGCATCACTATCCGTCCACAAAAAGTCATGCTACTCATGCACTTCAGCAGCCCTCTCGTTCTCGTTTTCCCCCTTTTCCCCCTTCTCCATTTCCTCCCCAACAGGTTTCGCTGCCTCCCCTGCCTCCTCTTCCCATACCATCTCCTCGCCCCACGCTGCTTCCTCCCGTCGCTACCCCGTCGTCTCCAGCCCCCTCTGCACCTGCTCATCCCCGGTACCCAGAGCTTGTCGTCCCTCCTCATTCACCAACTGCACCCGCATCAGCACCAACACCAGCACCAGCAGCGGCAACACCAGCACCAGCACCCACGGAAGCACCAGCATCAGCACCCCTTCCTGTCATCCCTGTAGTCTCACCTGCCCCGTCGCCCAACCCGCCTGCCTCTGCTCCCTCATCCTCCCCAGCCCCCACACCCGCCCCCGTGCCCAAAGCAGCGCCTACTCCTCGGGTCCCTCCCACCCCGCAACCACTACCTGCTAGACCTCCTATCGCATCTCCCGACCCCTCTCCTATTCCTACTCCCACTCCTATTCCAGCTCCTACTCCTAATCCTGCTTCTGCTCCTAGTGCTCCTGGTACTACTAATGCGGCGACTCGAACGCCGCTCGCTGTGCCCACCGTACCAACTGCGGTTGGCTCAAACCCTCAAACGCCAATGGAGACAAATCCGAATAGTAATTTGCCAACCACACCTGCCACCAGAGATGCGGGAATGCCAGGATTTGCAGCCGTGAGGAGCTCTGCACCGCCCGTCGTCCCGTTATGGCCTCCCAGTAAAGGAGCAATAGATATACTACAAAGCAACAACGGCCTGTACACGTTTTTAGCAATTCTCGTTATGTCGATCCTTTTCAGTTAAGAATGTCTATGCCATTAGATTTTTGAATCGTCTATTGGAAGGAGAAAACCTGGCACTTCCTCTGTATTTATATAGCGATATTGGTATGATATAAATATATTGTAGGCAGACTAGCTTTTCTGTAGCATGAAGAGTGTATTGCACATTCGGACACAATCCCCCCTCGTTGAAGCGAGCAACATTCTATCGCAGCATCTCAAGCAACGCCTCGGACCAGACGGGACCCGCCTGATTCGGGAAATGCAGGACTGACAGCAGCAACGCATACAAAGCATGAGCCGAGACGAGTGAGTAACGTGTCGAGAGTTTCGAGAGTGTCGAGTAGCGTCTGCAGTTGGTCGTGAGTATCCAGCTTTGAAGCCTTTCACGCATCCTTCCTGTTTCAGAACGCGTGGTGCGGCGCGCCAGTCTCAGCGACCCTCGCAGGCGTGGCTCAGTCGTCCGTTAGATTGTCTCCGAATCGGCAATCCCGGTGAAGCCTCGTGTCTCGTCCGTCCACAGCGTCGGCCTCGTCAACTCCTTTAGGGGAGTTGAAGAGTTGAAAGATTGTCTCCCAATCGGCAACTCCTAGACTCTTTCAACTCTTCGCAGCTCCACGGCTCGTCTCGACGGCCACTCTCGACTCTTCAGGTCTCGACGGGCTCGCTCGACGGCCTCGCTCGACGGGCTCGTCAACTCCTAGGCTCTAGCTCTCTGACCCGGTAGCTGCTCCCTAGTAGGCCGATTCAGTCTGATTCACTCCCACTTGCTTTAGCTCTCCGACCCGGTTCAGTGCGATTCCGTGCGGTCGCATTTAGTCTTGGGATTTGATACATGGCGGCATCCGCGGCACCGTCGCCGCGGTGGTTGTGTCAGAGGTGCGGCACACGGCTCGAGGTCACAGGGCTGGACGGCCTGGCTCTCAGCGCGTCCTCGCTCAGCCAATCAGCGGCGGACGCGCTGGGCGCGTCGCGATGCGGCGCGCCGCACGCCGCCGCGAATTCCGCGTCGATGCTGGATCAGTCGTTCGTCGTGCTGCCGCCCAACTCCTCCGCGTTTCACGGCGCGTCTTACGGCGCCCCTCACGCGCCTCGTCATGGAGCCGCTGGTGGGGCGATCCGACCGTCGATTAACTCTGCGATCAGTGCTCCGCCGTCGATTCCGCGCCCCCCTATAGGCAGTCCCAGTTCCCTTCATCCCTCGTCTGCCGCCTTGTCTCCCGCTGCGGGATCAGCTGGTACATCGCACCCAGCGTCCATCCCGGAAGAGCATCAGCCGCGGCTGCAGCAGCAGCAGTTTCATTCGCAGGATCAATCCCAACCGCATCCCCAGCAGGGACCATCGACGGCTGAGATTCATTCTCACAGCCAGTCTCAGTCTCATGTTCATCCGCAGCAGCATCAGCCGCCACCAATCAGAGCCGCGCATCTGCCAACCATTGGGGGACACGTGGCGTTCCAATCACACGCGGCCTTCCAATCGCCCTTGGGTCGCAGGGGTGAGTGCGGTGATGTTTTGCCTGGATAAGGGGAACCGAGGCTTTCTCACTGTGAGTGCAAGTGAAGGTGCGAGGAACACTGCACTTCCTCTGTAATGTTTTTTCTTGCTCTGGTAACCCCCTCATCACCTCACTCTGTTCATCTCCTGTGTTTCTCACCTATCTGCCCATCCCCACTTGTCTCCCTCTCACCCCTCCGCTGCGCCCCTCCCCTGCGCCCCTCCTGCGCCCATCAGCGCCCCCCGCCCATCTGGACGAGTCGTTTGTGGTGCTACCCGGCTCGGCTGCTTCTGGTAGCTCCCCTCCCACCACCTCTGCCTCCTACTCGCCTTGCTTCCTTACCTTCCTCTCCTTTGCTCCTCCCTCTCGTTTCCCCCCTTCCACCACTCCAGCGCCCGCCGCCCGTCTGGACGAGTCGTTTGTGGTGCTGCCTGGCTCGGCTGCTTCTGTCTACGGCGCCCCTGCCCTCCCCCACGCGCCCTCCTCCTCCTCCTCCTCGCACGCCCGCCCTTCGCCCCACACCCACCCCTTCCCCCTACCCCCCACCGTGTCCGGTGCTGCTGCTAACGCAGCCGTAGCTGTCACTGCAGCTGCCGCTGCTGCTGGTGCTGCTGCTGCTGCTGTTGATGGTGCTGCTGGTGCTGCTGCTGCTGGTGCTGGTGCTGCTGCTGTTGATGGTGCTCCGTCCCTTGTGTCTGAGTGCTTGACTCACCGGGGCGAGAGCTCAGGTTCGGAACAGGTGCAGCCGGAGAATGTGACGGTGAGGATCGGTTCAGAGGGGTCTGCTGCTGATGAGGAGAGAGGGAGAGGAGGGGGTGAGGAAGAAGAAAGGAGAGGGAGTGTGGAGGGAGGAGGTGAAAGAGGGGATGGTGTGATAGGAGGGTTGGAGAGAGGAGGTGATGGAGAGGAAGAGCGAATTGGTGGCGAGAGTGACAGTGGCGAGAGTGGTAACCAGCAAGGAGAGGAACAGCAACAACAACAACAACAACAGCAGAAAAAGCAGCAGCAAGTCAAAGAGAGGGGCGGTGAGAGGCGGGCAAGGGAGGCGCAGGCGGGGGCGGGGGGTCTGGCGGGGCAGATAGAGGCGGTGGACCGGGTGTTTGACCTGGTGGCGCTGCGCACCAAGGTGGAGATGCCCCTCTGCTGCCACTGCGCGCACCACGTTTGTCGAGAGATTGATGCTCAGGTGAGGTGCGGTGCGGTGTGATGGGGTGGGGTTGGGTGCGGGGCAGGTAAAGGAGTGTTTGACCTGGTGGCGCTGAGGACCAAGGTGGAGATGCCCCTCTGCTGCCGCTGCGCCCACCACGTGTGCCGGGAGATTGATGCCCAGGTGCGGTGCGGTGCAGTGCGGTGAGGGGCAGTGGGGTGTGGTGGGGTAAGGTGTGGTGAGGTGCAGTGGAGTGGGGTGGAGTGCAGTGTGTTGCGGTGGAGTGGGGTGGGCCTGGCGGGGCAGATAGAGGCGGTGGACCGAGTGTTTGACCTGGTGGCGCTGAGAACCAAGGTGGAGATGCCCCTCTGCTGCCACTGCGCGCACCACGTTTGCCGGGAGATCGACGCCCAGGTGTGGTGCGATGCTGTGCGGTGGAGTGGGGTGGGGTGGGGTGGGGTGCGGTGAGGTGCGGTGAGATGGGTTTGATGTCCAGGTGTGGTGAGGTATGGTGGTGTTAGGATGAGGAGGTGGAGATAAGGAAGGTGGTGCTCAGTTGAGGCTGCGTTTGATGTGCTTTGATGTGGTTAGGGGTGAGAGCATCCATGGGTTTGATGTGCGATCAATGCTGTGTGCATGTGTGCATGTGTGCATGTGTGCATGTGTGCATGTGTTCTCTCACATCCATGCATGCATCCATCCACGCGTCCACACATCCATAACCCATGCATGCATCCATCCCTCCATGCTCCACCCAATGCATCCGTGCATGCAGGTGAGGGAAGCAGAGGAGGAGATAGCAGCATACGAAGCAGCGCTACACTCCATCCTTGCCACCTCCCCTGCCGCCGCCTCCTCCTCCAAGCACCATCCCTTCCCGATCAACCATGCGAATACTGCATTCGCCACCACTGCTGCCGGTGGGGCGCCCATGGGGGAGGACGCATTCAGGCAGCACATGACCGAGGTGAGATGGCTAAGGCCTTTGATTATGCCTGCCACGCTTCGTATTTATGCCGTGCAGCACAACTCGCCTCGGTACTGCAAGCCACACCCGCCGTGAGGTTAACCACCCATGCCATATGTAACTCATTTCGTCATCCCATCCCACGCCATGGGATGCCATATCTATCCCATGCCACCCTCCCATCCCTTCCATCCCATGCTGCCACCGTCCATCCATGCCATGCCACCACCATCCCATTCCTTCGATACGGCATGGCAACAGGTGGAGGAGGAGGAGAGGCGGCTGCAGCAGGAGGCGGAGGATTTGGAGCAGCAGAGGTGACCTTTGAGTCGACCCAAAAGTCATCCCATCTCGTCCCATTCCTTCCCATGGCATGGCACGGCAACAGGTGGAGGAGGAGGAGCGGCGGCTGCAGCAGGAGGCGGAGGAGCTAGAGCAGCAGAGGGCGCAACTGAGGGCGCAACTGGGGGAGGTGGAGGCGGAGCAGGCAGAGCTTGATGCTGCTGAGGAGAGGTGGGTAGGGTGGGGGATAGAGTGAGTGTTTAGAGTCCACTCAAAACACACCTGAGGGCGCAGCTGAGGGCGCACCTGGGGGAGGTGGAGGCGGAGCAGGCTCAGCTGGACGCTGCTGAGGAGAGGTGGGTGGGGGGGATGTTTTGGGTCGACTCAAAACACACCTGAGCGAGCAGCTGAGCGCTCAGCTGGGGGTGCAGCTGGGGGTGCAGCTGAGGGCGCAACTGGGGGAGGTGGAGGCGGAGCAGGCTCAGCTGGACGCCGCTGAGGAGAGGTGCGTAGGGTAGGGGGGGTGTTAAGGGGGAGTGTTTTGGGTCGAATCGAAACACACCTGAGCGCTCAGCTGAGGGCGCATCTGGGGGAGGTGCAGGCGGAACAGGCTCAGGTGGAATTGCTGAGGCGAGGTGCGGGCGGAAAGGGAAAAGGTTTGGGAAGGTGGGGGGAAAACGAGCAGGTAAGAAGGTGTAGAAAGGGAGCAGTGGTTTTGCGCCAATTTGCACGTCTATGTCCCGGCTGGCAAGCTGACTCACACATCCTAGCTGAAGTTTCTGCCTTTGCTATCCTTTTCCTGTCCCTCCTTGCCTATGGCAGGTACTGGCACGAGTTCAACGAGTTTCAGTACCAAGTGTCCGTGCATCAGGTAGGGTGGTCCAGGTGCAGTGCATCAGGTAGGGTGGTCCAGGTGCAGTGCATCAGGTAGGGTGGTCCAGGTGCAGTGCATCAGGTAGGGTGGTCCAGGTGCAGTGGTGGTGCTGTGTGCTGCAGTGCTGCAGGTGGGGCAGGTGGGGTGCTACAGTTGATAGTGATCAAACACCTGCCAGGTGGGTTGTTGCTGGTGAAAGCTTGCCAGGTTTTGGTGACACAAGGTGGCCTTTCAGGTGATCAAGCAGGTGCCAGTTTGAGGTGAAGACAGTAGCTGTTGCATCTGATTTCCACATCTCTTCGCAGCTGTAAGTAAGAGCTTGAGCTTGGACTTTCTTGAGAAACCATAGAAGCCACTCGGCGCCTCCATCCCTTTGCCTCCCACACCCCCCACCTTGTGTCGTGGCCCATCACGGGAGGCGAGGCATGGTTTCTTGGCGTCTATAGAGGCGGCAGCAGCGCAGTCAGCGCAGTCAGACGCGTTGGGGCGCAGCTTTATGCTCAACGATGCCTTCCACATCTGGCACGACGGGGACTCTACTCAGTTCCTGCCTGCACCCGAATGTCCCCTCCCTCCGCTGCCCCTCCACCACACCACCCACCCAACCTTCTGTCATCGCCCATCACAGGAGGCAAGGGACGGTCTACTGGCATCTATAGAGGCGGCAGCAGCCCAATCAGACGCGTTGAGGCGCAGCTTTGTGTTGAACGATGCCTTCCACATCTGGCACGACGGGGACTTTGGCACCATCAACAACCTGCGCCTTGGCCGCCTGCCCTCCGTGCCTGTGAGTGTGCTGTGCTGTGCTGTGCTGTGCTGTGCTGTGCTGTGCTGTGCTGTGCTGTGCTGTGCTGTGCTGTGCTGTGCTGTGCTGTGCTGTGCTGTGCTGTTCTGTGCTGTGCTGTGCTGTGCTGTGCTGTGCTGTGCTGTGCTGTGCTGTGCTGTGCTGTGCTGTGCTGTGCTGTGCTGTGCTGTGCTGTGCTGTGCTGTGCTGTGCTGTGCTGTGCTCAACGACACCTTTCACATCTGGCACGACGGGGACTTCGGCACCATCAACAACCTTCGCCTTGGCCGCCTGCCCTCCGTGCCCGTGAGTGAGGGGGGCCGTTGCTGTCCGTGCCCGTGAGCGCTTTTTCTGAGGGCTTCCGATCATGGTGAGATGTTTCACTCTGTGGATCAATCCTCTTCACTCTGCCCCCCACTTTTGTTCGCTCTCTCGCCCCTTTCCCTCCCCCTCACCCTGCCTGGTCCGCTCCGCAGGTGGAGTGGGAGGAGCTGAACGCAGCATGGGGCCAGGCGTGCCATCTGCTCTTCACACTAACTCCTTCCCCCCTCCCCTTCCTCTTTCTCGATTTGCAGGTGGAGTGGGAGGAGCTGAACGCAGCATGGGGCCAGGCGTGCCATCTGCTCTTCACACTAACTCCTTCCCCCCTCCCCTTCCTCTTGCTCGATTTGCAGGTGGAGTGGGAGGAGCTGAACGCAGCATGGGGGCAGGCGTGTCACCTGCTCTTCACGCTCGCCCGCATTGCCAACTGCCCCATCGCGTAACGCACCTTTCACCCTCCACCCTCCACCCACCAACCACCACCCACACGCTTCTCGCTCTGCTTGCTCATGGTCCTGCATTGCCCGCTGTGCACAGTCCTATCGCGTCGTACATGCTCTGCCACGCACATGCATGACTGTGCATGCGATTCACCTCCTGCCTTGCCATGAGCACGCCAACTCATGAGGGCCATGTGCACACATGGCCATGTGCACACACCATATGCACACACCATGTGCACACACCATGTGCACTCCTTTCCACCAGCGCTCGCCCATCAGTGCTGCAGTCGATCCCTGTCTCTCATGAGCCCTACCAATCAACTAAATCATCATGAGCACTACTAAGCTGTCTAAATTTACTTCTTTGTCCCCTGTGTCCCTTCCCTTGCACCTCTCGCCCTGCAGGCATCGTATCATCCCAATGGGCAGCTTCCCTCGCATCTCCGACGGTCACAACCAGTTTGAGCTGTACGTGCCGTGCCGTGCATGGGTAGCGCTGCTACTTTCATGTCAAATCAAATGTGACTTTTGAGTCGACTTGGCGTTTGAGTTGACTCAAAGGCCACTTCAGTTTCCCGCGAATCTCCCAACAGCCACAACCAGCTTGAGCTGTACGTGCCAACCACAGGTAGTGCTCTTGCATGTTCTGCATGCCATACATGTTTCATCGAGGCACTGCCATCCATCCAGGCACTGCCATCCATCCAGGCACTGCCATCCATACAAGTGCTGCACTGCTGTTTCGCCGCTGTGTGCTGCGACATTAAAACAGATCCTTCCCCTCCACGTGCTCCTTCCTCCTTCCCCATCACCCTGGCCAACCGGGTGCCATGGTAACGAGGTGACTTTTGAGTCGACTCAAAAGCCAACCGGGCCATGAACCTGTTTTGGAGCCCACACACACGTCAACTCGTTTATCCCTCTACACCATTTCCCGTCTACCATCCCACTTCCTCCCTTCCCCCTCCCCAGCTTCGGTCCAGTGAATCTGTTTTGGAGCACGCGCTACGACCGAGCAATGCTGCTCTCCCTGCACGCCCTCACTCACTCCATCCCATCTTACATACATCTGCCTCCCTAACATAAATCCCTGCCCCATCACTTGCACCTTCCTCCCTTCCCTCTCCCCAGTTTCGGTCCAGTGAATCTGTTTTGGAGCACGCGCTACGACCGAGCAATGCTGCTCTCCCTGCACGCCCTCACTCACTCCATCCCATCTTACATACATCTGCCTCCCTAACATAAATCCCTGCCCCATCACTTGCACCTTCCTCCCTTCCCTCTCCCCAGTTTCGGTCCAGTGAATCTGTTTTGGAGCACGCGCTACGACCGAGCAATGCTGCTCTCCCTGCACGCCCTCACTCACTCCATCCCATCTTACATACATCTGCCTCCCTAACATAAATCCCTGCCCCATCACTTGCACCTTCCTCCCTTCCCTCTCCCCAGTTTCGGTCCAGTGAATCTGTTTTGGAGCACGCGCTACGACCGAGCAATGCTGCTCTCCCTGCACGCCCTCACTCACTCCATCCCATCTTACATACATCTGCCTCCCTAACATAAATCCCTGCCCCATCACTTGCACCTTCCTCCCTTCCCTCTCCCCAGTTTCGGTCCAGTGAATCTGTTTTGGAGCACGCGCTACGACCGAGCAATGCTGCTCTCCCTGCACGCCCTCACTCACTCCATCCCATCTTACATACATCTGCCTCCCTAACATAAATCCCTGCCCCATCACTTGCACCTTCCTCCCTTCCCTCTCCCCAGTTTCGGTCCAGTGAATCTGTTTTGGAGCACGCGCTACGACCGAGCAATGCTGCTCTCCCTGCACGCCCTCACTCACTCCATCCCATCTTACATACATCTGCCTCCCTAACATAAATCCCTGCCCCATCACTTGCACCTTCCTCCCTTCCCTCTCCCCAGTTTCGGTCCAGTGAATCTGTTTTGGAGCACGCGCTACGACCGAGCAATGCTGCTCTCCCTGCACGCCCTCACTCACTCCATCCCATCTTACATACATCTGCCTCCCTAACATAAATCCCTGCCCCATCACTTGCACCTTCCTCCCTTCCCTCTCCCCAGTTTCGGTCCAGTGAATCTGTTTTGGAGCACGCGCTACGACCGAGCAATGCTGCTCTCCCTGCACGCCCTCACTCACTCCATCCCATCTTACATACATCTGCCTCCCTAACATAAATCCCTGCCCCATCACTTGCACCTTCCTCCCTTCCCTCTCCCCAGTTTCGGTCCAGTGAATCTGTTTTGGAGCACGCGCTACGACCGAGCAATGCTGCTCTCCCTGCACGCCCTCACTCACTCCATCCCATCTTACATACATCTGCCTCCCTAACATAAATCCCTGCCCCATCACTTGCACCTTCCTCCCTTCCCTCTCCCCAGTTTCGGTCCAGTGAATCTGTTTTGGAGCACGCGCTACGACCGAGCAATGCTGCTCTCCCTGCACGCCCTCACTCACTCCATCCCATCTTACATACATCTGCCTCCCTAACATAAATCCCTGCCCCATCACTTGCACCTTCCTCCCTTCCCTCTCCCCAGTTTCGGTCCAGTGAATCTGTTTTGGAGCACGCGCTACGACCGAGCAATGCTGCTCTCCCTGCACGCCCTCACTCACTCCATCCCATCTTACATACATCTGCCTCCCTAACATAAATCCCTGCCCCATCACTTGCACCTTCCTCCCTTCCCTCTCCCCAGTTTCGGTCCAGTGAATCTGTTTTGGAGCACGCGCTACGACCGAGCAATGCTGCTCTCCCTGCACGCCCTCACTCACTCCATCCCATCTTACATACATCTGCCTCCCTAACATAAATCCCTGCCCCATCACTTGCACCTTCCTCCCTTCCCTCTCCCCAGTTTCGGTCCAGTGAATCTGTTTTGGAGCACGCGCTACGACCGAGCAATGCTGCTCTCCCTGCACGCCCTCACTCACTCCATCCCATCTTACATACATCTGCCTCCCTAACATAAATCCCTGCCCCATCACTTGCACCTTCCTCCCTTCCCTCTCCCCAGTTTCGGTCCAGTGAATCTGTTTTGGAGCACGCGCTACGACCGAGCAATGCTGCTCTCCCTGCACGCCCTCACTCACTCCATCCCATCTTACATACATCTGCCTCCCTAACATAAATCCCTGCCCCATCACTTGCACCTTCCTCCCTTCCCTCTCCCCAGTTTCGGTCCAGTGAATCTGTTTTGGAGCACGCGCTACGACCGAGCAATGCTGCTCTCCCTGCACGCCCTCACTCACTCCATCCCATCTTACATACATCTGCCTCCCTAACATAAATCCCTGCCCCATCACTTGCACCTTCCTCCCTTCCCTCTCCCCAGTTTCGGTCCAGTGAATCTGTTTTGGAGCACGCGCTACGACCCGAGCAATGCTGCTCTCCCTGCACGCCCTCACTCACTCCATCCCATCTTACATACATCTGCCTCCCTAACATAAATCCCTGCCCCATCACTTGCACCTTCCTCCCTTCCCTCTCCCCAGTTTCGGTCCAGTGAATCTGTTTTGGAGCACGCGCTACGACCGAGCAATGCTGCTCTCCCTGCACGCCCTCACGGAGTTTGCTGCCTTTGCCAATGCACACGACCGCGCCAACCACCTCCCGCCCGAGAAGTCCTTCCAGCTGCCCTACAAGTGAGTGGCCCTGCAGGTGAGCTGCCCTGCAGGTGAGCTGCCCTGCAGGTGAGCTGCCCTGCAGGTGAGCTGCCCTACAAGTGAGCTGCCCTACAAGTGAGCTGCCCTACAAGTGAGCTGCCCTACAAGTGAGCTGCCCTACAAGTGAGCTGCCCTACAAGTGAGCTGCCCTACAAGTGAGCTGCCCTACAAGTGAGCTGCCCTACAAGTGAGCTGCCCTACAAGTGAGCTGCCCTACAAGTGAGCTGCCCTACAAGTGAGCTGCCCTACAAGTGAGCTGCTGCCAGCAGGTGGTTGGTCCATAGGTACTCTTGTGTGTGCGTTTGGGAGATACTTCACCCGCCCTTGGGGGTGAAACCCCGGATTCGCCAACGCGCACGACCGCGCCAACCACCTCCCGCCTGAAAAGTCCTTCCAGCTGCCCTACAAGTCAGTGTCAAATCTTGAAAACGTTTTTCCTTCTTAGGGCACAACCAAAAGGGTCAAGCTGTCCAGCAGCCGTGCAGGTGAACTGCCAGTGGGTAAGCACTTTAGAAATTTCTCTAAAGTGATATGATATCCATGCTCTTGTGTCAGATTCGGGGATTCTTTGCCCACAGTCAGGTGCCAGCATTGAGGCTTGAGAGCGCTGATGAAGGCCACCGGCCGAAACGCGCGTACGCTCAGGTTTGAATAAACAAATTCTTACCTATTCGATCTCTACTAGCTTAAGCTCAGCCTAGAGAAGATTAAGACTAGATACCTGTTAAGGACGAGTCACCTGTTGGATCCAGGTCGAACCTGTTCTTCTTTGCCCACAGTCAGGTGCACCACAGTCAGGTGCCAGCATTGAGGCTTGCAGGTCTTCTCCGTTCATCCGTAGCTTCCCCCTTTTGGTTCGTGCGATGGTTGAATCCGTACTCTCATCATGGTCCCCTTTTTCTTCCCTCCGCCCTCCTCCATGTAGGATCGAGGGAGACAAGATCCAAGGGCTGACAGTGAAGCAGAGCTTCAACAGGGAGGAGCGGTGGACCAAGGCGCTCAAGTACCTGCTGTGCGACCTCAAGTGGGCGCTCGTGTGGACCATGACCAACTTCCACCCGCCCCTGCCCACGCGCCCACCGGGTACATTCCTGCGAAGACATGTCTTTAATTTAGGCATCACAAAAGCAGTGTACCGCTCTGCACCGCATTACACCTAAGCATCGAACGTTTCCACCGCACTGTATCTCGTCTTTTGAGACGCGAGGCTTTTGTGACGCGCTCCAGGAATGTACCCTCAACCTAGTTTCTCGTCTGGAACCCCTCGCTTGAGCATCCCAACCTCTGTGAGGGAGCAGCTTGAAAACGGCAATTTATGTACAGTATTTAACGGAGGTACTTCTTACTCAGTTTACGGTAGTATTGTAGGCCTACCACACCCTCCACTATACACAGAGTTTCTTCGTGTCTGGAGTCTCTCCTCCACTCAACTCAGAATACCTCTCTCCATGTACAGGCAGAATGACTTGCTTATTCGTCCAAACTTAGCATGCGCAATATTTTTTGAAGGATTTTGTCCATGCACGATGCAATTATAGCATCCTCCTTCCTACACCACACAGTCCACTCCAAACCCATCATTACCTCACTAAAGAGGCTTCAGGCACTAGGGTCCATGTGCCCTGCGCCACTCTAAATTTCAGCCTCCACCTAATTATGGTAGTGCTCAACCAACTTCCTTCTCCTTCCGCTCCTCCTGCATCACCTCCGCCTCTGTCTTGCGCCCCTTCTTCAACTTGCAAGCCACGCCCATGAACATGCCCACTGCATTGCACTACTCGCTCCATCCCCACCCACCACCCCTTCACATCCCACAACAACCTATACAGCTTCTGCAACAGCTTCACGTCCCTTATTCAACTTGCAAGCCACGCCCATGAACGTGCCCACTGCATTGCACTACTCGCTCCATCCCCACCCAACACCCCTTCACGTCCCACAACAACCTATACAGCTTCTGCAACAGCTTCACGCCCCTTATTCGACTTGTAGTACTCACCCATGAACGTGCCCACTGCATAACACGCGTTCCATCCCACCCCCCACACGCAACACCCCAACCACGGCCCACACCTCAGTAACCACGGCACCCAAAGCACCCTCCAGCGCCCTAAGCACCCCCCAGCACCCTAAGCAGACTCGGCAATGGCAACTTCCTTCTCCTTCCGCTCCTCCTGCATCACCTCCGCCTCTGTCTTGCGCCCCTTCTTCGACTTACAAGCCATGCCCATAAACATGCCCACTGCATTGCACTCGCTCCATCCCAACCCCTTCCTCGACTTGCAGGCCACGTTCTTGAACGTGCCCACTGCCCCACACGCATTCCCTCCCACCCTCTATCCCCAGCACCTCACCCCCAAAACCCCCACCCCAGTAACCACAGCACTTGATGCAGCCGCTAGCACCCTAAGCAGACTCCGCAATGGCAACTTCCTTCTCTTTCCGTTCCTCCTGCATCACCTCCGCCTCTGTCTTGCGCCCCTTCTTCGAATTGTAATACACACTCATGAACGTGCCCACTGCATAACGTGCGTTCCATCCCAGCCCCTTCCTCGACTTGCAGGCCACGTTCTTGAACGTGCCCACTGCCCCACACGCATTCCCTCCCACCCTCTATCCCCAGCACCTCACCCCCAAAACCCCCACCCCAGTAACCACAGCACTCGATGCAGCCGCTAGCACCCTAAGCAGACTCGGCAATGGCAACTTCCTTCTCTTTCCGCTCCTCCTGCATCACCTCCGCCTCTGTCTTGCGCCCCTTCTTCGACTTGTAGTACACGCTCATGAACGTGCCCACTGCTTGGTACTTCTCCCGACAGGCAGCATAAAGGGAGGCATCAAACATGCGCCAGAAGTCCCTCTCGTTCAGCTCTGTCACCGCATAGAGAGCCTGGTGGGGGTGGCGGTGGGGAAGGGGGGAGGAGATGTGCACACACACACACACACGCGCTCATAAACGTGCCCACTGCTCGGTACTTCTCCCGGATGCAGCGACAGGGAGGCGTCAAACATGCGCCAAAAGTCCCGCTCGTTCAGCTCTGTGACAGCATACAGGGCCTGGTGGGGGTGGTGGAAAAGATGGGGGGAGTGGGGGGTGTGCACTCACACATAAGCTCATGAACGTGCCCACCACTCTGTTTCCAGTGAGCCACTTCTTCTCGTGCTGAACGGCAGCCGCGGCCTAAACTCCTCCTTCCCCCCCCACCCCGTGAGGTGAACTCTTAGTACATTCAGAAACACCTGGAAAGACGAATTCTCAACGAGCCACTTCTCCATCCTCTGAACCGCCGCCACCCCGTCAAACTCCTTACCCACCCCCCTCCCCCCTCCCTCCTACCTCCCTTTATTCCGAGGTGGCGCAAGCCTCAAAATAATATCAACGCCCACCCACCCGGAAGGACCCACCTGGACTGACTCACCTGGAAAGACGCGTTCTCAATAAGCCACTCCTCCATGTGCTGAACCGCAGCCACCCCATCAAACTCCTCTCCCCGCATTACGGCCCCCAGCGCATAGAAGAGGCCGATGTCTGAACATCTGCGCGCCTGCCGTGTCGCCCTGCCGCCTGTGTTTCCACCGACTTACCGGATACAAGCCACTGCTGCCAGCAAACCCAGCCCACCTGGAAGGAAGCATTCTCGATAAGCCACTTCTCCATGCGCTGAACAGTTGCGACACCGTCAAACTCCTCTCCTCTCATCACAGCCCCCGGCGCATAGTAGAGGCCAATGTCTGTGAACATCTGCCCGCCTGCCGTGTGCTCCCACCTCCTAGATTGACCCACCTGGAAGGACGCGTTTTCGATAAGCCACTTCTCCATCCTTTGCACCGTTGCGACGCCGTCAAACTCCTCTCCTCGCATCACAGCCCCCGGCGCATAGTAGAGGCCTATGTCTGTGAACATTTGCGCTGCTGCGGTGTCGCCCTGCCGCCTGTGGTCCCAGAAGCCCACCACCAACCCATCTGATACACGCTGCTGCTGCCACCAACACCAACCCACCTGAAAGAAGCCGCTGCTACCAGCAAAACCCCACCCACCTGGAAGGACGCGTTTTCGATAAGCCACTTCTCCATGCGCTGAACAGTTGCGACACCGTCAAACTCTTCCCCGCGCATCACTGCCCCCGGCGCATAGTAGAGGCCGATGTCTGTGAACATCTGCCCGCCTGCGTATCGCCCTGCCGCCACTGCTGTGCTGCCACCACCCCACCTGGAACAAGCCGCTGCTGGTGCAGCAAACCCCACCCACCTGTTGGAAGGACCCACACGTGAAAGACTCACCTGAAAAGACGCGTTCTCAATGAGCCACTTCTCCATGCGCTGCACCGCCGCCACTCCGTCAAACTCCTCTCCTCGCATCACAGCCCCCGGCGCATAGTAGAGAGACTGATGTCTGTGAACATCTGCGCTGCCGCTGTGTCGCCCTGCCGCCTGTGGTCCCAGAAGCCCACCACCAACCCATCTGATACACGCTGCTGCTGCCACCAACACCAACCCACCTGAAAGAAGCCGCTGCTACCAGCAAAACACCACCCACCTGGAAGGACGCGTTTTCGATAAGCCACTTCTCCATGCGCTGAACCGCCGCCACTCCGTCAAACTCCTCTCCTCTCATCACAGCCCCCGGCGCATAGTAGAGGCCGATGTCTGTGAACATTTGTGCCGCTGCCGTGTCGCCCTGCCGCCTGTGGTCCCAGAAGCCCGGCTCGGGGTTGATCATCTGCCGCATGGGGTGGTTGAAGAGGCGGTGCGGGCACAGCCATATGGGGTACACCTGGGGGAGGGGATGGGGGGAGGAGAAAGGAGGGCGGAGGATGGGGGAGTGCAGGTGTATGGTGGAGGTGAATCAGAAGCCCGGCTCGGGGTTGATCATCTGGCGCATGGGGTGGTTGAAGAGGCGGTGGGGACACAGCCAGATGGGGTACACTTGGGGGAATGATGCGGGGAGGGGCGAAGAGGGGAATGGAGAGGAAAGGGTGTCTGGTGCAGGTTGATGCGAAGCCCGGCTGGGGGTTGATCATCTGGCGCATGGGGTGCTTGAAGAGACGGTGGGGACACAGCCATATGGGATACACCTGGGGGAATGTGGACAGGGGGGCAGGGATGGAGTGGGGGAGGAAAACAGGGACACAGGGAGGGATGAGCAGGGAGGACAATGGGGGAGTAAGGGTGTTTGGTTTAGGTTGATGAGAAGCCCGGCTCGGGGTTGATCATCTGGCGCATGGGGTGGGTGAAGAGACGGTGGGGGCACAGCCAGATGGGGTACACCTGGGGGAAAGAATGGGAGGAGGGCAGGGAGAGGGGCCCGGAGGAGGCACGGTGTTGGGTGCAGGTCAGTTAGAAGCCAACTTCCGCTCCACCCCCCTTTCCCCCAACGCACCGCCAACTCCTGTTCGTTGGGCTCAAGCGCATCTGCCACCTTGTGGCACGAGAATTTCCAGGCGTACTCTATCCGCATTCCACCCCCGCCCCCCCTCCCCCTTCCCCATTTCCCCCTCCACCCTTTCCTCTCCCCTTCCACCCTTGCCTCTTCCCCCAACGCACCTCAAACTCCCGCTCGTTCAGTTCGAGCGCGTCCGCCACCTCATAGAGCGGCACCACACCAGCATGTCCTGACACACCCTATCCGCAATCCCCCTCCGCCCATCCGCCACCTCTTTACTTTCCCAACGTTCCCTCAGTCCTCCTCAAACTCCCGCTCGTTCAATTCGAGCGCGTCCGCCACCTTGTAAAGCGGCACCACACCAGCATGTCCTGACACACCCTATCCGCAACCCCCCTCCGCCCATCCGCCACCTCTTTACTTTCCCAACGTTCCCTCAGTCCTCCTCACTCCCCCCCCACTCCTCACCTCGAACTCCCGCTCGTTCAGTTCGAGCGCGTCCGCCACCTTATAAAGCGGCACCAGCACCAACGCACTCTGACCGCAATCACCTTCCCCTCTTCTCTCATTTGTGCCACCTTCCCACCCCCCTCATCACCCCCACTCCTCACCTCAAACTCCCGCTCGTTCAATTCGAGCGCGTCAGCCACCTTATACAGCGGCACCAGCATGTCCTGACACACGTGCCGCTCGTGGTAATAGTTCCGAATCGCCTCGCCCTGCGTCAGCTTTAAGAACGACACCTTAGGAGGCATCATCCACCCCAGCAGCACTCTAAACCACCATTGGTCGCCGAACGGCAGGATTAATTTCCCCTCCCAGTACAGGCTCCGCGTATGGCGGTGGTAGTACTGCCGCGTCGGGATTTACTCTACGAACTCGCCGCGCGTTAACGCGTCCGTCGCGTGCTGGTAGAACCACCGCGTCCACCACCACCCGCAGTTGTTAATCGCGTTCCCGGGCCGCGTCGCCTCCTCGCGCGACGCGTACCTCCCGGTCATCATGACCCCCTCGGACCGCGTGTACACCATCCCTTCCACGAAATCCGGAACCTTATCCGGATTATCCTGGTCCCCGTCGCGCGGGCAGAACGAGTCGATATACGCCTGGGTCATTTCGCGCAGCGTGCCTCTAACGGGGGTGTACGTAACGCGCATGAACTCTTTAACGGGGATGAGTCGGATCTCCGCGGCGACGAGCAGCCCCAGCGTGCCCTGCGACCACGGGATCGCGTAGAAGAGATCCGCGTGCTCGTTGTCGCGCGTCGCGCGCACCAGCGTGCCGTCCGCCAGCACGATCTCGTACGCATCCACCGTGTCCTGCGGGGAGTTGGAAGCGACGCGGCGCGGAGGAGGAAAGGGGGGAGGGGGGAGGGGGAGGGCAGAAGGGCGGGGAAAAGGAGGGAGGGGAATTCTCAGCTGACTTGCAAGGCACCAGCGTGCCGTCCGCCAGCACAATCTCGTACGCCTCCACCGTGTCCTGCGGGGAAGGTGGAAGCGACGCGGAGGGCGGCGGAAGGGGAGTTGAGAATCATTCCGAGTTGGCTCAGAAGCACCAGAGAGGAAGTGGCGGAAAAGGGGGAAGCGGCGGAGTGGGGGCGGGAAAATTGGGTCAAGAAATTGCGAGAGGAAGGGTCGGGAAAGGGGCGAAAAGGGGTGGCACCTGAAAGAGGCCGTAGATGTGCGACGAGCCCTCGATGCCGTAGCCGTTGATCAGCCCGCCCACGGTGAGATCATCCAGTTCCGGGACCACTTCTAACGCGTATCCCAGCGGCACGGTCACGGCGCTCAGCTGCCCCATGCCGACGTACGGCTCGCAGCGCGCGATGCGGTTGACGGTATCGACGGCCAGGATCTGGCAGAACTCGTTCATGTCGACCTCGAAGCGCCGCACACGTTTGTAGTCGGAGTTGCGCATCGACACCGACAGCCATGGCTTGCGCGACGTGCACACCAGCCCGTCGCGGCGCCGGTCGCGCGATTTGAGGCGATTAACGAGCTTCTGCACGGCGGCCTGGTGCTCGCGCTCGCGCTGCGCGAAGCTCTTGCGGTTCGACCACCAGTCCCAGAAGTCCTTGTTGCACTGGAAGGCGAAGGAGACGGGCAGCACGACGAAGATTACGAGGATCCAGCGGAACTGCACCAGGAAATCCACGATGGACCATGCGCGCTTCTTTCGCGGCGTCGAGGAGTTCCCCGTCAGGGGCTGCTGCAGCGACGGCGCGTCGTCTGCCATGGGGAGAGGCGGGTTAGAGGGGCCCAGCCAGTCAGACACTGGAGTATGGGTGAAAATGGAGAAGTAGGGGCCGTGAGTGGAGTAATGTGTGGGAGAGTAAATGTGGAAATGAGAACGTAAATTTGCAAATGAAGAAATGGTGGTTGTGCGCATGCTGCTGTGTGCATGCTGCTGTGAGCTGAAATGCCGCTCGCCTCGCCAATACAGATTCCCAACTTTCCCGCCTTGGATTTCTCGCCAGCCTTTGCCAGGAATTTGTGCGTGTGTACCTTAGTTCACCGTGCACCAGCGTACAGAACCGATTGTCCGTCTGATATTGGGGGAAGTCGTACGAGCAAGTGGGGGTCTGGCTGGCCTGAGGGAGGGGGAGGAACCGACCAATCCCGTGCCGTTCATCGCTAGGGGTGCTGGGGGCCTGCGGGCGGGGCTTGCGATGCGATTGCGCAGTGCGCGTCGGGATTCGGATTGGGAATCGGGAAGGATGCTGCGACCGAGGAGGACTTTGCGACAGGACGGAGGATTCGCAGATGTCGCGGAACGTCGGGTTGTGATGGACCAATGTCAGCTCGCCCATAACTGAGTTGTGGGCCAGATGGCGTGGCGTGATTCGGTTCATCTGCGTATGTGATGGAGGGAGTTTGTCAAATCGTTTGTATCCGCTGTGACATGATCCGATGTTGACTTGCATATCCATTCGGCTCATGTACACCTGCCACCCCAATAAATAACTCAGCTGCAAACAAGGGGGCAAGCTGACCATTCCAATCGGTGGTATTCCACCGTGCTTTAGAGTTAGTCTATTCGCGATATAGTCTTGACGTCTTTTCAACTAGAACGGTACAGCTTATGCACGGTACACGTGTTCACAATACGCATTACACTTTTAACAGTTGCATTCCATAACACACCACACCACCACCTCCACTTTGCGACACCTCATCTTCCCTTCCCCTCATCCCGCACCCTCCTCCTCCCCTCCACCTTTCCCCCACACCGTCTCCTACTTTCGCTCTAAGCCCGCAATCTTAGTTTCCTTTTCTCCACCTCACATCTGGCACACCTGCCTTACCCCTCCCGTAGAACCAGGACAGCTTCGCGGAGCAGCCATGGCTGAACAGGTGATCATTCTCCTTCCAGATCAGGAAACCGCAAAATTCGCGCGTCCGCTTGTGGTTCTAGTCCCTGAGGTTTTTCGGCATTTTTAGGTCACAGCAGCGAGGTTTACGGAATGAGCTCCCGTGTCGCATTCTCTTCTGCCACGGCTTGTTCTCAATATTTTTTAAGACCGGCTTAGCGTTTGATAGTTAATGCGTATCCAGTAGGTTTGTTTCCTGTGCCCCCCCTCTCATTTTCAACGAGAAACGCAGTATTAGGGTTTGCAGATGACTTCGTCGCAACAGCACTATCCACCCGCTTCATAGCCGTGTCCGTTGCGGGAGTCGTTTTCCTTGACGTTAAGATTCCTTTGGCTTGTGCCCCAAATCAGATTCGTACACTGAGAGAGCACATTTCCGGAAACAATTCGCTAACGTAGCCGTGCTCTCGTGTTTCCCCGTTTTGTGCTCTCTCTGATTTGGATCATTCCAAGTACAGACGGAGCGCGCTTTTCAGAAGCAGCAGGGAGTCTTCCTCTGGTACGTTGCTTCTCGGACTAGGTTACATCATGGGCTTAGTTGGATCATGGGCTTGGTTATACCATGCGTTAGGTTATACCATGGCCTTGGTTACATCATGAGCTTGGTCACATCATGGGCTTGTTCGCAACAGATGTAGCGCATTATGTTTACGGCGACCCCATGGTGCCTGTACTTCTCGTATTTGCTAGTCATTGTCTGTAAAAGTTATTTGTCTTCGGGGATCTAGGTAGTCGCGTAGTTCCGATCTTCGGGAATTTTAAATTAACCACTTCTAGACGAGAAGCACGGTTGGTCAGCCGATGGACAGTCGGGGAGCGTGTGTGTGTAGCTAGGTTCAGGTCACGTAGCCTATGGATATCATTGTAGCGAGTGACTTGTCTATTTTTTAGGCGCCTCCAAAATAGTCGGGGAGCGTGTGTGTGTAGCTAGGTTCAGGTCGTGTAGCCTATGGATGTCATTGTAGCGAGTGACATTTGGGTTGACTAATCGAGGAGCGTGGATCAGTGATGTGAAGGAGTGTCGCGAAGCGATACTTTAGGGTTTTCTGCAATTCTGCCTCCATTTCCATCGTTCTGCTCACCATCCCCCCTGGCTTTCATCCCTCTCCCACGCACTCACCTTTCATTGCGACTTCCCCCCTCCCCCCCTTCCCCGTTCCCGCCTTGCCTTCCGCACATGCGATTTACAGCGGCGACGTGTCAGCGAAGAAGAAGCTGAGGACGCCCGGCAAGGCGGGTAACCGTTACTACAAGAACGTGGGGCTGGGCTTCAAGACGCCCCGCGAGGCCATCGAAGGTGCGCTCGTCACTTTCCGCGCACCTTCCACGCACGTCCATAGCGTCTGCTTTTCTTGATTGTCATAGGAGAGGGAATGGGCGTCGTGAGGTGTGTCTGTGTGTGTCTCCCTACGCGTGCGGTGTTAAGGGATCGAGAGAGGGAAACAGTACGCGTTGGAGAGTCGTCTGGTTTCTGGATTCCTGCAAAGGCAGTTTTCGAGAAACCGTGACCATCAGTCCACCAGCTCTGGCCTCTCACGCGTTGGGCCTTTCACGGGTCCTCTGTTCCCCACCTGCACATCCTCCCTGCTGTAGTCGTAGTTGTAGGTTCCCATACGCTTCGTGCCCCGTCTTCCCGCCGTTCCTCTGCCTCCTCCCTCGTCATTCCACGCGCCTTCCTCCCGGGCCAGGCACGTACATCGACAAGAAGTGTCCGTTCACGGGCAACGTGTCGTGATTTGTCTCCAACTTGTCTCTCCCCTCCCCACCCCCCCCGCGCCAGGCACGTACATCGACAAGAAGTGTCCGTTCACGGGCAACGTGTCGATCCGCGGGCGCATTCTGGCGGGCACGGTGCTGTCGACCAAGATGAACCGCACCATCACCATCCGCCGCGACTACCTCCACTTCGTGCGCAAGTACCAACGGTGCGTACCAACGGTGACTTATAACGAGTACAAACGGTGACTTATAGCGAGTACCGACGGTGACTTTATAACGAGTACAAACGGTTCTATCGGGGACGGTCTGTCGACAAGATGAACCGCACCGTCGCCATTCGCCGCTACTACCTTCACTTCGTGCGCAAGTACCAACGGTGCGTTATACTGAGTAGTAATGGTTACCTATAGCGAGTTCTGACGGGGAGTTTATAACGAGGACCAACGTTGACTATGGTGAGGCGCAAATGCCCAATGGTGAGTGGCAGTGAACGCCATTTCATGTGCTCCTCTCCTCGTCAACTAGTCACCGACTACCTTCGGTTTCCTGTCCAGTTCTCCCCGCCTAACTTTCCCCGTCACTATTCCCCTCCCCACCCGCCCCCTTCCCCGGGCGCGCAGGTACGAGAAGAGGCACTCGAACCTGTCGGCGCACGTGTCGCCGTGCTTCCGCGTGAAGGAGGGGGATCAGGTCATCGTGGGGCAGTGCAGGTCAGTGCAGGGGGCGTTAGAGGGGGGAAAAGAGGGGTGGAGGAAGGGGGGTGAGATGAGACGACCCTGATAGTCGGGCAGTGGGGCATGGTGGGGCAGTGGAGTGCAGGTCAGTGGACGCACGGCACGGGGTATATGGGGGAGAAAGTGGGAGACGAAACGACCCGCATAGTCGGCCTAGTCAGCCAGTGCAGGTGTGCGTGCCGCCCTCCTTGCCCGGCTGTGCAGGTCTTATCATGGTTCAGATCAGACGGTTCATTGTGGGTGGGCCCATTCGTCCCTTAGTAGTAGCTAATCATTCAGCTACTAGAGTTGGTCAGTCTGTGATCGTCCGCCTGGATGACCTCTGAGCCGTTTTATGCTCTGTTATCGTCTTTCTCACACAAACCAAACCGTCCTCCTTCCCTGGTGCCATGCCACTGTCACTTGCTCGTCCAAACCAAACTACCCCTCGTGGTGTGTGAACGAGTCCCACCCCCTGGTGTGATAAAAGTGTTATTTTGAGACGTCTCAAAATAACACTTTTATCACCTGGTGTGAGCAGGCCGCTGTCGAAGACGGTGCGATTCAACTTGCTCAAGGTGGTGCCATGCCGACCGTCCCTTCCCCCCCAACATATATACTGTCAAAAGCTTGAGTAACCGAATCTTCCCGTCTTGGTGTGTGCAAACGGATTCTCCTCCTGGTTTGAGCAGGCCGCTGTCGAAGACGGTGCGATTCAACGTGCTCAAGGTGATGCCCCACGGCTCCGATGGTGGCAAGGGCAAGAAGGCATTCGGTGGCATGTAAAGCGCTGCGACGCAAAATATCTCATAATGACTAGAAGGAGCTTACAATATTGATCCTGGCGGCTAGGATATGGTGTGGTGCTCTGTGGCTTAGTTCTTCTGGCCTTTTGTATGTGTTGTTTTCAAAGGAAATGTTGAACGCTGCACTGAATATGAGGGCTTTCATCTGGCAGTGATGGAAGGTAGGAATACCGGAAGAAATGAGCAGGCTCTGTGAGATCGGGCTGGAAATACAGCAGCAAAACATTTGCTGCTGTTACTAAGAAGATTTTGTACGGCGGGTGTATTAGGCAGCTTTAGCCATGAATAATGTTGATTCACTACTAAGTTTGAAGAATTTGGTCCAGTTTCACAACTCAAATGTTTCAATTATTTTCATAAAGGCGTTCAATCCGTTACCGCACTGCATACAGTGCTCGCCTGCGACGGTGGTGGTATGCCACGCTCCACTTCGTTGCGGCTTGCTCCCTCGCCCCTCACCTGTTCTCGCCTGTTCCTAGTTCCCTCCCTAACCCCAGACGACACGCGCGTGCGACACTACCTCCGCTCCTGCCTTCTGGCCTTTCCTCCCCCACCTTCCCCCTCAATCCCCCTCCCCGTTTCCCCCTAGCCCCCCGTTTCTGCTCGCTGAACTAGTACCCCCCTCTCCCTCCCACCTCCACCTTCCTCTTCTTTTCTTTCCCTTGAAAGCCTTTCCTCTTTCCTTTCCCGTCCTCTTTCCACCCCTTGTAAAATTTTGGGAGGACTCCCAACACAAAGTGAGTAGCTAATTCCTCCGCGATTCGGGCTTGTTGTAGCTAGGAGCACCATGTATGCCGTCATCCGTCTGTGACAGCCCCGATTCGCGGGTCCGGCATAGGTTGCGCACTCGAACTGGTATTTAGGGTTAGGTTGTCTAGCGTTAGAGTTCCTGCAGAATTTATGGGGAAGGGCGCCCTTAGTGTCCGTGCATTTTCGGGCTTCCAAGCTAGACGATTCCTCACTCTAGAATCAGCGATCTGAACTGGATTTAGCGCCGATATTTCCTGCATTGAGTGCACCGCAACAGGATTCTCCTTTGTACCACTGCCGTCAAACGTTACTCAACTTCACTCACGCTCCGTCGCTCTCGTGCTCCGCTCTCCCCGCTCCCTCCCTGCCTCTGCGCCTCTGACTGCTCCCTCCTCTGCCGAACGCTCGTCATTTGGCCCACGTCCCCCAATCCCCGCCTTTCCTTCCCCGCTTCCGCCCCTCCTCTCCGCTCCCCACTACAGTCACCCCTTCATTCCCCCATCCCGCTCCGTCCCCGCCTCCCGCTCCTCCCCCTTCGTCCGCCCCCCCTCTCCCCCCCCCTCTCGCCAGAGTGGTGTGAAGTCGAGTTTGAGGCGGTGCCCGGGTCGATCGCAAAAAAAAGCGCAAGCGCAAAAGTGGGGGCAGAGTCAGTCGCTTCAAATACACCACTCCCCCCCGTTCCCCCGTTTCCCCTCCTCTTCCCTCCCCTCCCTCTCCTCGTCCCCCCTCCCCCTTCTCCCGTCCCCCGCGCAGGTGAATCAAGATGAGTTCGGAGGCGGTGCCCGAGTCGATCGCCAAGAAGCGCGAGCGCGAGGAGAAGTGGGGCGCGGCGATCGAGAAGAAGGCGCAGGAGAGCAAGGCCAAGAACAAGCTCATCCGCAAAATCATCCACCAACGCGCCGCCGCCTATGACAAGTCGTACGCGCGCAAGGTGGGTGGCTGCCACGCGCCACGTGTCACTGTTGGCAACGTTCGGAAGTAGGTCGAAGTTACAAACCCGCGGCAGGTCTCGCCGGCACAAGTCGCACCAGACGCTGTTAAAGACGTATCGAAGGAAGGGCTCGGTTTAGAAGCGATCTATAGGCGTGATGCCGGTACGGCGACCCTCACAGGCTCGCGCAGTTACAGATCTCTTGTGGCAGGAACGATTTTGGCTTAGCGGGTCTGACCTAGGTGGCCGTAGCTTAGTTTCTAACGACATGCACTGCAGCTGTAAGAATTATCTGGACGGGAGGTTGCAGCAGGCCGTTGCTGATCCGCTTTAAAAAACTTGAGTGCAGAGGGAGCAGCAGTGGGCGGTGATCAGCGGCTGGGGACGTGCGGCCAGGCTATGGAGGGGGCGAGGTTGTCGGACGCGGTCTCCGTGCATCCGTGCGGCGAGGCGAGGTAGTGGGAAGCGTAGTGTGGCGACAATAGGTCAGGTGGATCAGTCTGGAGGCGAATCAGGGAGCAAATGCGGAGTAGGGGGTGAATGCGCTGTAGATGGGGAGCAAGCGCGCGTTCGGTGTTTATACATCAAAGGCCAGGTTTCTGCGTTAAACTCTTTTAGGGGCGCCCGGTTGGACACGCGGCCAGGCACGCAGCTGGACGCGCGGTTGTGAGAGCTTTTTGAGGGGAGGTAGGGCTGTCGTTCATCCGACTTGGACAGGATCATTCGACTTCATCCTTCATCCGACAGGATCATTGGCTTCCGAGCTTTCATTTCGTCTACTGTCGACCGTTATGGCAGAGTGTTTCCTACCGGTCCCGTGCGATTCCCCCGGTTCCTAGTGTTGCGAAGCGAAAGCGAGAGGTGCATCGTCGGGCGAAGACGGCTGACACATATCCCTCGTTCATTTGCGCCACCCTTGTTGATCAAAGTGTCGTATTGTCGTGTGCGTGGCGTGGGGTGCGCGCATGACCAACGGCTCCGCACGCATGGCTGCTGGGTGTGCCATCGTCGCCCCCTCCCCTCCCTCTCTCCTCGCCTACCCCACCTCCTCCTCCTCCTTCCGCTTGTCCCCGTAAAAGCAACGTTACGGAGAATTCTCAGAAGTGACCCTTCCCTCCTCTCCCCCACTCTCCCCCCTCCCTTCACCTTCCCCCTCCGCCTCTCTCGCAGGAGCGCGAGCTGGTGGAGCTGAAGCGCGAGGCGAAGCTGAGCGGCGGCTTCTATGTGGAGCCCGAGCCCAAGCTGCTCTTCATCATCCGTATTCGTGGGTGAGTTGCTTCAGCTTGCAGGTACTTCCGGTTGCAGGTACTTCCGGTTGCAGGTTCTTCCGGTTGCAGGTACTTCCGGTTGCAGGTACTTCAGGTTGCAGGTGGTTCTGAAAGCGCCCAAAGACTTTTTACGTGCGTGGGCGGGTCATGCAAGGTCTTCCGAACCCTAATTCGGTGACGAGATGGTTAATCACGCGCAATGTCGCAACCGTCGCCCGCGAACTTTCTCGCCGTGCTCCTTGCTCTCACTGTCATCATTCTTCCTCTCACCTTACCCCACCCCCGTTTCCCTCCCTCCCCCCCCTCCCCCCCAAAACCACGTTTGCTGATACACTCGTTCATGTACCACTCAAATCACACTCATATTTTCACTCACTAACCAATCTTACGCCTCCCGCTCCCCTCCCTCTCCCCCTACCCCCCCTCTCCGCTTGCCCTTCCGCCCGCGGTCCCTGCCTCTCATTGTGGCAGTGTGAACGACATGCACCCCAAGACGCGCAAGATCATGCAGCTCCTTCGTCTTCGCCAGGTGAGGCCATGAACCTTTTTTTCTGTTTTCTCTGCGGCTTCGCCAGGTGAGGCCATGAACCTTTTTTTCTGTTTTCTCTGCGGCTTCGAAAGGTGAGGCCATGAACCTTTTTTTCTGTTTTCTCTGCGGCTTCGCCAGGTGAGGCCATGAACCTTTTTTTCTGTTTTCTCTGCGGCTTCGCCAGGTGAGCTGCTCCCGGTCACAGGCTGTCAGCATCCCTCCCCTTACCCCATCTTGATTTTGAAGTGTCGTTCCCAAGCCTCTCCGCGGCACGTCTCCTTTCTCGGCCGCATCATCCCTCCCCTTCCGCCTTTGCGCGCATTCAACTCCCATTCCCTTTCACCCACCCTTCCTCCCCATTCCCCACTCCGCCACTCCCCCTCCGCGCCCTTGCCTTCCCCTTGCGCACCCATTCCCACCGTCAGATCTTCAACGGAGTGTTCCTGAGGGTCACCAAGGCGACGCTGCAGATGCTTCGATTGGTGGAGCCCTACGTCACCTACGGGTGAGCTCGTTGTTGTCACAAACGCTGCTTTGATACTGTCACTAAGGATGGGGTTTTGTGTTGTCGTCTGAAGTCTCATTCGTTCCCTGCATCTTATGCTTTCCACTCCTGTGTGCTCCCTGCGCCCTGCTCTCTGCGCCCTGCTCCCTTCGCCCTGCGCGCTGCACCGTGCAGCTACCCGAACCTGAAGTCGGTGCGCGAGTTGATCTACAAGCGCGGGTACGGCAAGGTCAGGCACCAGCGCATCGGCCTCACTGAGAACTCCGTCGTGCAAAAAGTGAGTCCAATCGCATCTTCCCTCGATCTGGATTTCTGAGACATCTAAAATAAGGTCAGGCACCAGCGCATCGGCCTCACTGAGAACTCCGTCGTGCAAAAAGTGAGTCCCCTCGCTTCTGCCCTCTCTCTCGCTGCTCAGAGCACTTACCTCACCCTCTGTGCTGATCCCATAATCCTAACAGTTACTACCATCCACTTGGTGCTCCTAGGCTAGGAGTCCTAGCATTGGTCCCTCTAGCTTTTTTGCTTGGCTCCCTGGGTTGGATCGTAGGTCTTGGTACCATGAAGCTCCGTTGGATGGATGGATTCTTACTCTTCATTATTTCCACCGTTGCTGTACCCTATGTTTCCAGGTGCTGGGGCAGAAGAAGATTCTGTGTGTGGAGGATTTGATTTACCAGATCTTCACGACGGGCCCGCACTTCAAGGCATGCAACAACTTCCTGTGGCCGTTCAAGCTGTCGGCGCCCAACGGCGGCATGAAGAAGAAGCGCCTGCACTTCGTGGAGGGCGGCGATGCTGGTAACCGCGAGGACAAGATCAACGCGCTCATCCGGCGCATGAACTAAGCGGAAGCGTTTTGAAGGAAACGTTTTTGTGACATCAGGCTTGTAAGGAGATAGGGCTGGTGGTATGTGCCTCGCCTTCTGTTCTTCCCAGGCAGTCTTCTTGTGCTTGCACTGCTGGCTTGTATGATTCCGGTGGTGTCAATGCAGTAAAGAGAATACAATGTTTGGTGCTCACAGGGTCAATATTCCCAAGAAATAACAAAATTACGAGTTAACTCAAACTCCGCTTTAAATTCATCGCGTGGGGAGTGTACGCCGTGATTCGGTGGACAGCGGATCTGCTGTGGACTGTCGTTTTCACTTTTCAGCACAGTTTTGGTAGTCGCAGGGCGTCGCAGACTTTCGTTGATCGCTTCCGTCTGAATTCGCCCGCAGACCCGCGACAGCACTGTTCAGCGCTGTTGGATTGGAAGTCTCGAGATTCCGTTCCAGCAACTGCGACATTTGAGGCCCACAATTTGCCGTAGAACATTCTAGGCGCAGCTCTGGCACATCGCGACACGCTGGATGGTTGTTTCCGAGACTTGCGAAAACTGTACGGGCTTCGCCAACCACAAGTGCCGTCGTCAGCGAATGATTTTTGTTGAAGCTGATTCGCGGGAGGAACCGTTTCTCTGACGATCCTTCGCGTAACCTCATTCCTTCCACCATCCCATCTCCTCCCCTCCCATCCCTTCCCTCTGCTGCTTCCGTTACGCCTCTTCTGCCTTCCATCTTTCATTTCTCAGAAGAAAAACAGATGATTTGCAACTAAAACCAGCCTGCATTTCAGTTGGAGAGTTTGCTGTTCCCGTTCTTCACGCGATTATCCTCGCGTTGTATTCTAGTCAGCTGAGAACCGTTGGAAAAACTCGTTCAGGTGGAAGACAAATAGTTGTGGCTCTCTTGCTCGTCCTTAGCTCATCTCCGTCCTTGCAGCTCCTCCTTGATTCGTCAGCCAGAGGCGCAACCATCCAGTCATAAATGAGTCATATCCTGCACAGCGCTTCTCCTTCTTCATATTCTCGGCTTTTTTAAAGCTCTTCTTATTCTGCAGTTTTGAAGTTCCTATGTAGCGACATGGCCATTTTCGTTTTTGCATTCTTCTGATTTTCCGTCTGCTCCTTGTTCCGTATGAGTAGGAAACAAGTTTCTCCTTAACTGGTTTTCCTTCTTGTGTTTTAACAATATACGCGGCAATCAGCGGGACACTGATCGCGCCAGGGCTCAGGCCCGAGCAGCAAAAAACGGCGCAAATAAGAAGTCCGACGGTCTGACCCCTGAGCAACGCCGTGAGAGGTAAATCTCCTGTTCTGCGTGTCAATCTCTCATGCACACATTTTCTCAACGCGTCTGAGCTGTTTTTGAGAAGGGGACAACACAGGTTGAAACTAGGCGTGGGAGCATGACTTGACCCCTCTTATGGCTGTATTGTTGGCCTTTTTTACCATACGGTATTTCATCAGTCCTGTTTCGTTTCTTCTTCCAGGGACGCCAAGGCTCTGCAAGAGAAGGCTGCGAAGAAGGCAGCTGCAGCTGCGGGTGGTCAGTCTAAAGGACTAGGCAGCTAGTAACGCGGATGCAGGATTGATATTCCACACTTGGTCGTACATATTACGGTCCTTCGTAACGCGTGACATTCAGTTTTACAGCCTGTGGTGTTCGTGGCCTCGTGTATCTATTTGCATTTATCATTAACTGAGACTACCGCTTCAACACAAACCAGCACTAACACGTGATGACAAAAAGTGGTAAGACTTGTTAATTTTCTCCCATACGGTATATTTAGGGAAAATACACACCGGAGCAAGTCATCTCCGCCACTCTCCTGCTGAATGCTCGACCATTCTCTTGGCTTTCATGTCCTTCATCCACCCAAACAACCCTTCGAGGGGATGCCATACTTTCTCCCCTTCACACAGCCCACCATCTCTCCGCTCCTCTACACCCGAGCTCACCACAAATTCCAAACCAACGTCACCCGGTGCATCATTGGTTGCAGCCATTTTCGTAACATTGCCTGCACCAGGGTCAGCAGCTGCTGCTAAGGCTGCTGGCACGCCAAACCCCTCACGCATTCTAGCGACGTCATTGGATAGAGTTGACGACATGGTAGCGAGGAACACTGTAGCGCGCACACAGATGAGCTTGTCAAGGAGCATGTGCAGGAGCAGGGAAGCTTCCTCTCGATCAATGGAGGCAGGGAGGTTGGAGATGATAGGCTCTGAAGAGAAGGTTGTGAGGAAGGCTGATGGGTTGTCGGGGTAGCGGATGACTTTGAAGGTGGTGCCTGCTGCCTTCTGAAATTCTTCAAACTGACACGAGCCGGAGGAAGGGAGGTTCGGGAGATTGCAGAGGGATGGGAGGGAGGTGAGAAAGGTAGGCCATTTGAGGGACAAGGGAAGGCAGCTGAAGCACAGCGGAAACTTCATAACGAAGCAAGCAAACACAAGACTCGATTACCAAAAACAAGTAGACCAACTGACCTGCTCCACATTGGCGTCAGAAGCAACATAAATACTCCTCAGCCTGTTGCGCCGTGCCACGTCAGCAGCGCACTTGCCAGCCTGCTGCGCGGAGTAGAAGCAGAAGCCAGAAGGCCCCGACCACACGCAGTAGTCCTTGAAGTCGCTGCGCCGCCAGTGCACCGCCAGGTACCCCCCCCCTCCCCCGCCCTCTGATGAACCGCCTGATCCTGCAGGTAAAACCGCTGGGAGATTCTCCCCTGCTGCCCCTCCAGCCCCTGCTGCCCCTGGTGCAAGTGTATCCTTTGCGAAGCTGCTATCCCTGCCCCCGTCACCCCCACCCCCGCTGCTACCTCCAGCACCCCTCTCCCCACCATCAAACAGGGCTTGTGCAAGCCGCCTAGAGTCCTCAATAACCTCCTTCGGGGGCAGAATGGGCACGGGAACCGGGCACCCCGGCAGGTAGTGGAACATGCTCCTCCATTCTCTCAGACCCCCCTTTCCTGCACTCCCAAGCCACCGCCCCCCTGCTGGCCCAAGGAAGTCCGATTCCAGAATCACCTGACTGCTGCTGCTCGCCAGCATGGCATCAAAATCGCTCAACGAGGTGCCCTCCCTTTCCTGTGAAGCTTCCTCACGCTCGCGCCACCGTTTGTACCGAAACAGACGCTCCTTGAAGGGCTCGTACCTGGCAGAGAGTGCGGTATGAGATGTAAGAGGGGTAATACAAGGGCTTTCACTATAAGCACAAGGGCAAGTTCAGAGGCGCGTCAAAATCAAGTGTGTGAATGCAAGGGCCTTCTCTGTGATCACAAAGAGGGTGGAGGAGAGAGGGGCGTCGTCTGAGAGCATTCTGGATCGCCTCAAAACGTACCTGTCAGAGAGCTGGCTGTTGAGAATCCTCAACAGCCAGCTCCTCTCAAATTGTGAGGCCTCAGAACGCACCTGTCCGAGAGGCCGAGAAAGGCGGTGAACACGAGGTCCCCGACAGCGAGAACAGGCACAGAGGCGGAGAGCAGAGCATAGGCTTGGAGGATGTGGCGCATGTGCACGAAGCCGGAGAAACACACTGCTAATGATTTTTGAGGCGCCTCAAGAAGCAACATACCTGTCAGAGAGGCCGAGAAAGGCGGTGAACACCAGGTCTCCGACCGCGAGAACAGGCACGGATGCGGAGAGCGGAGCATAGGCGCGGAGGATGTCGCGTACATGGACGAAACGGGGGAAGCACAGTGCTGACGCCGTGGCGTTGGCGCTGACGTGCACGTCTGAGGAGAGCTGGTGGGGCAGCAGGTGCAGGTGGGCTGCAGTTGTTTGGAGGGGCGAGTCGGCGAAGGACTGGACTGTGTAGAGCGGTGGGGAGCGGTTGGGGGAGGGAGTGCCTTGCAGGGCCCGCTGCTGCTGCTGCAGATTTCTTCTCCTGCTGCCTCTCACCCACGTCATCGCTCTCCCTCCAAACCACCCTGTCACAGCATCACCAGCCGCCGCTCTTATTTCCTCTCCCACTCCCGCTCGAGACAGCGTACTCATCCCAGACACTCCCACCAGCCTCCTCCTCCTGCTACCAACCCCCTGTGTCGTGTCATTCACCAAACAATTCTTCAGCAGCCCAGGGTTGCTCATTGGACACGTCGCCTCCGGCCCGTGCCAGCACCGCATGTGATGCACCTCCAGCGGGCGGCCGAACCGGGCGGCAAACTCGTCCGTGCGCAGGACAGTGTCGCCGCCCAGACACGTGCGCGTGTGGGCGAGGTCCCAGATGAGGGGGAGCGGGACGGTGGGGCAGGGGGAGCCGGAGAGGCCGTGCTTGCAGTAGGCGAGGGAGGGGGAGAGCAGCACGGGGGGGACGAGCAGCGTGCGGTTGAGGAGCGCGGCGAGGATGAGGTGGCGGTAGAGGCAGCCAATGCGGTTGTTCACCTGGCGGGCACGAGGGGGGACCGGCAGGGAACATAGTGGGTGAGAGGAACGGAAAAAATGGGATGGCGATAGAGGCAGACTATGCGGCTGTTCACCTGGGGGGCACGAAGGGGGAGAGGAGAGGAGTGTAGTCGGGTGGACAGGTCGGGTGTGGAAAGGCCGGGGATGGAAAGGTAGGGTGTGGAAAGGTCGGGTGTGGAAAGGTAGGGTGTGGAAAGGTCGGGTGTGGAAAGGTAGGGTGTGGAAAGGTCGGGTGTGGAAAGGTAGGGTGTGGAAAGGTCGGGTGTGGAAAGGTAGGGTGTGGAAAGGTCGGGTGTGGAAAGGTAGGGTGTGGAAAGGTAGGGTGTGGAAAGGTAGGGTGTGGAAAGGTCGGGTGTGGAAAGGCCGAGGGGAGGGGTGGGGAGGGGGAGGGGGAGGGGGAGGGGGAGGCGGAGTGGGGGGGGGGTGGGTGGAAAGGACGGGGTTGAACAAGCCGGGGGTGGTGGAGAGGAGAGGAGGGGCAGAGAGTAGTGGAAGGTGAGCGGAGCAGAAAGGACGAGGCAGACAATGCGGTTGTTGACGTGATTGACTTGGAAGAGACTTAGGCACACGGCAGGTCGGGGGAATGAGCCGAGGGGTGGAGCAGGGAGAGAAGGCAGGCAGGTACGCGTGGCAAGTCACGGTAATGCATGCATTCCGCTGCAGGAAAGTGTAGCTGTTTTGGAGTGACCTACCACCCAACCGCCATTCCACCCGCTCCCCAGCTGACCGCCATCCCTTCCGCGTCTCACCCAACCACCCTCCTTCCCGCGTCTCACCTGGCCTCGCAGGCAGACTGCGAGCAGGAACCTATCTGGCTGTGGCGCCCACACCAGCTTGCCATGCCACACCCCCCTCCCACCACCACTCAGCGAACCCCTCTCACCCTCCTCAGAGCACAATGAGCCCGTCTCACCCAACAACCTTCCCTCTCGCGTCTCACCTGGCCTCGCAGGCACACGGCGAGCAGGAACCTGTCAGGCTGTGGCGTCCACGCCAGCTTGCCATGCCACATCCCACTTCCCCCACCGCTCAGCGACCCCCTCTCACCCGGCGCTTGCCCGTCTGCTACTACTGTATCCGGGCCGTGATGGTTCGGGTCGGACTCAGGGTCGGCATGAGGTTCGGGGTCCGCTGCGTTGTGCTCGTGACTGGTAGTGGAAGGCGAGCCTGATGCTTGCACCCAAGGGGAGCCATTCTGTGTCTGACCTGGCAGCAGCTCATTGGCGGATCCGATGGATAAATCTAGGGTATCCGAGGAGAGGAGCGAGTCGGGTTGCAGGGAAAGAGTATAGAGGGCGACGAGGAGGAATGCGAGGGCGAGGACGAGGAGGACAGTGGGAGACCGGAGGACTCTTGAAGTCGGGGATTTACTCGAGAAAGGCCAGCTTGGAAGCTTGAAACTGTGGAAATAATGGGTGGAATCAGTAATCGGACTCCCATATTTCAAAAGTAAGCTATCAGAGTCTTTAAGGGAGGAAATATTATCCTCCTCCTCTTCCTGCTCCTGCTGGTGCTGCTGCTGCTGTTTCAGCGGCGACGCATGATGTTGCGTCGACGATGCCGTTCTTTCGCATAGGTCCGGTCCGAGCGTGGAATGTAGGTCCGGTCGTGCGACGCCATTGGCTGCGGCAGTTGATGAGTCAGCAGGAGCCCCGGCACAGTCTCTATCAAGGTCGCTCCGTACATGCTTTCCAGAATTCATGAACTCGCTCTTGCCAGCTGAGTATCGATAAGCACGAGGTGATTAGTATGGAGTCGAGTGAGGAATTCCCAAACAGCTTCTCGTCAGCTGAGTAGAGGAAGCCTGCACAATCAGTGTTCTGTCAGGTAGGTGCCAACCAGCCCAAGGCAACCAGCCCAAGGCAACCAGCCCAATGTGTATATTGAGACGAATCAGGAATACATTAACGGTTTTTGTCGGCTGGGTCAGCATGAGCCAAGCACAACGGGAGTTTTATGGCTGAGTACCGGAGAATTTATGGACTGCTTCTTGTGAGCTACTACTGCCAAGCACGTCAGATTCAAAAAGGATATCAACGGACGCTAACCAGGATGAGGTCATGCGCAGTACTTTGGCTTGAAAAGCGGCATTTTGCTGTGGAGCACTAATAGTGGAAGTCACGAGTAAGAGGCTCCCAGCGATAAGTGGGAAACGCTGTGGGGCGGACTTTCTCGGCTGGTGATAGAGACTGGTCAGAAATTCGGAAAACAGAAGGATTCAAGAATGCCAGCCATAGAAGCAGGAGAAATCAAGATGGACTCTTTGTCTTGGGAATGCCTTCGGCGACGTGTGCGACATCTTGCGATGCTGTGTCAGCTCCGTGTACTCGGTGGATGTCGGCTGGAAGGTACCGTAATGCGTGTGTGATTGGTGGACGCAAGTTACGCGCTGCAGCGCTCAAACTGGCAAAACTCAGCTGCTCGCATTAGGTACACTAGGTTTGATTGCTATCGTCTAGGGGCAATGAAACATTACGCTTGAAAAAAGAGCCATTACGCTTGAAAAAATAGCCACAATACAGCACAATTCATACGAAAATTACCACTCCCCCTTGTCATTAGACATAATTCTCAAGGCCTTCAGCTGTTGGAGCTTTTTCGGCAAGCCATCCATAGGATGCCATTCTTTCTGCCCCTCACACAAGGCACCATCCCTTCCCTCCTCCACTCCAGTACTCTCGCCAAAATCAACCCCCGACCTCACCTCTGCACTCTCCCCCACTGCTTCCTCCTCTGCTCCAACAGCTGCAGCAGCAGCCATTGCTGCAGGAACGCCAAGCCCCTCCCTTATACGAGCAACGTCATTTGAGAGTGTAGACGACGGTGTGGCTAAAAAGACAGTCGAATAAACGCAGATAACCTTGTCTAGTATGGTGTACAGCAGGCTTGCTGCATCATTCAGGAAAGCCCCTTGCCGGAAGCGCAACAGAGGGTCTTGATACGGGTCTGGCAATAAAGGGGATGGGGACGAGGGGAGTCTCGCCACAGTAAACTCTGGGCCTAATGTTTCCCTGAACTCCTGAAACTGCATCCAATAAGTCGTGAAGCAGAGGGGATGTGATTGTATAGTGGTGGGGGAGAGAGTGAGGCACACAAAGAGCAAGAAAGGGAGAAGAGTGAATGCTGCAGCTCCACACTTGCAGCTCCACACTTTCAGATCCACACTCGCAGCAATTCGAACTAACACCAACTACCTGAAGCCAAGTAGCTGCGAGCTACTCGATAAAGGCACACATAAACACCCATGCGCACCCGTCTCACTCACTCACCTCTTTGTCATCAGCATCCGTCGCCACATAAACATTCGCGAGCCCGTTGCGGCGCGCCACGTCAGCAGCGCACTGCGCGGCCTGCACGGGCGAGTAGAAGCAGAAGCCGGGCGGCCCGGAGCGCGCGCAGAACTGCAGGAAGTCGCCCCGCCGCCAGTGCACCGCCAGGAACGCTGGCAGGTCCGCCGGGACAGGAAGGTCTGCATCAATCCATGCTCCACTTTCCCCTGCTTTAACATCCCCTGAAACAACCTCCCTTGCTCCAACCTCCCCTGCTCCAACCTCCCCTGCTCCAACCTCCCCTGCTCCAACCACCCCTGCTGAGCCGTCGTTACCAGAACGATAAGCCCCTGCTTCCACAGACTCGCCCATACCAGATACACCAGCACCACCATCCTCCGTTTTGGCCCCAAACAGGGACCGGATAATCGCTTGCGCTCGCTGAAAGACTGACGGGGGCGGAACGATGGCCGCTGTGTTCCGGCACCCGGGCAGGAACTGAAACACACTCAGCCAATCCCGGAGCCCGCCGCTGCCCGAACTCCCTAGCCACCGGCCGCCGGGCGGGCGGACGAAATCCTTATCCAGCCAAAGATTCCTCCCTCCGGAATGCCCCGGGTCAGGTGATGGGTCAAATGATCCATCTCTGCCTTGACCCGCAGATGAACCGTGCCTTTGAAACCCCTTCTCTTCTACTCGCCCCTCTCTCCCACCCAACCCCCTGCCTTCCCCTTTTCCCGCGCCACCCTGCCGCTTTCCCCCATTCACCTCCCACCTCTGCGCTGTCTGCTGCAATAAAGCATACCGATGCGGCAGGCCCAGCACAGCAGTCCCCACGAGGTCCCCCACAGCCAGCACGCGCACGGACTCCCCCAGGGGGCCGTACGCGCGCAGCACGTCCGAGACGTGCACGAAGCGCGGGAGGCAGAGCGCAGAGGCGGTGGCGGAGGGCGGGATGGACACGGCGCCTGGCTGGTGCAGCATGATCATGCGGATCGGGTCGATGCGTGTGGGGCGGATGGGGAGCGAGGAGGGGGAGGCGGGGGTGGAAGAGGAGGAGGAGGAGGAGGAGGAGGAGGAGGAGGAGGAGGAGGAGGAGGAGGAGGAGGAGGAGGAGGAGGAGGAGGAGGAGGAAGAGGAGGAGGAAGAAGGAGAAGAGGAGGAGTGTTTGAGCGTTCTCCCTGTGAGCCGCAGCAGGTGGTCTCCCACAGTTGTGGGCTCAGGCGACAGAAAATGCGAGGATAACCCCTCCATATCTTCTGAAGGCTCATCAGCCGCAGACTCAGCAGCCGCAGACACAGCAGCTGCAAACACACCACTCCGCGACTGCAGCGACGGCCCGGACCCGTCGAATTGCCGCTGCAGAGAAGACCCGTTGAGCAGCATCGGGTTTTGAGTCGACTCAAAAGAAGACCCGTTGAGCAGCATCGGGTTTTGAGTCGACTCAAAAGAAGACCCGTTGAGCAGCATGGCATGCACCACGTCGCTGGCCACTCTCCGCCCGCCAAGCTTCTTCTGCAGCTTCTCAGCAACGTAGCTCATCGCTTTTTGAGTCGACTCAAAAGAGGACCCATTGAGCAGCATGGCATGCACCACATCGCTGGCCACTCTCCACCCGCCAAGCTTCTTCTGCAGCTCCCCAGCAACGTAGCTCATGGCCGTGCCCACCAGACAGTTCTTCTTTACAATGGAATACGTCGGGCGGCAGAGCCTCTCCGGCCCGTGCCAGCACCGCATGTGGTTCACCTCCACCGGGCGGCCGAACCGGGCGGCAAACTCGTCTGATCTGATCACGGATGCCGCACCCAGGCAGCGGCGCGTGTGGTTCAGGTCCCAGAACAAGGGGAGCGGGTAGGAGGGGCATGCACGGCCGGACGTGCCCCGCTGGCAGAGCAGGGGGGTGAGGGAGGGGAGGCGGGCCGGGACGAGCAGTGTGCGGTTGAGGAGCGCGGCGAGGATGAGGTGGCGGTAGAGACAGCCAATGCGGTTGTTCACCTGAGGGTAAGGAGGGGGGAGAGGGAGAAGAGGTGAGGTAAAAAGGGAGAAGAAGAGTGGGAGAAAGGGAACACAAGGGTACAGATTGGGCGAGGATGAGGTGGCGGTAGAGACAGCCAATGCGGTTGTTCACCTGAGGGGGAGGGGGGTGAGGGGAGAAGATGAGAGGGAAAAAGGGACCACAAGGAGTTGCGGTTGAGGAGCGCTGCGATGTGGAAGAGGCAGCCAATGGGGTGACGAAGGGGGAGAGGAGAGGAGTGGTGTGGAACGGCAGAGTACAGTAGATGGTGAGCAGAGCGAAACAAATGAGGCGGTGGCAGACAATGCGGTTGAATGCGGTGGTTCACCTGCCCGCGCACGCACACTGCCAGCAGGTACCGGTTAGGGTGTGGGTGCCACGTCAGCTTGGGAGGATTGGAGAGAGTAGAGGAGGAAAAAGAGGAGGAGGTGGGAGTGTGAATGTCGGGGGAGGGAAGGTCGGTGGAAATGAGAGGAGTAGCGGAATCGCCATGATAGGAATAGGCTGTTGGATCAGGTATGTGCTGGCCTTTAGGCTGCTGCTGCTGCTGCTCCTCTTGCTGCTTCTGCTCTTCCTGCTCCTCTTGCTGCTCCTGTTCTTCTTGCTCCTCCTGCTCCTGCTCCTCATCCTCCTTCTGCTGCTGCTGCTGAACCACATCATTCATCCCTTCGTCTGCTCCTCTTCTCCCTATTCTGATCCCCCCTGTGTCTCCCCCAAAGACGGTTTCACTACGTCCATCCGCGCCGTCCCTCCATGCTGACGTGTCCGAATCCTCTTTCCCTAACTCCGTCTTCAGCAGCCGAATGATGGAGGAGGGATGCTCGGTAAACCCATCCGAGGAGGGATGCTCGGTAAACCCATCCGAGGAGGGATGCTCGGTAAACCCATCCGAGGAGGGATGCTCGGTAAACCCATCCGAGGAGGGATGCTCGGTAAACCCATCCGAGGAGGGATGCTCGGTAAACCCATCCGAGGAGGGATGCTCGGTAAACCCATCCGAGGAGGGATGCTCGGTAAACCCATCCGAGGAGGGATGCTCGGTAAACCCATCCGAGGAGGGATGCTCGGTAAACCCATCCGAGGAGGGATGCTCGGTAAACCCATCCGAGGAGGGATGCTCGGTAAACCCATCCGAGGAGGGATGCTCGGTAAACCCATCCGAGGAGGGATGCTCGGTAAACCCATCCGAAGCTGATGTTACAGCGGTTCTTGCGGCGGTTGGAGCGGGAAGCGGGAAAGTCAAACTATGAGGCGTTTCGGCAGGGGGATGAGGGAGGGGAGAGGCGAGTTGGCTTGAGATGCGATCGTGAGACGCGGTGGGGGAATGCAGGAGGTGGAGGTGGTGGGAGAGGATGAGGAGCGAGGAGGGGAGCAGAAGAAGCAAGAGGGCGGCGCGCAGCCATCGGCGAGGCGAGCGCCGCGAGACGGACTGGGTGGGAACTGTGCTGCAGCGAGGGGCCATCGCGCAGAGAGACGATAGCAGTGGCTTTTGATTTTAAGAGTTTCAATGGACGGTTGGACTGGGAACTGTGCTGCAGCGAGGGGCCATCGCGCAGAGAGACGATAGCAGTGGCTTTTGATTTTAAGGGTTTCAATGGACGGTTGGACTGGGAACTGTGCTGCATCGAGGGGCCATCACGCAGATAGACGATAGCAGTGGCTTTTGATTCGCGTCAAAGGACGGGCTGAGCGTCAACAGTGCTTCGAGGGACCATCACGCCGCATATAGGCGACATATTTGGCGCCTGAATGTTCGGGAGTGACGACTACCTGAGGCCATCAATGGGAAGTCGTTCCTGCTAAGCGATTGTCTCCCATTCGTGGCAAGCAATTGCTGATAAGCGTTAGACTTCCATCAGTGGAATGGACTCCAACATTTAGTCGCCTGCTACGGAACGGAGTCAAGCGGTTGATCAGGCTGGTACTAGTCAGCCTGAATTTCGGACAGCGAGAGTGTGAGGAACGACAGGGGTAGCAAGGGGTTGGTCCGGCTGCTTTCTGATTGGTCAGACGCGCCGCGGGTTGCGGGGGAGTAGGGTCTGATGGCGGGAAAGGCAGGAGTTATCGTTGTGCGAATCGTTTCAGCAAGAATCATCTTTCACGTGCGTCGGCGGGTGCGCGGACGGATCACCGCGAGCCCTTGAGGCATTCGCGACGTGGTGATAATCGTCAGGACGTGCTGGAAAGGCAGTCAACTCAAGAACGCACCGCTCAAAAGGGTGCTTGGGCAAAGGAACCGATCGAAGCAAGTGCTGAGCTGATACAGGTTGCGGAGTTGCAAGAAATGGTGGACCGTTTCTGAGTGATCAGGTCATGATGGGGGAGTTGTGTTTGTTGTGATTTGTGAATTTCTGTGAACCCGAGGGTTGGTCAGACCAGTCAGCAGAACCGACCTGTGGAGTGGAACAATGTCGAGAAGCGCTGTGCATATCCGCGATACTGGCTCGAGCTGAAGGTAAGCATGACGCTGGTAAAAAAATCATAGAACGGAGCTGTAAATTGGATTGTGTGAGAAGTTTATAATTGCAAGTAAGAAAATGAGAGGACGTGAAGGATCGTTTGCTGTGCTAGAGATCGAACTCCAAAATTGCTCGCGAATGTTCTTTAGCTGAGAAAGAACCACCTAGGCCGGTAGGCTGAGACGCATTGCGCCTCACAAAGTGATCCATCTTTGCATCTTTGAGTCGGAATTGAAACGAACAAGCCTGTTGTCCTGGGAGGGATCTGCATCCAACAAAAACACAACAGCACAGGTCAATACGTAAAAACAATTTCAAGCCAGGACATGCGACAAACATTCAACCAAACAAATGGAGACGGTATACACACTTACCGTTGTCTTTTCGAGCCTCCCAATCGGCGCCCCATCCTCCCTCTCGGCTTGTTCTCCGCTGGAGTGTGCCGGAAGCTGGCCAATTTCGCAGCCACCTTGCCCATCGCATCCTTCCCCACCGCCGAGTACCGTAACACATGCGAAACATCAGTGGCGAAAGATTGCCCACTCATGCCACTACTCCCACTCCTCATGCGCATCTCCTCAGCAGCTCCATCCCCTACATTGCCTAACGCGTTTCTATCTACACCACCAACACCACCACCACAACGCTCCCCTTCATCACCTTCACCTGCATCACCTTCCTCAGAGCCTTCAGCGTTCCCCGCATCCTCAGCATCACGATCTTCACAGCCCTCAGCAGCATTCCCTCTGAAAAACGCGCTCCCCCGCGCCAGATTTCTCTTGCGATTCCCCCCTCGCACTGTGCTGGTAACGCCACCCAACCCCCTCCCTCTGCCACCTCCTGCTGCTCGTCGCGCAACTGCCGCACCAGCATTCAAACCCCTACCAGAAGGCAGACCAGCGACCGACATGCTGTACACAAGACCCTGCCGTCCAGGTGCATTGAATCCTGCCCTTCCAAGCCCCGCATCCTGCTCCGTAACCTCTGCCTGCACTGCAGAACCAGCCCTTCTATGTGGAGCTAACCTATCCAAACCCCCACCAGCCCCATTGGACCCATCTGAACCATCGTCTCCATCTTCCCTCTCACCCGTCCCATCTGCCTGCTCTACTGCATCTGCATCGTCAGCACCTGGTGCATCTGCTCCATCCATCGCACCGGAGCCCCGATCGTGCCAGTACGACCCATCTTCCACTTCTGCTGGACCACCAGGAGCAGCAGCAGCAGCGGTAGCGGTGGCGGAGGCGGCAACAGCGGTGATCGCAGGGGCGGCAGCGGGGGTGGCAGTGGTGCTACCACCACCATCAGCAGCTGCACCAGACATGCGGCTCCGGTAAACGTGTGAAGCAAACGGATTTCCAGCAGCAGCTGAGGGTGGGGAAGCTAGAGTTGTGGGAGTGAATAAACCCGTGGATGCACGACGAGGATGAAGACGAGGAAGAGGAGAAGGAGGTGGGCGGCGATGTAGAGAAGCAGCAGCACTGCGGTGAGAGGGAGGCAGCAGAGGAGAAGGCGCAAAAGGGAAAGAGCTTCTGGCAGGCCGGAAAAAAGGACTCTCCTCCTCCCGCTCCTGCTCCTGCTGCTGCTGCTGCTGCTGCTGCTCCTCCTCCTCCACCTCCGCCTCTCCTTGCATTTCTCTCACAGAAAAAGGTCTGGCAGAGCCGAAGGGGCTGATGGATGGAAGGACGCGAGGGAGGAGAGGGTCACTGCTGTGGCCCACGGGCCATGGGTCTGAAAATGGATCTATGTCGACGGAGTGCATGGCGTGCGCTTGCACGTGTGAGAGTGTGTGCGTTGTGTGGATGGTGTGCGTTGCTGTGACGGAGAAGAATCCAGCGTCGCCTGCAGATGCACCTGCCATGCAGAGAAACGACAACAATTGAGAGTTTGGACAAGAAGCACTCGCATAAAACGGCCTCTACTCAGATGCCATACAGCGGATATTTATACGATAAATGCCATAGAAACAATCACGTTACAATGAATGCGACGCGATGCATACGTACCGTCGTCAAAGCAGGGGCGCTTGGCTGGTGGAGTTAGCAGAAACTCGGAGCCCTGTGGTCACCCATCGCACGCCCATAGATAGTGAGTGACAGCCAACGATCCACCGTGGAGCAGAGTAGATCCACCATCACACCACGGCATTTCCATGTAAGCAGGCAAAATAACAGAGATTTCATGTCCACGACAAGGCACACAGCACACACAATGCATCTTGGTAAGATAGACGGTGGAGTATAGCACAATGCCCATGGAAAAAAGCGCTAGTGAAAACCAAAACAGGCAAGACAAATCAAGGACCCAAGCTGTGGCGCACAGGAAGCCTCTGTAGCTGCGCCGAAACTGATACTGATAGCCTGAGAGGCTGCGAAGCTGGGACTAGAACAGGCTACTTACCCTAGCGACCTGAAGGGCTTGACGGAAGTCTGCAGGGGCAAGGGGGAGGGAAAGAGGCCAGTGCCTCGCATCTGCGCGTCTGTGCTCCGAAGAAAGAAAGCTGGACCGACTCTTATACTGAGTGTGAGAGGAGATTTAGCTCCCAGCGACCAAACCAGCACAGCATGTGATAGGAGGAGGGATACACTTCCAGAAGGAAGGCGGAGCGGGCCACGAGTCACGGACGAAGAACTAGCGGTTTCGACTCGACTCGACTAAAAGCACACGCTATCACGAAAGTGACATAGGGGCGATGGATGGGTGACTGATCCTCAAGAAAACGGTAGGGAGCAACAGGAGAGAACGGAAGGAAGGAAGGAGGGACTCACCACATATATAGAGCAGGACATCTCCTGCCGTACCACCACCACATGCGCCTTCTGAGACGTCTCGAAAGGAAAAAATAGGAACGGAAGGAAGGAGGGACTCACCACGCATGTAGAGCAGGACATCTCCTGCCGTACCACCACATGAGCCGCCGCCATTCTCCCCCGAACTCCCCGCCCTTGCACCCCGCGCACGCTTCCCATCATCCGCTTCGGGCTGTCAAACACCGCCTCTGCCTGTTGCCTGCTGCTACCAGCCCCACCCACTCCCAGCCCTACCACCCGCCCTCCTCCAATCCCCACCCCTCCTCCTCTTCCTCGCGCTCTTCCTCCCCTGGCTGCGCCCGCGGCCCCTCGCATGCCCATCCACCCTCCTGCCCTCCACCCTCCTGCCCTCTGTCCTACTTGCCGTGTTTCGTGGCTTCCCGGCACGTCACTCACGAGGTCAAAGGCGGGCGGCAGCAGCAGCTCGTCCAAATCCGCATCCAGAACAGCGCCCAAGTCCCGCTCCCCATCCAAATCCCGGCCCCTTCTCACGACACCCTCCGATCGCCCACCTCCTCCTCCGTCCTCTGCTTGTTCCTCTCCTTGGGCTCCTTCACGACCCCGGAACACAAACTGGTCCCACTCAGTTGGCGTACTCTCCTGCCTATCTCCAGAAACACGTGGTGGTGCTGCTCGCCTGTACGGTTGCCGACGCTGCAATGGTGGCTCGGGAGTGGTCCCAGCTTCGGCAATGGAGTGGGGCGGAGTGAATCGTTGGAACACACGAGCAACAGCTGCTCTTGGCCCAGGTGCAATTGGCTGCTGCTGTTGCTGCTGTTCCTCCTCAAGAACAGTCCCTGCCATAAACTGCACCAAGTCTTCCCCCACCACCGGCTCACAAATGCCATCCCCTGCTGCCACCAAGCCTTCACCTGCCGTGGGCCCTGCAGACCCCTCCCCCACTGCTGACGTCCTCACAGACCGCCCGCCCCTTCCGCTGCTGTTGCCACGTGGCTGGTTTGCCGAGCCAGCGGGGCCAGGCTCGGCAGCAGCTTCGGGACGGGATGGCTCGAAGGCTGACTGGACCGGGGGCGTTACGGGCGACCTTCGCGGTGGCTGGAACTGCTTCTTGGCAGCCGGAGCAGTGGGGACTGGAAAAGAAAGGTTGTTGACACGGTCACACAGGAATAGTGACCGAACGGGAGGAGACGAGCGAGAGACGTTGGTAAGGAAAGGAAACAGTGCAGTGCACATAAAGCGGGGCAGGCTGAGAGCATGCGCCAAGGCACTCATCAGACCAAAGACCAAAGCACTCACGAAAGTATTTCGATAGCTTGTTCTTCTGCACTGGCAGCTGCATTGGCGATCTCCCCGGCCCACCACCACTGCCAGGCCTGCCATTGGTAGGGGTGCCTTGTCCCCCCCTTGCTGCAGCCGCTCCTGCTACTGCTGCAAATGCTGCTGCTCCTGCCTGGGTGCGTTGCTTCAGTCGAGGTGAGCGAGCTGGGGGCAGTGGCCTAGGTATGGGTTCAGCCTGCAAAAAAGTAAAATAAGAAAAAGGAGGGACAACCAGCATGGTGGCGGGTGGTTACAAAGCGATTATAATATTTCCGACGGAAAAAAAAGGGACAAACCAGCATGGTGGCGGGTGGTTACAAAGTGATAATAATATTTCCGACGGAAAAAAAAGGGACAAACCAGCATGGTGGCGGATGGTTACAAAGAGTCAATATCCGGGTTTCACCTATGTATATCACCTCGTACTCCAACCAAATGGTTCTCCAAAGTGGTTCTTACATCAAATGGCTCGTGTGTGATGGGATCCACATAGCCGAGCGCAATCGCACGGACGAGGCTTGGAGCAAGCTCAGTGAATGTTGTTGAAGCGGAAAGAACGAAAAGTGGAAGGCAGTGGATGAAGGGAGGAAGGAGAAGTGAAAGAAATAGGGAGAAGAGGGGAAGAAAAGGAAGCAAAGGAGAGAGTGAAAGTAGGCAGTCAAGGAGAATCTAGCACATGAAGAACGAGCATCGTGTCAAGCTGAAAAGGAAAAAAACGGAAAATTTGTATCTTCGAGTAGCAGAGGAAAAACAAGGTAAGAATGGGCGAAAGGGCATGCAGGGAGGGCGTTGAGGAGGATATGGTCCAAGAAACGACAGATCGGTGTCCGGTCCAAGCGTGGCCGGCAGCGGGTTGACATGAGTCATGAGTTCATCAGCCAGATGGTACACACGGTGGTGCAGGAACGTCAGCAGCGCCTGCTCAAACGCCCCCTCATACTCCTCCGGCACCACCCTCCCATTCAGCTTCGCTCCGGCCAGCGCCGACCGGTAATCCCGGTGCCTTCTGATCCAGTCGTGGGCGGTTTTGAGCCCGACTTTCGGCAGGCTGTCGAGGTAGTCGCAGCCGCTGAGGATGCACATCTCGAGGACCATCTGCGGGGTGAAATCCGCCAGGGCGAGCTCCTGTGATTGGCCTACGTTGGCGTACTCGATCTCGTCGCCGTGCCCCATGGCGTCCATTTTGAAGAGGACACGCGGGCAGGAGTAGGCGATGAGATCGGAGTCCTCTGTTATGACTGCGTGCACGAGGCCGCTGGCACACAGATACGCCATCTGAGCGTCGGCTTCGTAGGGTGCCACTACATACTCTACGTGCTCCTGCCTCAGCACCTGCGGATGGGAGTGGGGGAGGTGTGGGCAGGAGTAGGCGATGAGATCGGAGTCCTCTGTTATGACTGCGTGCACGAGGCCGCTGGTGCAGAGATACGCCATCTGTGCATCGGCTTCGTAGGGAGCAACTACATACTCCACGTGCTCCTGCCTCAGCACCTGCAAATGTGGGGTAACGAAAAAGGTGACAATTTGCAAACAAGGTGAATAAATCGCAAATTGTTGGAAGTGAGCTACAAAATATATATGTTGAAAGAATCAGAAAAGAGTAAATGAGAAGTGATATGCCAACCGTAACTCAATAATCCGGTAATGGACAGACCTTGATTAGCTGGTGAGCAATGGCAGGTGTGATGTCAACAGCCTTCTGAAAGCACTCCCTCGCTTCAGTACGTTTGCCCTTCAGCAGCAGCTGCTCCGCTCGTTCAAGGTTCTCCCTCCTTGATCTGCGGGATACAAACGATACACAGAAGAGCAGAAACTTTGTTTTGTGATTAACAGAAAATCCACAGGGACCGGGGATTATAGTTTGTGATACCGAGGAAATTGCGGACAAATGAAAGAACGTCTGGATGTATCATTCTCGAATATGTACGCAGAAAAAAGAAACCCATTCAAATGCTGAAATAAACAGAACCATGGTTCGACGTAACTCCAGTCAGACGGGAAAGTAACATACTTGTCTCGTTTAGATTCTTGCTGGGATTTCGAGGGAAGCTTTCCGCCGTCGAAGACGAGCACGGGAATGACGCCATTGTCTCTCAGGAGATTGACCCTGTTCATGCAGTATTGAATGTGCCTGGCGGAAATACAGCGGTGGGGAGACGAGGGAGTGATTTTACGACTACAAGACGCTGGAAGAACGCAATCTGTACTGAAAGCGTCTAAAATAGGGACAAAATCGAGGAAAAATAAATGGCCAGAGAGGGCGGGTAAATTGCTTTCAGTGTGACTGGACCCTCAAGCAACGGCTTCGCTGTCACTGGACTCTCAAATTACGAGACCCACTTCGTGTTCTGAAAGCTCAAACCCTGATAACTCAGCCCTAGGAGCTACCCTGCCCGCCTGAACCAAATGTCTATGCTTGTCCCTCCCTGATCCCTGTTGATAAAGTAAGCAACGTGTATTTTATTAAGCAAGGTGCCGGTAACAATGCGATCGTTATCTAGAAAAGGACGATTCGAGACAATGCTGGCCTATTACGAGACCACGACTTCGACATTTTATAATAGACGAAAGCTTCTTCATACACCCTCGGGTTTCTTAACATCTAGGATCAGGCTAGAACAGGCTTACGACGAGATCAGCCTCAATGCGCTGCGGACCTGCACGAGAATAACTGTCAGAAAATCGCGATCTTTACTAAATCGATCTGGCATTGCCTACCTCGTACACGGCGTGCCTTGACAAAGCTCCTGGCTGCAAGAATATGAAGCGCGATGAAGCCAGGAATACGTGTCAATGGCTACCCTCCGTCCAGCATATTCTCGTATGTGCGCGCGTCTCGTTACGGACTTTAGCAACGGAAGCAGGCCAGTGATACCCATGGCTGTATATTATCCAAAGGAAGAGCTGGTACCAGAGCAACTATGATTCAGTTGCTACTGGCAGGCAAGGGAAACTGGGTTCATCGGATAGCAGCAGCACCAACCAACATTTGTTGGATCAAGGCAACAAGCAAGAAGCGTCACCACAACGACATCGTTCGTCATTTGAAACGGTGAACCTTATTTCTTGCGACTGTAAAATGTCTGTTTGGTATGTGACATGTCGGTGTAGTTTAGTGGTTAGAATCCCACGTTGTGGCCGTGGAGACCTGGGCTCGAATCCCAGCACCGACACTCTCTTGTTGACTACCCCACTCGTTCACATAACTCATCAGAGCTCCTTCCTACTGGTGTTAATGCTTTGGCACTGATTTTTTCTGACAAATGCCAGACAATAGAGGAAGCTTCACAGACAATATATACATCATATGAAAGCCTTACATGACTTAACAACAATTACAATGAACACTCCGTAATGGGAGTGCTAAGTATAGAACTAGCTCAATGGAAGTGCCTACTTCCTCAAAACTGCCATTCCGGAACATCTTGCACCTCCAGGCACAACTCACTATCCACAATGGGGCTGCTGGAAGCAGCCAAAAAATCAGATAGCGCACTCACGTCGCGCCAAATATCGTCAGTGCTGCAGTCCTCCAGAGCCTGCGCACTGGGCTTGTCAACATGCCCACCCGAATCTGCATCTCCAATGCTCGTAATCCCAAAGTCTGCACTGCCTGTGTTGGAGACAGGATGCAAATCCTTGCTCGTATCAGCTACTGCCTTGTTGACACCCGTGGGGGTAGATTCATCCTCATACTGCTCTTCTTTAGCCTCATGTGCCTGTAAAGGGGTCTCATACAGAGGCGTTGTAAAGTGCAGCTCCTTTTCAAGAGTAGTTGCGCTGTTGACGTGCTCGCCTGTGGCACTCTCCATAGAGTCAGCCCGGAACAGCACACGGTAAACCTCCTCCTCCACCGCCTCCCCCGATTTCTTCCCCGCGGCCCCTTCCCCCAGCTCCGCCAGCACCCAGTGCGGAAGCCCCGTCGCCTCCTCCGCGCCTGAGGGTTCCTCCAGCCAATCAAACGGGCCCATGCCCTGCACCTCCCCCTCCGCTCCGCCCTCCAGCCACAGCTGCATGGCGCGCCGAGTCCCCTTAGTCACGCGCAAATCCTGCTCCGCGTTCTCCGCCCCTTCCGCCCCGCCATCCGCTGATGCTTGCTCTGAGGGGAAAAGGAGCCTTCGGGATTCGTCAGCTTCAGTCCCTGCCTCCCCATCCACTTGCTCCGTCGGCAACTCGATCTTGCAGAAGCTCTCGCCGTCAGACTCGGCCGGCAGAACCTCGCTCTGCAAAGGCGACTCGAGCAGCGACGGCAGGTGAATCGACGGCGAAGGGCTCCCGTCAGTCGAAGCGCTTCCGTCAGCCGGCTTTGGCGATCGAGTCGTGCCGAAACCAGGCGCGTATGATACGGGTCCCATAGGCCCCACGAACGGGGCACACGCCGCAAAGTGCGGCCAGCCCATACGCGGCGAAACGAGCTGGGAGGGGGAAACCGGGTGGCTAGCGCAAGCGGCGGCAGCGGCGGCGGCGGCGGCTGCACCAGCTTGCGCGAACGAGTACTGCGCTACGAGGCTGTTAATGTGCGTCGACGAATCGACACGTTGCATTTCCGCCTTCGCGTCCGCTGCTGCTGAGTCGGCGCCCTCTTGGCGCAGCGGCATGGGCGACAGCGCGGGAAGCGCCGATGGAACCGCCGATGGAACCGTCCAGGAGCCGCCCTGAAACGCCGGAAGTTGGAATCCCTGGGTGTAGTGATTAAAGAGCATGTGATTATGGTGAAGGGGGGACATTGAAGCCCACGAATACGCGGGCTGAGTGGCCGTCCAGAGCGGAGGAGGAAGAGAGGGCTGGAAGGGAGGGAGAGGAGCCGAGAGGTGCGGAGGAAAAGCTAGAGTCGTGCTTGCTTGTCGGTAAGGAGGGCTGGCGAGGGTCGGTGCGAAGGCAGCTGTGCTTCGGCGGTCGTCTCTCCGTGCTCGCTTGGTCTTTTTGAGGGACTGTGGTCTTGCTTGGGCGTTTGAGTCGGTGGCGCTTCTCTTGAGAGGAACTCTTTGCAGCCTGCTTGCTGGGGAAGTCGCCATGGTTGCTACGGCTCCTTGGTGATCCATGCTCTGGCGGACTAAAATCGAGGGAAGAAGGCGACGTCTATAAAATTAACAGAGACGCGGTGTTGGATTCTGGTTTTGCTGCGTGCGTGCGGGTTTTTCAAGAAGGTCGGACAGTACAGGGTGTCTTTGTGTTCTTCGTTGGAGGGTTGTCAGCCTTCTTGGTGGAACTTTTATGGATGAATGGAAGCTAGAAGAATCGAGAGTGAGATGAGGAACTCGTTACATACTTGTGTGACGGAAAGCTGGAATCCAGTCAAATGGGTGGTGGTGTGGGAGGAACTGGGAAGAATTCTGGGCGAAGGGGAGAAGGGGGCAACAGAAGGCACATGGATGCGCGAGGCACGGGTGTAATTGTTCGTTTCGTTCGATCGCAAATTCCTTCGTTGATTCAGCCCGTGCACGCGACAACTTTCACCATTCTCCATGCGATGCGAGGCGAGGCGCACAGTGTTTTCCTCTGGACTCTGCTGGGAACACGAGTGAGGGCCGGGCAGGGCAAGGAAGGACCCGCACCACAAGCGTCGGTTTCGCGCGGTCAACGCCAATGGAGGAGCTCAAGCGTTTGATTCGTTGAACCCATCACGGGCAGACTCGTGTGAATGATGGTACACTTGAGCGGGATGTGCATCAGGTCTTCTTGGATGATATATTGGGCCGATTTGTGCGTCTTCGGGGTGTTCGCTGGTCGGTGCGCCGTGCCAATTCGGCCCTTTCGGTTCGCCTTGGCGCCCAAGAAACAAAGTCTGAGACAGACCCAGCTCTTTCCTGCCCGGGACGTTCAACTTCTGAGCGGAAATTCCAGAGAGTGCACAGCGGGTTGAAAACGCTGAGGTTGTCGTCCTTCACGTGCGCTCCAACAGACATCATGACCCTCCAAATCGCGTCAATCACTCAACCGAACCGAACCTGTGAATCTGCCCGCCTCGAGAGTTTTGCTGATATTTTGTAGGTGCGCTCGCGCAGGTGCTGAGGGCGTGTCCAGCGCGTACGTTTACGGTTCGTTTACAGTTCATGACTCATGGCGCAACACGATATCAAATGGTTCAAAGCGATTTGCAGTTTCCACCATTTTTAACCGTGACGCAACAAGGTCAACCGCACAGGATGAACTGTAAACGTACGCGCTGGACCCGCCCTGAATGAGGGGCGCAGCGGAAATCACCGTCTGCCTGTCTGAAAGGCGCAGGTTGTCGAGCTCGGCTGGAAGGGCTGTTGCGCGTCCTTCCGCGCTCCGCCATTCCACCCCCCATCTGCCACACCTGGACGAATTCGGTTGGCTAGCACCCCTTGCCTACGTTCTGGCAGACAGCTAGCAGTTTCAGAGAATCTGAGCCGACCCCGACTGTCCCGGCTCTCTGTGCATCCTACGAAAGAAGCAGACTTACAAAATGATGAATAATTTATGTTCTGAACGGATTTCCCACTCATTTTATATGCAAAGTCACCTAGGAAAATCAATTGGTTTTGCCTTCAAATATAACGTTGCGCTTGACGGGCAGTTTCGGCTGAAGGTGTGGAAGAAACAACGGGACACACTTGCTCCTCATCGAAGCCAAACGTCACAGCTGCGATTGACACCACCTGTATCAACTGCCACAACCAATCGGAGTGAACGTTACACGAGTCACACCACTGGTTTGAAAACTCCGAATAGAGCTCGCTCGTTTACAGTATTGAACTTATCATCATGTTTCTGTGGAGTTCCGTTACCCACATAATCGAATACACTACCGTTTAAGAAAAACAGAACCCCCACTCCCCCAACTATTTCAGGCTTATGCACGTACCAAGAATGGTGCATGTACCACACTCGAGTATGTTGGGAACCTTCAGCCAATCGGACTGATCGTGGTCGTGGATCCCAGCCTTCAGGACGCGTCACCTGTTTCGAGTTTTGCAATATCGACCCTACGCAGGATCAATTTTTGGCGAGGTTCAGAAAGGTCGTGAAAGTTGTGGATGCAATAAGCGTTATTTCCGTGCGGTGGCGGATCGACATTGCACGATCATGGGGAGGTGACGCGTCCCGAGGAGAGATGATCACAAGCAAGCAACTCATCTTTTCCTCACAGACGTAGCAGCCTCACTA